ACATTCGAACAGACTCTGGGGCACAATGGGTCAGTCTGCCAAAATTCAACGAAGTATGCCCTCAAAAATAAGCACTTAATCAGCATAATCGTCTAAAGAACAGAGAGACTTCGAATTTGAAGATTTAATATTTTTTAAATCAATGTTCAACTGGAATAGTTCAGATATTTGGACAAAAAATTTTGCAAATAAAACTGATTATTTCCTTCCGGGAATCTAAATGTGGAAATATTATTGATTCTCGAATATATTCCATATTGGGCCATGGGTCGAAAGAAACCATAATACTACACAAAATATAACGCATCTCTAGGTCTCTAAGCACTTATTGTATCAAACACTGTCGAATTGTGCCCCGTAGGGCATGTCCCACTGAACCCAGGTCCATTGTTCCCCATAGGAAACAAATACTTTCAGACCATCCCACGGCGAAATTCGGAAGGCACATCCACTCGCCAACGTTATGAATATTTTACAGTGGACTAAAGCTGAAAAATATCAGACGGTGGTTTGTCATGTTGGGAAGGCTACAGTAGAAAAAAGAAAAAACTGAAACGGTGAAATTTTAGTTTCAACCTCCCAAAACCAATTTCACCTCATAGCTTGCGCCGCTCTACCCGTCCGTTGTCCGTTCGCGGGGACGTTGTAACTCATCGAAGGGCGGATTGAAACATCGAACCGCGGACAGGATTGCGGATATAGTATCAGTGCGAGAGCTGATTTTCCACTGTGCCCCATGTCCCAACGTGCCCCACCTTCCCCTACTGCTTCGCTAGGTGTGAATATATTTGTAGACTGTGATCTGACGGTACGGTAAACCGTACTGTACTGCGAACAGACGTGTCCATATATTGGGGCGTAGCTCTCTTGTTCAGTATTGGACGAAAATTAAGATGGGTCAAATTTTTAGTAAACGATGATTTTGATGCTTTATGGAAATCTATAGAATTTTTTTTTTCAAATTCTTAGGAAGGAATGGATTTGTTCTTTTGAAATGTATATCCTTATGGACTATGAATAAAGAACATTAGGTAGAGAAATACAGACGTAAGTCATTCACATGAAACACTGTGGTTTAATGAAGATATCAAGTAAAAGGGAAAATGTTATATATTGAAGATTGGAATATGTGAAGTATTTTTTGTTGGAGGCATGTGATTTAAAACAACAAATTGCAATGTTTTTGCACAATTTTCGTTATCGTCGTTTCTCTGATTATTTTAATGATATGCAATCGTAAATGAAAATTATATTGTGTATACCCCAAGCATGAGGAACAAAGTTATAAAAAATTTTCAGGTCAAAATAATCCCCATCTTAGTTTCGTCGAGTGAAAAAAAATAATCATGAAAATTCCCGATATATTTACGATAAGTTTCGTACCTGTTAAAAAATCGCCACCTACTAAAAATTGAAATCTTGTCAATCGAATTGTGTGAATACTTTTTAAATTGGCTTCCATTATATGAAAAAGTTTTTTATAGTTCAATTGCGTCAGGGTTTTGTTCTTTTCATATGAAATTTGCTTTGAGAGTAGTCATAATTATTTTTACATCGCAGCTGGAGAATTATTAGTACAGATTTACATGTGGGTTATCACGCAAACAATATTATGGCAAATTTGGTTCTATATAACTATTCAAGGTTTTTGTCGTTCATTGTCGCTGCAGTGGTTTAAATACATACCAATATCTACAAATTATATCGTTGCGTTATTATAAATTACCGTAATCTTAACGAATCGAGATAAACCGGTAGTCGATTTCTGCACCGGACCTTTTGCTGTAATATGTTTTCCAGCGAAATAACTCAAACCAGGCTATTTTTTGTCTCGAATCATCTATATTTTGTAATTCATGCTGCTTTCTGATCCTGTAAATAGTCTTTTTGTTATATATATTGTCAGTATTCATAGAATTAGCATATATTATGTGCTTTCAAACACTATAGCGGATGCATGGACTTTAACATAATTTTGAGGCTGAAACGATCCTTCAAATTAGAGATCTTTATCTAGTTCCATGGAGACACCAAAACGGGTTAGTTGAAAAAAATTGATTCATGGTTTCCTTCTTGTGTCATTCCTTTAGATTTAGACCGACCCCGCACTATGAGTTCTGCTGTAACCACCAACTACACATCCTGTTTCGGAAGTCCTTGATACCAATAGGATGCAGTTCGGTATTTATGTTTGATCGTTTCTGTGTATATTCGTTGGTAGTGGTTGCCTTCTAGGATGGCTGGTGCCACGAGATTTGCAGGTTCAGATTTTTTCTCTGCTATCCGTTCCATTCGGGACAGTCCCTTTTGATATGTCCCTCTTCTTTGCAGTAGCGACATATAGGCCTACTGGTGAGCTATCGCATTGCACAAAATTGTGACCTTTTTTGAGGCATCTGCCGTGACGATCGGAGCGTGGGTAAAGCACGGTTAGTTTGGGTACGGGGTAGTATAGACCGCTGGGTCGAGGATAACTTAGTTGAGGGGGCTAGGGCAGTGGGTCGAGTACAGGGAGCTTGGGGGAGATAGTGCGGTGGGTTGAGGGTAGAAAAGTTGGGATCATATTCTAGTAGGCGGTTGGTTGAGGGAGATATGAAGACAGTCGATGATAGGAAGGCTGAGGGTGGGGGTATAGGAAAATTATGATTATAAAAAGGTTTAGGGAGCTAGGGTGGTTCGAAGATAGCAAGAATAGTTGGGGAGATACGGCAGCGGGTCGAGGACAAAAAGATTGGGAAAGATAGGACAGCGGGCGGAGGACAGGTAGGTTGAAGGAGTTAGGCCAGGCGAACCTTTTTCAATGAATGGGTTTGACGTTCGGAGCGTGGGTAAAGCACGGTTAGTTCAGGTACGGGGTGTATAATAGAGCGTGAGATTACGGTAGGACAGTGTGTCGAGAATAGAGATGGCGGAATCGACTCCGGATTCGATTCCAGAATCGATTCTTCGTGGACTCGACTAGAATCGATTCCGATGACTTGGAATCGATTTTTAGAGTCAAAACTTAGATTGCATACGAAGTATAACGTATTGTGGCCCATGTATGTATAAACAGCTATGTAATGTTGCTACGACGCCGCAAACTTCACTATATTTCGACACTCTCTTCTCACTCGCTCGTTTGCTCGGGTTCGTCACATTTTTTGTCTTAGCTATTGCGTTAGAATTCCTATTTACTTGAAGCAAGATGCATTAGGAAAAGTGAAACGCCTATTGCAGTTTAAAGTATAAAATGTTTACACCGCAATTCGACAGACCGGTATAGCAAAATATTTGAATAACAGAAATTTTGGCATATCAGCGATCCAAGAAGAAATGTTGCAATGGTGGCAACAAAACAAAATATATTTTCGAAACATCGCAGTTGTCGTCCAAAAGTACCGCTGTGTCCCATCAACATCCGCTGCATCAGAAAGAGCATTTAGCTCAGCGAAGCTTACTGTCTCCAAATTGCAATCGAGACTCACAGGAAGGCATGTGAACGAATTGAACTTTAGATTGCAATAGCTTTTTATTTAATACGACAGTGATATTTTTGGACTCAACGTGTAGGCTTCATACAGATCGTTTTGTTATTATGTTGTTTTTGTTGTTGTGGTTAGAATTCATTTTCTTGTTATTGTTATGAAAATATAACTTCTCTCTCTCACCTACTGGAACTATCGCTTTGAAATTTTCAGTGGTTAAAAATTGTAATATTTTTTCTAGAAGGCTATTACGTTTATTTTATGTATTTCAAAAATTTCTGTGGGCTCTAAAGGATACGTTTTATGTGTGCGATTTTAGTTTTGGTCATTATGTCCATATATTTGAACATCGATCTCTTGTTCGATTTCATATGGTAATGTTTAAGTGGGTATGTTTTCTCGGTAAGCTATGTCGAGGAATCTAAATTCGAAAATTTTGAAATCGGATAAGAATCGAATGTAAGTAGTCATACTTAGCATATTTAGTCGAGAATAGAAAGGCTGGGTGAGATAGATAGTGGGTTGAAGGAGATAGGACAGGGAGTCGTGGATAGGAAGGCTGAGGGTGATAGGACAGTGGGTCGAAGATAGTACGGTTAGGAAGATAGGGCAGCGGGTCTAGGGTGATAAGGTATTGGGGTAAATAGTTGGTCGAGGTTAGGAAGGTTGGAGATAGGGCAGTGGGTCGAGTATAGGAGAGTTGGGGGAGATAGGGCAGTGGGTCGAAGAGAAGAGGAAGATAGGCAGTGGGTCAAGGATAGAATAGTTGCAATTTATTCTCAATTTTCAATCAAGACCTCAATTTTTTTTATAATTCGTGAAAAATGCTATTAACTGAAGTAATAAGTTTAACTGAGGAACCAGTGAAAATTCAGTACTTGAAAAAAATCTTAAAAATTGATATTGGTGGTGATGGCATAGCCATAAATACTTACACACTAGAAGGAATAATAATTAAACATAGATTAGGAAAATAGAAAACGACCTGACGAGGAAAAGATTTTTGTTGTTTGCGAGACGTTACGTTTTTCATCAGTTTCAAGGTTTTGCTCGAGTTGACTACGAATAAGGCTGCAGAATCCGGTATTAGGCTATATATTGTTTGTGCATGTAAGCTACTGTGAATTGTGCATCCATGGAATAAGTCGCTTAAATATTCCAGAAGTCGAACGGATATCACAGGCGCCTAGACAACAATTCAAAAACGCTGAGAGCTAATCATTTTGCCTTTATTCCTTAACCCTACATGTTTACAAACTTATAAGACATGCAGTCCTACACATTAACGATCTCAAAATTGAGTTTTATTTAAACGTAGCAATTTTTTGCGTGTAAGTGCGTCATGAGTTTTTTCCCTGATAATGTGGCGACGCACGAACTAAAAGTTCGGGAACCGCTGGATAAAGGCATAAAATTCCCTAGAACTATGCCATACATATAATTTTACAGTTGTTTTCGGACTCGAAAATGGATACTCTAGCGGTGAACCGTATTTCTTGTAAGGCTGAAGAACTCGGCAAAATAACCAGGCAATTACTGAACAAGAACTTTAGAATTTCAAATAGAAGACACAAAAACTTTTAAAAAACTACAATCAAAACGTGTTTAGAGCGAACCGGTAACTTTTAAACAAAAATAAAATGCCAAATATTTAAACAATTACACGAAACGATATAGGAAATTCAATATGACTGGTTTTCAAATATACGAATTTTGATAATTTTTTTAAGAATGTGGAAAGTTCTCCTCTATTTTTGCTGCGTAATGACTCTCTAGTGCTTTTCTCTTCAACTTGAAAGCCGAGGTGATGAGCCCTGCTTCTGGGGTCCAAGGTTCCGGCTCCAGACACAATTTCTGTGGGATCTCAAATTTTTGCAACTTGGCAATATCGCTGGCTTGTTTAATTGCTTGTTCCATCTCCTTGACCATGCCCTTGTTCTGACATATCTCTTCCATGGTTTCAGACGTGATACCCTTAGTTAACGCTAGCGCCCTAAACGCCTTCTCATTTGGAACTACAAAAGCCATTGATGTTGGATTCATTGAATTGGCATATAGCCAGATATTGTCAACCATAGGCGACGCTTTCAATTTGGATTCAATATTCCCCACGGCAATGTATTCTCCATGCGACAATTTAACGAGATCTTTTTTCCGATCAATCACTTTGAGGCTCCCGTCGCTCGCTATTTCTCCAATGTCACCAGTTTTAAACCAACGTTGGCCGTTTTCATCCACATGAAAATCTTCTGCTGTTTTCTGCTCATTCTTATAATAACCTTGAGTAACGATGGGACCCCCAATCCACACTTCACCTTGGGGATTGGGCTTGTTTGTTGGAAAGTAACCGCCATCTGCCCATGGAACAAGTTTGAACTCTGCACTAGGCAAAGGAGGTCCAACAGTTCCAGTTGAATGGTCAGTTAAGACCTGTGTTATTGTACCAGCACCACAAGTCTCTGTTAATCCATACCCCTGCCCGACGGGACAACACATGCAGACGTTCATGAAACGCTGAGTTTGAGCATCAAGTGGTGCACCGCCCGACAGCATTATTCTAACTTTACCTCCGAGAACTGCTCTTGTGTTTTTAAATATAATTCTATTTAGAATGGGCGTGTCTTGACCATTATTCACGCAGCCGAGCTTGTAAGAATAGCCAAAGCTGAATAAACCTTGTCTAAGAAAGTTAGCTTCACCAACAGTTTGCATTATTGTCTTTCTCATGCGTTCCATGATTGCTGGAACAGCGGCCATCAAAGTTGGCTGTAAAGCCGACGAATCTCCTTTCGTGCCCGGTTTTATTCGGAGAGACTTGTCAGTGACTGTTAACGGAGAAGAGTATCCAATCCTGGCACCCCCGCACAACGTCACCGATTCAGCTGCCAGCTCGAGCACATGAGCCAAAGGCAAGTATGCAATATATGTATCATTTGGCGACAAATTAGGTATTCTGGATGATATTCCAGACATGGCCGCCACGAAATTTCCGTGACTGATCATGACCCCTTTCGGGTTTCCAGTTGTTCCACTTGTGTACATGATGATCGCGCAGTCGTCGGGAGAAGTCTGCTCGCGTTTGATATTTTGACCTCTTGAACTTCCCAGATTTTCAACTTCCGCGAAAGTCTTCGTTTGGATATTGTTCGGAATACCACTGATGTCATTGCCCGTATCTACATACACGATTGTGTTGAGTCGTGGCAAACTAGCAAAGCAGTTTTTTAATTTGGTCGCCAAAAGATTTCCACTTGTTATAACGCATTGTGTTTCAGTTTGGGCGAGAGCGTATGTAATTCCTTCCTCGCCTAAGGTCGCGTACACGGTAACTAAAGTGAAATTATATCTAAAGCATGCCTGCGCTGCAATCATCCATTCTTTTTGTGTTTCCATAAATATAGCAACATTTTGTCCTGCACTTATACCAAGCGCCCCAATGCCTTTTGCAACATTCTCTATTTTTGTGTTGACTTCATTAAGTGTCACCCATTTGTAATCACCGAAAGTCGCCTTTTTCATTACCTTGCCACCAGGTACCACTTCATCAGATTCGGAAATCAGTTCACGAGTTCCAAAACAAGGATTATTTCCGAATTTACGCACTGCTCTTTCAAACACTTTATCAATGGTTCGCTCGCCATCATAGTTTGAGAACATGAGACTATCAAAACTTTCTACACATCGATATGGCGACCCAGGATCGCCTGGCTTGGTTGGCTTTGCCCTAGGCATTTTGAAATCTAGCTCCGGAAGAATCTGTAAAAAAGAAGAATACATCAATGCTGCATGTTAACAGATACCCTATCATTAAATTAATAGGCCTATTAGGAAGACTCCGTTATGAAAATAACCATTCCAACGTTCATGCCACAGAATATATAGAAATGAGTTAATGCAAATATTATTGCGTCGAATACGCTTTTTCAAGTAATTGTTTAAAAAATTAAAGCTTGAAAGTTGATATCCCGAGAAAATACGATACTTGCACGTCGAAGTTCAAAATGTACTTGACGTGCGCATATCACACAGCATTTTTTTATCACTATACGATAGTCATATCGGGGAAGAGGAAAGCCGATAAGCTCAATCATATGGCGAATCACGGCCTCTCTTCCAGTTGTCAGAGAATATTCTGCTTGTTTGTGGGTGGGGTGGAACTTTCTGAGGGAGTATTTTTCTGTCACCCTGGCAGACACAGACTAAATTTGTTTAAATGAAATAATTTGAAAAGTTTAATCTCAATGAAATGCTATTTAATCGACTCAAAATATTGATAGAATTCATATTTATCCCCGAGAAAAGGGAAAGCTGATAGGACTTAATGATATAGCGAACCACAGCTTGTATAGAGCTAGTCGAGGTAAATACTCAATCAAAAAAACCATCAAGATTTAAAAAAAAATGTTTACACTTATTATCCTTTACTGAAGGAAAAGCATAAGAATTGTACTTTAATATTATTTTACAAATTAGTGAAATGCTGTTTTTACATGTATGCGTGAGCTCGTACACCGTTTGGCACGCAGTTTATGAAAATATATCTTTGGGTATATTAGCTTATTGTGAATAACAACGATTTCGGAATGAGCTTGAACTTTATATCTTTCACACAAATAGGTAAACGTTAAGGGTACTTTTTGCTGCAGATATCATTATTATGGTTTCCGCCACATAAAATCATTGATTTTAAGTGGAAGACGTGAGAGCTAATAAATTAGGAAATAATATTTTGGACATTAATTTCATCCTAGCCCAAGCGCTATAATTCTGCAACTTCAGTTGAATTGGCCGACTAAGTTGAAACCGTTCAGAAACCTCTGACCGTATGATTTTCGCCTACATTGCGATCAGTCTAAATTAGTAAACTGTACCATGTAGAACTTACCAAAAAACGGCGGTATCAGACTACTTTACAGAAGAGGTTGACGCCTACACTGCACCGCCTGCTTGAGAAACCGAAAACAAAAAAGATATATTATTATCTCTGCACACCATTGTTACTTCATAAAGAGATTTTCTCTTTATCGTGTGGTGTCACATTAGCATAAGAATTTTATGGCTCTACGAAGCTTGATTCAACTTCACCACTAGAAGGAGGCTTTAATTTCCATGCATAACCAATGAGAGTATATATTCTTTGAAAGTCAGCTGCGGCATACCGGGCTGTACTCGAGCACTAAACACTAACCCCAGACCAGAGCGGCGGTGGATTTTAGTATATATATACAATCATGTATCAAGAGGTCAGCTGAAAAGGGAGATGTTATTCGCATGCCCAGGGCGCACAGTTGAAACTTCTAATGAAAACAAAGTGATCATTGAATTATTTGATATATATTTAAATATCCGAAACACAACTAAAAACTAACGAATAGATTTCAAAAACGAGGTAATGTTTACATCGGCGCCTGAAATTCTGTCTGAGCGAAAAAAATTGTGTGAGCGGGTGCGAAACTACGTCACTCTTTGCATCTTGCTGATTGGCCAATATCACAACGTACAGAAGGAAGTCGATATGCTCGGGGAAACATCCATTCAGTCCGCAATTTCCATTTGAAGCCGTTGTTCCTGGCGAATACTGACATATTCAAAGTTTCGATTTCTAAAAACATTCTGTATCACACATAGCAATTTTTAGAACATCAGTTCTCTGTGTAACTCGCGTTTTGCGGCCTCCGGCCAGACCCCTTGTTACAGTCAAACGTAGTAGTATATATTTACGGTCAAACTTGGCAATTACAAATTTCGGCGTTCCGGAAGTATGTGTACCAAGATGACGCACAACCTGAACCCTAACCTGGTACACATACTATGTTCAGGTTGTGCGCCATTTACTATAGTACTTCGGGAGCACCTAAATTTCAGAACCCCCCTTTGAAAATTCCTGGCTACGCCCCTGCAGACAATTCATGCCCGTCTCCCCAACACCACAATATTTCATCCACCTTATTACACACATGATGATCCATTGTCTGGTCTAACTCTGGAATCGTCATTTTATTATAAATATTGAATGACCTTATATTCCGGTGACAGACTGTACATATATTTATAAATCAGTCGCTTCGTTTACAATTTAGTATTCGATGCCTATCAAATTCCACTATATATGCGCCTATAATGCAGAGCTGGCCTAAGTTATTCTGTCGGCGGAAAATTGAAAAAAAAAACGCTGAACTTCTGCGCTTTATCGGCACTCGGTATCAATATATATTTCCCCGAAAATAAGACTGGGTCTTATTTCAATTTTTATATGAAAAATACCACTAGGGCTTATTTTCGGTATGTCTTATATTTTCACTTATCAAAAACAAAATTACAAAGTAGAGAATTACGAGATTTTCAAATATACAAAATATGAAAACCGATATTCATTTACTCCATATATAAATAATACGTTTTTATTCAAAATAGCTGCAAAACATAGATTATCAATCATTTAAAACTTGTAGGAGAGATATTTTGCTATCGGCTAGGTCAAAAAAAATTCGCGTTATTGACTAGGGTTTATAATCTTGTATCAATATCATTTCTTAAATTCGGGCTAGGTTTTATTTTAAGGTTAGGTCTTATTTTCGGGGAAACACGGTATATATATATATATATTCCGGTACATATTTGTGAGTTATGATTATATTTCTTACCTAACCATCAATTTGAAAAACTTTTCAATTCGCGATTTTCTTTTTCAACAACCACAACTTTCATATTTGACTGTTCCCAGTAGCCGTACATTTTTTATGCGTTTACTAATGCGTTCTTTATTTTCGAATATGGGGGAAATTGATTATCGTACATTACTTGTTTATACTCGTAAATTAAAGTTATACGTGTCTCCACTGTTGTATTTTTGTTTATAAAAGGTACGTTTTCACCAAATCAATCTGATTTTTCATACATTATATCCTGTTTCCAGGCACTTCCGTGTTGTACTATTATGCAAATATCAATATGTATTACCGTGGTCGTTTCCATCAGAAAACGATGGGCGCTATTTAGTCGTGCACCCATTCACTCACTTTTCGGTTTGACCTACAGTAACCCAATTTTCCGCGCGTGAACTCTCTCCTTTCACTACAACATAGGACGATAGATACAAAGTCCAAAAGAACACGCGTTGCCGTTCAAAATAAAAGCGCTAACGAAATTAAAGTGCGAAAACAGTCGGCCGAAGGTCGCGCTTAGAGTGATATTTCTTGCCTGGAATACATTTTACAATCACATTTGAGCTGCGTGTCTTATCAGTTCAAGTCAGCTGCCGTTTAAGGCTGCTGATTCTTCACACCATGTGGTACACGCACGCTTTGTACAAAGTCTTCTCGAACCTCGTGTATTTGTTAAAAACTGACAATACTATATATATAACGTGTACGTAGACGGACACCATTCATATTGCAATTTACGTTTGGCGGTTGGGTAGCATGTACTAAATCTGCGACTTGAAATATAACGTCAGAGTAGTAATACTAGGACCCTTTTTTCAGGTATTTATAATTTGAATAATTAATATTAACTAACCGTTAAAAAAAGACATGTCTAGCAAGACGAGGGCAAAGCCGACCACAAGCAACGACCCGGGTTCTCCCTATCGATGCGTGGAAAGTTTTAACGATCTTGTTTTGTCGGATTACGACGGAGAACGAACGATCGATCGAGTTTTTGAAGTCGCTGTCAGAAAATATGGAAATTGCCAATCTCTCGGAACAAGAGAACTGCTATCAGAAACCGACGAAAAACAGCCAGACGGAAAAGTATTCAAAAAGGCAACATTTGGTGATTATAAGTGGTTGACTTTGAAAGAAGTAAGCTTGAAAGTAGAAAATCTTGCTAGGGGAATTGGAGCGCTCGGCGTCCAACCAGGTCAAAATGTAGCAATATTCTTGGAAACGCAAAGAGAATGGATGATTGCCGCGCAAGCATGTTTCAGATACAACTTTCCACTCGTCACTGTATATGCAACGCTGGGCGAAGATGGAATTACATATGCACTAAATCAAACGGAGGCACACTGCGTAATTACCAGTGGAAATCTGTTAATGACCAAGTTGAAGAATTGCTTGAGTAGTTTACCTAGCTTGAAAACAATTATTTATGTAGATTCAGGAAACAAAGTTGCGGACATCCCGGATGAAATTCAGTTGAAAAGCTATCCCGAAGTTGAAAACCTTGGTAGCTCTCCACAGGGTCAAACTATCAAACGACAGTCAACCTCAGCTGACGATCTTGCTATTATTATGTACACCAGTGGAACAACAGGGAACCCAAAAGGAGTAATGATAAGTCATGGAAATTTTGTCGCTGCAATGTCTGGTATATCTTCTCGTATTCCCAACCTTTCAACAGAAGACACATATATCGCATATCTACCTTTAGCCCACGTACTGGAGCTTGCAGCAGAAACAATTCTGCTCTGTGGTGGCGCTGGAATTGGTTATTCCTCACCTTTAACACTGACCGACAGATCAAGTAGGATAAAGTCCGGAACAAAAGGAGATGCAAGTGTCTTACGTCCAACTCTGATGGCTGCTGTGCCAGAAATAATGGAACGCATGAGGAAAGCATTAATGCAAGCCATTCAAGAGTTTGGTTTTATCCGACAAAATGTTTTTCACTATGCATACAACTACAAACTCAGCTGTGTGGAACATGGCCAAGACACTCCGACACTCAACAGATTTGTATTCAAAAACACGAAAGGACTTCTTGGAGGCAGAGTACGAGCTATGCTATGTGGTGGGGCACCACTCGATGCACAAACACAGAGATTCATGAATGTATGTATGTGCTGTCCAGTAGGACAAGGGTACGGTTTAACAGAAACATGTGGGGCGGGGACAATAACACAAGTCTTAACAGATCACTCAACTGGAACCGTAGGTCCACCAATCCCAAGTGCAGAAATAAAGCTTGTTTCGTGGGAAGAAGGTGGATACTTCCCATCAAACAAGCCTCATGCACAGGGAGAGGTGTGGATCGGAGGACCAATCATCTCCCAGGGATACTATAAAAATGAAGAAAAGACTGCAGAAGATTTTTATGTTGATGAAGATGGCCAGAGATGGTTTAAAACAGGCGATATTGGAGAGATTTTAGATGATGGAAGCCTAAAGATTATTGATAGGAAAAAGGATCTTGTTAAACTGTCACATGGTGAATACATAGCTGTTGGAAACATTGAATCAAAATTGAAAGCATCACCGCTCATGGACAATGTTTGGATATATGCAAATGGAATGCACCCAACCGCAATGGCTTTTATTGTGCCAAACGAGAAAGCCTTTATGGCATTGGCTGCCAACAAAGGTTTAAATTCAAAAAGCATGGAGGAACTATGCAACAATTCAGAAATGGAGCAGGAAATGAAAAAAGCGCTATTGCAAGCATGTAAAGTCGCAAAGCTTCAAAAATTTGAAATTCCACAAAAAATGGCTGTAGAGCCGGAGCCATGGACGCCAGAGGCAGGGCTAATTACTTCAGCATTTAAGCTAAAACGCAAAGCTCTTACTGAACACTATGCCGCCAAAATTGAAGAGAACTTCCCCCATTCAAAACAAACAGTTTAGAATTTAGTTGGATTGTAATTTTGCTTCATAATAATACCATGTCCCGTCACATTTCATAACTGCAATTGCTTAGTTTCTTATTGTGTATCTCTTAAATTATAAGTTCATATTATATATACATAGTTCATCTGATCTGTAAAATTACAACATTTTTGTGCTTTGTCCTAAGATTACACAATCCATCCAAAGATCATTTTTTAAAATCTGTGATAAATCTGCAAATACATTTGAAATCCAACAATTATGCCTCAAAACTTGATTTTATTAGTTTCTTGAAAGTTAATGACGAGAAAAGTAGACAGCAGATATAAAAGCTAGTAGAATAGCGAGCAAAAATATATGTATGTGATAGAATTTTGGGGAAAAAATTGGGAGAAATAAGTTAAAATAACAGTTACTGTACAAACAAGTAATAATGTAAACCTCAACCAGGTTAAGTAGTGCGTGAGGTGGTAGAAAATAAAATACATGATTGTAGGCTTGAAATCGTTTCGGAAACATGAAAATAATATTGGTTGTAATTAGTATTTTTGCATCTGATAACACAGGCAATTGAAAGGTCGTGGTAAAGTTTCAAATAATAAAATGACTGGCTATTAAAATAAACCAAAGCTTGGTAATGCACATCCAACTGGTAGTATATACCTCGCGTTTTCTATAGTACTAGATTTTATTTCTTCATCACATAGCCAAAGTGCAGCATTAAAAAACAGCAAAAGCGATAATAACTAAAAAAATATATCCAAAAACTATCAAAATTTTTATGATAAATATATAATTACAGCATAATAGACCTTGTAATATAATAAATACTTCATATTTTGTCAAACTTTACAAGTGACAAAGAAAATGAAATAGACAGACCAGCTTGGTATCATATCATCTCAAGCTCGATCAATCAATAAAAATTAAAAAACACCTCAATATATCCAGCAATAGATAATTAATTAATAAGCTACGCAGAAGCATGCATCCAACCACCCTTGCTTTGTTAATAATCAACTTTTACTGCGGAGGCATGCTATGTCACGAAACCGAGAGCTTTATTTATGTAAGATTAGATGTTAACAAGTAGGCTGACTTCTGTCATGTTTTTCTTTTCCTGCCTCTGCGAGGCTTTGGTGAGGATGTACCACTTTCGGCTTCCGATGATTGACGTTGAACAACTCCATTTGAACTTGTCGATGGAAGGGGAATCAGTTTCTGAAACATAATTTACATGTTTGCAAAAAAAAATTGTGAATCCCATTGCCGATCATAACAATACTATTAATATTTTGTTATCATTATTCTACTTAGTGGACAGAACATAATGTTAGTCATACAAACGGGTCATACAAATATTTTGAAAAATGTCAACACAAAGATGACAGACAAGATATAAATAGAATATTTTCGAATTACCAACCTTGCTTCCACCCTGTTTTAGTTCCTGTTGCTGTTCCAGCTCATCGACTGCTTCTTGTATTGCTGTTTCCAAATGAATGCTTATCTTACGGTGTCTGTAATATGATTAGAACATTAGTGTGAGGCAATGGCAGTATACCCCAGTTTATAATGATCATCCTAAAAGTTCTACCCTCAAAATACAGTAAATTGATAGCATATCTTTGCTTTATTGAAAATAACAACTCTATTCTTTCTGTATCCCAACATAACACTCGAGAGAAAGCAAATCACTTTGTCCAGGATAAGACAAAAATGTATAAATGACAGGAATTTATGTAAATTTTCCCTGTAAAGTCTAATATCTCAATCAGAAATAGTAGAGTTTCATTCCTATTGTTATATCAAACAGTATACAATGTACCTTGTTCTGCCCTTTTTCCTTGACTTGTGATGAGCTTCTAGTCCTTCAGTCATAGTACGCAAATCAGCAGGATTCATTTGAGTGAAAGTATGGTCACCAAACCACTTTACCCAAACCTAAAAAATAATGCATATTATATCACAACATCTAGCCACAATTAGACTTTTTTCTGGTTTAAAATAGACATATTCCTATTAGTCAAATTTGAAGAATCCAATGAAATAACAATATGAAGAGAAGTGTTTTGATGCTCAAAGCATAAAAAAATAGTCCAGATTAGGCAGAATATATATAATGACTTTGTCTAGAAATATAAATGATCTTTCAGCTAATCAAATCTCAAAAAGTGAGATATAACAAGACGTTTTGGAACTAGAATTATTTTGACTCATTAGTGACTAACACAATTACCCAAACTTAAATGAAAATCATTTTTTGGTTAAACATTGAATTATAAAGCATGCATTTACAAATCATTTTAAATTTACCTTTCCATCTGATAAAGGTGCCCTTTGCAGTAGTCCACGCACTTCAGAAGGCTTCACAATTTTTCCTGGCCAAGAAGGAAAACCTCTCATTTGACCCCATACTAAGTCACCAATCTGAAAACAACAGATTTTGGCTGTGAAAACCGATACAACAAAGCGAAACCATTTTCGATTGTTACATACTATAGTCTTTATTCGAAGACAATGGATTGATGTTAAAAGATTTTTTTTTGATTATTTAATTCAAAAAGTGTAATATGCTCCCTAATAAGTGAGGCTTGAAAATTGTGATTGATAAGCAAGGCATAATTTAGCTGCATAGTCCATTCAAATGAAAAAAAAAGTAAATTGAGATATAATATAGAATTTATAAATATGAAATTGTTCAGATACAAGACAAATTACCTTTACAATTCTTGTGGACTTTTCAGTGGTAGTACGGGAAATAGGTCTAAGAGTTGACAATACAGGTGTGCTAAAATATTAAAAGAAGAATGGTAATAAGAAAAGAATGGTGAATGATGTAATCTAACTATGTTTACAATGTCTGGAGGAGGACTTCTAAGTACCGTAATACTAACATCTGATAAGTGCAAAGTCCAAAACTAAAAATTTCACCATGACCTCATGGAAATAATACAAAATTAAATGGATTCTGGCCAAAGTTACCTAAGACAGATTGTAAAAAAAATTTAGATGATCTTGTGAATATAATTTACTATAAACCAGATATGCATATATTATATGAGAGGAAAACTGCACTAAATAGGAAATACAACTTTGAAATCTGCAATATTTGGGCGTTTTTTCCAACAAATTGCAAATAAATTTTAGCCCAAAATCAAAATACATCTCTAGCAAAAAAAGAAATTAATTGATATGTGGTTATATGGTCTGATATTACATATTATATAGCTAATATGAATGTTTTGTGTACTATTGAACTACTTATTGGGGTAATCTATTTCCACAATAATGACTTTGTTCTAAGTAAAGCAAATGTCTAATAATTATCAGATTTCATTATAATCAAAGTCCAAAACTTATTTTTACATGGGAACATTATGGTATGACACTTACGTATATTATATAGCTAGTCTAGAAAAAGTTGACCCAAAGTAACCTATGTTCACAGTGATAACATCTTCTAAGAGTGTAAAGTCCAAATTTCAGGACGTAATATCAGGCCACTTTCACCAGGGAATAAATATATGTTTATTTGAGTATCATATCACGATATCCATCAAACAGTGAATTAAATAAGTGAAATTGAGATGCAAATTCGATGAAACAAGTTCTGTAATGTTGTCAATACTAACTATATATAGAGTACTTAAACAACATAAATTAGACATTTGTATTATTATATTATCCAATGCAATTTTTGCCGTCAATAAACATACTAGAATATTTACTACAATATTTGTATAAAGGGTTCCCCCTGAAAAAAGATTTGAAACATATTCTAAAGACGACATATACTAGAGATAACTTTTGAGCAAAGCGTCCAAGAATACTGAAACTTTTGGGTAAATCATGCACAAACAAAAATTCGAGTGTTAAATACATTTTTTTCATTTTCGTAGAAGTAACAAAGAAATTTATGAATTCTGTTATTATAGGCAACCCTGTATGTTTATTCTGTGATATGCAAAAAGGCAGCTCTTGGATAAATTCAAAGCAAGATGATATGCGATAAGTTGAAGTAGTAATTGTGGCTGTGCACGACTGCTGCGTGAAAGTGTATGGGAATTAAATTTATTGGAAATGAAGTGGACATATGAACCGTTTTGTTGTTGCCAATATAAACGAGGCAAAACGTCACAGAATTGGGATTCCTGGTATGAAAACCTGACCGCGGGTAACCTCAAAATACATAAAAGTGGCCTGACTGAAGATCTCAAAATTTAATTCTAATAACAAAGGTCAAAGTCCTAAGTATCACACCATTAACTTGATTTTAGGTTTTGATCACCATTCTAGGTCTATTTTAAGACACTAAATATTATTGATCTCCACAATGATACCAATAATAAGCCCAGTTGATTGAAAAATGCGCCTTTTCATTTTTATCCATCTGTAACTGGGAAGACTTACAGTGCACATAGTGAATCAATTTCTTTGCTGTATACTCAAGTGATATCAAAAAGTTCAATACATTTTGTTTATCAAAGGCTGTGCCATACAATTACTTCATATGTTCTTAAGTTCAAGTTTTGACTGTTCAATGAAAGCATTCAGTGCCTGCCTTTGCTCAGCACAGGCAAAAAGGTTATGGTCTTTTAATTTATATACAGAATATCTATCTAAGGGCTAAAAAGGCTACATAGACATTTAGCTATTGGTACAAGCCAATGTCATTTAATTCTAAGCGCTCAGTGAGAAGAAATTCCACAAATAAACTCTTGGAAAAGACTTTTTGAGTAAAGATGAAAAAGTAATTACAATGTTTTAGCCTTCTAAGTTTTACCAATTGAGGATATCTGATAAATCTATATTTGTGATTAGTACAAGTTGTTTTTTAAATGTTGCGACATCCCATACATGTAAAATGTTTTGAAATTGCAAATTTTTGTATTCACAACCGCTTTCATTACCATATGTGTTTCTATCATATTCTTTAATTATTTACAAGTTTCAAAACACATTTTCTTGACAATCAGGTCGCTGTTAAATTTTAATGGGATATTGGGTAATACGGTGTTATTGCAACCTAGCTTATTTTCTGATCTGCCTTATTTGGTTCTGTTTATCCCAATAAAGAATAGGGGATTTCTTCCTGCTTCTGCTATAACTTGTCTAACCTAACCCGAGACGAATAGAATCCGATGAAAAAAAAATTAATTGTGGAGCAATAACAAAAAAGCACTGAAAATTCACCAACATGAAATAGTTTTGTTTAAAAAGCCTGTAAGAATGATTAATCAACAATTCGTACTGTATCTGAGATGATGTGGTAACCCTTTCAGTGATATCACCAAACACTTTTACTAGACCTATTTCACAATCTTAGGTGCTTATCAAAGTGTGCTTAATATGATTTAGTAATAGATGTTAGTTTATACAACACATAATAAATAACATTGATAGTTGCAAACATTGTAAAACAAATTTTAGATCGATTGCGCAATTTTATATGTCGAAATGATTAAGTTAACAGAGATTGGTTCAGATGGGTCCAAACTAGCACAGCAAGAGTCAGTTTATCTAGTGGGCCCAATGTAAATATTGCATTTTACTAATAGTGATTCATTCAATTAAAGGATAAATATGTCTGAGCAATGAACAATTGAATAAAATTCTGATGCTCTTTTATATTATTCAAAATACTAATTTACTTTATGAATTTATTCCCTCTTATAGAAATGCATAGGCTATATCATGATAGTTGAGACTTCCTTTAAGTATTTTCAACTTTGGATAAATTGTTCCATTTTCCAGCGAAATTATGATATCTATGCGACTCTAATTAGTATATATAAATCTTGATTTTTAGCAAACATATCGTATTTTAAAAAAATGTCAATTTTGCATACCTTTCAAGCAAAACTGTTTAAACAACTGACTCCTATACATATAAAATTATTGGAATTTACGGTATTAAAAATTTTACTATCCAAGTATTTTCATTATTCAAATTTTATTGTCCATTTAGTGGTTTACTTAGGGCAAACAAGGCTGTTTTAAATGCACTACTGTGATAAATAAAAGATGCATTTAATTTCATATTGCCATAAACACCATTGTGATCCAACACAAGTTTCTCTTTTGATCTATTGTGTTTTAGTCCTCAGAAGGTGATTGAACGCTTACAGCGCACACTACATAAAATATTAATACCTACAAAACATGACAGCACTAAAACTCATACCTAGATCCCGTTGACTGCCTTTTAGACGGTTTTTCAATCGAGGTGTCAGATATTGCACTACGCTTCATGTTCTGAAATAAGACAAAGAAAATAACTTTTGTGCGAAACTTCCTACATTACCGAAACTTTTGGGTACAATCATACACAAACAGAAGTTCAAGTGTTAAATAAATTTTCTTCATTTTCGTAGAATTAATTAGGATATTTGTCACCCTATAAATGTCATAATAACAAATTTGCGCAAGGCAACCTCAAAATATTTCATTATTTGAAAACCAAACATTTCCAGATTCAAAAACAATGATGGTATAATGATAAAGGGTTAAAATATCACATCTTTAACAATAATTATCCAGTGATGTGTAGTGATAGATTATATATACAACATTATCAAAAGAGTAGGATTTTTAAAACATTTTGAACCGGTCATAGGAAAGACTGGTCATGAATGGCACCAATCCAAAAACAGATAATGAGATATAACATGGCTCCAAATGATTTTTGAGGAAAAAGCTGAATGCCAATGCATAGCAAAGGACATGGCCAATTGGGATAAAACTCAACCAATTCAATAACCAGGCAATACCAATTGGTTATAAATTTTTCACGAGTAAAATAGTACAGTTACTTTAGACTGCTGCCTTGCCTGTAATAATGATTTTCTAGCAGATTCGAGATCAAATCATCAGCGAAAATATAGAAATAAAGTTAGTTGAATAAGTTTGAAACTGCAAGTATGCTTTTAAAAAATTCAGGTAATTTTTCCGCGAGTTGCACGCTTGTACTTGATTTACACAGATTTAAAAAAAAATTAAATGGAATGGGAAACAGAATTCGGTTATGGACAATGCTACTTGCATTGCTTGCAAAAGCATCTTTCAAATTTTGTGAGCAACTAAGGGACTCTGATCAATTCATCTAAATTGGCCAGGTAAAATTAAACCAAAGTAATTACGTTAATGATTAAGCAATGACAAGTGAATTGCGTGCCTACTACTTTTCAGAAAGTTTGACCAGTAATAAAATCGGCTCATAAGCATTGACAAATAGACTTAAAATAAATCATACGAGAACAATTGAAATCCAGTTTGACAATCGCAAACAAACTTTGCAATTGTGGAAACAGAGATGCAAATAATATTTGCTAATTCATTAGTAACAAAATGCTAATTTAGCATTTGGCAACTTCCTGGATATTGCATTGCAAAAAAATGTAGATCTGAACTTCAGAACTTTGATACCCCAATAGGGTGCGAAAAAGCTGTTTAAGAAAGTAAATAAATATGTACCGGTATTTCAGTTATCTATATGCAGTAATTAGAAAATTGGTGCAACTAGTATGGCCGATCACAGGCCTCGCAATAATGACTGTCTATAGATGGGATCATTGGATGTATCATATATATGGGTTGGCCATAATAAGATCAGAAATGACCTGATAGAAATAGAATGAATAGAAAATAAAAATCACTTTAGTATTCAAATTGTGTGGCAAAACTGTTCCAAAATACACTTACTCTTTTCGGAGCAGCATTCCGAGATCTACCACGCCTCTTTTCTACAACCACATTCTCTGTGTTGATTGGCTGATCAAAAGACTGCTCAATGTTGGTGGCATCAGTAACTAAAAAAGAAGCAAACAAATTAATCATAAAATCTTGATCTATTAAATATACCAAAAAAAGTGTGCAAATCAGATTTAAAATGTCAGGTTCGGCCTAAATTCCAAAAAATTTCAATAAACATAATAGATGCAGCGAAAGTTAGCATATGTAAAACATGTATGGTCAATGCCAGTGTTGAGTAGGCTCGAGTGTAATTTTCTAAACTCTAGTTGTACTTGAGTGACATTTATCAAAAATCATCTATAGAATGACCCAAACTTATCGGTACATCAACTACCGTAACTGCCAGCGAGACTTTACTCAGGGTTTAGGGACTTTTTCCCAACAGTGGGCAATATAGTAGAACAATGGGTCGCATCCCAAAACTGGGTCACTTGAAAACTCTTTTGGGTTTCTTTTTCAACAGAAACCTAAAAGTTATTGTCTCCATTTTCTAGTAAACTTTTGTATTTGGTATTGAAGTGTCGCTCGATAGTAATATCATAAGCGGGAGGTATCACAGCGCAAAAATTTGTAAGCATCTATTTTGTTTAAGTAAAGCCTTTTGCAGACTATTAATACTACATGTCGTTTGGCATGTAGTTGTAGAGTATATCCTTGAGTCACTATATTGTTTTACAAAATTAATATTTTACAAAATTTGTGTCGCTTGAAAAAAGAAGGTTGGGAACCACTACTGTAAAATATAATAAATTCTTTCACTTCAGCATATTGTTTGGTAACAATGCAAAAACGCCCATGCATCAAAACAGTATAAAAATCCATAAAATTTAGGATCATTGGCAAAGTCATATGCCATTCTAATAACATTATAACATACATAAGTCTGTGTAAAATCATACAGACAATATATCCAATGTACCATGGAAAGTAAGTATAACAATCACTCATGGACTTTGGACAACACAGGTGTTGTGTTATTGCTGTACATAAAACAACACAATGAAAAAGAACCAAGCATACACAATAAAGATAAAGTATCATATTCAGGTATTGAAAAGATTATAATTAATTATAATACAAAAGCAACCATACAATCAGGATTGTCCTGAACAATTCAATTAGATTCAAAATTAAATGTATTTCCCGTTTTATATTTTGTATTTGATGAATAATTTTGAAGAGGTTGATTTGAAAAATTATTACATTCATCAATTGAAGTTTTGCAGTATGATTGAAACGCCCTCGTTTGATTTCTGAATGCTGTAAAAACTGATAACGAATCGAATCACTGATTATCTTGCATTTTAAATTTAAACTACATGGTGGCCCAAAAATAGGATGCAGGTCATTTGAAAATATTCCTAAGGGGAACATAACTTTTGTGCAAAGCATCGTAGTTTACTGAAACTTTAGGTACAACCACACACAAACAAAAGTTAGTTTTATTTCCGAAAAAGTAATCGAAAAATTTATTTATTCAGTCTTTTAGGGTAGCCGCGTAATTTGATATATATCAACTACTTAACATGACCAAAATTCAATATTTTACTTTAAGGAATATCAAGTCATAACATAGTATGTATGATAGATTATTCAATTTAGGCCATTTCTACCTGGTTGTCTCGGAAAACTCCTTTGACATCAAATAATTTAGATACGCTGAGTATATTTACAATTGTACTCTATTGACAAGACAAATATTGACATCGGTTGACATGCGCACAGCACAACCTTCACTTTATTGTAAGTCAATATTTTATTTCTGCACGGACTTTGACTAACAAAAGTAATAAAATTTGTTCGTAACAATAAACAAGTATAACTTTTACCTTATATAGTCTCACAAAATCTAGTAGTGAACATTTGGGCATTTACGATGAACTTTCAATACAAAAAATAATGATTTATATATTTATGGAATGTTCTTGCATCTCTACTCTGCAGAAGGTTCTGTCTAAGCATCACTGATAAGGACCTACTGATGCTATGAATTTTAATAACTTGATTTATTAGAAAAGCCTGTTCTAACTATATATCAGAATGTAATTTATTTTTTTTAATTAAACTAAGCTAATTATAAAACGAAATGATTATCAAACAAGAAAAAAGTTAAAATTTAATATGATCCAAAAATGTTGGTTAAATTATACGAAATCCTGAAGAGGCAACCATTATCAATGGGCCATGCATATATAATATCATGATTACCTTCATTTCACTGTAGACAGAGATTATATGGCACCGTAAATTTGTTTTAATTAAACTAAGCTAATAATAAAACGAAATGATTATTAAACAAGAAAAAGTTAAAATATAACATGATCCAAAAATTTTGGGTAAATTATACAAAATCCTGAAGAAGGAACCATTATTAACGGGCCATGCATAAATGAATCATGATAAACATCATTTCACTGTTGACAGAGATTATATGGCACCGGTAATTCAGGAGTGTTTGATAATATATTATTCATGCTAACTTTGTTCTACAATGTTAATTCCTACGATCCTATTCCAATTGAGGCAACATTTCCCAACTTGGAAGTAATTTTGTAGTTTTTGGAGAGAAATTATGCTTTGTATTTGCTGTATTAATAATAATATTCTTCAGTTTTTTTATTGTAATGTAACGAAGTAATTTTGTAGCTTTTTTTGGGGAAAAATTATCCTATGTATTCGCTGTAGTAATAAGAATATTCTTCAGTTTTTTTATTGTAAAAAAGTAATTTTGTAGTTTTTTTTTTAGAGAAATTTTGCTTTGTATTCGCTGCAATATTAATAATATTCTTCAGTTTTTATTGTAACTATAACATAACACTCATTCATGAACACATATATAACAAACTACTTAAACTGCAGAAAAACGGGACATGTGACTGACGCAATACACTAGTAAATGATCCATTAAAGATTAACAAATGAAGTAGTTTTTATGCATAGTAAGGGAGGAATAAAGAGTTCCAAAAAAGAAACATGAGGAATTTAACAAAAGCATATTATGACACAACTTAAAGCTAAGTTATATATAGACTACTTAATTTCCTATATCCTGGTTAAGGGGGTGGGTGGGTTTATGGTTTACCAGTACTTGCTATTACATAGATGGACAAACCGGCAAATTACAAGCAATCACACAAACAATGACTACCTTACCATCATTAGAAGTAGAAACTTCATCTTGTACTGTTGACTCTGGATTATTTTTTTCAATATTTTCTACAGCTAAATTTTTCTCTCCTATTGTCATTTGACTCTCACTTTTGACACTTGAAGACACAATGGGAACTTGTAATCCTTGATGAGAGCAAGTGGGTGAAGCTTGTTTCGAAGTCATAACTGGTGATTTTTTGTTACTTAAAGTAGTTTGCGACGAATCAGCATCGAGAGACATAGTTGCTTGACTGGTAGATGGCTTATTTGAAATCCTAGAATTTGTCATAACGTTCGTTGCTTCCGTTGATATAATTGATGTAATATTATTGTCATTTGCAGGTGCTTGATCTTCAGACTTAGTCTCTTGGTTCATTGGTGCTGAAGAACTTGTGGATGGACGATCATTTATAACTCTGAAAATCAAAAATATTCAGTCATAAATGATCTTTAAGTCAATAATTTGTCTTCTCTTCATTATAAGGAAACTTGCTCAATGCCAAAGTCACACACTGACCCAGAAATATAGAAGATTGATCTCTGACTACAAAAATAACGAGAAACTATTGAGAGTATAATTCATTATATTGTAGGAGTGCCTTAGTGAATATTATTTGATGAAGGCTCAAGCATTTCATTTCTATTCCATCAGGAAATCAACCATAGAAAAAGTATTTTCTAATGATCAACACAGAATTTGTGTTCTGAATTTGGTGATGTTCAATCACAAAATTGATCAAATCAAATCCTAGATATAAGGAGAGCTAAAAAATCAAATTTAATCGCGGTTTTTAAATTTATCAAAGATAAACACATCCAGTTTAACTATCTGACAGTAAAATTGCTCAAAATGAAAATCTATTGAGATCCTGATGAGACATCTTTAACATGTGAAAACCATGCGTGCGGGTGCAAATGTACGCGGGTGCAAATGAACGTGGGTACAAATGTACGCGGTTGCAAATGTCCATGGGTGCAACTGTACGCGGGTGCAAATGTACGTGGGTGCGAATGTCTGTAGGTGCAAATGTCCATGGGTGCAAATGTACGTGGGTGCAAATGTACGTGGGTGCAAATGTACGTGGGTGCAAATGTCCATGGGTGCAAATGTCCATGGGTGCAAATGTCCATGGGTGCAAATGTCTGTGGGCGCAAAAGTCCATGGGTGCAAATGTCCGCGGTTGCAAATGTCCGCGGTTGCAAATGTCCATGGGTGCAAATGTACGTGGGTGCAAATGTACGCGGGTGCAAATGTCTGTGGGTGCAAATGTCCATGGGTGCAAATTTACGTGGGCGCAAATGTACGTGGGTGGAAATGTCCATGGGTGCAAATGTCTGTGGGTGCAAATGTCCATGGGTGCAAATGTCTGTGGGTGCAAATGTCCATGGGTGCAAATGTCCGCGGTTGCAAATGTCCGCGGTTGCAAATGTCCATGGGTGCAAATGTACGTGGGTGCAAATGTACGTGGGTGCAAATGTCTGTGGGTGCAAATGTCCATGGGTGCAAATGTACTTGGGCGCAAATGTACGTGGGTAGAAATGTACGTGGGTGCGAAGATAATGGAACCTAGTCTGGTTAACAGTCCAAGTTCACATGCATGAACAAAAGTTAACATGGATTTTCAACATTTGATTTACTATGGACATATAACGGTATACAGAATCTAATCCACAGTTTTCAATTCATATATGAAAATTTCAAATCCTCTCAAGAAAGAAAGAAAGAAGCTGTATCACTGACCCTTTTCTGTCAGTACTGACTTCTGATTCATCTGCAGAATTTGGCAAATCACTTTTAGATATTGATTCAGGTGTTTCCTTAGTATCTGAAAGTAAAATTATATTAATGTCCGTGGCAAACACATGACCCCAAATGTTCTAATCGAAATATCCATTCATAAAAAGTTAATGTAATGAATAAAGACTCAGATGTAAACTATGCGTTTCAGAAATGAAATGAACTGCTTTCCGTCCTGCAATAATTTCATGGAGAATGCTTCAATAATGCAATCTATGGGGAGATGCCTCCAAAACGAATTGAATATTTCGATAAATTTCGAAAATTGGTACTATTCGATTTAGTAAATACATGAGAAAGAGTGATTTTATCATCACAATAATGATTTATGCAAATTTCTGTGTTTAACAGGATCCAGTTTAGAATAAAATAAATATTGCATTTTTAAAAATATTATTTTAGACTGCATTCAGAATAGTGTCTGATCATCCCTGTCCATGAGAAACCGTTAGTCAGCTGGAATAATAGACTTCAAAATATTTGAATAATTATTTACTGTATCATCTTGTGATAATCCGAGTTTTGCATACTGAAAATCAAGAGTATTGGTGATTAACAAACCTGCATTTTCTTGTGATGAAGATATTTCAGTTCTGCTCGGACCAGGAAATGATTGAGAACGATTGAGAAGTGTAGATGGATTAGACTGAAGCATGTTCATCTGCAAAAATGATACCAGGCATTATTGCAAATACAAACTTTGAAATAGTTTAGTCTCAAAAACAGTAGTGAGTGTCGTTTTGGAGGAGGGGGAGTCCCCGTAATTGAATAAACATTTTTACTTTACTGATATCAGTAAAACCTTTCAAATTGATCGATGGGACTACTGGTACAATTCTGTGCTTTGAAAACACATATTGGACATTTCTTTCAACCTAATGCCTTTTTGTACAGAAGACTACGTCCCCACATTCAGATCGTATAGAATGTAGATAGTCCTGACATAAGAAACGAAACATTACTTTACTTCTTGTGTTCTCAATTCTAATTAAAAACTAGAAAAATCCTTTTGAAGGTCCTGATCTCCCATTGAATTGTTTACCAAAATTCACTTTAACTAAACCAAGAACCAAGTGAAAGAAGATTTGGATTATGCTGAATTAGGTTCAATATCAAATTTTGTTAAAGAAATTGTGAATTTATTAACGTGTTTACATTTCAAGTCTGTAATATCTTTTTTCTGATATGTTAATAATTTACTTTGAGATTGAACCAGAAAAGATTGAACCACAAAACATAAGGCAGTACAGATGTTATCGTTTTATAGACAAACCGCAGTTTTACATTTTCCTTTGAATAAAATACAATAACCATCAAAATTTTTTTGGTTAATGAGCTTTGTACAGTAACCCAATACTCCTTACAAAAATTGCGTCTTTTGTATGGACAAGACCCCAATCTGAGCACCGGTGCACCTTACAACCCAGTGTGCCTTATGTTTCGTAAAATATGGTAAATATGCAAACTATTTTGTATCCTCTTTTTCATAACAAAATATTGAGCTAAACTGTGGCTGCAAGTAATTATACAGCAGTTCAGAAACAAAAACGCAATAAATAAAAACCTCTTAATGATTAAAATTGGGAATCAAATGTGAATATAAATTTTCTAATTACGGATTTCAATAAGTTCTGTGATGGGATGCAGAACCTGTGCGAACCCATTCTTAAAATGTTGTTATATTTGGCAAACCCATTTGCCATTTTTTCATCTTAGGTGTTGGACGTCGCTTCGAAGGTTATGCATTAGTTGTAAAATGTGTCACGTTAATGTACCGTATTGATACTACATTATTAATTATGACGTTTAAGTTTAAGTTAAGTTGTTGTTATCGTGTACCTAATGTTATGTTGAGGCCTTATATTGTCAGATTTATAAGGTGGCATGGTTTCGTAAAACGTGAAAACATGTCGTTAATGAGTTCGATACAAAAGAGAATCTGCTCCGAAAATTTTGAATCCACTAACTGGAAAATATCACTAACCTGCATTGAATTCGTAAAAAGAGCTGAAAACATTTTCATCTGTTGTTCATCAGGTTTATTGTCTGTTGAAGCAAGCTGAGCAACTGCAGCAGATTTTGTCGGACCAACTCCAGAAACGAGCAAATTTTTCAAAAACGTATTGTAACTTGAAAGTTGTCGAATTACAGTATCTGTTAGTTCTGGCGAAATACCCACAGTTGCTGTGGAAGGCAAGGATGTTGGTAACTGGTTGTGTGTCATTCTTTGGGGATCCTCGACAATCTTTGATGTAATTTCGGTATTCGGAACTGTAGATGATTGCGAGGAAATGTTTATGACAGTACTTTCAAATGTTGTCTTCTCTACTGATTTTAATGTAGGTAAATTTAAATCCGATTTTCTATCGTTATCTTCAACTTTCTCTTCTTCTTTAGTTTCAACCACAACTTCTTTTGGACCTTCAAATTCTTTTGTCAAATCTTTCAGTGAATCCTGATCCTTTAAGTTAAGAATAGATTGTTCAGAATCAGGTTCTGTTAATTGGGAAGTCGGTGGTTCCAAATTAGCTTCCTCAACCTTGTGCATTTCCATTTTCTTATCATCACACAAAAGAGTTTCACTTTCAGGCTGTGTTTTTGAAGCACTATGAACTAAATCCGGGGAATGAGTATTATCTTCTTGTGGAGTTTCCAGAACTTCAGTACTGGAATCTCCATCATTAGATATTACAGTTTGCATTTCAATATTATCTTTCACCTCGTTATTCACGGTCGGCGTCAGACTTAGTGTAGCCTCATCTAATAAAACTGGTATTTCGGTCTGAATTTCAGTATCTTCAAGTTCAACACTTTCATCATTCGTATCCGTTACTGAATCGTCTTCAATTTTTTCGGTTTCTTGAAAACTTGATTCAGTAGTATTGCTACATCCAACCACATCCTCTTCTGGTTTTGATGTTTCCGTCAAGTTACTTTTTAGTGTGTGTTCTATAATTGCATCTACATTTATATTGCTTGCTTCCGACATTGCATCATCCATTATATATTTAGTTTGTGAAACGCTTGCGGTTACATCAACAAATTCAGGATCTTGTATCATTTCATCGTCTTTGTTCTCTGTTACGATTTCACTATTAGTATTAGGCATGCTTGACATTGCTGTATGGGTCTCAGTATCTTTAACAATAGGTATTGATGGAACAATCTTATTGTCATTTTCTAACAATGTATTGTCAATTTCAAGATTAGTATTATTTATACTATCTGTCACATTTTTGGGAGATGAATCCTCAATTTTTTCTACATTTATGTCTTCATTTTCAGTTCCCACTACCTTAGGTTTGTTATCTTCTTGTGTCTTAGAATTCTCAGAATTTTCTAAAGGTTTTTGGTGACATTTATCACTAATGCTTGATTCTTGGTTGACTATGGGTGTAATTGTAGACTGAACTATCATTTCAGATTTTGGTTTTTGAGAATCTGTTGAAGAAGTCAGTGAAGAATTTTCTTCAATTTCGCTTATAGTTACAACAGGCTTTTCACAAACTAATTCAGTTTTTACAATGTCCGCCTCGGAAATTATAGGTTTGTCTTCATCATGCATAGGTAATTTCGCACATTCCTTACTTTCTTGTATAGAAACAGGCGCAACATCATCAATAATCTCAGTTACAAGTTTCTTGTTAGAATTCCTACCATCTGTTTTTAATGTTTCAAATTCTGCAAACTTTTCAACTTCAGTACTTGGGTTTTGTGATGCGAAAGTTTCAGCTTGATACTCAGCACTAGTTTGAATTTCAGTTATCTTTTTTTCAGTTTGTGGGACTTCACAAGAAGCATTGGATTGAATATTATCATCTATATCCATATCGTCTTTTTCAGAACAGGCAATATTGTTACAGTTTGCCAATCCAGCTTCTTCAGGCAAGTTTTCTGCAATATTGGTAGTTTTTAAAATTTCTGTTTCAATTTTCCTTTCCTCTGGTAGTTCTTCACTCTTTGATTCATCAAATCCTTTTTCATGCCTTAGTTCCTCATCTGAATCATATGGGATATCAGATTTTGAACTTTTAGTTCTCCTATTTTTCTTTGATTGGTTTAATATATCAATATTTTTATCTATTTCAAATATTCTGTTATTCTCCGTTTCTATATTTGGTACAGATGGTGGAACAATTGAACATGATTCAGGTGTAGCAGAAATCCTTTCAACAATATCAGGAATAGGTAAAATTTCCGCTATTGAAGTAACAGGAGAGGAGGTCTGTGGTGATTTTTCTACAGAATAATTTGTAAAAATATCATTTTCTGAAGACGACGTCGATTCCAGTTTTGTTACTGCAACAATATTTTTACTTGATTTAATAACCTCTGAACTGCAAGTCTCAGATACTGAATCAACAATGGAAGTCTTGGGTGGATTTTCCACAGAATGCTTCGTAAAAGTAACACTTTCCGAAGTCGCCGGCGATTCCAGTTTTGTTACTGCAACAATATTTTCACTTGATTTATTACCCTCTGAACTGTGAGTCTCAGACACTGAATTAACAATGGAAGTCTGTGGTAGATTTTCCACAGAATTCTTCGTAAAAATTGAATTCGATGATGATTCCAGATCAGTTACTGCAATCATGGTTTGACTGGTTGGACTTGCAACCTCTGAATTTGGATTCTCAGCTACTGCAGTAACAACGGAAGTGTGCAGTGAATTTTCCAAAGAATAATTTGTTGTAGTAACACTTTCTGAATTTGACGTCGATTCCAGTTTATTTACTGCAATAATGTTTTCATTTGTTGAACTTGTTTTAATGATAACCTCTGAACTCTTTACAGTTTCATCGCCAATAATTTCGCTTGATTTTATAGTTATATCAGTTGCTTCGGAATTATTTGATGAAATTTGTGATTTAGCTTCTGGGACTGAGACGGAATATAAAGCACGTATTGAAGATGGAACATCTGCTGATATTGAATGCATGATATCATTTTTATCACAATGTGTAGAGTTTGTATTTCCATCCGATACATTTGTGACAGAAGATATTTCACTGATCTTATTATCACTAGTATTTGACGTAGAAGAAATAGTCATTTGTGAAATTATTTCGGTGGATGATGAAGAACTAGAGAAACCCATCTTTGTTTGTTTTTCAGCAGCAAAACTTTCACTTTCTTTCTGGATATAACTTGGTGTAATTCGACTTACCGTTGCAAGTACATTCACAGCCTTGAACTCAGATTCAATTTCATTGTCAGAAACATTGGAAGCCGTTTTGTCAGCTAATAGTTTCACACCTTTAGATGCTCCTGGCAAATCTGTCGAAACTGAATGAGATTTGAGAATAGTACCAGGACATTCGGTCGTCATTTTACTGCTTTTTTGTGCTTCTATAGGCGGTTTTAGTATCCTTGGTATTGCGGATGAACTGAATACTGGAATAGGAGATTCGCTAATGGCCTTGGGAGATAAAAATTCAAGTTTATGTGTTGACGAAATGATAGACGTTGGTAATTTATAAGGTTCAGCCGTGATATTACTTGATTTTCCGGTAGTGGTTTTTGTTACAATCGGATAAGGTGGAATCGAGCATGACGAAGTTATAATTTGTGACGTGATAGATCTAGATAATTCTATGACACTGTTGATTGGTAAAGGCTTCTTCATTTTAGCGGAATCACTTAGAGTTTGAGTAAGGGGAGTAAATAGCTTATAATTTGAACATTGAAAGGGTAGAACATGATTTTTTCTGTCAGTGCATCGTGAAGTTGGCTTGTATGGAGGATACGGATCAGACCATATTCTTTTTCTTGGATCAGTTTGAATTGAATCAGATGAACCATCGTCACTAAACCTCCTCGATGTTTGATCCTTTCGTGCAGGTACTTGAAACACCTTCCCAGTTGATGACACAAGATGTGTATTGTCAGCACGAGGCCCAGAATGTGTTACAGGAATATGCTTTTTGTGGGGATCAAAAGTCTTTGTATTTGACTGCGTGGAACTGAGGTTATGCATATTATCATCTTGAGCAACTTCTACCTTAGAAGCAACTTTCATGTCTACAGATGAAGTCATTGTCAAAGACATTGTGCTTGGTTTCGTTTTTTCTACGCTTAATTTTCCATTTGACGTTGATGGATATGGTGGAGGAGCAGAAATGGTCGTGTAAACATTACCAGTTGTACAGACAGGGAATTCAAACACGGCTGATACTGGACCCGCAAAGTCTGAAAAATCGTCATCATCCGCTCCTGTGGCCTCCTCTAACAATAATGTTGGTGAAAGTACAGGTAATGGTGGTGTCATTACTCCTCTACCAGAATCTTTCCCAGCATGGTCCAGCTGTTCAACACTGTGTGTATGTGCAATTGTGCTACTTGGTTTTGATATTGAAATAGTCATTCCCAAAGGATTTTTCAGAGTACTTCCTTTGCAGACTGGAGACAAATGAGATGGACGTAGATTGGATGGCATTACAAGATTAGGCATTGATCCATCTACTGGTGCATTAGAGGTGGCAGAAAAACCAGGGTTGGAATTCATTTCACCAACAGAACCATAATTTACATGCATGGGATTGTTTGTAATATTGGAATCCATAAATGGTTTGACAGAAGTGGGAGATGGTAACGGATTATGATGAGGTTGAAAGAAATCCGAAAATTCATTTGAAATGATGTTAGAACTGTTAATACCAGGGAGTGATTCAGTTTTAGTAGCACTGATTTTAACTTTAGAAGTTTTGCGTTTTCTTTGCCTCTTCGGTTTGATTGGTCGGACATGATGTTGCTGTATTCCCTCCATTCCAGGATTAATATGCCCAGGATGTGTGACATCAAACTGTTGAAATTGACCTTGCATTGATGGACGCAAATTTGGATTGTAAGAATTCCATTGGTGATCGAAAGGAAAACGTTGCTGATTCATCTGTCCTTGCATCCTAACAGCAGATGGATTAAATCCCTGTTCAGCGGTGTTTATATGAAATCGGTTAGTGTTAGGTTCATTTATTCTCGCAAATTGTATTTGTTGTGGTCTGTACGGTGGGGTAGGACGAAAGACATTTTGTTGGTTAAATCCTGCAGAACCAGTAAACCTTTGCGTATCTTGCAATTGTACGTTAAATTGATTTGTCTGCATGCCAGGTTGACGATGGAATTGTTGGTGCATATCTGAAATTGCATTTCCACGAAAGTGCTGTTGTTGAGACTGATGCGAAAAATTTTGCTGTGGATTCATTAATCGGTTTTGATTGAACCCTTGTGGAAGTCCGCCTTGTGGTCTCATAGATTGCGGCATCTTCGATGGAACGACATTCTGTGGCAACTTTTGAGAAGGAGAAAATGGTGACAGAGGACTTGGAGACAATTCAGAACCACTGCCAATAGTACTCGGAGGTCTAGAGTGAAATGAAGCAGGATTTGTAGGTCTTGTACTCCACTGTTGCATCGGTATTGCACTGGGATCTTGTTTCGGTGTTGGAATTGAACTTGAACGACTATGAGGCCTGGAATTGTCTGAATTATATCCCATTCTTTGTCCCTGCCAGGTACCATGGGGTGGCAAAGGACTCGGAGTGGGTGTTCCCATACTACTTGATCGACTGTTTGGTCGATTGCTGTATGGAGATGGTTCTGTTCTACTCCCAGGACTACAAAGGGGAGCATTAATTCCAGGAGTTCCAACCGGGTGATTAAAAGGAGATGCTGAATGGCATGAAGGTGGGGAACCCATAGGAAATTGTTGTGTACCAGCTTGTCTCATTGGAGGTGAATTCAATGTTGCTCCCCTAGGCCTCATAACGGCAGAAGATCCGAGTGTCTGTAAGTTTCCAGGTGTAGGAATAGTCCTTTGCCAGTCCATGCTTGTATGCCTTGGTTGACCTGAAAACGCAACAACCATTATTATTACTTGTTCATTAAATATCATAAAGAAGGAAGAACAATTTTAAAAATGATCGGTCCAAAATTAGTTGAAAAAAATTAAAAAGTGTGTTCTCGATTATCAGATGCAAGTTAATTTTCGATAGAATCAAAAAAGTATTTGTTTTAGATTACCTGACTGAAAATTAACAATATTTTGTTGATTTTGAGGCCAATTTGACACGTTTGGATGTTCATTTGAAAACATATCTTGTCTCGTGAAACCTTTATGCTGAAAAAATCTTGGCCTGTTGGCAGGTGCCGAGAATGACATAGAATGCTGCACAAAACAAACATCATGTAATTAATAGTTGTCAATATATAAAAAGATAAATAACATATACCTTATAATGGGATGAAGATATTGTCTGACAGGGATAACGTGATACCATGGAAAAGCTTTTTACACGATAGTGTGTGTACCAGGTCAGGGCTAGGCCATAATTTGATTCCGATTTTCCTTATTTTAGTTCTAGCCAAGTGAATATACCTGTAACCCCCTGTACATAGGTTTCAGTCCCTTTACACAACTTGATGCAAAGTAGGCGAACAAAATTATTTACCTCCACATTGGTACACACACTTCTGGGTCGCCGAAGATCATGCATTAACAATGATCCTTCTTTTGGCATAACATACTGCCATAAGCAGTTTATTGAAGAAAATGACAACTCAGGGATCTGCTTACAGATGAGCACTTGCAAGCTCAACCACAATTTACTAAAATTTATTGAGCTGTTTGATGGTCCACCATCAGTGTCACCAAAATTTAGGTTTTGGTCCATTGCAATAAACAGTTGCAGTTGATCTCACCAAATTGCATGAAACGAGAATATCGGTTGGAGACTGCGATCTTACTCCATAGTGACACCGTGTGTCACATCACTAATTAATTAATAACTTACTAATTATACGACATAATTCATCCAAACTCAATAGGCTTTTGGTCCGAGATATGACGAATGCACATGCAAAATTTGGAGGAGATTCAACTTCGCTTTCGTGAGATATCGAGTAACATACGAAAGTGTCTAACAGACAAATATCTATCAACATACTTACCGATCTTAAGATCGATAAGTAATGAGATTCATGAAAAGAATCAGAAAATGAAAAAACCTATATACCTGAGTATCTTGCTCAGACTTGACATTCATATATGAATATCTAGGTAGTTGTTGTTGAGCAGAATATCTCGGTGGAACTTCAGATTTAGAGACAAAATTTGTACCAGGAAATGCACTCATTCCAAATCTATGAAAAAAGTAATGATAGCTATTATTGAACATGAAAAAATTATTTAACTCAAAGTATTGTTTCATAATAAGAAATTTAAATCAATTCATAATCTTCGAAAGGCATAAAAAAGAATGATGAGAAGACATGAAAAGCGTATTGGGCACTTTATAATGTTTTCTATCATGTATCTATATGAAAACTACCACTATTATAAAAGCGCCCACCCCTCAAAAAAACAAAGGCCTTATCATTTAGAACATAATTTCTAGATTACTGAAACAGTACAAACATACAAGTTTGAGTGTTAAATGAATGTTCTTATTTTCATAAATTCCGTTTTTTTGAGATTACTATGTAAAGCATACATAAGGGACATCACAGGATTACATTTGTATAATAATATATTTAAAATGTAATAATAATTTGTATAATCTTCAAATCACGGATAGTCCCATTCTGTTCAAATAAATCAAAACAAATCTATTTTCTTTTTGCAATAATAGGTTTAGAAATCTTTGGGAAAAAAATATTCACCTGTGAACGGGTTCAACTCCCATATGCATTGAAGGTAAACCCATTGATGGTGCATTTGTATTATGCATGAACATTGGGCGAGTATCTGAAAACAAATCATCTTATTTTAGATAGAACGACCGTTTTATTGTGAAAGTGAGGAAAGATGAGAGCAGGGGTGGGTATTAGTCCCTACACCCTGAGCAAGTTTGAATCAAATCGCTGAGTTAGGTCTCATTGGTGATTAGTTGATTAAGAATCCGAGTTATTTGGTAAATGGTAACTCGTTTCTTTGTTTGGTGAATAGAGACACGAGTCTAATTGGTTTCGAGTTCATGACTCGAGTCTCCCCACATGTTGATAGTACTGTATATTAATGTGGTGGACCAGGGATTCGCATTCAGTTACCGGTTCGAGTCCAATATTGGACCAGCTTGCGAATTATTCATTCCAGATATATGGACGTAAGTACTAAATCTCCCAAAAACAAAACAAGACTGTAAAATGCGAAAATTGGATGGTTAAAATAGGGTATATATCTAAATGTTATGTGTCGGAAGGATGGACATATGGTCATTTGGTCACCATAAATCAAAGTGTAAAATATCTGGTAGGCTCTGCAAATAAAAAAAAAACTCAACATTTAATGTTGCTCTTCATTACGATTATAAAAGGTACTTTTAGGTCTTTAACTTTCATAAATGTAAATGTATCAGTATGAATATAATTTAATATATTATGGAGAGGCAAATTTCCAAATAAGAAATATATTTATATTTAAGAAATATATCAATCACATACCTTGATGCTTATTAAAGAGTGTAGAAGTTGGCGATGTGAGCTGGGGAAATGACATTGGCGGAGACTTCTTGAAATCTGAATGCAAAAATATACCTGCTTAAAAGTTGCAATGATAAAAATTGATTCATTCTATAGAAAAGTAAAAATCAAAATACCACCTTAGAAATCTTCAGATTATTTCGTGGACACAATCACATGATTATATAAAAAAATGGAGATCACACGCAGCATTACAGGTAATAATGAGATAATATTTCAGGTATTGAAAATTGTTATTTATTATGATTTTATTTTAGAAAATGTGGCGATGATCTGGGCAGGAGTTTGTAAGCAGCTTCTCAGAAATGTGCATATGTCCCGCTTTTAGCATACTTTACTGTAGTGACATTTTTGAGATACCCGCTTGTAAGCAAATCTCACCAAGACAGAAAAAAAAACTACATTGTTTATGCTCAAAAAGTACTATTGTTGTTGGAATATTGTATAAAGAGCAGTTATCATATGCATGTTTGCTGATAAATAAAAGTTTACATCTTTTATTTCTTCAGAAATCAAAAATTTACTATCACTTAATAATTTTTGTTATACTAACTAACCAGGACTGAAACACAGTTCATTTCCACTTTCTGAGTCATTATGTGAAAGTTCATCATCAGCCTTTATCCATTGTAATTTGAAATCAGTCTTTGAAGCATCAGCAGAATTTTCAGTTTTTGTTGCTGACCTTGCTGCATTCTGAAACAGGAAATTACAGATTTGGTATTGAGGTGTGCTTGTACTGCAATTTGAGAAAAAAAAAACGAAACAAAAACCTGCTAAAAAGATAAGTGGTATCCATATTTTTGAATAGATTGTCTTATTAATTGCAGTTTCTAAATGATTTAAAATAAATTTATATTTTTAATCCCATATATTGTCAATTATTGATATTAGAACAGTTTCATGCTCTAAATCTAAATAATCATTTTAAGAAATTGAAAATCTAGCAATATGAAGTAAAATGGTTTCTTTCCATTCCTGAAAACTGTGGGAAAAAACAGAAAACTAATCAAATCAATTTTTCTCATCATGCATTTACAAATATAAACTCATTTATCACACATACAATCCTACATGTCCTCTGTTGAACATGAACCAATTTAGAACATACTACATATTGGTAAATTAAATATTATTGGACAAAATTTCTGCAATCACAATCATTGCTATCTGGTGGTCAGACAGAGTTGGGAAGAATACAGTACCGTTAGTCTACTGTAGTAGATTGCATTCCCTGCTTCCCCTGCTCAGTACAATGAATTATACGATTTCTTACCTCAAAAAGAGGAGACTTCAGAGGAGAAATAGCTGAATTGCTCCTTGATAATGGTGTACCTGAAAGGAAATCATAAATAATCCAAATTGTACATATGACAAACCAAACACCCTGTAATATATTGTAGGCCTATTAGCGAATCCTTCTTTATCCTATAAATCATAATAAACATATATGAAATGTAATACTATCTCTGAGATCATAAGTATTTTACCACGCTGCATAGTGTAGATCAGGGACGTCCAACCCATGGCCCGCCGGCCATATGTAGCATTTCGAGTGGTCTGTACTGTATTTTTTCGGAATTTAATAAAAAAAAAATTGAGTGAAATTATTTTTCGATTGATGTAGTATACAAAGATGTGATACAAACGATTTGTTCATTTTCCTGAAATGCGCTCTGCCAGCCTTTTCAAACGAGCCATTAGGGGCCATTTTTAATCGAAACCAACTGGGATACATAATTGATACATAAAGATGCCATAGTCGCTTACACACTCGGTCTTTTACTACTCTATATGATGTTATCGCAAAAGAATCGAAGTGTTGAAGAGCTCGGGAACTCTATAGCAGGAATTTTAATTGCAAAGGCGCGAAAAGTGCTTGACGAAAGCACTGACATCAAGTTTACTGCTCAGTTGGCGACTTGGCGATCTTCTTTCGGGGAGTTAATGATGATGAGACGTTGGCTTGTTAGGAGCTGTTATAAAAATGATCAAGCGTCTTGGCTTGTCTTTGGCAAAACTTTCGGGAATAACCATTGATGGCGCCATATCAATAGTTGGAAAACAACAGTTTTATTGTTCTAATAATTGTGAAACTTCGGTGTGAGGTTATCGTTTGTTTTTTCATTAGCCTGTAGCAAAACTAGAACATAACTACCATGTTAAGTGGCCCGCGCAATTATTAGTAAATTACATGTGGCCCTTCGGCCAAAAAGGTTGGATGTCTATACCGAAACCTTTTTGCTTTTGTTTGCTTTTAGATTGACAAAAAATATACTCCATCTCTTTTAGTGAACAATATTAAAGTGAATATTATATGATATACCAATTATATTTATCATTTTCTTCATACCTGAATCTGTTAAAGATTTCTTTATTGTTAATTTTTTTTCTTCCTTCTTGACTGTAAAATCATATTGAATATAATAGTTAAACAATATCTACAAAGTAAGAAAAATAAAGATATGTACATGAAGGTCACATGACAGAATAGTGTTGTGGTGGAAAGCAATCTTTTTACAACGAGAACAACCCCAACAATGAGAATTAAGCAAAGTGATCTGTAGCTCCATTGTGTGTCCAATATAGTCACATTTTATAGAGATGAATCGAACAGCTTGCACAATTTAATTGCCTATTTCAAACTGAATTCTTAAATCACAAAAAGGATGAAAGAAACATAAATAGGGCAAGCGAGAAATCAAAATAGGCCTTACTGGCGCGGGGTTGAAATCCATTTTGTAAAAATCTGCTACTGACAAATTGTCTCTTACTTGGTATAAGAGAACAAACAATACTGTAAACTCCACTTGAACAAAAATGATGCAAGATTGAAATTTAAGTCATATTTACTTCAAATAAAATTTTTCCTTCATATATTAATCCTGAGCATACCTGACGTTACTGCTGACTTTTTGTTGTCTGGGATAACCGATGTAAGTTGGCCATCTTTTCTTATAATGATCAGTTTTGGAGGAGGTTCTGATGATACTTCAGCATTAGATGGTACTTTTTTTCTTACTAAAAATAAACATAATCTTGCTTTTTAATAATAGAAGACTGTAATCTAAGCCAACGTGTACCTTTTTTACCAAAATACTCAAGATATAAATTAAGATAAGTTATGTTAATAAGATATGAGTGATATTAGTATGTAATAAATGCTGAGAAATTGGTACTCCTGTGGTATGCCAACCAAGATGGCGGACACCGAAACGTAGTATGTGTACCAGGTTAGGGTTCGGCTATAAATTAAGGTACAAATACTACACGAGTCACGAACTCGTAATAGAACTAAAATAAGGAAAATTGGAATAAAATTATGGCCTAACCCTAACCTGGTACACATACTACGTTCCGGTGTCCGCCCTCTTGGTTCGCATACTACAGGAGTACCGAGAAATGTATATTTACAACAATAAAATTATTACAATTTGGGGTTCGAATCCCATGCTGTACATATCAGTGGCTGCTTATACATCAACTTGTTTGGAGGGAAAAGCATCGAAAAAAAATTACATTTTGACAAAATAATTCAAAAGTTGCTTTCATGTTGCTTTCGATTCACAAGATACTGGTAATGCATTTACCTATAACAGTTTTTTGTAGCTTGTTCCAATGTTGACAATTTTTCTTGTGAGATTCAGTCTTGTTTTCATGCAAACTCCATTCATTCTTTGTCATATTAATTGACCTCACATTGGGGTTGAAATTGAAAATCTTTGAAAACAAATTAAAATTAGAATCATTGTGACTGAAAAAAAATTTGTTCTATTTTGAATCTGAAAAACAACGACTTTCTTTGAGTATTTATGTTAGATGCAGGGTGACAACAAAAAAAGAGAATCCATGTAATTTGGTACATATTCCAGAGAAAACTAGAGAGTTCTAGATTAGTGAAACTTTCGGATACAATCATGCACAAACAGAATTTTTGGTTTTTTTTTTTGGGGGGGGGGGGGGGGTGACACCATATAAAATCAATTTTCAGCGTAATGATCCAAACTTCATATACCACTTCGTTCAATCTTGTACTACTAAGTACTCATCAACACATACGGTAGTTAAAAAATTTGCAAATATCTGCTATGAACATCATACTATGAACATTAAACAATTATTTTGCAACCATCCATTCATTTCTGTAGCTTCACCTAATTATGGCCTTGATATTGACAAACTGGCTTAAAAAAGCCTTTTCATAGAATTGGAGCCAGATTTGATTTTTCCTGAATGAACTTACAGTATATCAGCACCTATAAGTATGAGGCATATGGCAGGAACTTTAAACACCATTACTTGCTGTTACACGCATACCTTTGGAACATGAAGTGGACATTGCAAACCACATTTGCAAGTATTATTGTTTTCAAGATATTGGCAAACTGCTGCAATGCTCGATAGTACAACTCCTGTGGGACTGACATAGGTGACAATGCTGTTAGAGGCATCAATTCTCCTGAAAGTAATACAAACAGAAATAAAATACACAAAAAATTCTTTTTCACTAATACAATAACCAGGGATATCCAAAACGAACCGAATATTCGAATACATTCCAAATTCAATCTGTCAAATTCGGTTTTTCAAACTGTCAAATTAGATGTTAGAATCTTGGGTGTCGCAGCTCGTTAACCAGTTTTGGTTCCCCCCGGCTTCCCTTCCCTGGTAATGTAAATATCATTTTTCTTCATATTTTTGCATGTTTTTTTGTTTATTACTGGTTGGAAAATAAACTTGACTTGACTTTCATTATATTCGATATAGTAAGTTTTTGAATTTAGGAATAATTTGGAACATTTTCATTTGAAAACTGGGGATTTTGAGCCGTCACACAAGTAGATCACACTGTATAATATCTCAAGTGGTAAGAAACAATAAAGATAAAACAAAATATTTTTCAGAATGTATTCGAATTAAAAAAATATTATTTTCGATATTCCTGACAATAACTATGATTCTCATTCAAATAAATTCAAGCATTAGTATGCCAGAAGTCATTTACAGCAAGATTATAGCAGTCATATTATGAGTAAGATATAAAGTTCAATCAGCAAATACGGTATGAACTGTAGGCGATAAAATATTTGCTTAGCACCCTTATTGTTGAAATGTTTAGTTATGATTCAACTTGACCCGGTCAATCTACAATGGTCATGAAATAATTAGAATTTGTTATTACCTTTCCCATCCAAATGGTATAACAATGCCACTGTTCTTTGACATTTTGATGATCGAGTGAAAATATCTTCATAACTCCAACTCATTCAAAAATACTTTATTCAGTTGTTATATTCTGGGATAGTTTATTAATCAGTTACATTAATGATGGAATTCATAAAAAATTCAAATAAAATACGTTAATATTATTAGAAAAAAATAAAAATATTGACTACATTATCCCTGTATCTCAGTACCTGGTTGCGAGCATCCTATCCTTTGACTGATGCATAACATTAGCGAACATGCAACATAGCGAAATATGAAAAACAAAAATTGAAAACTAGGGTCTCATCTAGTGTGATTTGACATCAGCATCGCTCACAGACAAATAATAAAGAGTGCCCACTGCAATGCAGAATATTCCGACGTACCAGCATTTTTGGTAGCCAAGACTAAAGGGTATAAAAGTGGCATAGCCTGGAGAAATAAAGTCAGCTAAAGCTCATGGAATACAAAATTTATACGGTAACTAACAAATTGAAATCCTTGTACTGTGATACTGCAGTACTGTCTGACTGTGACTTCAGTACGGCACACTATACAGATAAAGCGACATTGTCTCGTTTCGGAGGACGTCTGGACATTGTTGTCCCTCAATATCGGTAATAATACAGTATAATGAAGTTGCGCAAAATAGGCTACTACAAAAAAGCGCAATCTAATAACGTCATCATTGAATTCCTCTAAAAAAATTAATCCAATTTACAAAAGGGAAATTTTTTTTACCGTGGCATTCGAGAGTTTTTAGCAAAAAACGGCAATTTTGGTCTCGTGACGGCCATGATTAATTTAGATTATTATTGTGACAAGCCCCTAGTTTGCGAGACACATGGAGTGTTTGTTTTATTGAGCCAAATGGAGGGAAATTCTTGGAGTTTGGATAGTGTGCCCTACTGGACTTGGACTCTTTCTCCGAAGTAAATTGATAAATGAATAAGACAATTTTAGTGCTGTTAGGGTGGTTTAGCCACTTTGCGGCCACGACCTATTTGCGGCCATCAACTTGCATCTATCAAATTAATGCCGAAAAAATTAACGAACCACGACTATATTTCTCACAGGTTATCGTCCACTTAGCTTTCGTGGCTCTGCGAAATTACACTTTAATGTGGTCACAAACAAAAAAGTCACAACCGAAAACCCGATCGAAGAAAATAAACGGACAATTTTTTCATGTAGCCAACTACCCATTGTCTCTACAAAAAAGCTTGAAAATCCATACAAATATAAGAGATAAAAAGATGAAACTTAGCAGGTGCGTAGAGTTGTGTCTCTTTTAACTATCTTCAAAGTTTCGCTTTTCTACATTTAAAGAGGGGGAATAGGGGGTGTGCAATTCCAATACGTCGATAATATCTTTGTTGCCAAATTTTCGACCACCGTGTTTTTGTCTGTTTGATTGCTGTGATGCGGTGCTTTGTTTATAATTCGACGAGTTTTAATCAAAATACCCGTGTTCTTAAATATATGACGGTCAGAAATGCAATTAGAAACCCAATTTTTTCACGCATGGCTGCGTATCCTCTAGTCTCGACGCAGCAAAAACAATGTTAAAGACTTGAAATCTGTGGTCGCACACCGGTCGTTCGGCCGAAAATACGTCTTCCAAGTGTCATAGGTAGCTTGTATAGCTTTAACCCCTGGTCGTATAAAGTTAATTCGAAGTTTAGCGTGCAGAATAAATGCCAATGCACCTTCGGTGAAAAAATTAACAGGTTAGAAATAGTTATTTCAGTATTTGTTTTTGTTTAATAGCGTTTGAATGAAATCGTCCGCAGACTGGCTACACCACCCTTTTTATTGCCATCTCCAGATTTTTTTTTGAATCAGATTACGACTATCCGGTATCCTGATATCAGAATATCAGGGTCTAGCAAAGTGAACGCCAAAACTGATTAAATAACGCCAAACAAAAAGTGAAATGAAGGCTGTGTCGCTGTTACATGTTATGTGAAATTTTTATTTTATTTTTTAAAAATCTACCTGGCACAGAGTGAAATTCTTTGCAGGCTTGTTTAGTTAAAAGTGAACCTACTCAATTCGAGTTGTCCGCCTCCCTACGGTACGGTACCGGTACCCTAACTTACGGTTAACGTTCTGACGTTAGCAGGATGACTCACACCACCGAGCAAATTATAAACTGTTCATTGTACTGTATAATCATTATTATTGAGTTTAAATTAAACTATACCTGTAACTTATACAAATAAAATTGACATTCGGCATTCTCAAATCCAAAAATCCGCGAATTTCCAGATTGCAACAAACTGAGGTAAATCCGCGTCGAGTCCACTTACGCTATTCTACGTTCTTGCTCTGCAGTGCCACCACTAAGTAACACAACAGATCTGACAGCTGAGTTTGCAGTGAGTCTCTGTTATCGATGGATTGTGCTAAGTGGCGTAAGCGTATAGAATCCGCTAGCCATCGCACCTCTGAGTACTAGGCCGAGGAACAAAATCTGTAAACAGCTTAAAAACGAGTTCGCAGCGACACTTGAAGAGAAACCTCAATTTAATAGGGTCAGAAAGCCAGAACCACTGGGACCACTGCACCTGTTGGAATGTTGGTCGTTCGTGGAAATTCGATATTGATGTTGGAAGCATTTGAACGGATACAATGATTTTGGATTGAGCTGGTCGAAAACGACAGGAGAGCCCGATACCCCAGTCCATGATTTGTGCATAGACTTCTATGGAACATTAAGTCTATTTGCCGAGCTTGTTTTTTGGTAACAATTTTTTTTTATCACTGTGTTGTTCTTGCAATGAAACTGAACTAGGCCTACGGCATCGACATTTTACGCCAGCGAGTGTTTTTTATTCCATATTTTTGTAGGAAAAGCACTGTTTGTGTTACCATACACGTCTCACATTTTAAATTTAATTTAAACTACATTCAATCCATTTACCAAGCTTGTTTTTTAGTAGAAAAAATTTGTCACTGTGTTACTCTTGCAACGTAATTGAACTAGGCCTACATCATCACCTCTCACACCATTTTTCGGCAGCGAGTGTTCTTTAATCCATATATCTGTAGGAAAAGCACATACACGTCTCACATTTCAATTTAAAAGATATTGCCCGATGTCACATCGTGTTTTTGTTTTATTGTGTTTGACTGTTTTTGGGGGACGGGCGCGTACTTGTGCGTATTTAACTTTATAATAAAATTGATTGATCGATTAATAGAAGTATTGCCTGATTTTATATCGTGTTTTTGTTTTATTGTGTTTTGACTGTTTTTGGTGTACGGGCACGTACTTGTACGTTTTTTATTTTTTCAATAATTTATGGCCGTTCTCCAGGTCCTCTGTATTTTGTTTGTTGTTGATTTGTGTTTTGATTCTATCAGAGTGACCAAATAAAATTGATTGATTGAAGTCCAATTTACAAAATATGCAAATTTGACATCTCTTAGTGAGTATTACGTCACAATTGAGATTGGCGTCACATGCGCTTTTAACCATATCCATATCAAAGTGACTACTGTATAATCTTCCGACTTACACTGAAATTCGGGTTACACCGAGTCTCAGGAACGGAACTGCGTCGTAAGTCGAGGACTCCCACTATACGGTATCATTACCAAACGCTAACTTTGAAAGCGTTTTGAGGAATTGCTGCTCGCAAACTGGCACACATGTTCAAAACTATTATTTTTATTCAGAACAATAAACCACTTGCCGCTCATAGGTACTGATAGCTAATTTTAGGCTAGTCTATCGCATCGTTTGAGGTATTGATTTTTGATTATTATAACTAAACTGAAGGTCGTCAGAAGACACAATGACAAATAAGTTATTTGATGCACAATTATTTTATAAAACACAACTAAGAACTGAAAAATGACACGCAAAACTACCAAAAAGGGGCAATGTTTATAACCATGAGCGAAAGAAGTGTCTCAGCGACGGAATAAATTTCAATTGTTAGGTCATTGTTAACTCATTGCTGATTTGCAATTGTTACGGAAAAAAACAAGGAAATTAATGCTCGGGAAAACATCCATACCCATCCTTACCTATTCTTCCAATGCGAGTGTTTTGGAGAGTTGTCATCTACAAACTGATTTACATGCTCAATACCATTATTTTTATCGAAATATACAACCAATTGCCGCCTACACTTAATAATAGCTAATTTCAACCTAGTCTATCGCAGCTTTTCCGGGACGATTTATTAATGTAACTAAACTAAGGCTCATCGGAAGTCATAATGACAACTAAAATACAGTACTTCAATTACAACTAATTTTTGTAAACACAACTGAAAACTGACAAATAACGCGCAAAACCACGAGAACGAGGCAATGTTTACAACCATGCTTGAATATTTGTCTGAGCGTATTAGTAGGTATTTACGGTCTGAGCGAACGAAATGTATGAGCGGCTACAAAAATTGCAATTGTTACGTCATCGTTGACTCTTTGCTGGTTTGTCAAGGAAATCGATGACCGGGGAATCACATTAGGGTTCTTCTACTCGTGCCATATTCGCGCCACTAGTGGCGTAGCCGGAATTGAACTAAAGTAGTGGTAGACTGATCAGGTTAGATCAGATCAGATCGATTAGCGTTTGAATCTCACATCAGGAATAGTAAAGACATCCACATTTATTCCCGGAGAGAGGGAAACCGATAAGGCGTCTTATTCGTATGGCCACGCCAGCCATTACAGATAGCTTCCATCGATATTTGTCTCCTTATCCTGTGGATATATCTCAAGCGCAGTATTGAATTGCCGTCAGACCGTACGGTAGTCTGTAGGCGACGGTTCAAAAACTCTCTTCGAACAATTGATTATGGATGTAAAATGGGGTAGGTATGGACTGATAAGCTATTTATTACTTGTCGATTTTAATCGGTAAGTATGTTGATAGGTATTTGTCTGTCTGTTAGATGCACGCTATATCTCACGAAAGCGAGATTGAATCTGCTCCAGATTTTACATGTGCATTCATCATATGTCGGACCAGAAGCCTATTGATTTTGGATGAATTATGTCGCATAATTAACGAGTTATTAATTAATTAGTGATGGGACACAAGGTGTCACTATGGAGTGAGAGCGCTGTTTTGGGGGATCCCCTACCTTTCGATCGATAAGTCTTCCGCCTTTGACCGATATTCTTGTTTTGTACATTATTCATTTTATATTTGAATAAATTCACTCATTGAGTGAACCATTTAAAAAAAAGATGAATAAATTCAGAAATTAATCTTAGATTCTACATTGATTCTTACTCAGTCTGAAAGTGAAAATAAATATCTGAATCTAATATATCGTTCATGATATGATAGGGAATGATTGATTCTGTTAATTATCAAAATCTCATTTTATCATCATCAGAAGTCTGAAAACTGGATCAATATATATATATTTTTTGATTGAACTATACTATGCCTTGTGTGTTTTGGAACCTCTGTCACGCTAGCGGAATCCTGCTGCTCAAAAATACGATATCATAAAAAGTGTTTCATTATAAAATTTATGAATAAAAAATAATTGAATCGTAGTCTACTAAGCAAATGCGGTCTAAAAAATTTTGTGTAAAATACAGTACTGGTATCCAGTCTGATGTGAATAGAATAAGAATATATACTCTAATAAAATTATGTAAGTTGTGCAATAAAATGTTGTATAAATGTCAAAAACATGTATACGTGAATAACAAACGAGGTCAATCAAATGAAGAAATTCGAATAAAACTTGATCAGATTTCTAAAAAAATACTTTTTAATACAACGCAATAACGTAAATTTCACAGAAATTCGAAAAATCGATAAATTGACTCAAAATTTGAACAAGATCCAGGCTGAATTCAAAATCTTCCTAATCAAATAAAGAAATTAGAAAAAAAATTCACAGAAATATAAAAAATCGTTAAATTGACCCAAAATTTGTACAAGAATCGCTTAAGGGGCTCAAAAAATATTTTGGCTATAGATAGCTGAATTCAACATCTTTCCAATCAAATGAAGAAATTGGGAGAAAGCTCAATCAGTTTTACAACGAAATGCTTTTTATACAACGCAATAACGTAAATTTCCTAAAAATCCGGAAAATCGTTAAATTGACCCAAAGTTAAAAACAAGATCTGCCTTTGGGGCTCAAAAATTATTTTGGGTGTGGATAGCTAGATTCAAGATTTTGCCAATCAAATGAAGAAATTAGAAAAAAACTCGATCAGTTTTCCAACAAAATGCTTTTTATACAACGCAATAACGTAAATTTCCTAAAAATCCGAAAAATCGTTTAATTGACCCAAAATTTGAGCCCCAAAGACAGATCTTGTTTAAATTTTAGGTCAATTTAGCGATTTTTCGGATTTTAAAAATTTTTTTAATTAAAATTTTAATCAATTAAAAAAATTTTAATTCTTAATTATCAACCAATTTATGGGTCTCGTGTAGTTTCGTACCTCAAGTACTAGTGGGCGTAGCGTAACAATTTTCGCACATGTCAATCCTAACCTCCACCTGACTACGCCATCCAAAAATTACGTCACTATGATGTCATAGAGCTTGCCAAAGTATACCTACGATCGCCCTGAATGGCATCTGCGTCGCCGATAAAGAACGCACTAACGGCAGCGATCTCTCTCATATCGGGGTCACTGCGACGAGAAAACGAGAGAAATAGCTTGCTCAATTTCGGATGATCGTCTGTGCGTCTTGGGTGACAGTTCGTTTAGTTTAAAGGCCTTATTGCGACACTGTGACGTCGTAGTGATGATGCAGTCAGGTGGGGGTTAGGATTGACATATGCAAAAATTGTAATGTTCCGCCCACCAGAAGTACATGAGGTACGAAACTACACTAGACCCCAATCTATGGTAATTGTGGGAATAAACTGTAAGCCTAGACTAAGTTGACTGTTGAATAATTTATGAATTTCAGAATTTCTGTTGCAACAGCTTTGTTTCCGTAATAAGTGGGTTATGCCACATACCATACTTTCAAAATTGAAAAAATGTTGTTTTTTTCAAATTATAATAAATTCAGATATTTCTCCCATTTATCCTTGTCAACCAAATAAGTTTAATCGGCTTAACATTAAATTGGAAATTTGTACCTGGAGACCCCAGTGAAATGGGTCCTCGAATAAAATAGAGCATGTCAAACCAGTTCTGTTTCTTTGAAAATCAATTTGTCTATTTCCAACAATCAATAATTCAGACATAGCGTTTTTTTGAAGTAGGTTATTGCCAACCTAACAGAATCAGCAAATTTCAGATTGATATAATACCTCATTGCTCACCATAATCAACTATTTTTTAATTTCTATACAGATATTGCATTCTTTAATTTTAAAATATGGCTGAAATTGGTACCGATGAAGGTGCCATGGAAATAGAAACTAATGATGGTTTGGGTTATGATAGTCTTCCTGGAACTCCTGAACAAGAGAAATATAGAAAAAAATCTAGAAAAAAAGACAGAAGCGGTAAAAAAGCAAAGAAAAAACGTAAGACCGAAGCCAGCGATGAGGATAACGAAGGATCTGCTATTGAAAGTGATCCAGAAGTGTCTTTTAACATCGATGGAGAAAAACAGAAAAGGAAAAGGAAGAAGGACAAAAAAAAGAAGGTTGAGGATATAAAGACATCTAAAGAGATTTGTGAGGAGTGGGGTTTGCCTCCATTTGAGCATGATTATACTGATGAAGAGTATAAAACCTATGTAACTTACCGACTTTTCAATCAGTTTGCCAGAACAAAACTTGCTACATTATATCCAAGTCTTGTAATAGCAAAAATGTATCCGCTTATAAATGCGCTGTGGAGGGAATTCCAGTCTTTGGAAGGATTTCAAGAGATGCAGGAATCGAGCAGTAATGCACCATCATCGGGTGTGCCAACGCCAACAATGATGGCAGCTGAGATGGAAGATTCACCCCAGCCTTCTGTTTTGCGAGGTCCCACTGCTTCTGTGGATGTGGTGCCTGTGGACAAAAAGAGCCGTAGTCGTAGCACCACACCAAAATTTGGGATGAAGAAGGAAAAAAAAGTTGCTCCTCTTCGTATCAGGCTTCCCATGAAAAGAAAAAAGAAAGATGCTTCGAGCGAAGAAGAAAATTCACCATCAGATAATGATTCAGATATGGATTTTGCAGAGACCTTGGCAGCTTCTGTTTTAGAGGGTGAAACCAAACCAAAGCAATCTAAAAGAGGTGGAGCAAAGGGAAGAAAGGTAAAAAGCACAAAGAAGAAAACAAAGCCTAAAATGAGAGATCCAAGTGAAGAAGGATATGAAACAGATCACCAAGATTACTGTGATGTTTGTAAACAAGGTGGCGAAATTATTTTATGCGACACATGTCCTCGTGCTTTCCATCTTGTATGCTTGGATCCCCCATTAGACAAAGCTCCAGAGGGTAAATGGCCTTGCCCTGTTTGTCAGGCACAAGGAATCAAACCAAAAGATAGTGATGCTGAAGAGTTTTCAGAGGAAGAAGTTGAGGAAGAGGTTCAAGAAGAAGACGATCATATGGAGTTTTGTACTGTTTGCAAGGATGGTGGGGATCTGCTAATCTGCGATACTTGTCCAAACTCTTATCATTTAAATTGTTTGAATCCGCCTATGGTTGTTGTTCCAGATGGTGAATGGTCATGCCCAAGATGTGCTTGCCCACAACCCAAGGGTAGACTTGAAAAGGTGATGGCTTGGAGATGGAGAGATGCTCCATATACTGAAGTACCTGATGATAGACCGGGTAATGAAACAGGCAAGAAAAAGTTGTGGGGTTATAGACAGCGGGAATTTCTTGTAAAATATTATCATCTATCTTACTGGGAAGTGGAATGGATAACAGAGCTACAACTTGAAATTTACTTCATTCATCAGTGGAGAACATTCACGCGTCGTAATGATATGGAAGAGGAAACACCATTGGAATGGGACGATGAGTGGACAAATAAAGAATTGGCGAACAAGTATTACAAATATGGTATAAATCCAGACTGGCTTGCAATACACAGAATTATCAATCATAAAAAAGCAGGGAGAAGCGGCCAAATCCAATATTTAGTAAAATGGAAGGATTTGGGATATGATAAGGCTTCGTGGATATTGGAAACCAATGAAGAAGTCATTGGATTACAAGATGCTATTAAAAAGTATCATGAACATAGAGAGAGTATAGAAGGAGCAGCAAAAGAAAAAAAGAAGAAAAAGCGCAGAGAAGACAGAAAAAAAGAAGACAAACCTGATCCTTCTGAAAAGTACGAAGACCAACCTACATACATCACAGATATTGGTGTTGCATTGCATGATTACCAACTAGAAGGTCTAAATTGGCTTAGATTTTCTTGGTCACAAGGTACCAACACCATTTTAGCAGATGAAATGGGACTGGGAAAAACTATTCAAACTATTGTATTTATAAAATCATTAGTTCATGAAGGTCATTCGAAGGGACCTTTTTTAATATCGGTACCATTATCCACTATGATCAATTGGGAACGAGAATTTGAATTGTGGGCACCAGAACTTTATGTTGTAGCTTACTATGGTGGAAAGGATTCTCGGGCAGTCATTCGGGAACATGAATTTTCATTCACTGACAATGCAATCAGATCAGGAAATAAAGCATACAAAATGAAAACCGGATGCCTTGTTAAATTTCATGTCTTGCTGACGTCATATGAAATGTGTTCCATCGATAACACAACTTTGGGGTCTGTCGATTGGGCAGCTGTTTGTATTGATGAGGCACATAGACTGAAAAACAACCAGTCAAAGTTTTTCAGAGTGCTATCTGAATATAGCTTTGGATTCACACTTCTACTGACAGGAACGCCATTACAAAATAACCTAGAAGAACTTTTTCATCTGCTGAATTTCTTATGTCCAGAGAAGTTCAATGAACTAGATGTCTTTCTTGATGAGTTTGCTGATATATCACAAGAAGATCAGATTTCGAAATTGCATGACATGCTTGGACCACACATGCTGCGTAGACTAAAAGCAGATGTCCTAAAAAATCTTGCATCAAAAAGTGAGTTCATAGTTCGAGTCAACCTTTCACCACTTCAACGAAAATTTTATCGATACATTCTCGCCAGAAACTTTGAAGGTCTAAATTCAAGAGGAGGAGCAAATAATTCTTCATTGCTTAATATTATGATGGATTTAAAGAAATGTTGCAACCATCCATACCTGTTTAATAAAGCTGCAGAGGAAGCTACACGTACGGCAAACGGTGCGTTTGAGGGTCATGAATTGATCAAAGCAAGTGGAAAGCTCATTGTTTTGCATAAGATGCTTCGTAAGTTGAAAGAACAAGGAAATAGAGTTCTGGTCTTCTCCCAGATGACAAGAGTTCTCGATTTATTAGAAGATTTCATGGAATATGAAGGTTATAAATACGAGAGAATAGATGGATCTATTACTGGTTCTTTACGTCAAGAAGCAATAGATCGCTTCAATGCTCCTGGTGCTCAACAATTTTGCTTTTTGCTATCAACCAAAGCTGGAGGCTTGGGTATAAATCTGGCAACTGCTGATACTGTCTTTATATATGACAGTGACTGGAATCCTCATAATGATATTCAGGCCTTTAGCAGGGCACATCGAATAGGACAAGCTAAAAAGGTGATGGTGTACAGATTTGTGACAAAAAATTCAGTTGAAGAAAGGGTTGCTCAAGTCGCTAAGCATAAGATGATGCTCACTCACTTGGTGGTAAGGCCTGGACTAGGTTCAAAATCTGGTGCACTTTCAAAACAAGAAATGGACGATATTTTAAAATTCGGTACTGAAGAGCTTTTCAAGAATGATGATGATGACAATACTGAAGGCAGTGATTTTATTCATTACGATGATGCCGCTATTGACAAGATTCTCGATCGAAGTCAAGAAGGTATTCAAGAAAAGGAGAAAGATACTGGATTAAATGAATATCTAAGCTCCTTTAAAGTTGCTACCTATAAATTCAGTGAAACTCAGGATGAACCTGAGCAAGAACGAGAAATAATTAAAGATGAAATGGCTGAACCAGATCCAACCTATTGGGAGCGTTTGCTGCGACATCATTATGAACAGCAACAGGAAGAACTGGCTTCCACTCTCGGAAAAGGAAAACGTGTGCGAAAGCAAGTCAATTACTATCATGCTCATAATGTTGCGGAACAAGAACGTGAATGGGAAGACAATGGAAGTGATTACAGTATACACAGTGATGCTGGTGAAGATGATGAAGAATTTGATGATCCAGGCAGACGACGTGCTAGGCGTGAAGCCAACAAGCCTTTGCCACCTATGCTTGCAAGAGTTGCCGGTAACATTGAGGTTTTGGGCTTCAACAGTAGACAGCGGAAGACTTTTCTCAATTTTGTTATGCGCTATGGTATGCCTCCAATGGAGAACTTTCATGCACGTTGGCTTGTACGAGAACTACGAAGCAAGACGGAAAAGGAGTTCAAAGCTTATGTTTCATTGTTCATGCGCCATTTGTGTGAGCCTGGTTCAGACAATTCCGACACATTTTCAGATGGTGTTCCAAGAGATGGTATTTCTAGGCAATTGGTACTCACAAGAATTGGAATTATGGCTTTGATAAATAAGAAAGTCAAAGAATACAGAAAAATAAATGGGGATTGGAGTTTTCCACATCTGAATCCAGTTTGGCAAATGAAGCATAATGCAGAAGCAAACGAAATTACTCACATATCCTCTGTTCCTTCATCTGTTAAGTCTGCATCATCTTCAGTAGGCAATTCTCCAGTTCCAACTCCCTCAGCTTCCAAACCTGTTTCACCATCTGGTGATAGCAAAGAAGCAGAGGATGTTAAAACCGAAAGTGCATCACAGGATGATTCTGTGACAGCTGAAGGAGAGAAGATGGATGTCCAAGAAGGAGTAGACAAAAAAGCTTCTGCTGGAAGTAAAGATGCTCAAACTAAAGATAATGATTCGCCACCTAATGCAGCTGATGAAAATCAAACTGTTAAAGCTGAACCTGATTCAGATGTGAAAGATGTTGAAAAGAAAGGAGAATCTAAGCCTGAAAAACACAAATTTATGTTCAATATTGCTGATGGTGGATTCACTGAACTTCACACATTGTGGCAGACTGAAGAACTTGCTGCTATCCATTCAGGTCGTATAAATGAAATATGGCACAGACGTCATGACTATTGGTTGATCGCTGGGGTGGCAACTCATGGATATGCACGATGGATGGACATTCAACATGATCATAGATTCGCGATTGTGAATGAACCATTCAGAGCAATGAATGAAAAGGGAAATTTCCTTGAAATGCAGAATAAATTTCTTGCCAGGCGATTCAAACTTTTAGAACAAGCTCTTGTTATTGAAGAACAGTTACGTCGTGCTGCTTATTTGAGCTTGACGCAGGATCCCAAACATCCCGCAATGGCACTAAATGCACGATTTGCAGAAGTAGAATGTTTAGCGGAAAGTCATCAACATCTATCAAAGGAGTCATTGGCTGGTAACAAACCAGCAAATGCAGTGTTGCACAAAGTTTTAAATCAACTGGAAGATCTTCTTTCAGATATGAAGGCTGATGTAGGTAGACTTCCTGCCACATTTTCACGAATTCCTCCTGTTGCAGCAAGACTTCACATGTCAGAGAGAGGAATTTTGAACAGGTTAGCACGTCAGCGTCAGGAAACTCCACAAGATCAAGCAAGTGCACCGGTACAACCAGGAGAGTATCCTACCTATGAATTGATGCCTTTTGGACCTTTTACTTCAGGTCAAGCACTCCCAAGCTCTCATGTTGCATCAAAGGAAACATCGTCAAAAGTCAATTACAGTCAAATGCTGCAAGAACATGATCGTTCATCTACTGGGACAACTGAGCAGAGTGTCATTACTATTGAGGATTGAGTCACTCAATTAGTTTTATTATTGACTGATAAAGCCTGTTTTGAATATTCATGTAGTGGGCTATGCATGTGTTATCTAAATGTGAGAAAAGGAGAAAAAATACTTCCTTTGGCTTTTTTATTTTTAATCTGCCAAACATCAAACATTCTAGAGCCAGAAATGTGTGATTTGCACCACAGATTTTTTTTTAACCAGAATTTCAAGACATTTTTGCAAAGCTCGTTTTCCTATTATTTCAATTGAAAAGTTGTTCTTGTTTCTTCAAACAAATCATTTGCAGTTAAAATTAGGATCATACACATTTAACCATTAGTACTCGATTGTGTTTTCAATACTTATTCCCTAAGACCAAGTGTATGTATACTAAGCTTCAAATTTATTTATGATGTTTCAAGAAGTCTATTATTTTATCAACATAACAAGGCATTGTTCTATGATTTCTCAGCTATTTATTGTAACAAGACAACTGACCAAACAGTTTCAATGAAGCTGGCAAAGTTTTATGCAAGTGTGCATTGCTTTCTCAAAATGCCCAAACTTTGACAATATAATTGTAAAGTTAGAAAAATTCTTATTACCAATTACATTTTAACAAATGTATTATGATTTGATATTGACACCTGTGACATCAGAAGTTGATTGAGTGTTTGAATACATTCTAAATTGGTTGCGTTCAATGTAGTAAATATGTCATTTTAGGAACCATCTACTATACTATGTCGGGTTATATCTTTCTGTAGGGGAGGCCAAATTGGAAGTATATTTCATGAACAATATTTTATTAGAATCGGTTTTGGCCTTTCTTAATTGGCATAATCAGGAATTTATTTTGTTGAGATGTAGTGAAAGAGTAGTTGATGTTACTCTCAATCATCTCTCCTGAAATGAGCATTGAATATTATACTAATATCAGTAGATTCAAGTTATCATCAATTTCATTGAAGAAGTTTTTTTTTCTGTTTTGTAAACATTTGTTGTCAAAGTCATTCATACACAGCTGTGTTGTTGTACATCTGTTTTGTATTGTTGTTTGTCATTTTGGCAGAAATTACATTCTTGCATCCTTTGTTGTATATACAAAAGAAGAAAACATGGGCTTATGTTGTGTCTTGTCTGTATTTTAGAGGCAAGTCTAGAGTAATCAGCCAGGCAACGTGAAATAGAAGGTTGTAGAAAAGGTCAATTACCATTTTGGGTTGCTGTGCTTATTCTCGCCTTGTTAAAGTCCGATTGCGCTCAGCTTTGTGCATGAAACCGCTGAAAATGTGGTGTTTGTATCATAATGAGGGCGTTCACATATTTCAGTGGGCGATACCACTGAAAATATGGCGGTGATGTCGTAAAGAGGGTGTTCATCATGAGATCGAGCGTTGGTAAAACTGAGTTGGGCAGAGATTTCCCCATTTTCAATTTTATTTTGCATTGAACGATGGAAGGCGAGCGAGACATAACCTCCTCGACGTAAGCAACCAGGGTGCAAAATTGACTGTTTTGAAATTTGCCGCGTGAGAACGTGCGCGTCTCTCGCCACGATAGATTGTGAATGTAATACTAGACGCAGCGTTGCGGCAACAGAATCAACAGTTTTTTAGTCCAAAATACAACTCAACTGAAAAGGTATGATAGATCTAACAACTAACGAAGAATGATTGGTTAGGGATCGCGGATAATGAGATAATTTAGTGGTTATGGTTTCAGCTGATCCATGTTTCCTCAGTTTTTTGAAGTAAGATCAAGCAATCCAAAAAAAAGTGGTTACATCTTACATGTGACCGATAATATGATATGGCCTAATAATAATTGTTGTTGGTCTGATCCGAGAAGTTTAAATTAAAAATACAAGATATTCAAAAGTTTGTGATATGTTACAGTGTTAACATTATAATATTTCACTAACGTTCTTTTTTTTCACATGTATATTTAACGTTACATGTCTGCACGTAATAAACCTTTATAAAGGTTTTGCCAGTTTCCCCCATTTTCCCATTCTTCCTGTGTTCAATGTTTGTGTTTTGTGTATGATTTTTTTTTTTGCGGGAAAATATTCATTAAATAAAAAAAAGAAGATATGATGACTCAATGCAGCAATGATACAGATCACTTGCCATATGACAGGCCAGTATGGAGAAATAATGCCCATGCTGCCTTGATATTCACCACAGCAGCAGTCCACTTGTCATTGCTTGTTTAGGAACAAATAATTAATCAATTAATTGCCTGAAATGCATAGACTGGGATATTGAAGAGAACCAATTGGGTGTAAACGATTATGTGATGTGGTCCACTTGCTCGCACATAAATATACAATTGTGCAATAATTTAAACTAATAATATGAACCAACCATCTTCTTTATTCTGTTATTTGACTTTTCAAATTATGCATTCTTGCTCCTGCTTTTTACACTCTCGCTTACTAACCATTAGGATAGCTTTTCATTCAAGTGCTTGTCCTAATTTTACAGGGCTGTGAGATTCTGCATGATAATATTATGGCGAAGAAATATTTAATTGTACTTGCACAAGAGCATTTTGAATTTCGGATTCCTGAACTCGAGTCAGTTGCTGGGATATTTAAGAAGAGATTACTTGACATATGGGACAAGCAATTGATAGACCACTCATTGAGTAATCACGTTGATGAGTCTCTTCAAATACAGAATGAAGATGATGAAAAAATGTCTATACACAATTACTTCAATCAATATGATACTCCCTATATTCTATTGCATAATGTTAGTGAGCAAGATGTAAAGCATATTATGTCTAGGACCATTTTGGCAAAGAATGCTTATGAAATATGGGGATATGGAAAAACTTATAATGATATGAAGAAATCTATATTAGAATTTCCTGAAGATGCAAAAAAATCTTGCTTTAATTCGTCATTCTGCATCAGAGTAAAAGCATGTGGACGCAAGATGTCAATTCCGGAACAAATTAAGATAATAGACAGCCTTGAAGATGTTTTACCATTTGAAGGTGAGGTTGATCTTAAATCACCTGAAAATGAATTTCATGTTATTGAGGACTACGGTGCCCATAAAGGCAAAAAATTTTCTGGTGATCCTCATTATATATATTTTGGTCGACTCATTGCTGATGGCCAAAGAAATTTGCTTCAAAGCTATTCTGTAAAGACCCGAAAGTTTATTGGGAACACATCCATGGACGCTGGTTTATCTTTTATCATGTCAAATGTTGCTAAAGTTAAACCAGGAGATTATGTTTGTGATCCATTTGTGGGCACAGGTAGTTTACTAATAGCTGCAGCTCGTCATGGTGGTTTTGTCACTGGTGGGGATATAAATTATAACATTTTACATGCCAGAGGAAAGTCTTCGAGGGTGGGTGCTGGCTATAGGGAAAAGGATGAAACTATAAAAGACAGTTTGAAACAATATGAACTTCAAAATAAATATCTTGATGTAATGGTTCAGGATAATGCAAGTAATGCCTGGAGAAGTCCCTTGAATATGTGTCATGGTATTTTCGATGCAATCATCACTGATCCTCCTTATGGAATTCGTGAACGCTGTCGAAAAGTTGGTAAAAACAAGGAAGTGGCCACTTCCGCAAATGAGCCCATAATACACTATCCGGAACAAACTGCGTATCATCTTGATCAGGTTTTTATTGACTTGTTGACATTTGCAGCCCGAACATTAGTCCCAGGTGGAAGGCTTGTTTACTGGTTGCCTATTTATAGGCCTGAATATTCAGATGATATTATTCCACGCCATCCTAATTTGAAACTTTTGTATAATTGCGAGCAGCCACTAAAAAGAGAAACTTCAAGAAGATTGTTAGTGATGGAAAAATGTGAAAATGAAATGACAGACTCTCAAACTAATGGGGCTTCTTTCAATAGTGATGCACATAAGGGTCATAATGCATTTCGTAACAAATATTTTAAAACTGCATCTGCGAAACAATGATATTTTTTATAAGAGAGTTTTTTCGCACTTTTACTTATAATGAGGCGGCCGACCAGCAGCAACTTGGAAATTATGGAAGTGATAAATTATGCGTGGAATTTTTTAATACTTATATCATCGACACAATGTGGGTAATGTATAGGCTATTTCTCAAACTTACAAATATGAAGTGGTTCAACAGCAACTTCGTCAGCAATTTGCTTAAAGGAATTCTATTACCTGTTACTTGAAATATCGTTGTGCATTTATGATTCATATTTTGTCTTTCCTTATAAATCAGCCTCAGTTGAATTAGTGCCATTCATATGCCTATTTTTAATGCACAAATGAATGTTTTAATTGTACTTCTGACATGTTTTAAATGTTAGCACAATTTTCTAATGTTGGATAGTTTCAGAGGTTTAACTCACTATATTTTTCTGTTCTACACAGTTTGCTAATCCTACTACCTCAACAAACATTACTAATTTGACAAGGATGACTAAAAAGACTTACCTTGGCTTTGACTTCAGCACACAGCAGGTATATGCTAATTTTGAATGTCTCGTATAATGAGACAACCCATTTGCACTGACCAGGGGTTAGCAACATCTTCCATATTTTGAATTGAAAAGAGTGTTATTTAATAATATTTGCATAATTTTAATGAACCATAATCAAACAAGAAATTATGTTATTGCATCTCCTCTGAATATGTTACAGAAACTATTGAAATTTTTCACACAAAAAGTCACAGGGCTTTTGGTGTCAAATTTAACACCATTACCATTATACACCTTGTTTTGGTGTGCTAAAAGCAATGTCATAAAAACTCCTTGTTAAACAAATAAACTGTTGAGTTGCAAGCAGATACTGACTTCATAGGATCTACATGTGTTCAGTGTACCAACTGAAGCTATGGCGATGTTTAGGAATCATGGCCTCTCTCATCCGGTTATGGGCCATTCCAAGCAATAGTTGAATTCCATCAATTTTTTAAAAAGTGTAGTGAAAGTAATTTTTTTTTATTTTTGATATCAAAAGACATTGGAATTTTATTGGACTGCATTCATTTCATTGAACAATTTAAAATTTCACCCAGGTTTTTGATGGTTTATAAAAAATGGCCTGAAATGTAGAAATTTTGGTATAATTGACATATTTTGTGATGATTCCTGGCAAAAAGTGTTTGAATGTGTGGTACAGTTATTTCATATGGAATTGATGCACTGGATTGGAGTTAATAAAGTTCAAATGTTTGCAGTGCTGTAGGGCATTTCTTCACCCATTTAACGATTTATTACCAGAATTTTATGAGATGACAGAGGCCGCTATTCCGAAGTGGAAAAATGTCCTGTAGTGTCACATACAATATGCACATTCTTGGCATGGATTTACAGTGTTTCATTAAGTAACTTGAGCAACGCATAGAGGGGTAGTTCAGATACTGCACCAGAAAATATCATGGGCTCCTACTGTACCATCGCAAAAATTTACAGCACAACACAACGTACTGTTAGTGCATGGTGGATTTGGCGTCCTGTAGTATCACGCTATATTTTACTATATTTTTTTATCTACTAAGTAAGTCTTGGGTGTAACTTTTGTGCAATTTTTTACATATTCAATAAAGTAACTGATTGGACAATGAAACAAAACATGTAGCTGAAAATGTGAAAATATATTGCATCCAACAACATGCAGAATTTCTGGAATTGTACTGTAGTGTCACTTGGAATAGCCCTTATAGTCCCATGTCAGGGTATGGGATTAGTTAGCCAGTTGTTTAGTGTCAGATGCATTCACTTGATGGTGGTGGAAGCCGTAACTGACCAGCTATTTAAATAAAAAATATTGGGAAAGTTGTTAATCTAGGAGTGATTCGGATCACATCTGATATTACAACCTGATATCTTTCTAGTTTTATGACCAAATTCTCAACAACGATAACACTCAACTCATAATTTGCTAAGTTTAGACTCTCATTCAAGAATATTCATCTCGAATAATTTGAGTATTTGATCACATTTCCAAAATTTTACTCAGCACCAAATAGCATGTTTTCTTACAGGTTAAAGCACTTGCAATCAATGATGATCTTGTCGTAACACATGAGGCATCAGTTCAATTTGATACAGATTTACCAGAGTTTAAAACTGAAGGTATTAGACCAATATTGCAATAATATTTTGTCTAACAGCGAACTGGTTTTTTTACTTCTCACTTGTCAACACTCATTACTTATAAATTCAATAAGATGGCAATCTTAATTAATATAAATTCTGCATCTAACTTGATGGCCAACGTGCTAGGATTTGATAAAAAAACAATAATGCTCTTTTATCGGTAGACGGTATAGAAATAAAATTTTCATGTATACTTTATTTATTTCAGGTGGAGTTCATATCCATAATGATAAACTCGCTGTCACTGCTCCTACACTTATGTGGGTGAAGGCATTGGATTTATTGCTGGAAAAGATCAAAGATACTTTTGATTTTTCCACGGTTGTTGCATTATCAGGTACTGGGCAGGTATGCAAGTGAATATATTTACTAGATAATATCAAATATACACAACTCAATTCTTATTTAACTCTTGCTAACTGAATTTTTATAGTCAGCTTAAGAAGCTATTGTTATTGACAAATTTTATCAGTGCATTAAATTGGTTGATGCATACGAGTATCGTGTCAAGTTCAGAGGCAATAATGGTTAAACGTTCATACAGTTGACCGATTTTAGATGCGCTAGCGGTACAAATATTTTTGATGTTCTTTTACTTCCAAAAATATCTTACAACATCTTTATCTTCACTAGTAATAATGGTAATTCAAACGGAAATCTCATGATGCACATCAGCAATATGTTATAAACTAGGATATCTAGTGGGTTATAGGAATATAGCAAAAAGATTGAATTACCTTTCAGAATAAAATTACACAAGATTCAACATTAATTCTGTGACAGTAATTTTACAACGATTATTGAATGTTATTAAAAAAATTGCACACTCAGTGGTAGTTGTATTCTTGTCAACACAATTGAAAAGTAATGCCAAACATTTACCATTTCAGCATTTCTGTCAACCTTTTTTTGATTATCGGTCAAATCTTTTGACTGAATCTCAGCTCTAGTTAATATTTAATGATTTACATATTTAGCAACATGGTAGTGTTTACTGGAAAGAAGGAGCTTTGAAAAAACTTCAATCACTCAATGCGCAATATTCTCTTCATGATGAGTTATCGACTGCTTTTTCTGTAAATGACTCACCAATATGGATGGATTCAAGCACTTCTGATATATGTAGGTAAGAAGCTCCATGTTGACAATAAAATAAACCTGTAGTCAATCTTGAAATTACATGCTGAATTTTTCTTGCAGAAATATGGAAAAATCTGTTGGTGGTCCTCAAAAACTTGCTGATATAACAGGCTCTCGAGCATATGAAAGGTTTACAGCAAGTCAAATTGCAAAATTGCACCAAACTAAACCAGATGTTTATGATAACACAGAGGTACGTGACGTTTGAAGTGTAATATGAAACCAAAGGCAAAGTAAATACCTCAAATGTAATTTTGGCATTGGATAGCGAGAATCTAAATATCTCAGCTTTGTGTTATATCACAAAGATAATACAGTTTAGTGTTATACTGTTAATAAATACTATCGCGCCAAATTAACATAATCATAAATATTGAATTACTAATTTTAGCCAAAAGTCTAGTTAAAAACTCATAAACTTCGCTAATTTATTCGATTTCATTTATAAGCATACTTTCTGATCATGTAAGATCTGACCCCAAACTTTTCATAAAAATGCACTCCGCTCAATTACTAGAACCAGTAGTTTTTTTTATGATAATAGTTCTCGCCTTATGCTCTGAAGAGGGCCTATGAAATCAGCTGCTGATTTTTAATGAATCGATTTTTAAAGGACTTGGAATTTTTATGATTCGGCATTGCCTACCCCTGAGTGGAGGGCATGGGATTTAATCACGAGATGTGTAATTTGTGATGCCACAGTCAAGTCACGTCCGCTTTGAGGTAGTTGGCTGGTGGTAGGTGTATAAAAATTTCTTTTTTCATTTGACAGAGAATTTCACTTGTGAGCAGTTTTGCAGCATCTTTGTTTCTTGGAAATTATGCTGCCATCGATAACAGTGATGGATCAGGAATGAATTTATTAGATATTTGGTGAGTTATATTGGAGTTTAGATTTGGGATTTATATTGGTAAGAAAAGATATGGGGCCTACTAGTATTACTGGTCCAGTATGTATAATTCATTTGTAATCACTTTGTTTATAGCAAAAAAGACTGGAGTGAAGAATGTCTCGCAACTACTGCTACAAATTTGAGAGACAAGCTGGGAAAGCCTGTACCTTCCTGCTCAAATTTGGTAAAAGGCATTTATAAATACGCATATTTTTGTAACATTTGATTTGAACTTTCTATTCTGAGTATTTTGATATAATGACATAAAACTGTCACATATTCTGCAATTATATCTGAAGCTGGTGTTCCCCATAAATATATCATCAGATTCATTTACCTCTATGCTTATTTCTTTGTGTACTTCTGTCCGAAACACTATATTAGGACATTTTGATATAAATACATAGATGACGTCATACAAAGATGTCTTGTAGGTTGATTTTATATCGAAAGCCCATTTAACCCTTGAACTATGAACTTTATCTGTTTTTTTACTATTTTTTTCAGGGATGTATATCTTCATACTTTGTTGAAAAATATGGATTCAATCCAGATTGCAGGATAATTGCATTTACTGGTGATAATCCCGCATCTCTTGCTGGGTGCCACTTGGGGGTGAGACAGAACTTAAATTGGAGCGAGGCTTTTTTATTTTGGAAATTTCGTACTCAAAAAGATTCATTGTTAGTGATATGGTAATCAGTAATGACTGCTTGTTGTCTTGCTATGTGAAAGAGTGGGCATGGTATTTTTCTAATAGAAATGTGAATATGCCCCATGAATATATTGAGAATGAGGAAAAGAAAATTCAGAATGTTATGGCGGATTCTAGTTGTTTCTTTAGTTTAATAAAGAAGTATTTTAAATATCTGTGAAATTTCAGTAAAATTTCTTTTTCCATTATGGATAACATTGAATATTTATCAATGTTTCTAACAAGATAGTAGTCACGATTCTGTTGTAATGTAAAAAAAAAAACAGTAAACAATATTAAAAATTCAATGTAATTGTACATTTGCCTTTACTACAGCGGGGAGATGTAATCATCAGTCTTGGAACATCAGATACCTTTATGTTGTGGCTGGATGATCCAAAACCTAAGACAGAAGGCCATGTGTTTGTGAATCCAGTTGATGATAATTCATATATGGGACTACTATGGTATATATTTGTGTAGTATCGAGCTTATTGCATGTCTAAATCAAAAGTTTCAATTATTTTAAGCAACTGAAATTTATATAATTCCTATCTGAATATAATGTTAGATTGGGTACAACAAATGATTGCATGGTAGTTATAACTCGTCAGACGTTGGAAGTTTTCAATTCAACCTTTTATGCTAATTTCATCTTTTCGAATGTCATTTTGCATTGTTTTCTCACTCATCAATTCATACCAAATTTACTGCACCCAGCCAAAGACTTACTTGACTTGCATAAATAATGCCATTTCTGTAGCTGTCATATTGGATCCCCTTTTCATAAAACAAATAAATTAAACTATTTAATGCAAGTCAATGATTGCAAGAAGGAATTTCAACAGATTGAAGAAATTTCCTTCAGTTCAATAGTATATCAGCTTGTTAGAAAAAGTAATAAAAGACATTTTAATATCTTGAAATGCAAAAACCTATATATGTGGTGAGGAATAATTTTGCAGTGATCAAAAAACTATTTCCCACAGAACATGATATATTCACTTTCCACAGCTATAAGAATGGCTCGATTACAAGAGAAAAAATTCGCAATTCAGCTGCACAATCATGGAGTGAATTTTCTGAAATTTTAAAACACACCAAACCTGGGAATAATGGAAAAATTGGTATGCTTGTTATCATGTTGTTTAAAAGTAAAGTTACTAAATTACTGGTAAATACTGCAATGTTGTTGTTTTTCATAGATGAACATCTCTTATTTACAAGCTTCAATATCTTTGTAGTATTCTAGTACTATATTACTTGTTTTCAAACTATGCTTACTCTCTATTTCAGGAATATATTTTGATGTTCAAGAAATTACTCCTAATGCTGTGGGTTTTTTCAGATTTAATGATAAAGATGAACAGGTTAGTCCCAATTGTTTTGTCTTTCATGATTTTCATTTACATGACAGGAATTCGCTGATTCCCAATCTTACACTCTTCTGCTCCGCCACCCTCCTCACGTAGTTTTGATTACAACAATAGTTTTGAATAAAACAAGTTAAATCCTATTTGATTTCTTTCAACTAGTTTTGCCTTTCCTAATAGATGCCTTCAGGCTACTCAAAAAACTCTTTTACTATTTAATTCCTTCTAGGTGGCTTGTTTTACTGATGAAGAAGAAGTACGAGCTGTTATTGAAGGACAGTTTCTTGCCAAACGTTATCATGCTGAAGGATTGGGTTATTCTTTAGGAATATCATCAAAAGTTCTTGCAACTGGGGGTGCCTCGAGAAATCCTGAAATTTTACAGGTACCGTACTTGGGAGATATAGAATTTTATAAAAGCGAATATATCATGTATGGTTTAGAATTCCGCTATGTTCTTATACTGTATTCTTTGGCTTGTCCGCATTTTACTGAACACCAGAAAGTTTTATATTGAAGGACAATGCCCTGGGCAAGAGAACGTATTTGAATTTTTACCTGGGTAGAGAATGTGAGTGTTAACTTTTTACTAGACCAACCTCCCAATTTACCAAAAAAAAAACAGAATTTACCGGTATTAGAACTCTGTAACATCTGTAGTGAAATTAAACAAATCAAAGTCATAAAGTTATAACAATTCAAGATGACATTTTGCAGTCTCATGTGATGATAATTACCGTATGTCATGGGATGAATTGAAGGTTGTGGTCCCTAAAGATATTGTATAATTTGGAGAGAAAAATAATATGCATGTGAAAATGCTTGTTGGTCACTTCCAGGAGTTTCATCAAGTTGGATATTGTGGTATATTTTTGTTTCTTTTCAGGTACTTGCCGATGTATTTGGTGCTCCTGTTTATACCTTGGACACATCGAATTCTGCGTGCTTGGGTTGTGCTTACAGGGCAAAGCATGGTGAATATTACTTTTTATGTGGCAAGAGCATATATGGCTATGTACGGTTGTATTACTAAATTTATATTTCAGAGGAAAGCAAGTTCCGATAATGAAAACTGTAGTGTAAGCAAGCCTTCTTTTATAGACTTTTGCTTTCTTAGTTTTAATATGAAGTTTGGACTTATTTTATAGCCATTGAAGTATAAAATTCGGACTTCAACGAGTTGGAAGTACCACTCCAGATCCAGTGAAAACATGCTAAACTCCCGTCTCCACAACCACGCTTTTGATACTGTTGCAAGTCATCAGTAGGCTTCTATCACATTAATCCCTTTAAATAGTTGCGTTGTAGATAACATGTTCACATAGTGGGTAGGTCTAACTTTCCTCTCTCCAGGATACATATCTGAATCCTATCCTGTGAATCCTAAAATTGTATTTTTTTGATTCAAGGTTACCTCAATGGTGCGAAGTCCTTCTCTGAAGTTACATCTTCAGCTGCTCCATACAAATTAGCTGCAGCACCAAATACTGCAGTCACTTATGATATTGCCAGATATGGTAAACTGGAAGCTGTTGTGACAAGCAAAGCTAATTGAGGGGTGTGCTTTGAATAGTTGAAGCAGGTTGTGCAATAAGTGATCCTGTGTGCCAAATCAATTGTTTCCAATTTAATGAACCAGTGGATATTATGTTACTTGTACATACTTCAAAATTTTATATTGATCAGTGTGCAATACTCTTTAATTATATAATATTCAAAGCCATGTGTGGACTGCTAGTAGCTGCAATTTGAATATATTTTATGTGATTGTTCGGCTGACTAGCCTAGTATATATTTACGATCAAACTGCACGCTATATGAGAACTGCAATAACCATTAGGGTGATGTGGCTATGAGGAAGTTGTTTTTGCAAGTTAAACTATGCAAAGTTTGCAGTACAAGTTTAGTGCGGTAATTTGAGTATTGGTGAAAATAAAAATTATGGTCGTAATGAGTAATTGTAGCTCTAAAACCCTGCAGAAATCTTCTGCTTTACCTCACTTTGGTAATCTCGTAATTGATTCCAATACAAATGTTGTTGACGGACAGGCATCGTGAAATTACCTGTTAGAGATATTTCACTTCATAATATTCAGAAAGTAGTTCACTACTTTTATCGCGTTAAGGGGTAGCACAATTCATCGAGAGTCTGCTACCGTAGTTTTCGTGCAAAAGAGTATCTTTCCAAGAAGCCAATTAAACTTTGTAAACAAAGTTTTGGCAAGGTGGGGGAAAGCACATACACGTCTCACATTTTAATTTGAATTATAAGATATTGCCCGATGTCACATCGTGTTTTTGTTTTATTGTGTTTTGCCTGTTTTTGGGGGACGGGCACGTACTTGTACGTATTTAACTTTTTATTAAGTTATGCCCGTCCTCCAGGTCCTCTGCATTTTGTTTGTCCCTTTGTTGTTGTTTTGTGTTTTGTTTGTATCAGAGTGACCGAATAAAATTGATTGATTGATTGTTTACGATTTTGAAGTTTATACAGGGAAGGAGAGTGAGGGATAGGGAAAGAAGAATCTTGGCAGAATGGGCAACCTTGTCTTGTACTTATTTATTTGAAAATTGAAATCTGACCGCCGTCGGGTGCGGACGTGTTAATAAGAGATTTTTTGGACTAAAACTTGGAAACCCGGACTGATTTCAGAACTGTACCGGTAACCGGATGGAGCCAAAAAGAGTTTTTGCAATCCTGGACGAAAATAAGAATGTATGTATGTTTATTCGTCTCGTAATAGTGATAAAAAAATAAATGAACGATTATTATTATGTAAGACGGGATGCATGCACAAGACCGTACTGGCCTAAAACACAAATGTGCGGCATGCACCCTTTTTAACATATATAAAACAAAAAACATTAGATTAAATATGTATAGTATGGTCCCTTATATAGACAGTTGTTCAAGGTGGGGCAATGGGTCGTTTGGTGTGGTGAAAGTGGTAAGGGTGGAGTATACAAAACTGTTTATACAAGGAGTTTATAAGACAAGACAATATATATAAATAGAGACAACACAACACCAAATAAACATATACATAACAATGAAATCAAAATTTAGGCGCAAATACAGCCTTTGAGTGGTGAGACCATATAGTATAAATGGGCGAAGTATAAGAGATAAATTTGTGGTTCTTATGCCTATATGGTATGCGTCACTCAAGAGTCTTTGATAGAATCAATGAGCATATATACATTATACAATAGGTGTAAACTTCCAAATATTCGCTCATTAATCCATTGTGCCCTGCATTTTTACGGCGTCCAGCTAAATGGTTCGTTGCATATGGAGTAAGCATATCGTTCGCTGCAAAAATCCCTTGTTTCAGCTGAGCTGGGTGCGAAATTTGCCGGATTGAGGCTTTTAATTTTCCGATTCGTGTTCGGTTTTGGGTTTCGAAGTATGGTACGTTGAAAGCATATTAACTAGGAGCATATGCATATTGGGAATACATATCTATTAGGCAGAAAACGTAGCTACAGAACAGAATAGGAATCAGTCGCCACGTGGGGTGCGGTTATTGCTGTATTAATTCATTGATATAATATAGGACTTACATATTTATTCAGGAAGAGAGGAAAGTCTGAATATATATGGCGAACCACGGCTTCTCCAAATAGCTCTGTGCTCCATATGAACCCCCAGACTGCCAGGACTTTGTAAGCTATTCGTTTACTTATTAAAAATATTGATTTTAACTTTAAATTACTCTGGGATATCTTGCCATTGAAATTTAAAATTTGCCGTTTTCATGTCTCGTGAATTTACAAAAAAAAAAATTTTTATTATATTATTTAGAGTACATTTTGTTAACAATTATGATTTTTGCATATATATATAATTGTTTAATTTTAACGATCCTTCATATAGTCATATATATAGATACTGTTGATTTGGATGCAATTATATATTTGTAATTAATAGTGAGATATAGAACTTGGACAAGGGGCGCATCCAGGATTTTTCCAATGGGGGGGGGGGGGGGGGATTACGGCGATTTTAAAACAGTGCACCAAAAGTTCAATTCATGGCGGCGTAAGGCGGGTAATAAAGTAAAAACAATGAGTCGTTCACAGCGAAATTCCACAGTTACGTGTAGCTCGCCTCTGACGGTTTTGGTGAATATATACGAAAACACGCTCGCGTGTAGCATCTTATTCTGATTTTTATCTTCTGTGTAGGATTTGTATCACAGTTACGGTCCCAATTTTGAGCGAACAATATTATCCTTACTGTGAAGCTGATAGTTGACATTTTTATGTTTTAATTTTATATCGTTTCCGTGTTACTTTCGTATTAAATAATAATTAAAAAACTCCGCAAATTGTTGGGTATCCACGTAACTCAGCTTTGGTTTCAAACACTGATACTTAACACGTGAATAAATCAGCAATAATGGCATTTCTACGTGGTCAAAATAATATTTCTCCACAATATCTCGGGAAATTTGCATAGAAAACCTTATTCACATGCCTTGCTTATCTGATTCAACGTTTTTAAAATTTACAAAAACGATGTTGACGCGATTTACGCAAAATTAGAAATTGAAAAATATGATGGCGCAAAAATGGAACAGAACAAAAAATTCTCACATTCATCGTTTCTGCCTGTTGGCGATAGCCGTTGGTAAATTTTACGTAACTGGTTGTAAATTTATGTTAATAAATTCTAATTTGCTTTTAATGCGCCCTGTATTTGTATTAAAATAAAAGAGAATGTCCTTAAATTAGCTTATAACCCTTCTTTCATTTTGAACGCCCTAAACGACGGTTACATGCGCGTTACTGATTAACAATCACGCTTTCTTGTTTATCATTATTAGCGCCAACTAAAAAAGATAACATGTCGTAAAGATAAAAATATTACAGAATAATATCGTTTTGACGAAACCATAATGCGCGACCGTAAAACGACGGTGCTGCTTTTTTGTGGAAGAAGTTTCGCATGGAAAAGTTTCTCAAACGGAATGCGACCCATGTAAATGGGGGCCGTGGGGGCATTGTATTTATTGATATAGGATGGGGTTAACATATTTACCCAGGTGGAGAGGAAAACCGATTCCCTGCTATTCTTCGAATTTTTGTCTTCGTTTTTAATGTCAAGATATCCCAGACTGACAGAGTAATTTAAAATAGGGGAGCCCTGGGGATTCGTATGTAGCACCTTATAAACTATGATTGTGAGAAGCCGTGGTTCGTCATACATTTAATTTAGGCCTTCTTATCGCCATTGCTTTCCCCTGGATAAATATGTACCTAAATCCCATGCTATAATTAGAAATAACCGCACTTGACTTCATATTCTGTGCTATAGCTACGTTTTCTGACTAATATATATGCATTCCCAATAAGCATATGCTCATAGTTAGTATGCTTTCAACGTACCATACTTCGAAACCCAAAACCGAACACGAATCGAAAAATTAGAAGCCTCAATACGGCCAATTTCGCGGCCGAATCAAAGGATTTTTGCAGCGAGCGATATGCTTTCTTCATATGCAACGAACCATTTAGCTGGACGACGTAAAAAATGCAGGGCACAATGGATTAATGAGCAAATATTTGGAAGTTTCCACTCAATGCATATATGGTCATTAATAGAATATATCTATTTCAGCAAAAATGTGAACCATACAGATTTTGTTGAAATACTTCAGTTCGAGTGTCAAATTCTTAGGTATTCGTGTTTTATTTATAAAATTGAAGCCGAATGTGGTAAGAATTGAAGGAAAAATAAACTTAATGAAAAGCATTTCAACAAAACCTGTCATGATTGCATTTTTGCCAGAAGAAAATAAATGTATAAAAGTACTATTTAATTAAGGCTAATATTTTATAAAAAGAAACATTGTTTCCATGTCATGGATTGCCCTTATTGTATTAGGATCACAATAGAGTAATATAGTTTCATGGGGGGAAGGACGGGAGGGATATATTTGATTTTGTGCTATGACCTATATGAGAAAGAAAGGACCCAGCATGCTACTTGGACAAAGAGAACTTTTTCTATTGATGGCTGGATTCAAATTTGATGTAATTGTAATTTATTATCTTTAACCTAATTTGCTGTTTTTAGTGTCTTTGTCTAATTAAGCGTGATAATAAGACTAGAAGGGTGAGTTAAAATATTAATTCAGTTCATTGTTTCATATTACATCCTGCTGAGGTAGCCTGCGGAGTTTGAAGTCGCCATCTACTGAGTGGTGATTTGATATCCTTCGGAGTTTCCTGTTGGTGCTTTCAGTCCAAATAGTCTCTAGTAGCCCATCTTAGTAACCGAATTTCCTAGAAAAAATAAACTCCGTGGATTGGCGTGTCGATGCAAAAAGTGATGTCATTCGTTGGTTTGACTGTAGAATAGTCCAACTTATTTGGACACCGGAATAAAGACAGCATGCCTGTACATCGCCGATCAGCTTCTTAAAACACACATCCAAATCGAACGCCTGGCAATGGTAGAGCAGTAAAATAACATATAGGGGGAATATATCTTTGTGATATGCTGTTCAGAGATCGTACTACTAAGTACTATTTACTATGACCTGCGTTTCGATCGATATGGACATTTTCCTAATTTTATACCCAACCAAAAAAGATTCCGATTTTGTAGAATGAGATATGCTCACGTGTGTGCGTTTCATCGGGCAGAAGAGTTTTTATAACTTTTGCTTTGGACGTTTTTGTGTACAAGCAATATTCAGATAGAGGCATATTGCTAGATCTCTCAAATTATCAATATCGCGAGGTTTCAATGGAAAAATTCCACATCTTCCGACGGTTATATCAGATCCATTATATAATGGAAACCTCACAAAATCATAGTACTTCAATATCATATACCGGTATACTCATATATTACGCTTACTTCTCCCTGATGTGCCAAAATAGCATTTATGCTTTCCACACACGAACTATAAAAGTACTGTACGTGAATCATCATCTCTATCACGAATGAGTATCCCTCATGCCCGATAGAAGTCATTCATTTGATTATTATATCACAAAATATAACGGTGATCAACCAAAAATGTCATTGTATCGAAATCTCTTCAAATAGATTTTAATGCCTCCAATTTTTTTCCTTTAGTTAGCTCAAAGGCACCGTTACGCAATACGTCACTACGATGTTGATTAGCATTCACATATTTATCCCATGGGAGAGGAAATCCGATCAGACGATTTCATTCACGGTAATCATATGGCGAACCACGGCCTTTCGTCCGGTTACCAGTCCTTGTCGGGTATGGGATTATTTACTTGTTTTCAGATGCATGGACTTATTACGGTGGAGGAAGCCGTAACCGCTGGCCAAACTACCCTTGATGGTCGCAACGCGGCTGCAAATGTGGTGTGCTGTGATGAGATTGTAAAATTTACATAGGAAAGTAGACAGGGCCATGGACATTTCTATGTTAATATTTGACCTTGTTTTTTGAATATTTATTGCAAAGAACTTTGAAAAAAAAACTTACAAAAAATTCATATAATAAAAACATTGAGTTTTCAGGATGACAGTAAAAGCCCTGATAAAACATTTTCTACATTTGGCAAATTCAAACAAACTGATTTTACATAGCGATAAAAACATCAAACAGCAATAAATTTACTCAAAAAACATTATACGGGTAAAAAGAAATGAGGGTGCGAATATATATGCTAGGAATGACCACAATTTATTTAAAATGGAATCATATTACGAGACAAATTATGCTTTCATAATAAAACTGACAAATTTTACAGAAAACATGGTTTGTCAACAATACAATTTCTCAAAATAAACGTTTTTCAAAGACATAAATGTTGATGAAACAAAATTCATGGGGCATTCCGTGATATCTGTAAAACTTTTAAGAATTGTCTAAGCACATATATAAAATAGAAAACATTCGTTATACATATAAAAGCTCACAAAGTTACCACATAGTCTTAATTAAAATCCACTAGATTGTCGCAAGTTCAGAAAATACTGGAGATCTAGTTGAATATAAGATGTGTGTGTATACAAGGTTAACTCATCATTTGTCACATGATATCGATATATTTCTTCAGCTGATGGATTTCCTCCGAAAGAAGATAGGTATTGGTACATCATGATTGGTCTCAAATGATCAGACTAGTGAATTCAGATATCCTTAATGAGCATCAAAGTATGCAAGTCCTTGATCATCAAAGTTTGTCTTTTTGCATGAATTGCGAGAAGATTGGCATCTTCGAAAATACCAACCAATCGAGATTCTGCTGCTTCCTGTAATGCCATAATCGCTAAAGATTGCCAACAAGTGATATGTGGAGCGAATTTCATGCTGATTTCACGTACCTGAATGATGAGAAAACGATGCAAAGTTAGTAGACTGTTTTAGTGATACATGTTGTTGTCTTACAAAACAGTTGATACTGATATTTACAAAAGTGTCAAATGAAAACAAACAAAGTCTTTCATTGGAACTACATGCCTAAACCACCTTGCATTAATCGAATAAAAATGATGTGCCCTGTCGTGAACTTATTCAAGAAAAAGCCATGTCAAAACATGCTATTGATTTGGATTAAATGAAAACTACAATACTATAATAAAATTGATAAACCTATGTATACATATAATCACGATCAAGATTTTGTTATCCTGTAGACTGACATACATATTCTCCCTAGATTTTCATCTTTTGGCAAAGCTCACCGATCGACCCTGAAGACTCTTTTCATGAAAACACAACTTTTCAAAATCACATCTTCAAGCAAGTGTAATATTCTCCAAGTGATACAAAAGGTGTCGTAAAACGCAGCACAAGCACACAATTCATGAAAGCTTTCTGCTTAATCACACGACTTTCACAGCACACATTGGCTCCTTTTAACAACATCCTATAATGTTGATATATATACTAACCAGTCTTGAAAAAGGCAATTTTCTTATAAGTAACCTTGTGCTCTTTTGATATTTTCTAACTTCACGCAATGCATTTGCACCTAAATAAGAAATATAATTGTTCTGTTATGCAATACAGACTACAACCTTTAAGAAGTTTAAACATGGTGTATGACCAGAAGAATTGCCGAACAAAAGAAACCTAAATCGATAGAAATACAACAGCAAAGTTCACTTTACTACAAAATCTCGTCATTCATTTCTGCATTTGAAATACGGGAATATGGAATCAAAAACAATTCAAGAAGAGAACATATGGATCATATGTTATTATGTTGCTGTTGTGAAAAAAATTGGCTTTTCTCATCGACTTCTAGACCAATTGCTTTGAAATTTCCAGTGTTTAAAGCTTGTTGTTGTAGATAAAAGGCTATAACTTTTATTTCAAATATAACTTTGAGCTCTATGAGTTTCATTTTCAATTTGAACGTTTGGTGTGATTACATCACCAAAATAAAAATTGTGTTTCATGGTTTCTTGATCATGTCTCATTCAGAACATCGGTACTGTAAAATATTTGTGTCCATATATTTGAGAATTGCTCACTTGTTAATTGTAGAATACACAAGAATGTTTATTGTTGTTAATGCAATATATTTAGCCTAAATTCAGAGGCGCAGTTCTTACCACTTCATGGCAGTTTCTGCCACGAACGAACCGCGGCAGCTCTTGCCATGGTTTTATAGCGCTATTCAGTATTCAGTAATAAGTATTAAAGGTATATTCACAAATTAATGTACCAGATTTTATATGATCATGTGGAATTATATCTACTTGAATCGTAACCCTAACCTCAGATCCATCAAAACTGTATCCATAAGAAAAACGTTCCAACTTACCCAATATTTGTCACCATAAGGGACAGCCCTGTCTTTACGGCCCACCTGCCCCGGTTACGGCAGCAAAATTTTAGCTGCCATTGGTTTTCAATTTGCTGCCGCGGTAACGGCAGCTCGACATTGGTTTGTGGCAGCTAAAAAGTCAGTCGCCATAGGTTTGGCCATGGCGGCCATGGTATGGAAATACTGCCAAGGTTTTGCGGCAGCTGCAGACGCCACAGAATACTTAAAACTGCACTTGTAAATTCAAATACCAAAACATAATAGTAAGTTACCAGCTATTCCCCTTTTTCGTGGTGTAGACTTTCTTCGCATTGATCCATTGGATGCATCTTGACGGTTTGAATGATGCAAAGAATTTCTAGGCATGCTTGTGTAAATAAAAGATATTAAATAAAGCAGAAATAATTAACTGGGATATTTTGTGATACAAATATAGATCGTTAGATAAAATGTTACAGAAATACATTTGTGTTAATCTGCTCTGTGTAGAAAGAGGTTTACAGACTTTTTCCCCTACGGACAACTCCCCCCTCATACCTTTTCGATTACTAGGTAGCAGTGTTCCCTCTAAAGTGTGGGCGTGTGCGCACGGACACAGCTTTCAAAGACTGCGCACACGCATAGATTTACTGCGTACAGACCTATTTCGATGTAATGTAACAATGTTCTCAGTTGGCAGGTTGTGAAAGTAAGTTGTTGGCCCACCCATTACCCGGTTAGAACGCCAAAATTTCTTCATTGGTTTTTGCACAAATATTAGTCATTTCCAAAAAAGTGCGCACACACCAAAATTTCTGCGCACACATACTACAAAAAATTAGAGGGAACATTGCTAGGTTGGCTATGACTTTCAGGAATTGTGACCACAGGAACCAGGACCTCAGGAATTCCCAATGTTTAAAAACAATATTTTATAAATGCTCAAATATTTATAGATTCATCTACAGATATTTATTCATCACAGTCTGACAGTAGCACAAATGGGTACTAGTGACCTACATCTAGATATCATACCATCATTAGCCTACCGCATAACCCAAAAACCCAGCAGTATGTAGCCTACAGTAACCTCCTAATCATAACTATGCCCAAATGTCCTATAAATCTGCATGTATTTTTACCCAATATTTTTATACCAACTCCCAAAGCAAATGTAAACTAAACAACAAAATCATTAAAATTGATAATGAATATTGATTATATCATACCACCCCATACATTTTAGCACTAAAAGGCTGAAGGAAGAAAGGATGAAATCAGGGTTGCCAGACCCCAGCGATCAAAAAAAGCCAAATCAAGACATAAAAAAAGCCAGAAAAAGCCAACAATTTTACTAAGTACAAAAGCCCCATGATTTGTCAGATTTTAAGCCCTTGGCAACGTTTTGATGATGATGTAGAGCCATCAGTTCATGCAGTGAGGCACACAAATAGAAAGTAAAGTTCCTATAGAACGGTAGAAAGTAAAATAAATATCAAGCGGACAGCATTATTTTACCATTCAATATATACAATACAGAGTGCTGTTTCAGTCTGTCAGTATGTGATATATCTACACGTTTCTACTTGAACTTGTGATATACCGGTACCTTGAAAAATTCTTCCTATATCGTACTTTACTATTGAATATTGTTTCATTTCTAAAATTTATAAACCATCAATTTTATTAAAAAATTATCTAACGCCCTGCCGCTCACAGGTGGACTACTGCTATCTAATTCAGTAATTTTAGCGTAGTTAATCACATCTTTACTGCAATTGCAGAATTAAACTAAAGTTCACATAAACAATATCAGGCATAATGAAAATTAAGTTATACAACTATTTTTTGGAAAAAGAACGTAAATCTGACAAATAACACGCAAAACTATTAAAACGAGGCAATGTTTACAACCCTGCTTGAACATCTGTCTGAGCAGCTGCAGAAACTGCAATTATTTCTTAATGGGTATGGTTAATTTGTCGTTAAAAAGCCAATATGGCAAACCTGGATGAAATTCGTTAGTTGGAGTGTTCCCAAAGAAGGAATATTTAAAAACACTAAAGGGCTGAACACTAAAAGAAAGAAGTGGATGAAATTTCTTCCGACGTCTTGTGGTCAAAAATGTGCATGCGGCGAAAATTACGCACCGATAAACTACCGCACAGCAGAAAAGCTCTCGAATATCGTACACTCCGGTAAATAAATACAGTAATACCATACAGTAATTGTACTGAATATAGTTCACTCCCGCTTTTTCGTCCCTTTTTTGTCACACTGTTCTCTCGCTACGCTCCAGTGCGGCCGTACGTAATTTCATTTGAGATATTTGTGTGTTGCGCGTTGTCCTCAGTCGTAGCCGATGAAAAAAAAATGATGACGGATATGTGACGTTATTGGACACGTAGTGGACATAACGATCGTTTCAATATTATGTTGTTGTTGTTGTTCTTGTTCTTTGACACGTTTTTAAAAAGTCGCTTTTCTCTTCGAATACTGGACCAATTGCTTTGAAATTTTCAGTGGTTAAAGATTAATTTTTTCGCTAGAAGGCTATTACTTCTGTTTATTCTTAAATTTTATATGAATCCTATGAGATATGATATTTCATACAAAATTTCGTGGTATTTATTTTTACTCATGGGAACACTGTTTTACACTTATTTCAAGCGGTTTCGCGATCGATTGTCTTGCTCAGTACTTCAGCTACTGTAGGTCGGTACTGGTAAGTTGCCATACCGGTGCCGTAACGCAGTGAAATTGACTTATTCCTTCCGCGGTATTACTAATGCTGCAATGCAAGTTTTATAGCCTATCGTATGCGGAACGGAATATCAGACCTACAGGTTCGGTACCGGTACTGGTAGCTCAGTACGTAAGTACGATACTGGTACAGTGGTACTGGTGCCGGTACCGGTGTCTTACCACAAGGAAATTACCGTAACTTATTCTTTCACGGTCCTACCAGTGCAGTAATGCAAGCGTTGTAGCACTTGTAGCCTACTATATTTGTATATTTTGATGAGAGTCTACTGGAAACAACATAAAATTTGAAAGGGAAGAATTGTTCTGTGATCAATTATCTGTCCTAAAGTGTAAACAACATAAAATTTGCAAGGGAACAACTGTTCTGTGATCAATTACCGTATATGGCCTACAGTGTACAGGTAAGATGCTGGCTGACTGCTAACCGGTACTGGTAGCTCAGTACGTAAGTACGATACTGGTACTGGTGCCGGTACCGGTGTCTTACCACAATGAAATTACCGTAACTTATTCTTTCACGGTCCTACCAGTGCAGTCATGCAAGCGTTGTAGCACTTGTAGCCTACTATATTTGTTTATTTTGATGAGAGTCTACTGGAAACAAAATAAAATTTGAAAGGGAAGAATTGTTCTGTGATCAATTATCTGTCCTAAAGTGTAAACAACATAAAATTTGCAAGGGAACAACTGTTCTGTGATCAATTACCGTATATGGCCTACAGTGTACAGGTAAGATGCTGCCTGACTGCTAACTCAGTACCGCTTGACACGTTTTTAAAAAGTCGCTTTTCTCTTGGAATACTGGACCAATTGCTTTGAAATTTTTAGTGGTTAAAGATAAAAATTTTCTCCAGAAGGCTATTACTTTTTTTTTCGCTATGATGTCATCAAATTTATGTGACTCTACGTGTCCATATATTTGAGCATAGCTCTCTTGTTGTTCTTAGTGTCCTTGTTCTTTGACACGTTTTTAAAAAGTCGCTTTTCTCTTCGAATACTGGACCAATTGCTTTGAAATTTTCAGTGGTTAAAGATAAAATTTTTCCCCAGAAGGCTATTACTTTTATTCATTTTAAATATTTCTGTTAGTTCTGTGAGATTTGTTTTTGTTTGCTATGACGTCATTAAACGTTCTGCGGACATCGGATGCCATTTTGTGTCCTACTGTACTGCTTCGCTTGGTGTGAATAAATTTGTAGACTGTGATTTGACGGTACGGTAAACCGTACTGTACTGCGAACAGACGTGTCCATATATTTGCGCGTAGCTCTCTTGTGTTGTTATTGTTATTATTTGTCTCCATCATTTTTTAAAAATCGCCTTTCTCTTCGAATACTGGACCAATTGCTTTGAAATTTTCAGTGAGTAAAGATTGATTTTTTTGCCAGAAGGCTTTTACTTTTATTTATTTCTAAATTTCTCATGAAATCTGATATTTCGTCTAAAATTTCGCTGTGTTATTTTATCTATGGGAATACTGGCTGTCCGGTTTGATTCTGTAAATTATTTCTACGCGAAACCCGGAATTTTTTGTGGGTACCGGTGGCGTCAAAGGTAAATACTGCTTCGCTCTGGTTAACGTGTCCATATATTTGAGCACAGCTCTCTTGTTCTTTATCGGGGGATGCTAGCCATTGCCGATGAGACAATAAAGAAAAAAACATAAAAAAAAAGATGAGAGATGACGAAGAGGCCGATGTAAATTATAAGAGTATATTGACAGAAAACGTCAGACCAAATCCTGCGACAAAAAACACAATAGGTAATAAATTAAAAAAAAAATGGTTGTATAAAAAAACTTGATTGATATAATTAGTAAAAAAATTAGCAAGTCTAATATGGCAAGTGTATTTATGAAGAAGGCAAATAAATATATTTGGATTGTTACTTTGCGCAATGGATATATATTACATACTCATTGCTTCGCATAAAGAATATCATGTCTCGATTTTATTAGAAGATGGAATTCTTTATCATGTTCAAAATGGAGAATTCATTAGTAAACAGAAATAATGTAACTAAAGTTGAGATGAACCGTAGTAGTATATATTTACGGATGAACAAAACACCTTATCTCTTAATGAATGCTGATATTATAGAAATACTCAAACTATATGGAGAATGTTTAAATATTCAAAGGGCGTCCGTGATGAAGACAACATAGCAAATGACATTAGATTAATTCAAATAGTTTTGAACAAACGATATGTGACGTTATTGGACACGTAGTGGACATAACGATCGTTTCAATATTATGTTGTTGTTCTTGTTCTTTGACACGTTTTTAAAAAGTCGCTTTTCTCTTCGAATACTGGACCAATTGCTTTGAAATTTTCAGTGGTTAAAGATTAATATTTTCGCTAGAAGGCTATTACTTTTGTTTATTCTTAAATTTTATATGAATCCTATGAGATATGATATTTCATACAAAATTTCGTGGTATTTATTTTTACTCATGGGAACACTGTTTTACACTTATTTCAAGCGGTTTCGCGATCGATTGTCTTGCTCAGTACTTCAGCTACTGTAGGTCGGTACTGGTAAGTTGCCATACCGGTGCCGTAACGCAGTGAAATTGACTTATTCCTTCCGCGGTATTACTAATGCTGCAATGCAAGTTTTATAGCCTATCGTATGCGGAACGGAATATCAGACCTACAGGTTCGGTACCGGTACTGGTAGCTCAGTACGTAAGTACGATACTGGTACTGGTGCCGGTACCGGTGTCTTACCACAAGGAAATTACCGTAACTTATTCTTTCACGGTCCTACCAGTGCAGTAATGCAAGCGTTGTAGCACTTGTAGCCTACTATATTTGTTTATTTTGATGAGAGTCTACTGGAAACAACATAAAATTTGAAAGGGAAGAATTGTTCTGTGATCAATTATCTGTCCTAAAGTGTAAACAACATAAAATTTGCAAGGGAACAACTGTTCTGTGATCAATTACCGTATATGGCCTACAGTGTACAGGTAAGATGCTGGCTGACTGCTAACCGGTACTGGTAGCTCAGTACGTAAGTACGATACTGGTACTGGTGCCGGTACCGGTGTCTTACCACAATGAAATTACCGTAACTTATTCTTTCACGGTCCTACCAGTGCAGTAATGCAAGCGTTGTAGCACTTGTAGCCTACTATATTTGTTTATTTTGATGAGAGTCTACTGGAAACAAAATAAAATTTGAAAGGGAAGAATTGTTCTGTGATCAATTATCTGTCCTAAAGTGTAAACAACACAAAATTTGCAAGGGAACAACTGTTCTGTGATCAATTACCGTATATGGCCTACAGTGTACAGGTAAGATGCTGCCTGACTGCTAACTCAGTACCGCTTGACACGTTTTTAAAAAGTCGCTTTTCTCTTCGAATACTGGACCAATTGCTTTGAAATTTTTAGTGGTTAAAGATAAAAATTTTCTCCAGAAGGCTATTACTTTTTTTTCGCTATGACGTCATCAAATTTATGTGACTCCACGTGTCCATATATTTGAGCATATCTCTCTTGTTGTTCTTAGTGTCCTTGTTCTTTGACACGTTTTTAAAAAGTCGCTATTCTCTTCGAATACTGGACCAATTGCTTTGAAATTTTCCAGTGGTTAAAGATAAAATTTTTCCCCAGAAGGCTATTACTTTTATTCATTTTAAATATTTCTGTTAGTTCTGTGAGATTTGTTTTTGTTTGCTATGACGTCATTAAACGTTCTGCGGACATCGGATGCCATTTTGTGTCCTACTGTACTGCTTCGCTTGGTGTGAATAAATTTGTAGACTGTGATTTGACGGTACGGTAAACCGTACTGTACTGCGAACAGACGTGTCCATATATTTGCGCGTAGCTCTCTTGTGTTGTTATTGTTATTATTTGTCTCCATCATTTTTTAAAAATCGCCTTTCTCTTCGAATACTGGACCAATTGCTTTGAAATTTTCAGTGAGTAAAGATTGATTTTTTTGCCAGAAGGCTTTTACTTTTATTTATTTCTAAATTTCTCATGAAATCTGATATTTCGTCTAAAATTTCGCTGTGTTATTTTATCTATGGGAATACTGGCTGTCCGGTTTGATTCTGTAAATTATTTCTACGCGAAACCCGGAATTTTTGTGGGTACCGGTGGCGTCAAAGGTAAATACTGCTTCGCTCTGGTTAACGTGTCCATATATTTGAGCACAGCTCTCTTGTTCTTTATCGGGGGATGCTAGCCATTGCCGATGAGACAATAAAGAAAAAAACATAAAAAAAAAGATGAGAGATGACGAAGAGGCCGATGTAAATTATAAGAGTATATTGACAGAAAACGTCAGACCAAATCCTGCGACAAAAAACACAATAGGTAATAAATTTAAAAAAAAAATGGTTGTATAAAAAAACTTGATTGATATAATTAGTAAAAAAATTAGCAAGTCTAATATGACAAGTGTATTTATGAAGAAGGCAAATAAATATATTTGGATTGTTACTTTGCGCAATGGATATATATTACATACTCATTGCTTCGCATAAAGAATATCATGTCTCGATTTTATTAGAAGATGGAATTCTTTATCATGTTCAAAATGGAGAATTCATTAGTAAACAGAAATAATGTAACTAAAGTTGAGATGAACCGTAGTAGTATATATTTACGGATGAACAAAACATCTTATCTCTTAATGAATGCTGATATTATAGAAATACTCAAACTATATGGAGAATGTTTAAATATTCAAAGGGCGTCCGTGATGAAGACAACATAGCAAATGACATTAGATTAATTCAAATAGTTTTGAACAAACATATTTTTTTTTATACCAGGTAGAGTTTACATTCCCTGGCGTATGGGAGGCGGCCAGGTACAACTGACATACAAATCAAAGCTAATCCAAGTTGGCAAACACTGCTACATTTGTACGAGCAACCAACATGTAGCCCCTGAATGGCATTCACATAGGTCGCCAAATTATCAGGGAAAAAACCCACTTACACAAAAAATTGCTGCTTTCAATTAAAACTCAATTTTGTGATCGTTAATGTTACTTTATGCCGTTTAAAGTTTGTAAACATATGGACCTAAGGAATAAAGGCAAAAGGTCAACTCTTCTTCTTCATCTCTGCCTGGTTTTTCCTTGAAATGGATAGGATAGGATTTACATATTTATCCGGGGTAGAGGAAAGCCGATAAGGCGGCTTAATCATATAGCGAACTACGGCCTCTCGTCCGGTTACCAGTCCAGATCGGGTATAGGATTAGTGAGCCAGTTATTTGTTTTCGGAAGCATGGACTTGATGGTGGAGAAAGCCGTCACCGACCAGCGGTTTTGTGAACCACCCTACGGCGGCGCGGAGTCCAGCAATCCTCTCGCACATGACCATCCCCGCATGGGATTCGAACCTGCGATCCCACGAAGGGTAATCAGAGATGCGGTGGCGATCGTATTCCTAACGCTTAGCACGATGCGCCACACCGCCGAGCCATGCCCCACACCGCCGAGTCGAACCGTTGAAAAATTCACTCATGTTCGCTAAACTCGGTTCAGCAGATCAATGAGCATATAGAAACTGCAGCGAAATTGCAACAATCAGTAACAATAGAGGCAGGTGCCTCCCGTTAGGCGAGTTGTCGTCTCTGATGGTCTTCCTATGTAGGCTAGTTGTTCGCTTGTGAAACTAGTACGATATTTTCACTGCGATCGGGCCAGGGAAAAGAGGTTACCTGGTCTTGTTATAAACTATGTGTACATCAGATTTGCATGTATAAAACCCAATAGGATCGGCCTGGTTATAAATGGCTAATCTGTGTCATAATTTGGAATTATGGCTGAATTAAATGTATTTTGGGGGGTCAATAGTATTTCATAGTGGTCTGCATGTGAACAAAACCAATTTCAAAACTCAAAATGTTTGAGTTTAAATTATCCTTGCTTGATCCGAGTGTTCTTAATTACGGTGACGTCATCATATTTTTTATGTATAATTTTATTTTGCAACAAGGTCAATTTTATTTGTATGAGTATTTCAAAGCTTAAAAATAAACAAAGAATCTGTTGTTAGTTGAAAACGAAGTATTTTGAACGCGCGAGCAACGTTCTCTGGCTCATAATAAACAAACAAAGATACCAGACAGCACGAGATCAAATGCTCTTCGATAAAACGAATATCACTTCACTTACAAATCCCACTCTTGTTTTATTTTGAAGGTGACGTAAAGCTCTTCTAAAAGAGAACTCTTTCTCTCGCATATCAATCACGTGTCGACCACAGCGTTAAAAGTGAGAAACTTTTTCTCGAAATGTTTTTTGAAATTTCTCTCTTCTTACCGGCGTACGGCCGTACACATTTGCACCACGTAATTTGGGCGCGTTTTAGTGGAAAGCGACGAAAATAAGCTTTTTAAGGACTCATCAATGATGTTTTTGGCATTTTTGGTTGGTGAAATATTAAAAAAAATTATGGAGGGGTATCAAAATGACCCAGGAACACCGGGGGTTATTAGGTTTTAAGGAAATGGTTCAGGAAGTACCCGGGTTAACGGAAATATTAGAAACAGTCGATGAGCAGGAAATTGATAATTTACTGAATGTGCAGAGTGACTCAGAGATGGAATAAAGGTGCAGGAATGATACTGAATAGTCATCGTCAGACAATACTTCTGAACTATAAAGTTAACAAAGTCAATAAATTTTATCGTTTTGAATGTCTTTTTGTACATGTAGTCCTATTTACTCGAAACAAAATATAAATTTTCATAAACTTGGTAATTTTTATTGAATTGTATTCAAACTGAAATCCCATGGATTAGGATGAGCATGGATTACTATGAGGTGGGACAGAAAAATATGGACTAAAATGAGCTATCAGTACCTGTAACAGGCACGTGGAAAATGGTTTTATTGAAAAAAAAGATGGGTTGAAACATGCAATCCAGTATCTCTGGGGTCAAGGATCGAGAAACATCCATACCACGCTCAGGAAGATATTCTACAAAAAAATCAACTTTGGTGGTAGGAACTGATTCCGGACGTACGTGTGTACAGCCGTGGGTATAACATGTTTGGCCCGGATAAATGAGAACTCACTTTAGTTGCAAGTCTAATCATGGATTATCTTATAAGTTAGGCTGTACGTATTCTGAAGATTTGGTAATTAAATATTTAAAAAGAATTTTCAATGTGGTCACAAATATTACATGTTGAAAATACCAACACGCTATAAAGCACACACCAACACAAAAGTGAAAAGTAACACAATACAAACTTGTACAGAAATTATTACATGATCTATAAACTCGAATCAGGCGGGATATTGTTTCGACGTGGAGTAGAGTATTGTACTCTTGAACAATTCGTCGCTTCTATTTCTCCCTGAGAAGGCCTAGGAGAATCGTACCATGGTTTGTTCGCAGAAGAATTAAAAGTTTCAGAATCGCGATCTTCATTGTTTTCTAACAAGGATGGATGCGCTGCGGCTAAAAGACGTGAGCGCATATCAGAAATATCTTCTGTGGAGGAATATGCAACCACCATTGCATCGGGACATGACGGACGAGGCGTTAAATATTTTTCTGCATCCTCTTGCAATAATGAATCTAAGCTACCACTTCCGTTCTGATTAAAAGCAAGGTATCGGTTACTCGGCATAACTACGGGGAGGGACGGGCGAGGTGCTAAATACTGGATATTTATATGTTCCATTTCTTGGGCTACGCCTCCTGAGCCATGTAACCTTGCTGGTATGTTCATTTTACAATGACGTGTTTGTTGATTTGATATAGAAATTGGAGGAGGTGATTCAGGGGCATAAGAAATATCGATGGTCGGCTTTTCCTGTGGTATAATATCCTTATATTTTACAGATTGCACCCTATCCCCGTTAGTAGAGTTATTATTGGTTGTATATTGCACTGTTTGTATTATTTCTTCATCTCCCTCCACAGGGTCATATGAAACTGTTGGAAGGTAATCAATACATGCTGACTGTAAGATGGAATTGTACTGCGCACCGGAAAGATCATCACAGTCGGAAAACTCGTCTGATGTAACTGTTATGTATGAAGCTCGTGCTGCTGCCCCTCCAATTGTTTCGTATAAATTGCCGGTTGCACACTTGTCCTGTGCATTGTTCCCGGCGCAAGACGCTCCAAACGTTGACATAGTTGCAGGAACCGGTAACAAAGGACGAGTACCCTTTCGAAACAAACCACCTTCTGCTGGAAGTTCTAATGTTGTTCCGACAACGCTAAAAGATTTATTTTCAACGTAGTGAGATTCGGGGTAGTTGACGGAAGTTTCCAAAAATGGTCCATATTTATCGTCAAGTTCTGCTAGTCGCCTTCGTCTCAAATCTTCCTCATCATTCTGTCGTCGTTGCCTGCTGGATTTCCTGCTAATCTTGTGTCCTTTTTTTGTTTTTCTTGTCGCTGTGTCATCAACGCCAACAAGTTGCCCATACATTGCATTGTTGACAGATTCAATGCTAGGATTTCTCATAATTCCTGTAACTCCGGTCGTAGTCTGTGAATACTTTACTGAAGAAACCCTTGTAGAGCGGCTTCCCTGTAACATACATAATCAATTTTTAAATTAATAAATGATGAGTTATGCGTTCTTAACAAAGATTAACACATTGAATATCACAGAATAGAATAAAAAAAACTCATTCCAAAACGAATCTTTACCTTTGATTTTCTTCTTTTACATTTTGAATTTCCAGACTTCCTTCGGACAAAAATGAGAGTCAGTATAATAACAATGAGAACAAAGATTCCGCCGCAACCAAGCGCTATTATATGGGTGTAGTCGCCAGTCTCGTCGTCTTCATTGTTGTTCATATAATTTTCGACGGAATTATTTCCAGTCGCCCCGTGAAGGTAAGTGCTTGCTGCAAAGTTTGAATATTATATCAATAATATAAATATATATAGGAACAGAAGTATAAAAGGATATAGTTAGTATAAAAGTAACAGAATATAAATATCATCAATAAATCTATCGATTTTTATTTAGGATTACGTCTACTCACTGTGAGAGGGAATTTCGCAACATTAGAAAACAGCAATAATCATTTGATTTCAAGTTGTGGGGAATCCTGTACACTAGCGTTTCCCAAACTTTTTCGGCCGCGGAACACTTACACTTTTTATCCCGCCTCGCGGAACACCAAAAAATGAAAGGGTCAAATTGATAAAGGAACAGTGCAATGTAGCGGTTCCCAATGGGTTCGTCGTGGCGAGTTGAAACTAACAGAATTGTGTTAAACAAACCCAAAATATGATTGAATATTTTACATATTTCATTTTTTATAAATGTTTTATTGCTTCTCAATTTGAATGCTGTGTATATGAATCAACAAATTTATTTTACCTTTCTATGTCGTTTACTTTCCATTACGCAGTGTTTGCCTCTTCTAATGTCACGTCTAATGGAGATAGACGTAAGCTACTTGCTGCAACTTTGCGAGCTGCAGTTTATTTATCTGCTGAATCGAGTTCAGCGAACATGAGTAATTTTTTCAGCATTTCAAAGTAAAACTAGGCAGAGATGGCAAAAAAAGAGTTGACCATTTGCCTTTATTGTTTATACCTACTTGTTTGCCTATAGCAAAACCGAAAGGATTGATGCAAACCTGAAAAAAGACTAGGACGACAGTTAACGAAAATGCCACTAACCTACCTTAGTTAGTTCCCTTTAGGCCAACGGTGACGCGATATTGAACAGTCAGTTGGGCGACAACTTCACAATCGCTAGATCGCCATTGGACCCATTTAGATGTATTTTTGATTCATTTTCCACGGAACACTCGAAAGACGCTCGCGGAACACCAGTGTTGCGCGGAACACAGTTTGGGAAACGCTGCTGTGCACATTTGTGCAGGTGGTTTTTCTATCATTTCGAAAACTTGTGTCGACGTGTATCATTTTCTTCTGAGTGCCCACCAACGATGGGAACTTTGTAAAGTAATTTTATTTATTAAAAGTTAACTTGTGAAAATTCTGCGGTGCATTCCCGCAGTCGATTGAGATGTTTTATATTTCCAAAAATGCATACTTACTTGTAATAGAATCCATCTTGGCTTCAGTGGTGAGTTCGTAATTTTCTGACTTGAATTTAATCTTAAATTCGGCCTTTTTGAATTCTATCTTGATTTTGTGCAGATCAGTATGTACTTTGAAATGACGAAAGTTATCCAAATCGTTATCACCTACTTTACACAGTTTATCCCTTTTTTCCGGCAGCAACGAGAGTTCTTCACCGTAAATATTCACACCTGAAACATAATGCAGGTATAGAATGTCTAGAATGCTCAGTATCAGCTATGACATAATTATTATTATTCAGCGCACTACTTTCTGATGGACTTATAAAACCTAACCAGATCTCAGTTTTATGCTCTTACGCAAACATGTCGAAATATTTAAAACTGATCACACAATAAAACATCCTTGAGCACTTTATATTTAAAAACATGAAGATCAGTCTTTTGTCTGTCAGGTAAGCAGGCCTGAATAAACTGGTGGTTTTGAATATATGTAGTTCTACTTTGGTACTCAACTGTCCATCTTTATACGTGCACCAAAACGTATGCGAAATGACCACTTCAGCCCTGACTTCTAAGTTGACCCACCGGAACATACTACTGTATTTAATATTGAAGGAATTGTCAAATAACACCGATTCAAGCTTCCATAATCGCCATATTCCATACCGCGTTAAGTAGTTTTTGTAGAGAATCAAAAATACTAATATATAATTACTTTTTATAATGACGTATCCTGTTTTGCATCTGATGGTACGAGATCGTTTCATTTCAAGATCTGAAATCTCTGCTGTTATTCCCTCAACCAGCGATGTCAATGTTATCGAGCAAACCTCATTGTTCTTCTTCACGGTAACTTCTTTTTCATTCTTGCGAGCCAGCAGATCTGCGTTACAGTCTGAAAATATTCAACTTCAACAAAATTTTTGCCAGTAGTCTACTAATCATTACATTTGTTGCGATTGTTTTAATAGTTGCATTTTACGAATTTTTGTGTCACCTATAAATTTAATTTACACTCTAATATTTATCCAACACCAACTTTAATCCGATTATATTGCGTAGATCATCTAATTGTACAATTACTGCTACGTGAGTCACAACGAGTCATTATGACGTAACATAATTGCGTCATGCAAAACAAATTTAAATCTGGTGACAATAAAAAATTGAACAATGAAAAATTATTTATTTTCAATGACAAAACAAAGAAAATTAAATGGGAGGTACGCGCGAGAAGCTTTCATGGTTGTAATTTCGTTAACATGAAGACACAACCGCATTGAGTAGATGTAGATTGTTCGTTAGTCCCAAGTAGTTCGGCCTTTTGCGGAGGGTAGGGTCTGTACTCTGTGTGTAATGATTTACCTGCAGTTACGATAAATTCAACAGATCCAGAAGTATATCTGTCACAGTATCCAAATCTGAGTTTTCCCATCGATGAAGCAGGGTCCGGAGTACGCCTTCCTTTGCAAAATAACAGCGGTCTAGTAACCACTTGGTTCAGTCTAGATTCCACCATAACTTTCGAATATCTATCAATAAAATATGTTCACTAGTTTCAGGAATATAATTAAGAACAGTATTCATTGTAATCTTACATATTCCGAATAAAAAGTTCCTCGGTACAGAAATGCATCCGATTACCATTAGGCAAGGTAGGCTGAAGCCATGCAGCACAAATATTAATTTGCAGTCTGAATACTGCAATATCTAAATCAGGGTTTCCCAAACTGGGGGGCGAGAGGTCGAGCAACAAATTTTAGGGGTCGCGAAGGGCACGGCACACCAATATCACACAAAGTTCGATATTTATTGAAACTAGTGCAAAACATAAATCTCACGATTTCGAATATATATGATCGGAGTAGCGGCACGCTTGCATAACAATGTCGGCTTTAATTGTTAGACCCGAGACGTGGCGTGTTTCCAAAACACCCGCATGCTGCATAGAAGTATCAGACGGGCCGTATGTTGTGCAGGCCTGTGTTAAAGTATCGTACTGAGATAGGCAGTGTATACCTGTTGAACTGCTATAAATTCAATCCCCTATCCAATCTATATGAGTCCATATCTTGCCTGTAACTAATATGTCGTATTTCGCATAATTTATAGATTTATTTGTGACGTCCTAATACATTTATATAAATTGCAAGACATATTGTGACGTCATAATAGATTCTTTATGTCATCATAGTTAAATGGTGTCTTAAATTGCATAACCTAGCTTAGGGCTAACTGGCGGACCGCGGTCCGAATCCGGACCTCTCGGGTATTCCATTCGGACCGCGCATAATTCTTTATTTTGGATCATTAGCCCCACTTTTGAAGTTTCATTTTATAAAATCATTTTTATAGATTTGAAAATATATATAAAAATAACTATAACGCCATAACAAACAATCTTGATTAGCTAATTAATAACCATTAGTCGGCCGAGGAATTGTGTGTTTGAGGATGCCAAAATATAATTTCTGGAAAGTCCGGACCCAAATATGTTTTAAGTTTTGTATGCGGGACCTTCTCAAATGCCGGGTGAAACATGGTTACATGTGTAATTTTTTGCAAACTTTCAAATGTAGTCTTAATGTGTTTTTCTTTTCGCCTACGATTTTGTAGTCTACTACCGTGTTTTCCCGAAAATAAGATCTACCCTGAAAATAAGACCTAGTCAATAACGCAATTTTTACCTAGTCGGTGTCAAGAAATCTCTCCTACACGTTTTAAATGATTACTAATCTAGGTTTTGCAGTTAAACTGTTATTTATAAGTAAATGGATATCGGTTTTCATATTTTGTATATTTGAAAATTTCGTAATTCTCTCCTTTGTAATTTTGTTTTTGATAAATGAAAATATAAGACATCCCCCGTAAATATGCCCTAGCATTATTTCTCGGAAGAAATTCGAAATAAGACCCAGTCTTATTTTCGGGGAAACACGTTACCAGTAGTGATAACAAAATTATCTTTGTCCACATGTATCACCCGGGACGGTTTCAAGCCTAAACGACATTCATAGTTACGAAATACGGTGACAGTTTATGTCATATTTATGTCTACAATTTCTTCGTTTTCTATTTATGTACATAATATTTTATAAAAGTACCTTTCAGAATTTTCGTCGCAGTCCGGACCCCCAAGCTGGAACTTTGTAAATTTCAATGTCAAAAATTTGTCGGGATCTGCAGTCTCGAAGACATATTCAATAGATGTTCCATTTTCTGATGGTGTTGGAAGATAAAATTTAACTTCTCTTGTTAAATTAAACATAAATGTTTTTGTTTCAAGATTGCTTACATCAGAACCGCATATATTAGATTCAGCACTGGCCAACCCGGAATTTTTTCCTATCATAAAGCTCATCGCAATAAATAGGAGTAGTATCTGCCGCAAAATCATCTTCTCGCGAAACACGGGTGTTGATGTTGTGAGCAAATTCATTTTAAACTTAGCAATATATCTGCTATCCGAGCAAATCAACGGACAAATAAAATATTTCCAAATATTTTAGTGTAACTCCATTTGCGACACTTCTGTCGACCACTTCAAGTTGAATTCAATTTTTACATAAAGTATTTTGAAACGTTATTTTTCCATTGAATGTATATCTAACACATAAGTTATCTTTATTTCCTGCACCACCAGTCAGAAAGATACCACGGTATTACTCATTGATTTAATGGCACAAAACGAATGGCCAGAAACAACATAAGACTATGTCGTCATTCATCGTATTATCATCAACAAAACAAATTAACATTATACCTAATATGAACCAGTAATGTTGTTGCATAAGCTATGTACTCAGAGAAATTTAACTAGTGGACGTGCTACACTCAAACTAATTTTAATAAAACTTGGGTTTTGCGAATATTCCACACTTCACAATTTAGCCCTTGAAGCGAAAGTCTATTTGGTCCCAGACTGCCAAATCTACACGCTGAACATTACCAAAAGATTAGGTAAGATTGATCAAAAACAATAAAATCAGAATTTCTCTTCAAAACATTTATGCTGGAAAAAATACAACGCACTGTAAACAACGAAATGCTGTATGACTATCAAACAATACCATAAACGCTTCAACCAATATACCGTATGGGAAGTCACTGAAACAATTTTGACTAACCTTCCTGATTATACCTGACTCAATGGCTTTGATCTGTCGATGTCCTGAAAACGCGGAAGTGATGAAACGAAATGATGCTATTCTAACCGTTTCCCACACAAAAACATTCAAATGGTTTGGGACAAGCTTGATGTAGAATTCGAGTTGCGGTTCATCCATGCCACAGGCATAGCCACGTGAACCTAATGTCGAAGATTGTATATGGGTCTGCCTATATTCAATATACAGAGAAGAAGCTAATTAAGCAATGCACAGAATACCACCACGGTCTTACGTCCGCATGAACTAAAGTTTTCCCCGCATAACGTCATGAAACCTCTTGCTCAACTTCCGTTTTGAGACCATATCTACTGGTACGTGGTCACAAGGCGTGCGGGTACGTATTAGGCATGAAATGACGCCGTGTGTATAAATCTCACTTTCTGTATGACAGGACAGTTAGCATGACGAGTTGAAATATTCAATATGATTTAGTTCTGCGTCATAGGTTTCACCACATGATGAGTATTCGATTGCAATTGTGAGCCACATTTTTTTAGGTGTATATTGTCAGCAACACAAAGTCGTATTTTTTGCTATAGCTAATTAGCCTTCCCTGCATAAAACGTTGTCAAACGTAACGATCGAGAGAGCTGAGGATTTGATGCTTGCAATTTATATATAAATGCGAGTGTAAAAATTGTTGTATTGTGCTTAATGGCCATTAGTGTGTGACTAAACTGCACAAAACTGTGCACGTTTATCGTGCAACTGGATTCGTGTCTGTTTGATGGTTGAGGGAATTTTGGCGAACTATACTATAACACTTTTCCGATTGGTATAAAATGACGTGAATCAGACTGTATCTAGACAATTTCTTGGATGAAGAACCTGAAACATCAGAAAACACAAAAATTCTATATATCTCTGTCTATCTAGATTCTCGAGCGTTATGTAAGAAAACGGGGCTGTGTTAAATGTTGCGTTTGCGAAAAGATGCCGATAAATTGAAGTTGGCCTATCAGTGATGTTACACAAAGTGTAATGATTGCGTATATTGGTCAAAGCAAGTGATAGATAGTACTTCGTCACGCTTGTGCATGTGTTTTTATTTCAATATAAACCTGTTTATACAGTTGATAAGATAGGAAAAGTAAATGAAACTCATTGTACTGATTTGTCGCAAAGTTAGGCTCACTGTGTGATCTTGTTGTTTCAAAGACACTTCCGCCTATAGTCCTTTTTCCCGCGATTCCACAGTGTTGCCTCACAGCAGCCCCAATCGCATTGAAATTAACATTTGAAATTTAAGCAGAAATGTCATTTCAATGAATATATCTGATTTATGTCCAATTCCACTTGATTTCGGAAAACCCTGCTGAGTTTTAAAACTGTTGAATGACGCTGTACTTGTCTGAAGTTGAATCACTATGAACTATTTTGTGATGTCATTCTCTTCGTATTCATAAGCGGCTATAATACCGCTGTCATTGTCGTTCGCTGTATGCACCTCGCGGACAATAACGGGTCGCGGGCATCATGTGCAACATGAGATGATGCTGACAATAGGCCTGTCTTCTCCCGTCGAAATCTTGGCACAGCAGCCACGCTCAGTGACAACTTTTTTTGGTGATTCAGTATTTTTATCGGTGGCGTGGTTTTCTGCATTGATATTGTCTTCGTGTTCTTTCTTACAAACAAAAGTAGACACCGCGTATTTTTCGCCGTTGATGTGATTTGCTTTAACTATTGATGGTAATGCATCCGCCGTAATCTGTTGCAATAGAGATAATTATAAATATTTAAAAACATGCTTAAATGGTATACATGTAAAGTATGTCCTTTCATCCCGACGATATTCAAAAACAAAGCGGGATCGATTATGCCTGGTACTTAATCATGAAAGCGACTTCTCATAAAATTTGTTCATCGATATTGACCAAAATTCTGAGAAAAACGTGGAACTGCGATTGGGAAACTGAATTACGGGCACGCTTTTGTCAATTGTTGTTGTTCTTATTTCTTTTCAAAATACTAAACCAATTGCCTTCCATTTTTGATCAATAAAAGATGTCAGTGTCGAATAATGGAAGATTAATATATTTTTTTCAATTTCCTCCGAGATCCGTGGAGATCGTTTGTCACCCCAAATATTTGTCATTCTGGACAAATTGCGCAACCATGTGTTTTTTGGCGATCAGTTTCGGCGAACGAACGGCATCTGATGGTGCCGTGCACTTCGTTTTGTAATTTTGTTTATTTACGTGATAATATTCTGGGTAGTTGACTGAATGTCCAAAGGTGTGCGGGGTAAAACTTCTAAAATTCATAACACTGGATTAATAATTTAATACATCTACGTAATCTAGCTTACCGGTTGACGAGGCAGCATGGGGGTGTGGAGTCTAGTTGTAGCCGTCTGAGGTGATTTTGGTATAACGACTGTAGGATATTTGCCTCGAGTTGAATTCTTTCCGATCAAAGCTTCTTTGATTCTAAAATAGCATCAAAATGCCAACAGAATACAATAAATAATATGAGAGAATAATTTACAAGAACAAAAGAATACTGTATCCTACCTTTGTCTGAAACCGCTACCTGAAAACGCATATAGTAAAGGATTCAGTGCAGAATTGATGTACAATAAGCATACACTCCACCATCGAAATACAAGAAAATATCTGACTGTTGCTTTGATCTGAAATTGTAAAAAAATCCATTGAAAATTATTATACACTATTCATTTAATGAGTTAAAAGTTGTCATAGAAATCATATTTGTTCCTGCTGTTTGTATCTTTTTTATGTGAAATTTTTGTTCACTTGTGTATAAGATTAGTTTTCACAATTGTGCTTATTTAAGAATAAAATTCATTTCTTACTTATTAAACCTGGAGTCATCAAACTGAGAACCCATACGGTGTTCAGAATTAAATTGGGAAAGAAGCAGACCAAAAACACAGACGTAACAATCAGGATCAATCTTGTTATCTGAAATAAGTAATATATATACATAATTGTGACATGTTATGCAAAGTCCATGTCTCTACAAACCAGCCCCCTTTTCAAATTCTATTTTTACCAACTGATCCCGCTTTTGCCTAGCACGTTTACCCGTAAAGCGCAGTACAAAAAAATAATTGATAGTCAAAATTATGTTTAACATTATCTTTTTAGAAAATTATTTTCTATACCACTAACGACCCTTATATCGATGAAAGCTCGCTTGATTCAGTAATTGAACGTTAGATTTACGTGTACTCGCCCGAAATAAAAGTAAAACCTATGGATCTTTCCCCGAGCATCGACTTCCTTGTTTACTCCGTGACATTGGCCAATCAGCAAGATGCAAAGAGTAACGTAACAATGCTCCCTTTTCGCATCCGCTCAGACAATTTTCTCACTCAGACAAATTTTCAGGCGTGGTCGTAAACATTACCTTGTTTTCGCGTTTTTGAACTCTATTCGTTAGTTTTCAGTTGTGTTTCGGAAATTCAAGTATAAATCAGATAATTCAATGATCACTCTGTCTTCTTAGGAGTTTTAATTTAATTGCAGTAATGAAAAGTTAGTGTAGAAATAGCTGTGATAGACTGGGCAAAAATATATTACCGGTACTTCTAAAAAACAGATTGTTGTATGCGATGAATCATAATGATGGTTTGAAACACATTTCCCATTTTACAGGCGCCAACTCGCAAAATCACTCTTAAAATAAGCCCCGAAAATTTTGCAATGGTAAAGTATAGGAGGAATTTTTCAGGGGTCAAAAGTCGGAGAAAGGTCCATACCGTGTGCGCCTTCTGGCGAATATGTGTTAGTTAGCGCAATATATTTGTGTTTTTTCTTACTGTAGAAGCAAATATTTATTCACAGATTTTTAACACCACAAATTAAGGAGGGATTGATCCAAGGGCGCACTCTCACTCAGAGCCAAGATAATCCGCATACTTCAAAGCCAATGAAACTCAAAAAGAGTGACTTCAGAATCAATACACGTACTAATAAATTGCCGGTAGCTACACGACATTGTGTGGATAGGGAACTCCCTTCTTTCTAAGGTTGTTTCTTAACCATAACATTTATGCAAATTCACCTGGAACCGCAAAACCACAGACATTATTGAGCAAGGTCGTTCTGCAGCATTTTTGTTGGGAATTGAGAACTGCAATTCCTCCGGGTTTTAAATTTTTCATACCACTCAATTCAAAAGAAAAATGTATACAAATTCTTCTCAAACATTAATATTGATAATATGTTTTACAAATATTGTAATTGATGATTACCAAGCATTCTGATTCAACAGGGATTTGCTAATAGGAATTGCGATTCCATTCGTTGTTACCGGACGTTCGGGTGATAAATTCATTTTGATATGAGATGAATTCATTCCAATATGAGATGCATTCATTTCAATAGGTGATTTCGTAAAATAGATACGAGATAATGATCACGATTACGAGTACGCAATGTCGCAACACGTCCGGAAGTATTGCTATTGCGTTTCCATAAGATAGATTGTCAGAATATCTGGAGTCAAACGGTGCGGTTGTAATTAATTTTTGCCAGACGTCTTGGACTCTGTAGAATCGACTCTCGTCCTTGTTCTATTACTCGACTCTGTCGGAATACTAAGATAAATAATACCAGACCAGATATACTGTATATGGTAATTATACTTTTGTCATTCATTTACAATTCGTGATTCAGATTTCAAATACGGGAACACTGGAGACTTATATTAAAAATACGAGCAACAAAACATAAATTTTGGAAGGAAAACAAATATTTAAAATATAGAATCTAGGTATTTTTTCAAAGATAATAAAATAGAAAATAAAATGAACTACATACTCTATCTTGCTCTCGTTTATGTGCTTGTGCTTTGTGATCTTTATCTGATGTTGTTGCTTTTTTCTTTTGTTTCTGTTGAAGAACGTATAATCTATGCAATTATATCGGGAGCTATTTAATTATATAGCAGAAAGAAATACTATACTACTTGTTTTGAAAAAAAAACATGAGACGATAATATTTTGAAATCATCCGCATTATATCTCACGAAATCGGAAAAATATTTCCCTTGTTCGACCTGAAATTATCTCAATATTCTAGTATAAAGAATATATTTTTGCTATCTAAATAGTTTATAAATATTTCATCTATAAAAACAAATCCCAGCAGCGGAAAAATAAAAGTACAATTCCGCTGTCACGTACGTACACGTAAATTTGAGTATATTACGTAAACTCATTTGGACAAAATTTTAATAAATAGTGGAATTTTATAAAACAAAAAAACATGTATAAAAATTGTGCATTCAAAATTCCATTAATTTACTGCAGGGTTGAATCAATGGGCAATTGACCTATTGTTGAATATTTATTCCAAAAATGCAATTACATCGTTCACAAAAGCGTAAAAATGGTTCATAGTCCATTGAAATTATAATAATTTATGCCAATGGGAAATAGAATGCCGTATTATCTGCTACCTTTCAAAAAATAAAATATGCATAATATTCGTGAGTAACGGACGCCGAAATCCATATGAACTAAGATATTCCCCACTTTTTGCCACCGACATTATTGCATCATTACGTTATCACTATAATTTGAAGTTACCATCCAAAGTGCGAAAATTTAACTATTCAATACTGTAAATATAGAAAGCAGAGGACAAAATATTGGGATACGATAGTGCGGGAAAACTACAGCCTTTCAACCCTATATTAACGTACCTACCAACGTGCATAAGTAGCTATCTGTCTAGGCTAGAGTCTTGTTATGAGCTAAGAAGTGAGGGAACATTAAAAAAAAGTAGGGTGTATTGAGTATTTTTCTTTAATACACAGTGGAAACTATCTGCCAGTGGCTTATGTGGTTGCACAAATAAATTTCCTGAGACATAATTAAATTTCATCATACCTTTTCTCTTCTCTTTCTGAGAAAATGAACAATTGTGGCATTGCAAAAGACCATGATAATTGACGGTACGAGAAACACAACGAAGAATCGAAACACTGTGTGAATGGTAGCGATCTTCTCAGCTGTCAAGGTTTCAGACAGACTAAAATAATAAATGCACAAACTTATCTTTGAGTCTAACTAGTGAGTAAGTAATGTAACGAGGTAGTTGGGTAAAACTAAGGCACGTGAATAAAAAAATTCATCGCCATGCCATAAAACCATAATTTAGGAACTCACATCAAGTGAAAAATCGGCATGTTGTGAGTTATTGCTCTGTACTTGAGGAGTACAGCAAAAAAGCATTCATGTCATTATAAGGCTGGATTTTGCACTAGGCTAATAATAACAAAAACGTCCACATTTTTAATTTATGTGATGCTTCAAACTTTGAAAAAATTAGGTTCACTTTTGATTTGCATTACACGCAAACATATACAACTATCGTGGTAAATTTTTTTTTCAAGTACAAAAGCCGTAAAACGTATGTATATTTCAAAATAACTATGACAATGGCAGCAATAAATTTATGAATGGTTTTCAACACTTTTGTGTTGGATGTCTGAAAATAAACTTGATTAGATAAAACTTCTAATTTATAATTATTACATAAACTTACTCTTCATACTTCAGAGAACATGCCATTACGTTGCTTCCGTTTATAACTTCCCTGCATAGAAAATAAAATATTGAAATGAATATTATTTTAACTTTATAGGTAACTTTATTGTTGTATTGGTATCTTTCCAAATTTCACATCTGACTATGCCCAATTGTTTTTCGACATCGTAGTGCTTTGCTCTAATAAATTATTAAAGTTTCCGATGGTTTGACTCACAGAAATTAAGCACGATGTTTGATTTGGAGAAAAACACAAACATTACGTCATATAATTAGTACGCTATTAACCTCTAAAGTCTAAAATGTTTCCGGTCGTGGTTTTAATGCAAGAGGTTGTGATCAAGTTCTTAAACCTAAAAATCATTTAAGACGTTTGCAACTTTATCTCATTTCGAGGTGCACATCGGAATGGGGAGGGCTGTTTACAGATATACATGAATTGTTATCATAGCTCTATTATGAGATATCAGTACTGCAAATTTTGGGCGACTCCGTCACTAAATATATACCGTGTTTCCCCGAAAATAAGACAGAGTGTTATTTCAATTTTCTTTCGAATAATAACACTAGGGCTTATTATTGGGGATGTCTTTTAATTTTATTATTCAAAAACAAAATTACAAATCACAGAATTACGAGATTTTCGAATATACAAAATATGAAAAAAATTTCGCATCATTGTATTAGATCTTATTTTACGGAGAGGGCTTATATTCAAATCAATTTCAAAATTTAGGCTAGGTTTTATTTTCAAGCTAGGTCTCATTTTCGGGGAAACACCGTATGAATCAAATATTTGTTACAACTATTCTATTGAAATTTCCAGAGGAGTCTAAGCCTAAATCCGACTCACTAAGCAACAGTTAAATTATCATATGTGGTTCTGAAGCTGTTTATTAAAACATAGCATTTAATTTCCTTGTGACTAAATAAAATTATAATAATTGGAAATAGTATATATAAAAAGTGAACATACGAAACACGTGCTGTGATTGTTGCTGGAACCATATACAGGACGGAGAATGACCAAACCACTATTATTATAATATTTGCTCTTTTTGTTGTCCGAACGCCCATCATTTTAATCGCAAACACCACATTCTGGAAAATGAATTTATCTCTGGATAAACGCTTTAATACCTTGCATGTATAATAAAGAATTAATTTTGAACCCGTTAGTCATTCGAGAAAACAATCTCAAAAGGTCACAAAACAGTTAAATTTTCCCGCGTCAGTCCAGAGTTACGTCAAAAATATTAAGTACTTTATACGTCAGGAAGCAAAGAAATGAAGCACTTAACAGCAATCTCCTGGTACGGTAAAGGTCCGATACCTGTTTATTCAATATACACAAAAACGAAAAATTGTCACGTAGAAACAATGCGCCATTTCTGAAGACAAACCGACAGACAGAGATACCAAGAGGTTGAAACTTCAGGTTATACTTTACTTATCTTAGATAAGTTATCTATACCCGCTTTTGTCAGACGTAAACGAGAACTTGATCAGGAATCCTAGCCCTACGTACAATCTGGATCAGGTGTAGACAAATGGATTATTAACGGTAATGCCACGAAAGGCAAATGAAGACCAGAACATTGACTCATCTATTAATAAGGTCAATTTGTGAACTCGGGGGAAAATGTGGAAAGCGAAAAGGTTAATAGGATTTGTCATCAAACCACGGTCGAAGTATAAATAAGAGATAGGTATAAAACTTTACTACGTTCTCATCCGGTTTTCCAAAATGAAAAATTGTATTTTGACCAGCTACAGGCAGATGCTGGTGGAGAAATGATTCGTGGTGGGCAAGTTTTATGGATCAGGGGCCAAAAATTTTCCCCACCTACACTGGCGGGCCATGTAAGCGTGACGTAAAAAGTTACATTTCATGATCAATATTTACAGTGTTAAAAAACAAAAGTGGAAAACAATAAGCCTCGTGTCGAAACTAAATTTAATCGCAATCTCAACAAATTCTTGGAGCTATTTTTAGCTAAAACATCAAGGATTGGTTTTAGTTTGGTTGTGGCAGCATCGGGCGGACCAGATTGAATTACCCAGCGGGCTGGATTTGGCCCGCGGGCCGTAGTTTACCAGTGTCAGGGATAAAACGTGAAACGGAACCGCACAGGGAATGACATCTACTCTGATATATTTACCAACTAGGTCATGTGCAGCGATCAGAGTTGCTACAAAATACAAATACCTAAATCTCCTTTTTTGATGTGTGCTTAAGTCGGTTCTGGGCTCAAAAGAAGCTTTTCGGGAGCCGCGATGACACGTCGTGGTATCAGAAAACGGACGAACACAGTTCTGGTCGCGAAGGGACCACAGCATGTTGTTCCTAGTATCACTGCGTAGCCTGCCACAGTTACCTCACCATAGTCAGTAATACATAGAAAGGACTGTTTCACGAATTAATTGGTTACCTGAAATCTGTCCACGCTCATCGCAGTCACAATCAAAACTCCAGCACACAAAGCAAGATAGTTGACACTGACAAATAATTTGCAGACTACTCCCCCAAATATCCATTGATTTCTGTAATAAAAAAACACTCACTGTAGTAGTAAGTGGAATTATCTTTGTCATATAATCGAGAACGTTATATTATCATTTACACGCGGCGGTGTGGCTCAACGGGCTAAGCGTTAGGAATGCGCCTCTAATTACTCTGCGTGGGTTCGCATCCCATGCAGGGATAATTATGTGCGAGGGGATTGCTGGACTCCTCGCCGTCGTTGGGTGGTTCACGTAACCGCTGGTCGGTTACGGCTTCCTCCACCACCAAGTCCATGCTTCCGAAAACAAACAATACGGTAAAAAACTAATCCCATACCCGACTAGGAATGGTAACCGGACGAGAGGCCGTGGTTCGCCATATGGATAAGCCGTCTTATCGGCTTTCCTCTCCCCCGGGATAAATATGTAAATCCTATCCTATCCTATATAATGATCCCCGTGATAGAAATATTCATGATTGGAAGGTTTGGATTACTCCAAACAAGAGTTTACCCGATACACACGCTGTAGAGAACAGGGCTGCAATTCAGAATTCCATTGCGTTAACATTGTTATCTCATTGCGTTCTTTTTAAATTCATTCAATATATTATATACCATCAGGCATGTTTATTCCCACAAGATTCCGTTGTTCACCATAGCATTGTTTATCACAAAGAAGCTTGCCTTCAACAGTCATGATATTTTGTGTTCTCTGCGTTTTGTCACGCGCGCATCAAGTTTGTGACGTCAAACATTGTTTACAGATATTTTGACAAAAAATAAGATATATCCATAAACAAGGGTTGCCCAACCTTTTTGGCCAAAGGGCCACATTTAGTTTACGAATGATTGCGCGGGCCACTTGACATGGTTGTTATGTTCTAGTTTTCACTACACCGACTACAGATTAATGAAAAAACAAACAAAATCCGAAATTTTTTTAAAAACAATGAAAATACGAAGATGCAGTTAAATCAAAAGTATTTACCACACGTAGATATTTTAATGTCAAGTACGACACCGCTTTTATTCAATAAGTTTGTCAATGTACTGTGAGATGGGCGAATGCATAGCGAATTTTTCATATGACTGTCAGAAATTAGTGATCTCACGGTGGATTTGACATGGTTCATACGCGAAAAAACTTGCTCATACAAGTAGCCTAAGCGCTGTCAAATATTGAGGTCATAAAAACTGCCTCTTCTAGCTTCACAGAAAAACAGATTGAAATACATGGCAGACGATTAAAATAAATTCAAACATCTCTCTCCAGCAATAACGATCACAAAGGGACATAAATAAGCTTTCGGTAGCTGGGTGCTTCTCGCGCGTTTAAATGACGAGGAATAATTTTTTTATTAGAGGTTTTAATAATGGCCCAGGTTTGTTAAAGACATTGGGATTCGAATAATACCGTGCGGGCCACTCGGAAACCTTCGGTTGGCCACATATGGCCCGCGGGCCACAGGTTGGACGACTCTGCCATAAACAATAAATTTTTCTGGAATAGGAACGCTGATGCATCACGCCAAATAATATTGTTAGGAACGGTCACATATGACGCCATTCGTCTGATTCCCAGTCTTGGTCTAAGCTAGGATTTCTAATGCATGAAGTGCCTCCTTCATTTTTCTGTGCCAGTTATCGATTCACGTTTCAATATTTCGTATTGGCGGTGGGTATATGCCGTTATAAATGTGACCTATTTTATTGAAAAAAATTCCCAGGTAAAAGCTCGCGCTTGAACATTGAGTGACTACTATAGGGTTCTTTCATTCTTGACTGTATTGAACTTGACTGTATTGCAAGCTTGATATCGATTTTTAATGGATAATTTGATAAGCGATGATGACGATGTATTTGAAGTGTGCACTAATATAATGAAATCCCAAAATGTGAGGGAAGAGAAAGCTTTCGTTTTATTGCAAGGAATGAATCGTTCGCATGCAAAGAATTTGGGTTCAAGCGCATTTAAAAATATTTAAAGTTGAAAATTAGGATTGTGAACTACATAAATGTTACACTTCACTCACCCCATCAGCATGTCCGTTGCTGTAATTGGCAGCATCGCAACAAACAGAAAGTCACTGATTGCCAATCCAAGAATATAAAGATCCGTCACAGAACGATTTTTCACAACCTTCATTAGCGTGTACAATATGATTCCATTTCCCGCGACACCTTCAATAAAAAAACAAAAAGACATAGTATCGCAGGCTACTGTTTTTGAATTAAAAATAAGTCAATTTTAGATGATAATAGAAACCTAATTAAAGTTTACCTATTGCTTATTCCGTGAAGCAAGTACTGCAATTCGGGAATACTTATAGAAAACGCATAATCCCGTTTGACAATGCCGACCTGTAGTTGGTTGCTTAATTTTTTACTGTGAATGACTTGCAAAGTCAATAAATCTTTTTGTATTAGGTTATACGTGAATTTTTAATGAGTTCATTCGTATAAAACTATTTTAATTTTGTTTTTTCCCTACCTTTTTTTCATAAATACCTAATAGTATCGTTAAAGAAGGTGAGCTTATCAATTCAAACGCCTCGACTTATACACAGGAAAAGAAGATTTCTTGTCAAATAGTTTCAAACGATCCTATCGTAATTCCAAAATTTCAGTTTAGAAAAAAGACTGAATTATTAATATACTCACCAAAAATAAACACGGCTATGTAAATTGTTGCAATCACAATTCTCACAGGTTGCATTGGATCAGACATATCAGTGACATTGAAAGTCTTGGTATTAGTTTCATCTTTCTAAAAACCGAAAAATTTTATGGTATAAAATGTGTGGTTAAGATAAGATTTAAAATAAACGCTCAAAATTTTAGGATCATATCACAGGTTTATTTTTTTCCCCAAAATTTCCAAACTATTTCGTCATGTACTCTATGTACCGAGCAGTGAAAAGCAATAAAGATTGTATAGACTCTCCAAATTGTATACTATAGCGTATATTTGTTTACTTTCCTATACATACGTTGATACGAAAAGTGCATGAGGACTTTAACCAAAAAGGGCGACACTTAGAAAAGCTGTTCTGAGAAAATGGGAAAACGTATTTATTTTGATCATTTTATTGAATTTCATCAAACTGTGATTATATGCTACAGAGGCAATGTTTTTGTTAATGCTGACATTTCATTTCAACAGAAAGTCAAATTTTTATAAAAAATACACAAATTTTATTATTCGCCACATTATACATCATTGTGCAGTTGTCAGTGTACATTAACAGATTTTGCTAATAAAATTTGGGTTGATTTTGCAAATTGCAAGTCATATGTCGAACCTGGTTTAAATTTTTCCTTATTATTTTTCCCTTTCCCATCAAATGTTTTGATCACGGATATATTTGCAAAATGGCGAATGTCAGGTCTTCCCTATTCACTAGTAAGAACCAATAACCTTATACGACTTCTATAGTTCCAAGCTATTCCAACCTGTTAAAAGAGTTATTCATCGATCTTCCATTGCAGTATACCCTAAGGAGTTTAATGAAATTATAAGGCACGCTTTGGTTCAAAACACCAAAGTAATTTCACCACAAACAATATTACTTATTTTCTTAGTGCACTTTTGTTCTTAATTTTAAACAAATTACCGATAATGATTTCGAACGGCATTCGGTACCGATCCACCTTTATATTGGACTTGATTAATGCATCATAAAATTTATTGTTTTCAACATCAAAATTGCATTAGCAGCGAACCCTTCGCTTGTTTAACATTTAAGATTCCAATCTTGTCCAACAAATATATTCACAAGAACTAATAATGCTAATCAGGATATTAGTTAAGTGTTCTTAGCAAACTCAAACCTAAATGCTAAATTATTAATTTTATATTCAAATGCATTTAAACTTGGTAGGTGGCATATTCGACTTTGTAGCTATGTCTTCGAATATGACAAAAGGAATAATCAAAGCAACAATGACCTGATTTCATAATGGCGAGACAAGCTTCTGAATGATGGATTAAAAATATTATGAAAAACGTATCGAATACATGATTTGTCAATTTTGTACCCAAATTCGACGGAGAAACAGATTTTATCTTTGTTTACGACCTGATGTACGGGTTTGTATGGAATTAAAGGATGATGTCTTCGGCGTTTAGTCCTAGGTAGCTTTGACACATACAATTCGCATAAAATATTGATGCCGTTTTATATGTTTAATGTAGCGAAAACCTGCCTCAACAAGTAGATTAACGTGTTGGCACATTACAAGATGTCTCTGTTGACAACACCCATAGCCGCCTTGACTTTTGACATACATAGCAATCGGCCAACCATAGGAAAACGGAAAACGCAATTATGATTTTGTCTGTTCAATTCGTTTTGACTTGCACTTTGTCTTTGAATTGCCACTGAAACCATCTGAAACTTCTGGCCTCCTTTTTTCTTGTGAGTAATAATATTATATCTATGACGTTCCACTGCGGAGAAGAGCGGCCATAAATCTAATCCAAGATAGTTAAAACATGCGCTGTTAACATGGATAATTAGGCCAAAGAAAGTATACCAGTCAATTATGGCAATTAATATATGTCCAGCTCCAACAGGCTGTATAATTTCCTTGCTTTTTTACGCTGGCTTGACTGCTGGAAAATTCATCATAAAACTGGAAGCTTTTATCGTAATCAAATATACTGACCCTACAAATACTCCCACTGGTCAGCATTACCTGACTAACGTATAATGCACCAAATCTGTGCAGTTTCAGCAGCGCTTGGCATTTTAGTAATCGTTCGTTTAGAGATGAGTCTATTTTACTTTCTTGTGGGTGCACGTGATATCACGTTTCGAAAATTCTCATAAAGAGATCTTACCAAAAAAATTATCGAAGTTGTTGAATACAGACTGAAATCGTGTCTGAATTTTATTTTGTACACCATTTTTTTATTCTGTGTTAGATCGCAATTCTTATTGCAGAGGTAATTTGAGTGTCTCAAACATGAGAAAACTTTCGGAATTCAAAATTTCTATATTTTTTTTCCAAATGATGCATTATTTAAATGTAACATCCTACGGTTCAAATTCGAATCATATTTCTCACTATTGTGTCGTTTTACTTATTCCGGTGGCATTTTTATACCGTGTACCACAGTTCATTAAAAGTTTATTTTAGGAAATTTCCTCTCTACTTTACATGAAATGTAATCCGGTCTGTTGTACCGAATAGTAATTTGGAAAGAGCATAGAATTACAAAAACATATTAAAATTTTCTTTGCATAAACTTATAACATTGTGACAGGAACAAAAAATTTTCAAGCTACTATCGATTTGAGGGTAAAAATAGTCTAATGTATTTTGCTAGAACAAACTAATTTTGTAGTGAGAAAGTATCTTTAAATGCAAAAAAACAGAATTTTTCGTACATATTATTGCACCTGAGTGATTTAATAGACGAAATTATCTTGCCGACAAGAAACATTACCAGACAAGTGCAATATTTAAAATCAAACTAATGAAAATCGAATGTTTACCCAATAAAATTGGCAGTTTTTGTACCAACATCAATAAATTGAAATTGTTGGAGAATATTGAAAAATAATATTCCATATGTTATTATTCCTTTTAAATAATATTCTAGAGACAGGTTTGACAGTGAAAATATCTCCTTTTAGATTTATTCATCCCGCTTGAATATTTTAATGAGACTTCTCGTGGAAACCCGCTCGTGGCATAAATTATTAGGATATTTGATTGAAATCCAATCATGAGAAACTAATGAGAGGAATTCGGTATGTTTTAAGAAAACTTGCTCAAATCAAGGTCACAAGTACTACTCACCCAGAAGTAAAGGCGACCCATGTATGAAAACAGTTGCGTGCGATCACTGGAAGACCGAAGTATGAAACTATATGGAATTTTGGTGTTGCATAACACGACAAAAATGTCGATTGCTGCGAGATTTGGCGTAGTTGAGGTCAATACGACGAGAAAAACAGCTCTCAAATGGTGAATTACACATAACTGCCCCCCCCCCCCCCCCCCTCAGAAAAATTTTCTCGTGCTGACAGTGCACTCACAATAGGCAGATGACAGCGACAATGGTTCACTGATCAGAAGCATATATATATCAATTCGTTTACAATTATTCTCTAACTATACTTTTTATCCATCTACAATTTTTGTAGTAAATAACAAATATATATGGCTACAACAACTAAAACGTTCATAAAGGGCAGAAAACTATAGTGTTTGCCTCATGACAAAATCTTCACAATCATGCCATATGTTCCATTTGCGAACGTCTTCAAATTAAAAAGAAGTGTTTAGTGTTGAAGTTAAAAGCATTACACAAGTGGAAAAAACAGGGTCTTGTTTATGCTCAATTTCAAATATAGGTATTGATTGTATTTAAAACGTGCGTGGAAAATCCATTGCGGCAGGTAACGATGGGTTAGTCAGACAATAAATAGGTTGTTATCGTCTCTTACTGAAAAGAAAATCAATCATAATTAAATCCCTACAGAACCAAGGGAACAAACAACCAACACATTTCAATCAAGCTCACAAAAAGCAAAGCAATATACATTTATTTGTACTAATCGACGCAATGCCCCTGACCTATTTATCGTGATGAACGACAAGATTTTTGACCGCAGATGCGCATCAATGTTGCCATTTTGTACATTCAGATATTTTTCTCGAAAATGTGGATTTTGCATTGACATCGCTATTCGTCTACTCTATATAGCCCACCTGTGATTACAGCTAACAAAACCCAAGTAGATAATAAAATAAAATGTTGTTCATCTTTTTTCAGGTTATGAGACTCAAACACTATTTTGAGCATTTTAAAGTAAAAATACTCATATTTTAGATATTCAAACTATCCGTAATTTGAATTAAAAATTATCAACAATATTAGCCGTATTGTTAAAAAAGGTTTTTCGCAAGTCAAATTTATTTTCCATTCTGAGATAATGTGCGATTTCACAATATATATTTGCTTCTGCTTCATAGAAAATTACAGTTCACATATATATTCCAAACTATAAAATATATATTTACTACATGTAGCTTATAAAAAGTTAATTCAATTTGATTTCTCTTAGTTTGTGAGAAAACGAAATTCAAGTTGAACCGAGAATAATGGATAATATGAAAGTAACTATTTTTACATAAACCAAGTAAAACAACAGCAACATTATTCCGACCTTTACTCATACAATGTAATTCCTGTTGATAGGCTAAGATAAACTGAAATTGTTTCTTTACTAAATAAAATTAAATATGGAAAAATAGCGTCGGTAGGGGAACTCAATACATGCATCTGAAATATATTGAAATTCATGCGTTCAAAAGTAAATTAAGTTTGTCATTTCCTGACAAATAAGTAATAGCAGAATGTGAATCACCTTCATCCGATTTTAAAATTAGTCTACGTGGTATTTTCATTTTAAATTCATCAATCAATCTTAGCAGTCATCAATGCCAAAAGAGTTTGAGACATGATGACAAAGAATACACAAACAAACAATCAACCAAATTAGAACAAATAAATTATTAAAAATTCGTCCGTTCGTTAATTTGTCGTGGGATTAAATCGCAGAATAAAGAAAGTAAAGTGCGCCAAACATTTGTAAAACCATTTCTCTTTTTCGGCCTTTTCTTGCTGTGCGCTTTTATTATTGATTTTAGTGATATACGCGAAGAAATCAAAATAAAAATTCACATTTCATATTTTTGGCACTTAAGATTTTTTAGTGGTTTAATTTTTCAAGTTGTCAGCGATCGCTGGAAATCGATTTTTTTTAACGTTTTATTAAAATCTTCACTATATAAAAATTATATCCATGCATAACAAAACATAACTTAATATCTCGAATAAATCTATGCATCCAAATGAGTAAAATCGCCGACCCAATGAGGTGGAGAAGTCGGAAAATCTACCTCTTCGATAGAGCATTTTTGAATGAAGTGGATGAGTGTAAATAGTCGGATGTTTCTTCAAGTTTATGATCTTATGCCAAGCATTCCAACGCAGCATAAACAAATTATTCGATTCCTAATATTACTAATTTAGAAAATAAATTTTTCTCAAAATTATTTTTTGAATGCAATAAAATTGTATTTTACGTTTTAATAAAATTCTGAAATATAAAATGAAAAGCGTAGACGGCCACGTAACCTAATAAAAATCTAAAATTCGATTTCACGTCTTCCGCGTGTGCGTTTATTTGCAACTGAATGAAATAAATGGAGTGTTCGTCTGATATTTATGGAGACAGTTACGTGGGAAATCATCCATTTTGACTGACCCACGCAAATGCCTACATGAGACAAATGGTCAAATAAATATAAAAATAAATGGACAAGAGAGTTGAATGAATGTTAGCAAATACCAAGAAATGTACCGAATGTCATATTTTTTTAAATCATAATAAACAGCTGAATTTATTTGAGCTGAAATATCGAGCCCTCGTAGGACTCGGTAGAAAGTTCTTGTAGATATAAAAGTAATAGCCTTCTAACGATTCTTCCATCTTTGAGTATTGGAAATTTTATATCGATTGCTCCATTAATTGGGAAGGAAGCCATGTTTCACAGCTATAACGACACAACAACAACAACAATAATTTAGCAAGGCCAACCACAAGACGTGCCCAACAATACGTAAACTAAATATATTCAAATTTTCCCGTGGTATTGCTGGCTTGCGACTTCAATTTGTGAAGGTTCTTCGATCGTGAACCATTATTACACCAGGGACTATTTCAAAACGGTATCTCATGACAGGAGGTGTGGCAACTTGAAACATTTTGTGGGAATACATTTTTGCATATAACGTAGCAAATTTGCGTTGAGTAAAAATTTCATGATCCATCATGCATTGAATACAAAACACTCGGCATTGCTACTTAACATTATTGTCCATTGTATTAAATTTTGGAGATGCTAAATCAGCGCACAAGGCGCATCATTTTCAATGTAAGTACGAAATACCTGGGCCTATCGTCTATTCGAGAATCTATACACTATCGGAGATGTCTCAGAAATTAGTTTTATCTTACCTTCCAATCAGAGGTCTTTTATAGAAAAATAAAAAAATTCACTTCGGTTTGCGTGGGTTCACCAATTGGAATGCCGGAAGTGATAATTATGTGGGAGAGGACTTTCTGGTCTCTCGCCGTCACGTTTTCGCTGGTGGTTACGGCTATTTCCATCGTCCAACCATGCATTCAGAACGATTAAGTTCCCCTAATCCAATACCCGATTTTAACTAGAAACCGAATGATAAAACGTGGTTCGTCGTTCAATAAAGTTGTCTTACTGGTTTGCTTCTCCCCGTGGAAAAATAAAAATTCCTTAGTCTTGCGACCGGCGTTAAGTAGATATATTTATCTTAATTATGTATGGTTTCAGTTAGTTTGGGAATTTTTGTAATCGCCTGTCTGAGTAGCGAACGAAATCAGTTCGGTGATAATTAAAGAAGAGTTTCCTTTATTTTTGAGTGAGCTAGGCTTGACCTTGTTTGTTACATACAAAATATATATATATATATCCTTTATTTTCGCCTTGTTTGGGTTTATGCACCGTTGTAGGTGCTAGAAATTTATTTCTGAATATTCGCTTAATTCAAAAGTTGGGCAGATATTCTAATTCATTAACTTAATTAATTTACATTTAGGCTTTTCGATCCGATTGACGTATAGATCAAATTCGCTAGCAATTAGTCGATGAAGCCATCAGAAGGAAAAATTTAATGTTTATTTATTTAAATATTCAACGAAGAATGAATTGATTGATTGAGAGAGTTAAATTGGTTTAATATTATCCTCAAATTAATTAAGGTGAACCCTGAATGCAGATAGTGACTTGTATAAAGATGAACTGAAGAAATATCGATCAAAAGTGAAAAAGTTTACCAATCATTTCAAGCTGGGCCAAGTGAAAAACCAAGTGTGAACCATTACATAAATACATAATTGACAAATTGTAGCACCTTAACCTAACGCTTGAATATTTATAATTTTATCGTCTTCAATTTTGTTATAATGGGGCAATACACCTTTTTTTATATTTTTGTAATTAATACATAATTTTTATGCAAAATCAGGATCATTTTGCCGACATTATTCCAAGAGTGGTATTCAATGAATTTCGATGAAGATGCGACCGAACTACACTGCAAACCAAAACCTGATTATCATTTCACCACGATAATCTTCGAAGAAATAAGTAAACGAAACTTTACTCGCATTTATGTGTTACTGCGTCCGCTAATTTCGCCGGGATTTGCCGGACTTTTCAATTTCAAATATATATATTTCTTCGATAATCCTGAAGGATTAACGGGAAAAGTTAAGATTGTTAAAATGCGGTTTCGGGTTTCTCATAAGCTTCAAATATCAAGCGCTAAAAAACTACGAAAAATGAAACACTTTTCCGAACTTTCAGATTATGCCAAAGTAACCCAGCCAACCGAAGAGCTTCCAAGGATTTTCGTTTCGGGGTTTAACCGCAAGCCGATTTCCGAGCGCCAAAAAGGAATCGATGATACTCAATCGATCGTAAAATACAAACAGATTTTAATAAGATACTTTTGGAACCTCTCGCAAAATGAAGTATATAGAAGAAATCAGGCAAAAAATCGCAGTCGTGCTGATATTTGAGTTGGGAGTGTAACAACAACTTTTTATTGCCTGTCTTAATTTTAATGTCGCAAAAATAGACGAACTTTCAACGTTCCAACGTGAGGATATGCATTAACTAATCTTTAACTTGATGTTCCATGCTGAATGCCTGAACATACCTTATACCAGTTTGCAACCCATATTTCGAAAATGATATGTCGTTTCACTCTACATGATTTCGTTTATCACTGATTGTTGTTATTACAATTACACATCTTTATTTATCATAACGAAATAAATATTTATTCAATTATTCAAACTGTAACGTGAAACTTACATTTCACCACATTACAAATTTGGCAATTCTTTTCAGCAGATTTGGTCACAGAACGCTGCAAACAAGATTTTAAAAGATGCAGTCAACATTTGCTATTTTCAAAGCCATAGTTATTCGCAAAGATACTGAGGTTTGAAAATGAGCTGTCAATGACTAAATCAATACTTCAACTCTCGCTTGTACATAGCCTGTATATTCAGAAAAAATTTGGGGAAATATTCTGACAATATTTGTGTATTTTACTCACATTTATTCCATAAATTCCTTCTCCGATTGTTCCGTTGTCACAGCATGATGAATTCAAAGCGATGTCCGTGATGGACGTTTCGTTTGCCATCGCAACACAAAATTGTATTGATAATGTAGATACACAATTATTTTATTTTAATAGTATTATCCTAGTAATAGTAATATATATATATTAGCAATACCCTTCTAAAACAACAAGTGTTTGAGAATATTGGGCATTCAAACAAGATTATATTGTTACATCATAATGAACTTCATAAGAAATTATAGTTTGATTCTAACCCAGAGACTGTCAACATTTTTTTCTGTTCTCACCCCAGGGAAATAAAAGAGACACCTCTCGTCGGCCGGTTTACACTATTAAGTGGTAAAATTGTATAAAAAGCTTATGGAGTAGGTGGCTTATTCATTCGGTTTACCCCCAATTATCTCCAAATATTCGGAAAATAATGTTTGTACTTAATAATATATAAAAAATTGTAATTCTTTCTGAAGAGAGTTTTTCTAACCGTGAGTTTTAAAACTCGCAGAATAAACTCAAAACCGATAACATTGCATTGCATCTTTTCCAGTTCTAAATCGATTCACAAAAACGCCCAAAGTACTTTTATTTACAATAAATAACATATTTCTTTTAACCTTTTTCTGTATTTATAATGCCTTTTAACGAGAATAATAGTTTCACTAAAGGCAATCTCGCGGGATCTGCGCATGTCACAGTTTACCAAAGAAAACATTTTCTGAGTCCGTACATCTTTGACAACCTACTTCGCAACTTCAAATCAATGGACTAACCAGGACGATGTCAATGTACTGTCTCTTATGCCTTCTAACTCTTTCCATACCCTTTTTTCCACGAACGCATGGGCAACGAGCGAAAATAATAGTAATTTACCGCACGTGCGTCAACAATGTCACAGAAAAAGGTTCCCGAAGTCATGCTTCAAACGACAAGTCTCATATTGAACACTCCATCAACTAAACGATGAAATAGCAAAGCTTCCATCTGCTCTAACTCTCAATACTCAGTTGCGTGTATTTGGCAGTCTATTATAAAAAGCAACTCCCAATTCCTATTCATCTATACCACGACACGAGAATTTGTGATTTAAAAGATTTTCGAAAATTCACTCAACTATTTGAAAAATCAATCTCCGTTTAGACACTATCAATATTGTTTTATCCTAATGAGGAATGAATATGAATTGATTAAGGATAAATAAAACATAAAATGAAAGTATTCCTTGGAGAGGCGACCTTTGTGAACAAAATAAACAATTGTAGTGTCTAGATTTAACAATTTTAAGTATTATTTTTAACTTTTAAAATCATTCAATATCGCCCGAAACACGTACCTGACACTTGGACAATTACATATTACTATTTATTTCTAAAAGGCCAGGAATATTGGTATGATTCCACGAGTAACATTTGTATTTCATATAGACCAAGTCAGCAATATAGTTCAAGTTACGTCATTCTCAAGAATATAACAATATTGTTGTGTTGCAAGAAAATGGGATTGTTTATCCGGTAGTCTAAGACAGGCCATCAAGTCACAGCTTAGAAACACGTCAACGACGTCAAAATTATTATATATATATCATTTAAAGATTTTTTAGAAACAAGCACCTTTTCCTATCCATACAAATATACCTAGAATAATGCAGGAATTGCGTATAATTAACGAGAATTATCCAAGATTATTCTTTTTATATATTATTGGTAGTTCCCTAAACTAGCGAAGGGGTCAAGAAGAAAGCCAACGTGCAAAATGAAAATATAACGAATCAAATTCTGAACACACTGTGAAGTGATTGAATAGAAAGTTATTCAGATTTCTACCATGTTCTATGGAAGATGACATGAAGTCGACTCGTAGGCTAAACTAAAATGAGCCCATTGAAAATTTTCTGCGATAGATTGAACTAACGGTGCTCCCGAAGTATGCGAACCAAGATGGCGGACATCGGAACGTAACATGGGTAACAGGTTAGGGTTAGGCGATAATTTTTTTCCAATTTTCCTTATTTTAGTCCTATTATCAGTTCGAAGACTAGCCAAGATCCTCCCGTAGTATTTATACCTTAAATTATGGCCTAACCCTAACCTAGTACACATATTACATTCCAATGTCCGCCATCTTGGTTCGCATACTTCGGGAGCCCCGAACTAACAGTACACCACAACCATACGAAATACTATAATATTGCATGACTACTCATACCGTACAGTCTACACTACTATTTCTTAGCACAATTAAAAGTAATTGATTTACTTGCAAATATGAGCTAAAAAATATATATATAATTTAAAAATAAAAATAACCTGGTATTTTTCATTTCTTCTGCCTTCCTTTCCCTCGTAAATATACTGGATTCGTTCGTTTAACATTCCCCACAATATCGCTAAAACGTATGCAACCTTACACATCCATGGCGACAAGAACGATGAACAGTGACATCTTATTTCCTCCCTCGATACATCCTCGTTTACCTTAATTATTCATAAAATTTTAATTACTCTGTTCCGTCCCCGTGAGAGCAACAATCAATTTCCAACCAATGATTGAGGCGTCACAGTGCTTACCAGAGAGGATATCGCGCCAACACATTTTAATTTGTACTATTGTACATTCTACCAATGCCATGAAATTGGGCGGAAAGCCACTCACTTTACTCGAGTCAAATTTGAAATATATTACGGCGGTACACAAGGCTTAGACTTGTTGATGTATTTCAATTATCTTACCAGGGGGTAAGTGAGCATACTGGTTTGGAAGTATAATATCAAACCCGAATTTTTTTTGATGATGTCTTGAATTTTGTGCAAAAGCTGATGGAACCAAATTCATAAAATAAAGTTTATCATTTCGACATCTGGTTAGTTCCTATCGAAAAAAATTATAACTTGAAATCGTGTTACAAGCAGAGCTCGAAGCTCGACCCGACTCACAACACCAGATAGATAGAAATCTTCCTGCCCTAAATATATATAGTTTATTAGTTGCCTCAAATTGTACTAACTGTCATAAAATGTTACTAATTTCATCGATATACCGATGGTTTCAAATTGCTTTTCTTGCTTTACTTTCTTTAGCTCGATATTCATGCGATTACTGCAATCTACGAAACCTTTCGGCTATTAGATAAAAATTCAAGGTATAATCGTTTTTTGTGCGAAAAATAAGCATTTCATGTAAGAATACGCAAAATTGAAGTTCGATTTCCATCCTATTAGTGAAACAAATTAATTTGCAATAAATTTTGCTTTAATTCTATTCTCAGACTTAACTTTTATTGTCTAGTCAAAGTATTTTTACAAACCCAATTATCGACATTTAACTTGAACTGACTTGATTATCATTGAGCTGAAGCTGCTCCTTAACAAATATTTAACGGGCGCAGACTAATAATTGTGTCGAATTGTCTTTGAATGAAACAATTAAAAAAGTCATATAAAATGTCACATAAATAAAATGTGCGATCAAAAATAAAACGAAACGACGAAGTCGTAAATTAGTAATAAAAATTTCATAAATTTGTGCTATAGTGTTAAAGATATTTTGATTTTAAACTCGCCTATGTGGAAACTGTATGTATGGACCAGCTATGTTGCTGTGCATTGAAGTGAAATAAATTGCCCAAATACTATGTATATAAAATAAAAATAATTTAAACTATCAGTACGTTTTTAACATAACTAAGCAATATTGACAAAAATTTCTCACTAATTTCTTGCAGTTTTATGATGATATGATTCCTTAAGCATGCGATTTTATATTAAATGTATTTAATGATGTTCATCTCACTGGTCGTGCCTGTGTTTTTATGACGTTCAACTGTAACCTGAAAACTTAAGTGTATATAATATCCTCTTTGCGCGTGTTCAACTACCTAATGCGAGTTTCAATTCATTCCCACCAAGGTTAAACTATATCCAACTTTCTATACATACCCAACGCAAACTCACTTTTATATTTAACGTTAACATGGGAGAATCACCATTGATTGATATTGCTTTCAAACATTTCACCAATCAATTCATATTGACCAGTGACCCAGGCAAAATTTTCCGGTAATAAAATCTACACGTATCATATACAATTCAATACTCATATCTCACTTTTTTCTAATTGCAATCGAGCAATCATTTGTCATATATCAGTTACAATTCAACTGTTCCAATGCCACGAGGTCCATTCTCAACATTTCTTGCGTACGTGATTTTTACGGATCATGTATTTTTTACGTTATAGGTATTATAACGCAGGAGGTTGCGCCATTAGGGTTCAAATTGCACTATTACTCTAAACGTATTTTATTTTCTGTAATCCGTTTGTTTTTTATACTGGAAATACACACTGCTGCGTATACATGATGCAAAGAATGAACTGAAAATGGTATGCTACATGACACCGTCAAACAGTCGCAAACATTCAGTCTGAACTGTATTTCGTACGTGATGCTGGCTAGAAAAAGTCAGTAATTAATAATACATTCAAAATATTTGAAAAATAGTCAGATTTACAAATTGCGCATATATAATCCAAAAAGTATGGTTAGAAATTGAAATTAAAAATTTCTTTTAGATCGGTATGTATAAGTGAATGTGGTTATCCGTGGAATTAGAAAATACTTAATAATAAAATACTCTTTCCGAAATACGCGTGTGTACTTTTATCTGTAAGCTGATAATGGAATATATTGTACTTGTTTTCATAACGAAACAGTCAAGTATGGTAAAGTGACCAGTGTAAATGCTTTTATATGGTTGAATTCAAAAAGTATATTTCGCGGCATTTTAAATAATTGAAGTACATTTTTGACGCTAGTATTTACCCAGAAGCACCAGGAGTACAAATATATTTCGATCTGGCAGAATAAAATTGAAACACATTTTCATTCATGAAATGCAAAGGGCAGTGATTTCAATTAAATATTCATTTGGAGCAAGATTTAAATTTACCGCTTGACCACATCACGTTATATATTGATGAGAAATCGGCGCCAGTTTTATTCATATGTCCTTTTCCACAGTTTCCAGTGATAACACACACAAAAACCAAGCGTTAAACTGCTTCGAAGTATGTGTGCCCACGACTGGCCAGGGATAACTATTTTGAATTGCCAAGCAATTTTTAAATCAAGAAGAGTTTCGTGTTTTCACATCATATAAATTATTTATAACTGAAATTTATTATGATGCAGTGACGGACCTGGGTGAAAAAATATCATGATTTATTATGTATAACTAATTTTTTTTATTCTAACAAACCGTTCTTTGTGTCTATAACAATGCGATAATTTATTTTCAATAGTCCTGCATTGATGTACGTCAGTTAAAATGACAATCTCTGGTGAAGTATTTGGTTATTCTATGAATATATATAAGCTACTTTTTCAATGGTAAAAACACATGAATATTGCAGTATAAATGAAAGGAAATCCACAGAAAACAAAAGTAAATCCACTAACCACCCAGTATGTTATGAATTAGTTAGGCCTTATACCGAATCGAAAAGATTCTGTATATTCCAAAACCTTGATAACTTAATAGATATGAGAGCCGTTTTATGTCCGGCGTTTTGTCTAGTGTGAGACATGAAATACTCGATTTGGTATTAATTATCATTATAATAATAATATCATTCAAACTTTTGTTTTTCAAGAATGGGCTTAGCGTTTGACATAGCTGTAACAAAATCCAACAATATTAATCTTAGTATATCTGTGATATCACATTATTCCTCGTTTAATTCGCTAAAACGACTTATACTTCATACTTTGTTGATATTTCATATTTACAATTCATATTTAAATTATTCGATTGGGGTTTTGCTATATTATGATTATCTTATGGCATTTCACCTTAAAGTGCAAATTATATTGCCGAAAGACGAGACCTCCGAATTAGGATTATCATAAGCATGAGTCGGCAATTGATTTCAGTATTGAATGCATAATAAAATATTTAAGGGATGCCCATGCCACATTTTATAATACATGCTACTCCCGCGTTTTCACGATGGTGAATTGTTATTTTGTCGTTAAAATAGATAATCGATTGTAGAATAGATTGTATTGTTGTTGCGAACAGATTTTGGTTGCAATATTTCTGTACAATGAAGTTTTTATTCGCTATTTATAAAAATTCCGCCTTGTCTAGATTCCGGATGTCGAAATATTTGTGTCGATGAATTCCTACTTTCAAACCTTGACGATTGTCGCGGTATCAAATGATATTGAATCGCGTCTTCAGGGATCCCTATAGTTCGTGAATAAATTTCTGCTTGTAGCTTTATCGTCCCAAAGGTATGACTTTCAACTTGCCTGTTTCTCACTTATTCGGGAGTGCGAATTCACGCGGTAAGAATAATGCGGAAACTTGGCTGCGCAACCAGAGAGGGACGAGTTTTGGCTCTGCATCTCATATTTAATCCATAATGTTTTCGCAGTGCAAATAAATTTAATCATGTAACTTGAGTCACATGTCGCGCTTTTAAAATAATAATCTGTTATACCAATCTCATTATATACTACCAACACTGGGCCTGTAGAACGCAAATGCTATATTTGACTCTTTACTTCAAAATATTCTTCCTAGTATTAACTTTCCCGCTTATCAAAAATCAACTCACCTTGGCCATTCGAGTGTGTCCACCAGTTTGGTGTGAATTGTTCTTTGATTTAGCACTTTTAAATATAGCACAATTAAATATACGTTAACACAAATTGATCGATCGACAGAGCTGCTGAATAATATAATCTTGCAGCGAACATAACATCCTCATCCAAGGAATTGCTCGAGGTAATAATTTTTGATTTATTCTATAATATCTTCTGACTCAATTTTACAAAATATTATGTGGGTTTGCAATAAAAAATATTTTTATTTATTTTTAAAATTTATCACTCTGCAACTGAAAATAAATAAACCTGTAACAAACCGTGATTTGCCCCCAATTTGAGATGAAAGCTCTTCGACCCGTTGCATTTTTAATTTTGCGAGAAAATGACCTGAAATAACTGAATTACAGGCTACTGCATTATTAATGAACAATTTCAGGCATTGATGGTCAAATAGGAAAAACCATTGACTGCGAAATGAGCAAATGTATGGAAGGCAGGTAAACACAAGATAGTAAGATTACAGAATACTTACCAGGTCAGTTTCTTCATCAATTGACCTCTTTGTCTAAGATCCATTCCCTTGTGGGAGCTTTGACGCAGATTCGACTTTTCCATATTTCACTTATACTAACGGATGGGAATTCTATCTATTTTATATAAATCATGCGTGAATAAAAAACAGAGAATGCGTAAAACAATGCTGGTATGATTCCTCAAAACACCGCCATCAAATACATTGATTGATTGCTATGCGTGCACTTCTGTCATTAAGAAAACTTATTTTGAAGGCACGGCGTTGAAGACAGAAAAAGTAGGAGAACCTGCAGAATTCACATCCACCTTAATTTGCTTTGTGCGCATCTATCCGTCAACATCTCGCGGACATTACAAACGAATTTTTCAAGTTGATAAAATATATATTGAAATTATTATTTTCAAGATGCAAATTCTAGAAGATCTGCTGGTTGAAGGACTGAACAGACTATGTTACACGTTTGTGTGTACTTAAAGGAACAGAGATATAGGCAGTGGTGGGATTCAGTCGGTTCGCACCGGTTCTATAGAACCGTCTCACGGAATTACATGAGATCAGCGAACCGGTTAGCATTACTGGTTATTGTCAATGACTTCAACAGAACCGGGTGAAAAATATGACATTTGTGATAGAACCGCCTGATCAAGACAGGCGGCGAATGTGTTGTGTGACTTTCCTCAATATTAGGTCATGCGAGCCGCTAGCAGAAACTCCCACGCTGTCCCCGAAACTTTGACGTGAATGAACTGAGGTTGTATTTGTGAATGCCTTGCCCTTGACTCAACGTTACATATTATATATCTATAACAAGATCATAACAATATTGCATTTGGTTGAGCATAGTTATTTTCAGAACACTCGCGCTACACTATTGAATGTTTTAGAATATTTGTTGGCCCTAAAGTCAAAACGAGAGAAAACCGAAAGCACGGGGTCGCAATCTTCCATAATATACTACCTGTACCGCAATTTTAACGAATTCCCCTGGCCATCAGATGGCAACGAACGCCAAACCGCCACAAGGTGCGCAATTTTAAACGAACGAATAAAAATTTTAAAACTTTGTTGGATTCGTTTTTTACTTCGAAGTTTTGTGTCATGACGTCACCAAAATTGCGTGCCGTGGTCTTGTGATCATATTAGGCATTAGATAATGCGACCCCGGTGCCACAAAATGTCAACTTTCGACTTCAGCTCCCTGGTTGCAAACGTATGCTCAAAAGTGGGAAGGATCTTTAACTGGAAGTCGGGTCACTAAAGAAATAAAAAATCTTAAAATAGCCATACCTGCACATTTGGGATGTGTTCAACTGAATGCAACAGGTAAGCGACGACGAGAAAGAGAAATTCACACTTCGGTAAGTTCATTTATTTTTAGGATAATTATGTATTATATTAATGCTACAGTGTGTTATTAATACTTCAACAATGTATTTCCTTGATATATTTTACAATATATGATCTAGATCTGGTAGAAATAGCTCAATAATGTAAAAAGACCAATGATTTTGATTATTGTATTCGTATATATTGAGGCATTTTGAGATATGCTTATATAAATAGATCATAATTATTTTGGTGATTACGATGACCACGATATAATAAGAACAGAAAATCGCTTGAATTCCACATAATATTTTATAATTTGAAAATTGACTATAAATTATTGATAACAAAGCGCCTTTTTGTTGTGTTTCTCATCCAAACTTAGATAGGTGCATCTTTGATATTGTCAGTTAAAATTCGCATACGAGGATGAAGATAAAAACACGCCGGATTTACCTTCGTCCAGGTGTCCCCACCCAAATTGGAATCTTTCTGGTTCTTGAGTCTATATATAGCGTTTTACTTCTAGGATAATTTTTCACTCTTCGCTAGACCTAGCTACACAGACAGAAATGAATAATGTCGGAATCTGTTGAAATCAACTAAACGGCAGAATAAAAAACGAATGGCACCGAAATAGGAAACTGACTTAGGTGGTCTCTTGTGTCCGTAGCCAGATTTATTGACCCCGTTGAAGCGCGTAATGCACGCCTCCATTCGATTGAATGGGTGAGGTCTGTTTGTCTTTCATGTCTCCAATTCAATCATCGTTATTAAATCGAATTGAAACAGTACAATACTTTTGTTCACACAACAATAGAGAGAGAATACAACGTCAGGTAAAAAGACGTATCTGATAAGCTGGAATTCGATACCCACATAATTTTCCTCGTTTAATGCCACCTATGGTTACTTGGGCATGCTCTGTTTACGAATATTTCATCATAGTCGTCGTAGAAAGCTTATGTATATTCCGATAACCAAAACGAATGCCGGCCGTTTTAAAAAGACGAGACAAACAAAAGTTCTGCGCAGACACCAAATTCATATTTCGCCGTTATCATTACACGTCATTGTGCAAGCAATGAAGCAATCGTACGATTCCGACCGTTCAAGCGACGCTTTGGTTATATCATAGTGACACAATCTGCATAGGTAGCATTTTTGAAAGTACGTGTAATAGCAATTCGCTTGTTCGTGCTCATGCTACGGGGAATTCTCTTCAGTCTGTACACAAGAGTGAACAAATTCTGTATCGCTGCTGTAGTCGTCAATCGATCGTCTGCACACAGAAGCCATACGGGGCCCAGGTAAGAGCCTTTATTACCTTACGGTACAGAAAAGGTGTCGGATCTTTTGTAGAAAATCTTCGACACTAATGCAAAATTGTGAGATATGGGAAAAACGTGCCCGCCACGTTTCAAGCACTGCAGATTGCTGCGTTCTAGCGATGCTTCGTTGAAAGCGACTGCGGGTTTAAAATATATCGGTAGCGTGACGCCGGTACAGGTTTTATTTTATTTGTATAGCTCAGAAGTAAAGTTAGCCTGATGCGTTCTTGGATATCGATTCATGATGCCTCGAAAGTTATTAAACTTCGAATCCGGACTTTTCATAATGATGACCATTGGGGCACAATAAAACTTGGGAACTTGCAAGAGTGACTGGGTGACACCCAAAATGTTCACAATGGCAGTAATCGCTGATCGGCAGTTGGCCCGTCGCGCCAAGTGTTCAGAATTACGCTTGATTGCCATCGCACTTCTGTTTACCCTGCGTCATCGCAGGTACGAATCCCGTGGGGGATAATTATGTGCGAGAAGATTGATGGACTCCTTACCTCCGTGGGGTGGTTCACGTACCGCTGGTCGGTTACGGATTCCTCTACCCTCAAGTACAAGAATCTGAAACAAATAACTGGCTAACTGATCCCATTCCTGATATAGACCGGTGACCGGACGAGAGGCCGTTGTACGCCTTATGATTAAGTCATCTAATCGGTTTTCCTCTCCATGGGATGAATATGAAAACCCTATGCTATGGTATCCGCAACCGAGTTTCTTTTGCCACCTAGATTGACTTATATTTCACGCTAGCATTCTCTAATTCATGTTGAAAGCTTTTTCGATAGTTTTCACGACATAAGTAGTGACCACTATTCATTTTAATACATTTATTTTTATGTCTTATATTTTTTACACATACACACACATTTTTCGTATTTACAAACAAATTTTTTGTGCAACGATTTCATATTAGTCATGTGTGATTTTATAATATATTTTATTTTTAGAATAATCGAAATCGTCTGATTTTCCTGCATACACGAAAAATGGCATCAAGTCACGGTAATGCTCATTGGAGCCTTTCATCTATTCTCCATCACGATAATTAAGTTTTTCTAAATACATTTTAATTTTGTGAACTTATTTTTTAAAAACCAAGGATCCAGGAACTCTGACGAAGATACGAACACACGCCAACTGTTAAAGGGTAAGATTCGGATTTACATAGGATGTGGATTGCAATGACTTTTAATAAAAGAGTCGTTTTGTGTACATATATAGTAGTACCGTAGACATAATTTGCACTATCGTTTATAGATTTTGATTTCCGTCTTTCATTAAAACACCAATTTTTTTTAAGATGTAAATGAAATGATTTTGAAGCACCATGACAAGGCTACCGATAGAACGACGCCGGTTGTAAAATTTCGCACTCCAGATGAATTGGCTTCAGTTATCGACTTCGATGTCGGCTCCGATCCGGTGAATGACGAAGCAATAAAAAGATTATGCGAAGCAACTTTCGAGTATAGCGTTCATACAGGTGAAAAAATATATAACAACAAATATGATTTTAGGTAAGATATGCTGTGATTTCACACGCCATATTTCTTTAGCAATTTTATTGCAATATTTCACCCTTAAACATCTTGCGATTGATTGCAACGTAGCTCTTCAATCGCAATACATTTTTTCTTTTAGTTGTATTGGGAATTTTTAAGGAATGGTTGCACATTAATAGCCCAGAAATACCTATGGTTTTAGATAATATCACTATTCCAAGCACTTGTGAAATGCGTGAATTATACAAGATTTGAGCAAAATAAAAGTGCATTTCCTATAATCTAAGAATCGACTGTATCCAGCGAATAACAGAAATAAGATTTAAAAGCTTGTGCCCCGAGTGAGGATCGAACTCACGACCTTGAGATTATGAGACTCACGCGCTGCCTACTGCGCCATCGAGGCAGACGGGCGCTGCGATCTTAAATACATTACATAAAGCGTCTCTCTCGGTTTTCAGATCATCCGAGGTTCTTCAATCAGCAATTCTCCGGAGTGGACAAATATGCTCTTGCGGGCGAGCTTGTAGTGGCAGGAGTAAATAGCAATGCGTAAGCTCAGAAGTATTATATGTAACACTCTCTCTCACTGTTAATTAATATAATTTAGAAGCAATGAACCTCGAAAATGATTCCTTGATTTCAACACAAAATGACTATATTTTTACAGACATACTTTTGAAGTAGCTCCAGTTTTCGTTATGGCGGAGAAAGCTGTGATAAAAAAGGCCCTCAAAGTGTTCGGTTATGAGCATGGGGAAGGAACATTTTGTCCAGGTAATTATTATAGGAAAAATTTGCGCACAAAATGAGGTTGCCGAATTCCAGTTGTCTGGTTAGATTTGAACTCGATAAACGACGCCACGTTTTTTGTCAAATCTGGTGTTGAACAACAATTGGTGTTCATTCCTATAGTATTTACTGTGAAAAAATATTCGTCTAATATATTCTGAGCTCCTTTACACGTTTTAATTAAAATGACATTGTTATCAAATTTGTTTGTTATCAAATTGAAAACAGAATTTGACTCCCGCAGATATGAAAGCATACACTATTTTAGATGATAACACACAATCACCTACAAAAATGTATCTACCGGTATGTACTGGTTTCCACCGTCGACTTGGCGAAGGTCCGAGTCACAGGCACAAATTTGTCGTTGAAATGGGATATTTTTTGAAAAATTGGTGAAGGGGTTAAGTTGTGGCTACGTCTCGTATAATCACATAAACCTTTTATATATTTTTCTCTCAGGCGGCACCTATTCCAGTATGTTGGCAACCAATCTTGCGAGATATCATAAGTTCCCAGATGTTAAGGGTAAGGGGATCATTGGTGGTCCTCGATTGGTAATGTTTGCCTCAAACCAAGCTCATTACTCAGTGGTAAAAAATGCAGCTTTAATGGGTATTGGTAGTGATAACTGCATCAAAATAGCATGTGATAATGAAGGTAGAATGATAGTTTCGGAGCTGGAAAAGGAGATTCAAAAAGCTAAAAATGAGGAACACAATATTTTGAGTCATTTCTTTGAAAAGTTGGTATTGTACCCTTCAGTATTCAAAATTGCTCGAGTAACACCAATTTTAAAATCTGTGATAATAAAATAATATCTAACTACAGACCGATTTCTATTCATACTTTTTAAAAAACTAATATATGAAAGAATAGTAAAATTTATCAATAAACATAATATGATAAATAAGTCTCAATTTGGATTTAGGGACAACCACTCAACAAACCATACTATTTTAGACATGATGTCATACATCTATGCCAAATTAGAAAATAAAGAGATTGTTTGTTCTGTGTTTTCATTGATTTAAAGAAAGCGTTTGATACAGTTAACCACAAAATTATTAACGAAACTATTCGCCGACGACACCTGTCTTCTTTCCAGTCATGAATCAATTCCAACTTAAGAAAATAATGTAAACTATGAAATGGTGAAGGTACATGATTGAATGGTTTCAAATAAACTGACAATTAATATTGAAAAATCAAAATCTATGATAATTACTACCCAAAAGCATCAGATAAACCATGAAATTGATGGTACCAAATTAGAAAATGTGTTATCATACAAATACCTAGGAATTTTTATTGATTCTGGTCTTAAATGGGACAAAGATATTGAGCATGTGGTAAAAAATAACTAGAGCAGTTGGTATCACCTACAAGCTCACAATACATGCCTACGTCAACCCGGCGCTCTGTGTATTTTTCACTTTTTCAATCTTATGTTCAGTATGAAATCACATGGTTACTCGACCTTCAAGAATACATATAAAAAATATTTAATCCAAAACTACCGGTAGTCTTTATAAACTGCAGTTTTGCTGACACTGTCATACCGGTACGGTGCCCGTTTTTAATCTTGGTGTCGCAGACTTATGGTGACCATTTCTGGTTCTTCGCGACTTCCAGTCAATTGCAATGAAATCCGTTTCTGTAACGCATAATTATTTTTTTCCTATTTTGAATTGTATTGTAATTTCTTGCACGACGAAATAAACTTATTGTCTATTGTCTAACAGCACTAATTATCCAACAACATCCAAAATTTAGCAACACGGTCGGTCTATGGATAAACTTGGTGTCCAAAAAGGTCTATTTCAAAAGTACTTTTGAAACTGGTGCACAAATCAATTTTTTTTTACTCACCATAAGCGTATTTCTCCACTACCCGTGGCTTATTCTTACTTGAAACGAATGGGTCTTTTCTTGGGCTTCGTCGGGTGGAACTGGAATTTTTCGATTTCGTAGAAATATTCAAAATTGCTTACTCCGTGTTAATTGTTTACATTTCCAGGGTGCCATTCCAATATTTGTTGTGGCAACAGCAGGAACGACTGTTTTGGGGGCTTTCGATCCATTCAACGAAATCGCTGACATTTGCGAAAAGCATGGAATTTGGATGCACGTTGACGTAAGAGATTTTAGTTTATTGCTTATCGATCTTGATCGGTAAGTATGGTTATATGTTTTTGTCTGTCTGTCTGTCTGTTAGACACTTTCGTATGTTACGCGATATCTCACGAAAGCGAGGTTGAATCTGCTCCAAATTTTGTATGTGCATTCATCATATCTCGGATCAGGAGCCTATTGATTTTGGATGATGTCGTATAAATAGCGAGTTAATAAATAATTAGTGATAGGACACGCGGTGTCGCTATTGAGTCAGAGCGAATGTGGAGCGTTTAGGTGTTTTGGTTACACGCCGCTTCGACTTTGGGGGGCTGGTCGAGTAAAATATTGAACATGCCGAAGATCGATAGGTCGGCGGTCTCCGATCGCTATATAGTTTAATTTATTATCATGTTCTTTTTCGTTCGGAATTCAAGAAACGATCACTTCTCTCTATATCAACCTTAGTTAGCGCCGATTGTGTTCGTATGCTATAATATTGTAGACCTGAGTTTGATATTATATTCGGGATATTTCTATCGTTTTAGGGCTGCTGGGGTGGAAGTTTGATGTTGTCTAAAAAGTATAAGCATATTTGCAACGGAATAGAAAGGTATGTGATATTATGATATACTTGAATTTGTGAACTTTTGCAAACGTAGTACACGCGTTTTCTGCCAAGTATGAAGCCCTTACTATCGTCACTATATACCAGCATATTTCTTGTACTTCAATGGGCATTAATTAACAAAAATGGTCAAAAACGAAATTTTTATACATTTTTTAGTATTTCGTACTTCGAAATTCACTTTTATACAGCACATTATACATTTCGTGAAGCACGGTATTGAGTTCTCCCAAAATCAAAACTATCGCATATTTCAGGTCAGATTCATTAGCATGGAATCCCCACAAAATGATATCGATGCCAATTCAGTGTTCTTTACTTGTGACCAAACACGAGGTAAGTTTGATTAATAATTCTTTAGATTACTGTTTAGCGAAGCAATCAATGTATGCATTATCCTCATTGACAATTTAAATAGCAACCCAAGGAATTTATCCCAACAATCAATTCATTTTTGACATCTTCAATTTTTTTCCAAGTATAAAAGAACATTAAAGCATATGATTCCGATATTTTGTTGATAAATAAGAAATATATAGTCTATTTTATACATAGGGTACTAGGGTATTGTGAATTGAACTGCAGGCCCTTTATCTTTGTTTACCTCCAACTAGTCGAAAACCATACTTCCAAAGTCATTCCAATCATATTATTTGATAACAAAATAATTGAATACCCTGTCCAGAAGGTTAATTCTGCTGGTCATGTATTTAATGCCCCTAAGTTTTATTTTCGCTACAAAAGACCGTATAATCACGGGACACAAAATCCACAACAAAACATTTGTTCATACCAAATTTCAACTGTTTGCAGACAACAATAACGAAGTTTAGTCGTTTTTTCAAACAATTATCATAGGCCTACTGCACACGATGCGCTTTTGAAGTACATTTTCTCACGACGACGATCTCTCACCAGATTTATGATATTGTGGTTGAAATTATTGCAACATAGTCATGGTAACAATGATTAAATTTCCACTTTGTTTTATGCAGGGCTTAATGAGCAAAGCTCATGGATTGGATGTTCCATATCTGTTCCAACCTAAAAAACCGTATGATGTGAAGTATGACGTGTCAAGGGACCTGATACAATGTGGAAGACGGGTATGTTCATTTTATTTTCTGCATAAATTTATTTTTTGTTTTTGATTTGAAGGTTGTTTCTAGAAGAAATTCACGAATGTGGCATTCTCTATCATTTCAATGTTTTCTTTATCAAATTAGATTGAAAGTCTCGCGATTATCGCAATTTAATTCCATGTGACACAACCGTATTCCTTACTTTCCAGTGGATCACGGCATTTCGAAAAATCCCTTAAACTTTCCTTTACTTTTAAGAAAGTTTGCGCGGCTTTCCTTTGAAATACTTAATAAAATAAATACATCAATGTTTTGATAGTTCTTTTCTAGATTTTGCGCTGTCGATTCAGTATTTTGCCTTGCAAAATCTATATAATAATATGTGTTTATTTCCTTTAAATTGGCAAAACCGAGGGCGCTGCCTCATTTAGATATTCTCTATATCTATAATATCTAAACTCTTTACTAGCGATTGATGTACGATCACAACGATTGTCATAACCGCATTGTACTTGGCGATCGTCGCTTGCTTTTCACTATGTACTCATTGGTAGCATCGCGGTTATTCGAGAGAAGAATCTCTTCTGTTGCCAGAACCCATGACGTGTAGGAATGTCTTTAGTGTTTTCACCCGACGCTTCCGCAGCCCGGTTAGCTCAGTCGGTAGAGCGTTGGACTTTTAATCCAACGGTCAAGGGTTCAAGTCCCTTATCGGGCGCCTTTCTTTTTCGTTAACCACGTTTTCATTATTAATTAAATGTGGAAATACACGACGTTTATATTTCCAGTTTTAGATGGATAGATTTTATAGCGATAATATTCTAAAAGTTTCTAAATTGGAACTTTGAGATCAAGTTCGGTTAATTTTTTATTTTCAATACAATTAGAATTGCTGGATTCTGCCTTTAGTACGCTATCGACAGATATCTCTATTTTTATTATTAATGATTATCATAACTCATATAATTTTGCACTCCAAACAAAGCTCAGTATGTTTCAAATTGACCATTTTGAATTTCTTTATTTTAACCTTCCTTTCCAAGTTTATGGAAAAAAGACTTCCAAGGGTTCAAGTCCCTTATCGGGCGCCTTTCTTTTTCGTTAACCACGTTTTCATTATTAATTAAATGTGGAAATACACGACGTTTATATTTCCAGTTTTAGATGGATAGATTTTATAGCGATAATATTCTAAAAGTTTCTAAATTGGAACTTTGAGATCAAGTTCGGTTAATTTTTTATTTTCAATACAATTAGGATTGCTGGATTCTGCCTTTAGTACGCTATCGACAGATATCTCTATTTTTATTATTAATGATTATCATAACTCATATAATTTTGCACTCCAAACAAAGCTCAGTATGTTTCAAATTGACCATTTTGAATTTCTTTATTTTAACCTTCCTTTCCAAGTTTATGGAAAAAAGACTTCATTTCAAACAAATTCGCCATTGCTAATTATATTTATACTCAGTCATTGTACTAAATTATATTTGAAAAAAATTGTAAGTATATATAAGATATCTTTGGGATTTGTGATAAACTCGGATTTTCAAAGACGCGAGCCATCGTGCATTTGCATGATGCTGCTATTTCACATTTAATGCCCTGTTAAAGATTTGAAGCTGAAAAATTGCATTTGGTATCTGAATCCAACAACGAATAAAATTAAATTAAGAGTGGATTAGCTTTAAAATACTCAACTTATACATTGAATCATTTACCGGCTGTAATTAAGCACGATACCAACATCAGTGGCTCGCCGTTCGCTTAGTTTTAGTAATTCAGGAGTTTGACATCGATTGGTCGTATAAATATTTGCCCAATTTATGCCAACGGGTTGCAAACATCAAAATTATTTACACAGTGTTGCAACTTTTCAAACACTAGATTAAAGGACAAGTATACTTTATTATTATAGGCCGACGCTTTCAAGTTGTGGTTGGCATGGAAAGCTCGGGGAGATGAAGGTTTTGAGAAACATGTTGACAAGGCGATGGAAAATGCGGAATATTTTTTGGAACTGGTCAAGAAGCGTGATAATTTTAGACTTGTCACGCAGCAGGTTAAAACTTAATATGTTAAAATATTTCTTTGTGAAAACACAAACAATGATAATAATCATACACAATTCGATAATTGGGAATTCCATGCGACAAAATCTCTGGAAGAATGCATAACCTATCGATATATTAGGGTCTGGCAAGTTCACGTCCGAAACATTGGAGACTGATCGCTGAAGTCCCTGCAACCCGGCTACAAATCCTCGAGTTTTCAGATATTGAGAAGCCACAAAATCGTTTTTTTCAGAGATATGTCACATGAGGGCTTGTGCAACACGGATTGCATCGCATTCAGATAATCGTGTCGTCACTGAATTGCCAGCATTTTGTAATCGGTATTGTCGGCTGCACTACCGATGCTTTACTCCGTTATTCTGTGCTATTTTCATAATTGTTATTGTTCACAGAACCTGTATTTAGTTTAGTAACATGTAACAATTATGCTCCTTTCGTTTTGTCCTGTATTCATCCCATTCTCACGAGAAAGCGACGGCAGCTTGTTCCTTTGGATTTGTCGCGATTTTATAATACCATAATATAAGTGTTTTGGTTTCAAAATTGGTCAACGTGGCGTATAAAATTTTTTCAGCGAATTTGTCTTGTAAGGTATGGTAACCCTGGCATAATGTAGGATACATTTTCAACAACCTTGATAGCACGCCCGCAATGGCTGCAAGTTTATGGGTTGTATGTCAAGTTTATCGAATTGCCTTCATTTACATGAAAGTTTTTCCCCTTATTCGGACCCAAACTGCCCATGGGTTTATATCGTTTAATGGAAATTTGTTTGTCATTTTTGATGTTTTCTGCGACTTTCCCGCACATGCATGACCGATTTACCAAATCTTTTAGCCCAAGCTGACAAACATATCATTCTGGTTCATTCCACCGAGTCTTCGAAACCAGAAAGAGGATGACGAGTTTTGGGAAAAAATGCATTTAGTGGCTCCAACGATTAAAACAAGGTGAGAAAAATGCAGTTACTTCAACGCGCGATATGATTTTAAATGCGGTATTTAGCACAAGTGTCAATTTGCTATCCGGAGTCATAACCTTATCATCGCTCTAAAATCCCTTTTGGTTTTCCAAATATACTTATTTATTATGTTTTACCACCAACTACTACAAACTTACGCCAAAATTACATTCAGAATGCAAAAAGATGGAACGATGTTGGTTGGTTACCAACCGCTGGAATCCCTCGTCAATTTCTTCCGCATGATTGTCATAAACAATCGCGTGACACACGAAGACATAGAATTCGTGCTGGATGAAATTGAAAGAAAAGGTGCAGACTTGTGATAATACCTCCACCACTTCTCATATGACAAAAGCACATATATAAAGAAGCAATAATTTATTATAATTAAAAAAAAAATCATTGAAATATAGATAAATTCTAATTCGAAAAAGGTTGAGCCAACACCACTTGACCTCTACTTTAAATTTCATCCATTTTTGATGTTCAAATAATAAACGCCTTAGAATTGATTGAAGCTTTGTTAAAAACCTTTCGAAAAGGGACAGCTGCTCAGAAAAACAAGATTTTATTCACAGTAATAGTGCAAGCATATATTTGCTCACGCAGGTTATATATGGTCATGTTGTAGGATTCCAGACACAAGCTAAACTGTACAAAGCAAAAGACGAGAATATCAACCTTATCGATCGAAAGTTAGGGGATCCCCCAAAACAGCGCTCCTAGTCCATAGTGTCCCATCACTAATTAATTAATAACTCCCTAATTATTCGACATAATTCGCCCAAAATCAATAGGCTTCTGGTCTGAGATAAGATGAATGCACATGCAAAATCTGGAGCAGATTCAATCTCGCTTTCGTGAGATATCGCGTGCATCTAACAGACATACAAATACCTATCAACATACTTACCGATTAAAATCGATAAGTAATTACCGGTAGGTGATGTTAAGCTACTAACCCTCCAAAAAAAACGATGGCGTGTTTGAAATTCATTGATAAACCCCAAAATGTGCCCAGTATTCAGGAGGGTCCGGTACAGTTACACCTTGCTCAAACATAGATCATATACTTTCAGTTCTTGCATTTGAAAACACATTGTTTCCCACTAAACCTGAGGTTACGACCTAGAATCATATGGTTAAGACAAATCTTTGATATGAAAGTCAATCAATTAGGCTGTGTAACTTGAAGGAGTCAACTTCCAAAATCCCATTCTGTGTCATCAATAGAAAGTTCTCCCATCTGTGTCACAGTCGAATCCTCAGGTTGAGAGTCTCCATCTGTGAGAAAATATAGAATTTACCCAATTTGGAATTCAAAACTTGGATCACCAATATTTTGTTCGGAGTTCAAATTTGGGAGTCCAAATTTTTTACTACCTGGAGTCTGAGTCATTCTGGAATTAGGGGCGATTTCAATGGGCTCACAGTGTGGTCACGTCCTTATTAGTATCAGGTCAATTCAGATAAAAGGGTAAATTTTTTACAGGAGTGATTATAAAGCAGTGCATGGTGATAAGCAAGAATTAATTTCAATATAGGTGTAATAGGTTAGTCCCAGTTTTTTCAAAGATTTGATGAATCATAAATCAACCTTTTCGATCGCTTCCCACAGGTGTTAGTTCTTTGAATATTGGTTGAAATATTTCCATATTGGAGCGATTTTTTAATTGCTTTAAAAATGGATGCTTCAATAATTCTTCTGCTGTTAATCTGAGTTCAGGTTCCCGTTCTAAGCTATCTGTGACAAACTGAGAGAAAAATATATAAAAGTGAAACAAATGTCCCAACAACTAACCTTGGAAATGAGTTGGAATAGGACATTTTTTATATTCACATATATTTTACCTTCATATTTGAGGTTATGTATACAAATTACCTCACAATCAGTTTGAATGTTACCAGAGGTTTGCAAAGAGAAGATACTCATATAGATATATACCTTATGGAAAGGGGGTGAGAAACGTCGAGATCTTGCTGTTTTTATCATACTCAATCTTGTAACTTCATGATTCAGATTCACAGTTGAACTATCCACTAGAAAAGAATAAACCTTCAGACTTCTGGTGAACAAACAATAAATTTAGACGAAATATATTTTTAAAAAAATTCAGTACACTCTGGCTAAGTATAAGTGGGAGGTGACCAACAAAAAAAACATACACATTATTTTATATGTAATATAGTGATGACCTGTTTCATATTGAACCCGCAACCTTTCAGCAAAATTCATAACGATTTGGTCAAGGAGACAAGGTGCTGACCAAAGGGCACGATTTTAAATTATGGCTGTTTCGTATTCCCCTAACCAGGGCCGGATTGTATTGTATTCTATTACTCCACATAACATAGCTGGATGTTAATATCATTCTAATAAAAAGCCCTATATACCAAAAAAGAAATGTACAAGCATTTGATATATAAATTATAAATAACAACATTGGAAGGAGAAATAAATGGAACGTAATTACTTACAATCATCTGCAATGTCAGATGGAGGTGGAACTGTAGACTCATCCAATACATATGGAATGGTTCCATTCAACTTCTCCAATAGCATCTGAAAAAATAAGTCATAAATTACAATAAACCAACTGAGGTTAGAGTGTTAACTTTCAAGTGCTGCTATTTAATACATCTCTCTGCAGAAAAGATAAACCTATATGCACAAAGTCGGCCAAAACCGAACACATATTACTTGGAATATTTTCTAAATTAGAGGTGCCTAAAGTTTAAGCCTGCTGTTTTTGGTTATACTGTGAGACTTAATAATAATTTTCTAATTGCACTATTATAAAATATTGTTAAAATCGAGAAATTCAGAACATTATTACAGTAATTCCGAATCGGTTTAATTAATTTTAACCATTTAATAGCTCTTCATAGTCTCTTCCAACTCTTCTGTCACTACTCTCTTGACTCTCATTTTTGAGCGCTTGGGACTTATAAGAGAGTATAAAAGAGTTAACATAACATGTGAAGTTCGAAAATCTTTCCATTTAATACCTGTGTGCTAGGCATATCTATGAATGGTGCATGTCCATTTGCAAGTTCACATGCTGTGATACCAAGACTGTAAATATCTGATTTAGTGTCATATCCTTGCATGTTCTGTAAAATTGAGGTGTCAATTATATAATTGTAACAACATGGCCTGTTTGGCCGCAAGCTTACTAAAATTAGAATTCACCAATATTTAGATTTTTTCAAATTTTGTATCTTAGCTCGGACTTACAGACTTGCTTCTAAACGTTTTCTCATAATAAATGAAAAATATGCAGTATTTGTGCTGGGCAAATGAGAAACATTATATGGGCTATATGTTAAAATATACATTGTAATCTTAGGTAGCAAACAGCACATACAAAGTTACAGACAATAAAACTTATGTTATTAATTAAGAATGTTACAATATTTGTTAAACACAAACTTCTATTTCTGAAAGTTCAGAATCTCGACTGACTTGTTGCAAAATCTCAGGACTCAGCCATGGTAACAAAGATGTATCATGCTTTGGAAAATCATGAACTTTTCGAACTTGAACACCCTCTCGAGTCAATTCTATGACATTCCGATGTCCTGTCAACTTTACTGCACCCGTTTTCGATACAAGAATATGACTACCTTTTATACCTCTGAAAAATATATAACATGATGGGATTATTATTTAACCTGGGGGAGTGGAAGCCGATAAGATGAATTAATTACATGGCAAACCTCAGCCTCTCGTCCGATTTCAGTCTATGTCAGGCATGGAATTATTTAGCCAGTTATTTGTTTCGGATGCATGGATTGTTAATGGTGGGGGAAGCCGTAACTGACCAGCAGTTTAGTATACCACCCTATGATGCAAAGAGTGCAGCAATCTTTTTGCACAAATTTTTCCCCCCACCGATTTCGAAACGGCGATCTAACACAGGGTAATCAGAGGTGATATGGCAATTACTTTAACAGTATTAGTAACACTTAGCATGATGCGCCAGCTAGTAAGTACATGCATACAAAACCTGTGAATTAATCGCATGCTGTGAATATAAACCAATGCCTTCAAAACTTCTCTCATTATTAGAGCAATTACATGTTCTGATAGACCATATTTAAAATGCGCTGACATTATATCTGTGCAGGAACCTAAAATGGAAATATCAATTTTTAAATAATATATAAGACTCTCAGTGGATTAGAAGGAAAAGTAAATCATTGGTATAAGTTATAATTCCATATCTTTGCTATAGTATACCAGATCGAATGAGTGAAAATGATCTAAATCATAGGTTCTCAAAGTGCTCCGTACGGAGCCCCAGGGCTCCGCGAGAGAAACCCAGGGGCTCCGCGAGCTATTCGATTACTCTTCAAAATACTGACTCAAAATTTTGTAACTGTTCAAAGAAGCAATAACAGCTTTGATAACATCTGACAACAATATAGCCTCGAAATATGGTAAAGGGCCGGAATTAAAAAATGACATTATTTATTAGCAGTAGCGCAGCCAGGATTCTCAAGAGGGAGATGGTTCACAATTGGAATCGGAAATTTCCGCGCAACATTTTTCGCGATCAAAAAAACGGATAACGAGATTTCTGTTGCGTAAAATATTCAATCCAAGACCGATGGAGCATTTGACGTGTCTCGTCGGTATAATGTAGTTGTGCTCATCGTTACTCACGTTTGATTCGAGATTACTATTAGGATTACTAAAATGAAAGAATACTATTCTAAAATAACATGAAATATGTGATAAACTGCCAACTATAAATAAATTGGTGTCGTATTTTTGCGATCTTGGTATTTGTCAAACTTGATTTGTTCTTTCGCACTTGAGATTATTTTTAAGCAAGATATCGCTGTTTAAAAAATCACAATGTCTGGGGAAAATACGAACAATTGAAAATTATTTTATTGCATTCAGCTCCGTCGGTAGTTTCAGAATGAAAAAAGGTACATCGCGGATCGCGCGCACCATTGATTGCGTGCGGCTGCGTCGGTAGTTTCAGAATGAAAAAAAAAGGTAAATCGCGCGCACAATTGACTGTGTTTCGATTTCGCAGCTACTACGATGAAAACCTAACATAACACCAAATTTTGTGATTTACAATGTCTATAGAAGCGTTTTCAATCTGAGGTGAGTCTGCTGAAACCAAAGTGTGATCTTCCATTTTAAGTTTCAGTTTAAATATTTTAGAATGCCGCTTTTAATCAAGAAATTTGAGTTGTGGATTTACCTTTTTTATTGATTATTATTTTTAGCATTTCGTCGCCGATGACTATAATATGGGAACATGTTTTTCACATTGAACTCATAATTCCCCACGAGAACAAAAAAGCAATTAACGTCGTCATTGTGTAACAATACATGTATATGCCGAGGGAAATTTTTGATTTAGGGAGAATAAACAGCGGCGTAAAGATGTTTAAAACACGCCATGCTGACGGAAAAAATCGGCGATTGTAACAAAATGAAATAGCGCACGTTACTAACGGCCTTTTAATTAAGTCTTCCAAAAATGTCAAAAAAGAAAAGATTCGATCCCTAATTTATTAATATGTTCGTCAAGTGTCAAATTTACAGCTTTAGTATAAAATTTAGATTTATTTATGACTTGTGTTAACCCTATTAAAAAAGGTTCAGCATTTAGAATAAATAAAGTACTTTTAACTTGCTCGGGAATAATAATCTGAAAGTAACAATTTTAAAATTTATTTTGGGGCTCCGCGAATAATATTAAACCTTTCAAGGGCTCCGCAACACCAAAAGTTTGAGAACCCCTGATCTAAATGACATATCTCTTCCCTAACTAGATTTCGTCAAGATTTGTGCAATAAACATTTTTGAAGAAATGTATAAATCTGAAAAATCTATTGTACATACAAAAATATAACATTTTCCAAAGTCTGAAAAATATTTTAAAATTTTTCACAAGCGAAATCCATCACAAAATATAAAAACAACAATTGAAACCGATAAAAAAGTCAGATTAGATGAGTCTCTCTGCCCAATGTCATATAGTCTATATCTTCCCTAATTTTCACATAATTTTGATCATACAGTTCAAACAAATGTCCAATTATCTGCTGAGCAAGTTAACCACTTTGGCATGATGAATATTCTCCTCGAATATTTCAGGACCTTGCTTTGAAAGAAATTTAAATGCTCCAAGCTTATAGATGGAAATAAATAAATTTTCAAACCATATTCCATTAAAGGCATAACCATGCATAGCTTGCTTCCATGAAGAAATATAGATGAGAAAGTGATCACATTTGAATGACTTAAGTTGCGTGATAAACGAACTTCATGCTGAAAATTTGGAGATAAATTCATATCAGGATATTATTAAAGGTCAAAAATCACTCACTTCAGTATGCAACAGATTGACTTGAGGGTATATGGAACTTGACTTGTAATGTTCAAAGCAGAAATGAAATTATACTCTGTATGATTAAACTATGTAGCGGACCATAGCTCTTCATCCTACTCTTGAATATCAAACCAGCCCAACATTTTATATGCTTTAATGAGGTTGGTTCAGAAAGTCACAACCACCCTCTCAAACATCAGCAAATGTGACAAACCGAGAAAGCAAAGTGGCAATAGCGTTTAAAATAGTTCCAGTTCCAGAAACATATAACTGTATAATGGCTTTATTTATTTTACTGTTTTATTCTTCAATACCTTCATTAAATCACTCAGTCTTTGATTATACAATTTTAATACCTGCAGCAATGCGAGTAAGCTGGATGGTAAGAAATCCGTGTCCAAGCACTTAATAGCAACCAGATTATCATTCGTCACATTTCTACAATATGAGATGTCAGCATTGAACAGTAAGCTTTTGCCTGGTGAAATTTAAAATTTCATTCAAGTTTGCATGATAAGTGGAAGATTAGAAAAAGTTTGTTTCGTGAATCTGTTTTATCCGTGTCATTTTTGTATAATGCCATAAATGGTTGAATTCAGTGGTTAAATTTTCATTTGATTAATACTTTGATGTTATTTGCCAAACGATAAAGCACTTGTTAGGTACAAGTTGACTCGCTCTTGCTCTCTTGACTCTATTATCACAAAGTTTAGAACCATCACACAATACTACAACATGGATGGCACAGCCATTATTCAGTACTTATTGATCCATATAAACTAATATTGTCATTTGTGGTACATACAGCGAGACAGCGCATGTACATGAAACAAACCATTTCTGTGAATTATGGTACATGAAATAATACGGCTGGTACCAACCTAGTCGCCCAAGTGAACAAAACGTCTTGGGGATATCTTCAGGACTGCGCATTGTGGGTTGTCGAATATATGAGTTTTGTTGACAATGTCCCGGGAGTGATTAATTATATCTAAATATCTGAAAAGTAGTTATATAAATTTGAAAATATGACGAAACAATGTCGAAATGACGTACGCGGCTTACACAACCCGTGCATACCTTTCTCACTCTTTATCCCTGAAACAATGACATCAGCGCTGATCACATGAAAAACAATCGCACAGTGCGTGACGTCAGTCGTTAGGAATGAGTTCATAGAACGCGTTGCTCAGTAATCTGTCGCAATTGAGACTCTACTTCAATGAATTAAGGCCAGTGAAACGAAGAAAAGCAAATCTTGGGTAGGTTGAATAGGTGATCTAATTCTAATTTCTTCAAAAATTCTAAGTAAAATGATTGTATAAAATCCACCAAAAGCCTGTCGCTTATGCCATCTTTTGTAACTGTGATATCAGAAAGGCAGTCAGTCTAACCAAGATGGCGTCACCCGTTTCTCTCGTTTTTACATTTATGAGAGAGAAAGAAAAAATTCTTGCGCAGTCGTGTGATGTCACAAAAGGTCGAACGTAAAGAGAGTAGCTGTGCTTGTATTTTCATGGGGGATAGCACGGGTTGTTTTGTCGCGATTGTTCGCTGGTCTGTCCGAGTAATGGAAGCTGCCGCTCATTTTGCTATGGTAAATATGCCCTTGGGGAAGAGCTAGCGATTATTATTACGTGATTGAACCTCGGGAACTACGTCAAGGGTACTATTGAAAAATTTAATTTTCATCATTTCCTAGTAAGATAAAATACTGTACATTACATGGGCAAATTTGTGTATTTTCCTTACAATTTAGGTAGGTACCGGTATCTGTATGTTGAGAAGGTAAACTCTTAACATTCCAGCATTCAGAATAGCAAAACTGTTAACATTCAGAACCTCACAGAATAATAGAGCAGTAGTATAGTAAAAAATTATATATATCGTTATAGCTCTTAGCATCCCCCAGTCCCCTGTTATTTCAAACTGACGAAACGCTCAAACTAATGAACTGAAGGTTTTTGTTCACTTGTTTCATGTACTGAGAGGGGAATTTTAAATGAAAGCATATACAATGGCTCCTATTGTTGATGTACAAAAATATATATCTAATTATGATTAGAGTTTACAGCAATTATATTCTCATCAGAACATTTGATTTTCTATGTAATTGTAGAATTTGCAGAAGTATGTAATTTGCAGAACACTATTGGAAGCAATTATTGCATTCAGAGAACTTATTTTATTTCCAGGTGATACAGTTTTATTTGCTTTGATATGCATGTGAGCATGATGGAGTCCTCTTCTCTTCCATTCGGTAATCATTCTGGACAGAATATCAGTAAGCATTTTATATGATGATTGAATCGTATTTTTGTTGCTTAATCTTGACTATTTTAAAAATGGCTTTTTGCTCCGATTTGTATGTAATGAAGGAAAGTTTTGATGTTATCGTCCATTTTTGTCCATCGAATTGTATTTTATTTTCACAGCCGAAACACGTTCTGAATTGGCTGGACGACAGTCGACATACATGACAAACATGATACTTCCAGATATGGTTCAGTCATCAAAAAATTTTCCACTTGGACCTGATTGTATAATAACATATGCCGATGTTCCGGATCAATCAGTACTGTGAGTTCATATTTGCATTCTTTATTTTTGGTTTTCTCAAATGCTTAGAATTGCCTAATTGCAATCAATAATGACTATTTTTGTAACAGCGACTCGTATATCCTAAAATTAGCTATGAGCGCTCTTGAATATGGTTGACTTAAATTCCTTGCGATTCTGTGTGTGTTGATGCTTTTGAAGCGTAACCGGTCAGAATAATAACACCTTGACTGAATGATAATTTTGCTGCCAATCATGGCTTGAATATTGGTATAAAGGAAATCAGACGAGATATGTTCTCCCAAATAATACTGCAAAAGTTTTTACATGTAAAATGCAGTCTATTCTTAAATATGTGAAATAATATGGATGTTTTTAGATTGAGTATGGATTTGTATTGGCTTATATCATTAGAAAATGGATGCGTTGAATGTAAAGTTCATGTTAGTGATACATCAGCAGGTAGGAAAGGTGAGATTCAAGTTTACTTGTTCAACTTCTAACTTCTCTATCAATGTTCTCATTCACTTCCTATTTTGCATTTGATCAGCGTTGCCATGCTTATGTTATTCATGGTTACATTAGTTTTATTGTATTTGATTGCGGTTTACCAGAATTATGAACACAGTTGAATGGCCAAACTGAGATTTTAAAAATAAATTTAAATTTTGAAATTGACAAAGTGGTAAATGAGAGAAAAAAGGTCTGGAACCCCTAGTCAGTAAATTTTAAAACTAAAACAGGATTTTCTGCGTTGCTTTTATAGTAAATGACAAATTTATTATGCAAGTCCGAATTAATAAAGACTAACAATTTGGAATTTGTTTCAAAATGTTTCTGTATTAAACCACAGTTAACTTTTTGCAGCAATCACACATGATGCAAGGGTCATTATTACACGCAAGCCAAGAAGATTTGAGGCATATTGTTGCGGGGTATGCAGAGCAAATTTTGTTACAGTTGTTCAAGCATTATTACATATGAAGGCATTTCACAGGTATGAGATGTTATATATAAATCAATATTCAGGCGCAGTGGCTCATAAGGTGAATTTATTTTTATATTTAGACAGAACAAAAAGATACTCATTCAAGATCAAAATGTTTTTCATGATATTGAAAAAGCTATGGAAGTTCCTCCTGTACCATTACCATGGTATGTTGCGAAACGAGTCACTGAACAAGGCATCCAGGTATGTGATTTTTTTACTTCATGTCTCATTTCATTCTTCACGTGTTGTTTGTGATCTTTTATGTTTTTATAATGCGTTGTTTTGAAAATCGTTTCCTTCTTCAATCTTTGATTCTGATTCATTTGACCCCTTTTGTAGGGAAGTACAACTATTTACCAAATTATATCATGTAAATTTTGTCTTAATTGAAATAGCCAAGGGTTCTCAACTTTTTTTTTTATAATTTTTAGATTTCAAATATTCAACCTGTCGGTTCATCATCTGATAGTGATACACCGACAACCAACGCTGGCTCTTTTAATGAAGGTACGTAATAGATTTGTGAATATTTTGCACATGTTATTTGGGCCCAACAAGTTACCTGCAAAAAGGTTTTCTGAATGAATATTCAGACGAATTCGTAGTCACAGAATATCATTGGTAGTGGCATCAGTGGTATTGCTAACTTTCAAAGTTTGTTAGGAATTGTACAGATTTACAAAACATACATTTTATCAAGTAGAGTGGATAACAACTATCTGCAAATGATATAATTGAAGTTCACATGAATATTGCTTTGCTTACACTTTTCTACTACTATTAAATCATGCTAATTTAATATGTTTCTCTGAAAATTAAACCGGAATTATATTGACATGATATTCCAGATAACAAATTTTACTTTGATCGATAATTTGGATACATTTTTTAAAGGGGAAGGCAATCCTGTCACTGTTCTATTGCAAGCGATAGTAAAAGAATATAAAAAACCTGTTCATGCTGTTCTTTTTGGTGAAGATTTTGCGGAAGTTAAAGTTCAATTTGAAGATAAAACTTCACTTGTTGCACATTTGCCTGATCTCGTCGGGGGCGAACAAATGAATGAAAATACAGGTGGAATTTATATGTTTTGAAATTGAAATGGGCCATATAACGTAAAATTGTGGTGATGCCAAGCGCCAAACCATCAAGAACCAATTAGCTATCGTAATGTAAATAATATTGAATTCTCGCCAAATGATATTCCATTTTAGTGTAGTAAAAATGCTGATAGTGAGATAGGTATAGATTAAGATTATAATAGAATTTATAAAGAATTGCATACGTTGGCTGTGTAAATGGATGTAACAGGCAATACATGTATATATGTTGCACGCATCTGTTCAAAATCGAATAATACTGTATGATATAATCCAGAAATAGATCCAAGTGCGAAACTGGAGTTTCAAATCCAACGAGTGAAAACCGAGGGAGATGAATCAGAATCCTGTATAGTACGAGTCAATAATCCAACACTCGCTCAGCGGTTAATGGCATCTGCTTTAAAACAAGGTGTAGAACAAGGCTCTGGGACCGATCTTGCTGGTCAAGATGAAGAAGGATCTTCTAAAGGTATTTGTATGTTTTCTTTTTCCATGTCTTTCAATACCCACATTGTAGATAGTGCATCATTCTGCCATGAAAAGTTTTATTATTATATATATTTTGTTTCTTGCTTTTGTAAGACTCTTATATTTAATGCCTTGTGCTTCAAACAAGGCCTGGTACAAGCAGCCACTAATATCTAATGATAGGTAAGAATCTATTAATTTTGGAAGAACCAGAAAATTTTCTATCGCCTACGCTATTTATTACGCCTGTAGTGTGCATGGGATTTAAACCCAAGATGTGTAATCTGCGATGCCAACACAGTTATGTCTAACCCTATAACCATCTTAGTAGGCCATCTTTGATGTTAATTTTTTCTAAATTTCATGCAAAAATTCTGCCATATTATCGATTTTTCTAATCTTCAACATACGTTGTTATACGTACTTGCTTAATTAGAATTGGGGTTTTCTGGGATTCACTCTTCATTCTTATATTCATATAGAAACAGAAACGGAGAAGTTCTCTTCAAGAATCGTCAAACAAAATGAAAATTCTCATGTCAGTTCTTCCACTGGTGAAAAAGAAGATAAACCCGTTGGTACGTGTGGTATCTTGAAGAAATGATCTTACATTAGGATTATGCATTAGAATAATAAAATTTCCAACTTCTATTTGGACCAGTGTCTTGTTTTCGTGATCATAATGACTACTTAAGATCTTAATGACTACATAATAACTTTAACTCAGGTCTTTGTAAAAAAAACTTTACAAAAAATTTGTTTAGAGCATTGGTTCCCATTCTTGGGTATTCCCATGTACTACTTGGGTATTCATTACTATCACCACTTACCACCTTATATCAATATGGCTTTTGTAACCAATATGGCTTTTGTAAGTGACTTTCTTTTGCAAAATGACTGTGACTCATATCATAACTGTTGTTACAAATCAATTGTCTCTTTAAAGCGTCACAAATATAATGCCTGCTGAACAATAGACTTTAATGCAAAAAAAAGAACGACAAAGAAAATGAATAAATTATTGTGAGTGGTTCAACAACAGGTTGGGAATCACTGGCCTAGGGCATACACCGCACTACATTGACATTATTCCATTGTTTGTCATTTACAGATTCTCCTGCTCCAGCAATGAAATTGAACAGCAAAGGAAGACCAACTAAAACTGTCAGATTCATGGTTGGATCTCCAGATAGTGATGAAGACTGCAGCAGTACTGCCAGTGATAGAACAGGTTTGTGTGTACTTATGATTTATATTCGCAATAATTTATTTTGAACTAAAAAACAGAACCCATAAATTTCTTAATAACTTCTGCTGAAATGAAGAAAATTTATTTACCAACTTATCTTTTGTGTATGATTGTACCCAAAAGTTTCAGTAATCTTGGATGCTTTGCAAAAAAGTTATGTTGTCTCTAGATTATGTTACAAATGACCTGGGTTTTGTTTTTTGAGTAGTTCCGGCTTTTAATTTTTTATTACCTAACATTGCAAAAGCTGAGATGCGAGTTGAATCATCTGTGTTAGCGGATCTTTGGCAGGGCCATTTTTGAATCGAGTCCCAATTCAAGTTATTCCCTGAGTTAATTCTCACTGGATGTTAGTTGATGAAGAATCCAAGTCATTGTATTTAGATGACCCGAGTATTAAATAAATGGTGACTCTGGTCGAGTCAATGCCAGAACATTTGAATTTTTTGAACACCTAATCACTGCCAACAAGGCCCTGTACAAGCAGCAGATATCTAAGAAAATGTAGGAAGCTACTGTATTTTTGTGAGGACTATAATCTTTTCGGTTCTCCATTGCCTAACCAATATATCACACCCACAAAAAATTTGCTACATGTTAGTTTCATGTTTTCATCATTGACTTTGGGATGGCATTGTTACATCACAAACTGCTGACCTAATGGTATCGTTGTATGTAACCTTATATGGGCATATTACTGATGCTTTATGTTACGGCAATGATGAAAATCATAACAATCACTGGAGAGTCTTTTTTCGATGAATTCTGTTTTTGGCAATTATCGTTCTCTTTATAATGTCGATGGTTTCGCCTTATAATCATCATTCATTTCTATGTTCGTATACCTTCAACCCATTGTACTTTTGGTTATGTGGAGGAAGCGTTACCAAAACATTCTAGCATCTGTTTTTAATATTTAGAATCTTGCTGACATATTGGTAATTTGGATTTTCGCTCATATCTGCCCTGACGTTTTTTTCGAATTTTGGTTATGTTGGAAACATTACGAAAACATTTCGGTATCTGTTTTTAATAGATATAATACAATACGGTATCTTGCTGGCGTTGATTTTTTTTTGTTTTGTTATATAAGGGGGTCGTGATAGTGTTTCACCTAATACATCGAATGTTGAAAAAGAAACAACTGGCTCCACCAGCTCAACTACAGAAAATCAAGAAAAACAAAATTCAACTGCGGATGAGAAAAAAACGTCGAAAGAAGATGAAGGTTTGATTTTTTATTTGAATTTTTTTGTTATCAACTTTAGGATGATGTTACACACCTTTTATTGCAGTGCTCCCTAACTGAGGTCCTGGACTCAAAATGAGTTCGCAATGGGGCCCTTGTGAGTTCACACACACATGTTGCCCACATCGAGCGATTTCGTATGAAAAACAAAAATAATTATTTAAACGCAAAACGTTCGTATTTCAGTTCAGTTATATCGACTTATTTGCGCAAAAGTTTATTTTGTGACAAATTCATTTTCCGAATCAATCACAAAATGAAAGCGATTATATACATATGGAGAACTCTGTAACCTTAACTCAACATCAAATGCACTTTTACTACCATAAACCCCAGTTTTGACAAACTGGTGAAACAAGCTCAGGAGCAAGGTTTACATTAAATGTTGCAAATGCAAATCAACATTTATTTCATTGTTGTGTCTTGAGTATGCCACAGAAATGGCTAACAGCCAAATAAGGTTGGGAATTTCTGTATCTGAAAAATATGATGTTTAAGAGTTGTCTGTCTAGGTTTATGTTCCTAACCCATGCATCAGTTTTGCCTGTATCTTTTTTTCATGTTATAATTTTCGTTCTTCATAACTTCATATTGCAGGCTTGCAAGGAGTGGTGAACCAACTGATATCAACAGCATCAAAAGGAATGTAAGTACCGACTTCACTTTACTTTTTTAAAGTTAAATCTATCCGTCATGGACTAATAAACACTGAAAGGAAGTCGTTTGCCATATAATCTAACCATCTCATAGGCTTCCCTCTAGTCCAGGATACATATGAGAATCGCAAGAAGATAATAATTTATAGCAGTTAATGCAAAAATCAATTATGACACTCATGAGTGTGTGCAGTATTTTAGTTCGCTAATGTTTCTTTCTGTTCAGTATTCTCATCCAGAAGTGTCCAAATAAATCAAAATTAATTATATTCAATATTTCAAATGCTTGATTTTAAGAATATACTAGAATAGTATTTTTGAAAAATGATCATTGTTAGCAGCATTTGAAGAAGTCTTATTAAAGCTCGTCTCCATTCAAATTCCGAACATAAAATATAGAGAATGAATTAAACATTGGTTATCATTAAGTCTCTTATGTTTCTTACGTCAAACTCCTAAATAGACATTGACTTCCAAATGTACTCTGTTTAATGTCTCAACTGTTTAATGTCTCAATACTAAATATATTCAGTATTCCATTACAGTATTTCAGTATTTTCAGTATTCAGTATTACTTTACAATAGATAAATTTAAATTGCATTGCAATAGTGGTTTATTCCGTTTTGCCCAATTTCCAATTTCATATTCTTTTATCTAAACTTTTTGTTTACTTGCAGTTTGAATATTTATTCGAAAACATACATTACTTTCCTGTTTTTTCATAATATGTGTGTTAAATGTTTCAGAATTGCACCTGTCGATCCTGGATCTCCTGCTAATACTTCAACTGTTACGTCTTCTGCGAGCGTCCGAGAAGAAATTTTAGCTACAGCAGCGTATCACGCAAGATATTTGCCAAAAAATCGTTCAGTTCCGAACTTTTCTACTTTTACTATGCCAACGTCATCTGTCACAGTACAACCTATTTCCATCAAATCAGTAGAAGATTTATCAAAACAAGGAATGATAAGAGTACAGGTACATGCTGTTCGAATATTCTCGTATTCTAAATCAGTATTAGGTAGAAACTCTGTGAACACAGAGTCCATGGGTCATACAAGTCTCTGTGGTTCATTGATGACGATTCAGATACATCCCACTCAGATGACCTGGGTCACATCAAGTTTCTGATAAATGATGACTCGAGCCTAACTCAAGGTGAGTCAATCACTCAAGTGCAAGTCCATCCGAAACAGTTCTGAATACATCCTAAAATAACATTTTTGAACATGGTGTATCGCATGTATTCTAAATTGGGTTCACACATAAACATAACACATAAGTAAATGTTAATATACCTATCTTCCATGACTTTGGTTGTAATTTCAGGAAAGTAGCTGATTGTTCTTTTCTCTATTTTCTACAATCTGCAGAAATTTAAGAATGAATCAATTTTGGCCAGTGAGATGGTTGCTGTCGGTAGCTCAAAATAATAACTTTTCAATTGAAATTATTTCTTAAATCAAAAATTTAACAATTTGGAGTCGAAGTCTGGTGTAAATTTCCCCAGACTCGAAATCCCTAGTTGTAAGACATTTTTATTCTCAATTTTGTCATTTTAAAATATCTAATTTTATATTCCAATATTGCTGATATTGTTGAAATGGTAGGTATAACCAGTGCTGGTATATCACCACAACGCTATCCCTAAACCGAAAATTGACTGGAATCTTGCTATTCAACTTTTTTTAGTCATGGGGAGGAGGTGGAGGGGGGGATCCTCAAAGGTTCTCTCTTTCCACGTACACGCCAAATACACCTCAAAATTTTGATCACATGTCAAGAGAAGAACTCAGGAAGTCGTTTGCTGTTGGGCGAGCATTCACGTATGCTGAAAAAATTCGTCTTATGAAAAAACTAAATGATGAAGATAGTCTTTTAACGCAAGAGCATGTCAGGGGTACAGGTAGGATTGTCTTGAGGAAGATTTAGAATAAGTTCAAATCTGTTCTGCTTGAAATTGGAAAGTATAATCAGGATGGCCAGAATGAATATTTTACTATTCCGAATACATTCTGAGAAAATATTTTTGAATATGGAGTATCAAATACATTCTAAATTGGGGGCAAGTTAAAGTGGAAAATTCAATAAATGTCTAAATCTACTTGATTATTATCACATCTAAAACGACATCAAAATAAATATCATTGTTTTCTCTGTGTTGTTTGTAATCAATTGAGATATTGTACATTTTGATCTGCTTGTCTGATGGCTCAAAATCTCTAATTTTCAATAAAAATAGTCTAAATTATTCCTAAATTTGAAATTTTTTTTATATTGAATATAATGAAATTTGAATGTATTCGAATATTCAATTCATTTTGGATATTTATTAATAATTATTACAAAAACCAGTTTCCCATTTTGTGATGAGTGTTAGGAATACCACCAATAGACAAGCACTATCTCTATAGGTCAGTGTTTTGAAATGTTCTCGAAATATATACGATATTAATACCCATTATTAAGCTGCATACCCAGCAGTTGGCTCTTCAAATTATATGTTAGAAATATGTTTGTCATCACATCTCTGATGACCCTGCGCGAGTTTGCAGGTCCAAATGTAGGAGAAACATTATTATGTGTGGGATGTTTACCTGGCTACCGTTCGTCACGGGTTGGTTTACGTAATCTCATTCCGATAATGTTTTTTTCCATCATTAATTTGGTCCTTCAAAAACAAATCACTGGTTGGCTATCCAGCTATTCCCATGCTTGACATGGACTGGTAACGGGCCACTTTTGCCGCTATAGCATTCAGATGTCTTATCTGGTTTCCTCTTCTCGTGTTAAATATGAAAATTCCATCTATATTTTAAAACACTAGGCAAATTAATCGAATCTGAGATCCAGTCATCAATAAAGAAATCAAGAAAATCATCTTCATCATCAATATCAAATACAACAGAAAGGTAATCTTAATTTAAATACTAAATCTAATTTTTATTTATTTTTTTCCTTACCAGTAGGATATTGAGAAATAGACCAATCCATTTATGATTTTCACGAATTACAGATGAAATCAGTCGCCAGAGGGCTATTACTTGTATTTTATTCAAATGTGGCCTAGTATTTTATCCAAAATATTGCTGGTTTTAATTATTCATGGCCACATCTTCATATGGCATTCAGTAATATTTTTTTAGTGTTTGGCTATTGTCACTCAAGGTTATCTATTTGATAATATCTTGTATACTTTGCCAGTTCAATTCCTGTCTCTCCCACTGTGACGTCAACGACAACTATTGGTAGCAAAATGAAGTTGAAGGTTTCAGAATCAGATCCTGGTCAAGAATCAATCAAAAGGAAAATCATGATTGTTGAACCACAACAACCGGATGTAAAAAAGAAAAGAAGAAGCAAATATGACGTTCCTAAATTCATGCAAAATCAAGGTTTGATATTGCAACTTACAACTATAAATCTTCTATACTAAGTATCAGCTAGGGTTACATAGGATGCGTGGATGCTATAGCAAAATAAAGATGATGGTCAAAATATGCTTATCCGAAGAAGTCTGATCTCGGTCAGACAAAATATCACAAAAATTCATTCTGTTATTTTACAGCATCTCAAATCGTACAAAATAAATTTTTATAGCTTTCTCGATTCTGTCAATTGATTTAATCTGTTTCTATGAAGATATATGGATATTTTTTGGAATATTATCTTGTAAGTCTTGGCTTAGATAGATTCTTAATCCTTCCCCAACTAAGTATTCTATTCAAATAGTAATCAACTAGAACAGTGGTTCTTAAAGTATGGGTCGCGACCCAAACATGGGTCGCGGAAGGTTTAAAAATGGGTCGCGACAAGGTCGTCAATGCAAGGGCAATCTAAGAGGAGAAGGAAGAATTTTCAGCTTTCCCAATGTTTCAGTTTAGCTTCTAAACTCTGGTATTTAAAAATAATGAAATATAAAATTTCATTCACGGAAAGAACTGTCTTGAGGTCATTGTTACATCACAATTCTGATATGCCAGTCACGTGTATTATTTTTATGGTATCGGTAACCATGCACGTCGCTTGTCGTTGTGTTGACCGCGTGGAATGTCGTCTTAGTGGATTAAAATAACCAAAAATGGGTGTCTTTTTGGTAATGTAAGTTGTAATAGACGACGCAATGAAAAAGCTCGCTTCTCGACATTAGATTATTCAATATCTAGAGAAAATGTGACTTCATCTCGAGGCACCATTTACCGCGAACGAAGCAGTGTGTGCACATTTGATGAGTAAAAAGTTGTATATTGCGAGAGATACCGAAGGCCAGCTAGGATGTCGTGTTTGCGACGGACAGCGGACGCCTTTTCTGCTACAATTCGCGACAAGGCACTTGTGCGAGCGAGGATATTTGGCACTGACGATTATTAAAACTAAGCTCGCAATCGCCTCGATACCCGTGACAACTTGCGTATTGCGTTAAGTAAAATAGAGCTGTGTATTGAAGATATAATGAAAAGGAAATTTCAGTTTCATCAATCTCACTGATTCAATGGACTGTTTCTAATAAATAGTTGTCTGTATTTGAGTCAAACTGTACTAACATTAAAAACACATTTTGCGTTATTTAGGATTGGGTCGCGAGTATTCATAAAACTCAGATTTGGGTCGCGCTCGAAAAAGTTTAAGAACCACTGAACTAGAACCTCTAGTCAGCTGATACCAAATGAATTGGTAATATATTGACTATCCGTTAACGATTATAAATAGTATTTCAAAAGATTTTAAAGTATTTATTTCAAACACATAATCCTGAACATTAGTTTAAAAACTGTGTCTGTTCACTGCAAATAATTTTCTCATTTTGATGAGCGGTATTGGACAGGAACACGCATGAGTCATGCTTCACAATAAGATGTGATCAATGTTTACTATTCATGTGTAAAAATGTTAAAAATCTTACAAAATACATCAAAAATCAAGATTTAGTCAGGGTCTGCAAATGATGGGTTGTGAGTCATTGATGTATATCATGATTTAAAATATTTTGGAAAATCAAACTAATTTATCTTTCAGAGTCTGGGGTAGACAAACTTCGACCTTTCGTAAGCACAGGAAGTAGAAAACACAACTTGAGTAGTTCAGATGGATCTATATCAGACAGAGATGACGAACACGCCGAAAACAACACCATGGATGAATCTGATGAACCGCCATCCTTATTCGACATGATGAGAGAAAATTTTCCTGCTGGACTTTTTGCGGCTCAGGCCGCACACACCCCTGCAACATCGTTTCCTTCTATGCTTTCCTCTGAATATTATGGATCGGGGGAATGGGCAAGTGCTGCCATGCAGACGTTGCATAATTTGCAGACGACAATGAAATCTGCTCAGGTATTGGTTTGAATATTTAGATGAAATCAAATTGTTCATATAATTATATTAAACCAAATTTGAAAAACACAATATTTTAATATTTTTACTACAAAATGGAGCTCACTGCAATATAAGAGAAAAAAGTTATCATTAGCTTGTGAAAATCAATCTTCTTCCATTAAGCGACCAGCATAAATAAATAGGCATAAGAAATAGGCAACTGAAATTTTGTGTACTGCTAAGTGATATTTTACTATATAAAACTGCGTCTCTTGACCTTTATAGTACTTTCAAGTTGTGCGTCATTTTGTATATGGTATCTGCTCTGCCTTAGACAAATATTTGTTAAGTCTATTTTGGATACTGGTTACGTGGAACAACCCTGATTAATGTCTGGTATTCAAGAAGTCATTTTAATAGCATAATAGAAAACTTGATATGCCACTGCTACATAGTAAACTGGTAAATTACAAACAAAATTGCTTAAATGGGATGATTCTCCAAATATCATGAATATGTTTATTTGATTTAGAAATTCAAACTAGCTTTGTTGTTTATACAATGATTTTTTATTTCTACAGTCATCTGATCAAGTCGTTAGTAAAAGTGAACAACACAGTCGTACAGATTCACACACAGAAGAAGATAGCGACAGTCGGTCTTCATCACCTTTTGTTAATATAAATGTTTTAAATATGGCAAATCCCGGTTCAGAAACTTCAACGTCCTCATTCGTTCCACTATCTTCTGCGACGTCATTAAAATCTGCGAGCAGTGTGGACACTATTATGGCACTCGCAAATCAAATAACTGCCGAAAAATCTCATATTAAACATTTATCTCTCCCTTCTGAGACAATTAGGTCTCGTTCGGAGCGCAAAAGATCACTTTCACCTCTTCTCACTCAAGATGAGAAAGAAATGATTAGGGCGAGAGCGGGGCCAAGCGAAGTGTCAAACAGTAAAAATGGAAAAGATAACAATTTAAAAGTTATTTCTAAATCAATCTCGGATTCTAGTTTGAAACGAAGGTAGGTGGAGATTAAAATATATTAGATAATTTAATTGGCTCACAGTTGCAAATGGTATCATGACATTTTTTGAATTACCGTAATTTGATGACTTCGTTTGTGCCTACTCAATTTGGTCAAAACATTACAAAATTCAATTTCTATTGATTTATAATGATTTCTGCAAAATAGCAAATGACCCAAATCTAGAATGTGTTCAATAATTGAAAATCTTGACCTTGACCTCAGTCTTCAATATATTATTCTGTTGTTTGAGACAAAATTATATTTTCTATAAATCTTTTTCACTTACATTTCTTGTTTGAAGCAAGAATATTTTTGTGAAATATTAATTTTGATTAAGTCTTGTGGAAGTCACTATTTCATAGAAGCTTGTGCTGTTTCATTTAAGAGTTTTGTAGCATTATTGTCTGCAATACTTTTCTCACATTGACAGAACTTCCGGCTCGGAATCAAAATCATCTTTCAAAATTGCTGATAAAGGAGATAGTTTGGAATTTATGAAAACCATTACAACATCATCAGTGAAGAAAAATACCGAATTAACGATGAAATTTTGTAAAAATTCCTCAAATGATTCCGACAGCAACACAGAAACTTCAACAAACAGCCATGTGAGTTGTCATAATGCTCATAGAAAACACTCCGTTTGAACTCTCAATATTTGTTATTCAGCAATATTTTGTAGAGCCCTGAACAAGTTTTGGATATTTACATTAGACTCAAAATTCCAATCTATTTAAAAACGACTTCAAAAATTTCGCCTCGGCGCATGACTCTGGGTGAAAAAAGTTAGGAATCTAAAGTCTGGGAAATCTAATTTTGATAGCCAAACCTGTTATGAATGCAAGCATCTGTATTCAATTTTCTGTTTCTGAAAAATGTCTTAGGAAATGTATGAATAGTGCATATACAAACAATATTCAAGAAGGACTAGAAGATGGCAAGACGTACATTACTTATGTGATTTTCGAAACTAAAAAACTTTTTCATGAAAACTCGTGAACTAACAAAATTTTATTTTTGAATTTACAGGAGCAATTGTTCCAAAACAGCGTTGAGACTGTAATGAAAGTTAAATACATTGAAAAAGTTAATATGTGTCGGGTATGCGGATTTTCTTTACTCGTTGATGAAAATAATAATGCAACTGCAATGAAGTCACATGTTATGGAACATTCATTGAAAGAACTTATACAAGCTGGTTGTAATGGAAAAACAACATAATATGGGAAATTAGGGTTGTTAACTTGCAATAGGCCGCAGTTATAATGAAATTAGTTTCTGGTGCTCAATTTTCAAATTGATTTAAGATGTATTAAAAAAAGAATAATTTATATAATGTATTCTATACTGAGAGTTCTACTTATGACTGCCAAGTAAATACTAATGAATGGGTCTTTCTCTTTGGTTATCATGGGTGTACCAATAGTATGTTTTCGGTACTTGCCTATTTGCGGCATATGATTTTTTTTCGTTTACTCAAATTTTGAACCCGCACAATTGGAACTTGCTCAAAAATTGATTCATAAACGGCGACAGGGGTATTTGAAGACAACTTGAGTATTTGTCACGCATTACAAGCAAGACATACAAAGAAACATTAAATCTTGCATAGCTGAAGTTATTGAGAAATAAAAACCAATTTCATTGTCAAGAGGGTAACTCAAGTCAGGTTATATGAATTAACCAATAATGCGTAAAACTTTCTGGGTATATATATTTGCTCATAGGCCATATTTTAAGTTTTTTTTTTATATTTTTCGAATTATTAATTAAAATCAAATATTGAGTTTACTAATCTATATGAATTTTTCTAATATGGGTCTGCTCAGTTCCTGTGACGTATAAGTATAATAGAAATGGCACTTTTTAACATAATTTAAATTCGTTTATCAAGGATTAAATGCTGATTGTCTCACTTACCAGATCGAGAGTTGTCCGTCATGGCCTGGTTCAATTATATTGTGTCGATTAAAAATTTTACTTTTTAAAATGCGGAGCGTTTATTTGCATGTTTTATTTTTGAAGGCACGTGCAATCTTATTGCGAAAAGATTGTCATGTGTTATCTGATTGTATTAAAATCCTCTTTGCCAATGTTATCTTTCAACATAGTAGTTTTGAATAAATGTAGATTTTTGGCATTCGCCATGTCCGGATAATAAAAATGAGGTTTTCCCGTAAATGTCTATGAAAGGAAAGCCAGCTATTATTTGGCGATAAGATAGGACTGTATGTTCGAAGTTCTGCTGGAAAAGGTTCTAAAAAATCGAGAATACAGTTGAGACCGTGCACATGGACAGACATCAAACACCAGAAAGCTATTGCAATGGCCAATCAACTGAATGAGGGTCATTATTTTGAGGTCATACTGCATTAAATGCCCTAGTGGTCACTTCGTGACAGTCGAGGCTTCCCCCTTCGTCCTGAACGCTGTTAACCAATACCATGATTAGTCTAACCCAGGGGTGGGTAAAGTTTTTTTACGAGCACCACATTCAGAAAATTATAGAGAGCTGCATTGAAAAAAAGACTGCGATGTCGTGCGACTGCGGTGGTGACATTGTTGAACCGGAGATGAAAAAAAGCATTACCAATTCACAGTCAAAAATAAGTCAAGTTCGAAATTAAATCTAAATTTTGTATGCGGTTGTAACAAATTTTCTTCAAGCGCTGGAGGGCATAATATGGTTCGACAGTCCCTTACCTAAATAACCTCTGGCTAGTTCTAACATCCAGATACCTAATTATTTTCTGTCAAGATCATGTGCAGTTGATAACGTTTGAAACATGTGGAATGCTGACAGAGAGTGTATGATCCAATTGCAATTAATACATGCAGACCAACTAACTTCTTCAGTTCATTTTAATTAAAAAAATGACTAGACTATTATACGATTTGAAAAATGCATTATAACAACGAGACAGAATAAGCTGAGTTGTAATTAACAAACTGAAATAGAAATGATTTTTCAAGGTAAGCGACGTGTATGTCAGATTGGCAAATTTTCAATCCTAATTAAAAAATTGCACTGGAATTATGACGAATATGTTGACCAATCAACTGCAGGCAAGCCATTATCCAGACAGAATAGTCTGATCTTTACTGAATAAACAGTTCACCTTGAGATCCTACACTCTCCGTGTTAACCAAGGTGCAGGGTCAATTTTAATTCAAAACAAATCCTCTAACATAGTCTTTGGTCATGACTACTTCTGGTATTAGTCCAATTTAGTTAAAATGCAATGCCTGAAATACACTTAGACATCAAAAATTTATCTAACACTAGTTGTGGTATTACTTCACCAGAAATATAGAATATCAAATAGTATAGCCAAAAATGAATACCACAAAAGGCAGTTGTTGAAAAATATTTAGGCCTAACTTAAATTCATATTAAAACATCTGTAGTTAGATGGACAATCCGGGAAAAGTGATATTAAAGAACAAGATCTGAGATCCGTGGTCACATTAAAAGTTCCTGCTAGTTTCTTGTAGATCAGAGAATTTTCAGACTTCAATCTGCTGAACATGTCTCTTTCCTTGTATATAAAACTGATGACAGAACTTTCGCATTGCCTCTGCCTGGTATCCTTCAACTTCATTTCAAGTTTGGTAAGACTGTCACATTGTAGATAGGCAGCAGAGCAGTCAACGATGAGCTGTGGAACTGATGCTGACTAGCAGATCATTTCTGCTGCGCAATGCGAACGACCTGTCGGTTGCTTAAGAGGATCGCGATTCCTGTATAGAATAGTTAAATAATCATTGAAACAAATAATTTTCTAGTCAACAATCATCCTGCTGAGTTAGTTGGTGGTTTGAAATCCTTCCTATGATAAAGCTCTACTATAGAGTTAATGCTCAGATGAAAACACTAAAATACAAACTCATTCAAGAGACATTATCATATGTGGACAATCTGATCATTAATCATTGGATGTATCTTGGAAGAAATTCAGTGATTTTGTGAATAAATTAAGTAATTTTAGTCTTGCTTCTAAATCAGGGCTATGAAGTCAGGGTAAAAGTACACCCACCCCAAACCCCCATATCAAACTTTTACCACAAAAACTTTGACGTTTGCAAGCCCTTTTTAATCGGAGTTACTATTACTAATAATAAGCCTGGGTATCGTACCTCTAAATTTTCAACTTCGCTCCATAACTTCACCGTCGAAAGGAGCTTCAAGCTTTTTGGTGTCTTTTGAACCATTTTCTTCTGTATCAGACGTTGACATTCTGGACTCGGGTTTAGAAGATATTCCTTTGAGAATCTCATTCTCACTTACTAAGCTAAAAAAATAAGCCGAGTTAGATAGGCTATACTAAAAAAATCATAACTGATATTTTATTATACATATACATGAGGCTACAATGTATATTGCAAGTACCAAATATTTCCGGTTGCGCATTGCCTACACAATTTATTATGGGCGGTAGTGGACACAGGATTTGAAACAAAGATTTTTAACCTTCATTGTAATTCTTTTTAAAAATTGCAAAAAGTTACAAAAAACTATCTAAATACGTGATGTATTAAACTTCAATCAAACATTGTATGTATCACAAAGAAAAAAAATGGACAAAAAAAACTAACAAACAAATTTTGAAGTACATTTACGCATAGTAAATACCTTTCATTGGCAGAATTCAATTTTTCATTCTCTCGTTCCACTTCTTTTATCTTTGCCTCGAGGGCACGAATTTTACTCGATCGTTTGGCCAGTTGCTCCTGTCAACACGCATTAAAATAAATATGAGTGTCGTAAACAAAGTGTAACAGAACAAACTTTCTCGAATATTAGAATATTATTACCTGTAATATATTGAATTTCTTTTCTAAATCCATATGTTCAGACAACAACTCATCTCTGGACATTGTTTGTAAATTTTCTTCATGAACTCTTTCGTATGTCTCACTGAAATCCTGAAACAAAAACAAACAGATGGAAATATGACTAAGCAAAAGAACATTGCAACTTTTCAAATGCACTACTGCTTTTTAGGATTTGTCCATATCTGGGTGTAGGCAGTAAACAATGGGTGATGATTTCAGGACATTTAAGATAGAAATTCAAGATAAAGTGCAGTTTTCATCATCTAATTATCTAAAAACATTGATATACTATCTACATTTGCTTATCATCCCAAATTGCCAAAAATTAGATTGAAGATTATTTCATCAATGAAAGTGAATTGCTAAGTCCACAGACATGATAGACACTAGTCACTGCCAATTTAATTTTTAATCCAAAAGGATTAACTTATGTGTTATTCTTATGAAGAGCAATACCTGTGAAATAAATTCTGGAACCATGTGAGGTGAATCAGTATAACCTTCAATTGTTTCATCACCTTCAGCATCATTATCATCATCTTCTTTTGAAACCAGACTTCCATTCATATCATCTTGATCATCGCTATAAGATTCACCATCTTCAGTTCCAGTGACACTGGAGTTATTGTAACCTGGGATCAAATATTAAGTGATCATTCAAAGAAAAGCTGAGGTTTGTTCATTTTGAATTTAAATTTAATCATGTTTGAGTTGCTAATTAAATTAGGATTAGAGATCAACACAGCAGGCGTCTTCATTATCACTAGATATCGGTTCAACATCAAATATAACAAAATGACCCATTCAGCAGAGGATCAAACAAATTAATGACAAGATTTATGATGCAATCAGCAGGGATAAGAAGTCAGAGGAGTATGGCATGTTTTTAGAGGGAAAATAGCAATTTCTACTTCTTTGGAGTCTGGTATAAGAATTCAAACTTCCAATGGTGGCAATCAAAGTCAAAATTCATGACAATAACTAAGAAAGGAATAAAGATGTTACGCATTCTTAACAGACAATGAATTTTGTGGTTGAAACTGGTTTCTTAGTTTGGTAATAGCAGTATAAATCATAATTTCCATCAACCTGGAGCCAAGAGCTAGAGTCTGATAAGTAGGAATCAGTTTTTAAAATGGGTTGGAGTTTGAGTATGGTATAAATTTTCTACCTGGGATACAGCCCTGGTTTACATAGATTCCACAGCATGCAGAATGCCAATTTTGAATATATCAGTTCACTAAAGGTAAATTATATATAACCCATAGAAATACTATGTATACAAACCAGAAGGTTCAAACGAACTGTTGTCATATGGATCATGCTCCTCCATCAGAAATTGAGTTGTGTTGTATGGTGCCACAGGACGACCTGTAACATTTATATTTATGTAAAATAAATGAGAAATGACTGGGTAATGATGAAGTACTTGGCTGAAGTGAAATAATCAATAAATTGATATACATTAACAAACTAAATCACAAAGAAAACTCCATTTCTTCAAGAGTTTTAAGCCTTTTTTAATCAAATTTCTACCAAAGAATAACACAAGTATACAAAGAGGGTAGGGAGATGGTTTCAACAGATAATCCACCAACTACTTGGTGGTGAGCAACTAAGAAACTATTATGGTCAACTACATATATGGATCATCAATGATCGATCAAAATTGAATGCAATTGACATTACATGATGTTGTATGTATAAGCCATACGTCCTTAATAGACTGTTTTATTTCTTTTTCTTGAAAATATACGACACTATTCGATAATCGACACTATTCGATAATCATTATAGACGTGATATCGCTTTTGTGAGTGAGTGATCAAGCATAATCAATTAGTTGTTAGAATCAAAGAATGTCATTACTTGGTGCTTTTGCTATACATTTACAACAAAAATTTACCATATACATATTCCAACTTATTGGGCCAAACAAGAAAAAAATAAGATGCTGTTTGTTCTTTATGACCACGCTTAACCTATCATATGATAAAATCACAATATATGCAAAATCATGTATAATCAATCAAGTATTATCCATCTCAGCAGAATATTGTATATGAGCCAAACTACCAGACTTGCCTTTTTCTTTCATTTCCTCTCTAATTCTTACAGCTTTGGATTTCTCTTTTTCTTCGAGGGCTTTTCTCTCCTATCACAGAAATAAAGTTATTGAATGTTTGAACAAATATGTCACAAAGAAAATGGGCATGTCCAACAAGTAGGTCATCAAAAAGCTGGTTGCTGCAATCAAGCAACTCTAGTCAAAAATCACCTAGCTGCATCTATTCATAGTGGAATTGTAACATAATGAATGCTGAATTAATGAATTTGATGTTTTTTCAATAAACTTAAACATTAAAACAAACTTTTTTGTTATGAAGTGAGCGAATCAATTACAAGAATATGTATATTGTTTAATTGAAGCTGTCAAAATAGAAATAATAGCTACTAGCAATAGTATTGATAAACTGTTAACTCTATTCGGCTGTTTGTGAGCAAAACTTAATAATCATCAGAAGTGATTTTTTAAATCTGTAAAACTAGATTGCTTTTGGAAAATTGATTAGGTTGCAAATAACCTGTATCTTGCCAGGTTTGCACAATCAGATGATCAAGCTTGTAATGGCACAAAATTGAAGAAGAATCTTTCTCACAAAATCAATGGTTATTTTTGCAATGCAATATGGAGTTGTATGTATATATATAGAGAGAGTCTTATAGTACTTCAAGCTTGTCCACAGCCTTTTTCAGAGCAAGAGAGAATGCTATAATTTCAACAATTCAGGTTGTTAGATTGTCTAAATGTTGAGATAAAAGCATCACTAAACGATCTATGAATAGAAAATCATAACAACAAACCTCCCAAGTCATTTTTGAATATGGCTTCCATTTTCTTTTCTTTTTCGAGGGTTTTCTTCGATGATGATGCTTTTTTTGCTGATTTTGACCTGACGGAACTTTAGGGTCAGCATTATGCCTGGTCCAGTTTTCAGGGGATTGACTCTCCACAACTGAAAGCAGAAAAAAGTTCAAATAAAAATATAAGAATAAAAAAGCTAAAAAATAATTTGGGTCAAAAACGTTTAGGGTAGTTTGTCAGATTTAATCAAACAGTAGCTTTGTCTCACTTGATGCCCTTTCCTCTGAAACGATTATACCGGAATTATCATGATCTTCCCCTTTTGTATAATCAATTGTAGGACTGGCGGTAGGTGTGATCACTTCTGTGGCCATTGTTAAAAAATAGTGACAATGGAATAGAAATATCAGTCGCTTCAAATGCAATTGTTTGAATAACGTAAATATCTGAAATAGATAGGATAATAAGATTTACATATGTAATTTGTGATAGGAGAGTATATAGGATACAACAATATAGTAAATTATGACTTTTTGTCCAGCCAACATAGGTTATGAATAATTTTAAGTAAGTTAACCAGTTAGCAAGTAACCAGAAGCGTTACCATAATTGACAAGGAGAAACGACTTTATACCCAAATCTTCTTCTAATATTTTACCCCTGATTTTAAGCTTCAAGAGGTTAGTACTCCAGGCTTGTAAATCAGAGGAGTTTTAATTTTTGTTGTCCAAAATTTTTATATGGTGGAGTGAACTTTTATCTGGAATTTATTTTAAACAAGAATCTGTAGACGACTCTGAACAAATATTTCATCAACCAATAGTCACGTGAAATTTTACGATACTACCTTACATGGTCTTGGGAGGAAAGCACATACATGGCCAGCAATCCAGATTTACATAAACTTCCTACAAACTAATCAGCATCCAATATGAAGAGTATGTTTTCAATTCCTAGCGGAGTGATGAGCTGCTAAGTTATATTTCTGTTTTTGCGTAATCAAAGATGTTGCAGGAGTTACTTGCTTATAAGAAGACGACGTCGGTAAACGAGAGAATTAACCGATCGCGAAGCTACGTTCCTGTCTCTCGTTTGTTCGCGATTCGCACGAGTGTGATTGCCTGCTGGACGCGATCAACATTATTGCTGTGGGTTAACAGGGTTTATTATTAGCTTATTCGTGAACCCCAAAACGATAGATTGATTCAAACCCCGGACCTCACTAAAATACCTTTCTTACGGCTTATATATCAGAATCTGAAACATGCAATACGGCGGAAATAATTTGACTACATGATCTGCCTAATTGCAGTTTTCTACAAAACGAATCAGCTAATTATTATACGCATTCTTCAAGAGAATAGCTTATTTGGGGGATATATAATTACGCGCTGGTCGCTGCTTTTCGCTCCCACTATTCCTCAGCCTGACGGCGGACCCGATCTCTGCCACGGCAAGCGGCAACTCTCGTTTTTCAGATCAAAACTTTTGGCTAAATAGTTGGTCTGTGATGGAATAAAAGAAGGCGACACGCCTCATCGATTCTCTCAATCGCACCGCGCACCGCTGTGATATTCTCGCAAAAGAAAGAAATGCATCTCCGGTCGAGCCTCTTTGCCGCCCACTCCGCGTTCAGTCTGTGGGTTGTTTGCATGGTAAGTGCCGGCTTTGTCGGCAATCTGGTGTACCTTCTTGTTTACACGATGCCAAGATCTCATCCAGCGCCACGAAGGGAGCAAGGCCCAGAAATATGAGGTCAACAATGTTGCAGTCCTCGCTTTGACTGACGTGGGTTGTATTGGACGTGTGTCGTATTGAACGCAGATATTACTTGCATTGCCCCGCCATCTTCAATATTATTATATATCGCAGAATTCTATTGGGCATTAGTAAGGAACGCCAATTTCGATTTTGAAGTATCTTTTCTGGTAAGTGTCATATCTAGGTTGTCACATCTAATTCGTTTTCCTTAGGTAACTACTCTGTTCTTCAGTGTCATTCTTATACTGTATATACCCCTTGAATGGCCTCATCAATGAACGCCAATTACCGAGGGCGAGGAGTATTATTTTTGGCAAGAGTGGTTGGACTTTTCGTTAGTATCGGATTTACTGTAAATTCTTTTTTTATTGTTATCGTTTTGTATTTATATTGGCAAGCGTGAAAAAGCCGTTAAGACCGGTGCATATATTCAGGATAGAAATACCGTATTTTATGGACCATAAGGCACGCGTCAACCCCCCCCCCCCCCTCCCACCAAAAAATAAAAAATCGATTGTGCGACCAGTGCATGGATCAGGTGGTGGTAAATGTTTTATTGCCAGCACCGCGGTTCCCAAACTTTTTATTCGTGGGGCGCCAAATTGTCGAGGAAAAACTCATGGTGCACACAAAAATGCTGCCTTTAAATAAAACTCAATTTTATGATTGTTAATGTGTACTTTATGCCTTTTAAAGTTTGTAAACATGTAGGCTCAAAAATAGAGGCAAAAGGTCAACTCTTCTTTTTCATCTCTGTCTAATTCACCTTCGAAATACTAAAAGAATCACTCATGTTTGCTAAACTCGGTCCAGCGAATAAATGAACTGCCGCTCGCGAAATTGCAGCAAGTAGTGCCTACCTCTACATCAGTGGTTCTCGACCTTTTACTAACTGCGTACAACTTCAGTGTACAGAAAGTGTCATCATTAAGACGATTTCTGATATTTTGGCAAAAAAATCCAAGAGCTGAACTTGCACGCTCAGCCTCAACTGATGTAGGTTTGATTGTTCATAGTGCGTACAATTTACGAAATGCAACGTGAAAATTGTTTTAGAATAAGAATAGGTCACATATTAAATCCCGAGATTATATTCAAAATAACCCCGGGATTGGAAAAAAGTCGGATATCCCGTGATCGCAGAACTAGCGAATACACTTTGATCGGCGCTAGTCGCTACCGTATTTCCTCGAAAGAAGACCTAGCCTGAATTTTGAAAATTATCTTAATATATGCCCTCCCCTCAAAATAAGACCTAGTCAATGACGCAAAAATTTTTTGATCTAGTGGACAACAAGAAAATTCTCCTACATGTTTTAAATGATTGATAATCTATGTTTTGCAGTTATTTCGACATAGTCTCCAATGAACTTGCTGAAATATATGTATTTTTGCAAAAAATAAAACGAATTTACAATAAGCATATATATATAGTTTAATGCGTGGGTGGGGAAGATACACCCAAAGATAATCGGAAACTATGTTCAGGCTCATTTAGACAATTTCGGCTTTTTGTTTTAATTGTCATCATGGCTGATAATCCTTGCTCACACTTCCACGTGGAAGTGAAAATCAATAGTAGAGGAACAGCATTGCGAGTCAGTCTCGGGTAACTAGTGGCCAATTTTAGCCCGAAATTGATTGGTGAGCATTCTTTGTGCTCAGTTTTTGCTGTTTCATCGGATTGAATATCAATTATATCTTCTTATTCACCAGTTCCAACAGGTAGAAGTCGGCGGGAAACGAATTAACCGTGTATGGGCAACATATTATATCCGGTAACAATGCCGTTCCGTTCTTAGCTATCTTAGATGCTCTGCAATTTCTTGAGATATTCATTCACTGGGCTCCCTCGTAATGGTGGTACGGAAATCGAACATTCCGTAATGTCTGTTCTTCATATTTTTCATTCAAATGTCCAGCTAACGAACGCTTCAAGCTTAGATACGAATTCTTGGATAGATCTGCTTGCAACGATAAATTCACATGGTTAAGAGCTTGAAAAATATCCGACAGTTAAGCCAACTATGAGATAAACTCTTCGTTCTCCAAATCGTTTTTAAATCATGTCTCTTATCTTTGGAAATTTGTGAATAGTTCTTGTCGGAGTTCAAAGAACCTCCTAGTGATATTCCCACGGGAGAGTCAGCGAACTTCTGTATGGTAAAGAAGACACTTGTGATCGGAATTCAAATCTTCACACAGCCTAGTGGTTAGAGCTGATGTTTTGACGTAATTCACCATTTGATTATTCGATCCAAGTATGACAATAGATCCGAAGGGAGCACCTTGGCACAAAGAACACCCATGTCGATGAAGCAGTGAATAAAAGTGGCGCTTGGTGATACATTTTTAACATGTGTTTGAAATCCTGAAATTCGAACAAGCATGGATGGAGCAACAGGTTATTTTTGGTGAAGAATTTGACCTAAACGTTGAAAACATCAATTATTTGTGTTGTTGCAGACTGATCCGTGCTCAGCAATAATTCTATTCGCACAGTATCATTCTGTGTAAAGCGGACATAAACGAGTAATTGGTGACAGCAGGTTATTTTTGGTGAAAAATTCGCCCAAAACGTTGAAAACATCGATCCCTTTTGTTGTATCAGATAGATCTGTGCTCAGCAATAATTCTGTTCGCACAATATTATTCTGTACAAAGCGGACATAAACGGGTAATTGAGAACATTTAGTGACAGCAGTCGATTCATCAAGTTGTATGGCAAAATCAAACTTAGATCCTTTTACTTCAACAATCACTTGTTTTTCAATGTAAATAGACATTTCTTCGATACGTCGTTTCACGGTATCTCCAGTGACTCTTTTCCAATCAGGTTCCGAACTAATATCCTCGCTGCTGGCAAAACAAGCGACCCCGCAATGGTATGAACTTTCGTATTTTGGGTCACTAGAAGAAATACATCGTAGGAATGCCTTCACAATCCCGGCATTCGTTTGGGAAGTAAACGACATGGAAAGGTAAAATGAATTTGATATCAAGGTTATATATTTTTCACATGCGCACACTGAACCCTTTCTCTCTCATGAACAAAATATCAGATAAACTCAAAAACGTGCCACAATTAAATAATAATATAATAGGGAGCATCATATTTATATTACAAATAAATATGTGCAGATCTAAATTTGGACAAGTCAGGAATAAAAAATATAACAGGGTAAAAACAGTCGTCACCACACCAACATTGACACTCTGAAGTCTAAATAACATACGTTTCTTGCTCGTAAATATTAGGCCGATTATCATTTTTTCATTAAGTTCTCGAGCTAGCTCAAATCGACTTACATCTCTCTGATTCTGTCGGAAAATGTTTAGTCATAATTTTCATAAAATGTATAGTCATACGGCTCATACCCCAACCCAGTAACAGTATCCAACCCCATAGAGCAACGTTTTCCAATCGGGAATGAATTCCTCTCCGGGAAGAAATTCTGTCGTTTTGGGGCAGGAATTTTGCTTTTTATTCGCTGTAGTAGGCTATTACTAATATCTTCAGTTTTTTTTATTTATGTAACTACAATATTCATTCGATAACACATATATAACAAGCTACTCAAACTGTAGGAACGGGAGTGCGGCTTGTACATGAAGCTAGCATAGAGACCATTTGAAGTTTGAATAATAGATGAAATAGTTTCTATGCATAGTGAGGGAGGAATAAAGAGTTACAAAATAAGCAAAGGAGAGGATTTAACAAAAAAGGCTGGGAACCACTGTCATACATTGTCTCATGCCATTCTTATGAACCAAGACGGGTAAGGCTAACAACGTTCTCGTATAATGGATGACGGTGGGCACTCTGGGCGACGAGCACCTCTCCAGCAGACATCAGTGCAGCGTTACCTGTAATTACCGCATATTGAGATATCAATCGGGGCTAACCAAGTTAACAAGATAAATTCCTGTTTTATAACTAAATGCAAAATGGGATTAATATCAGTCAATATACGTCACGGGGTGAATATTACAAACCCCGTGAAACAGTGATGAGCTGGAAAAATCAAAACTACAGGAACGCACCTACTTCGTGAAAATGTATTACTATATTTACAACACGTTCGCGGAAACTTACAGAAATTTTTGTCTGACATAGGATAGAGCCAAAGAGTTACATTAAAATATGAAGATATTATCTGAATCATTTTTAACAGCTGACAACTTTTTATGTAACATGGCCCTTTCACTTATTCCAGAATTACTGTATTACTAATACCAATAACAAGATATAAAATCTGGTTAGAAAGAAATGCTGTTATCTTTCAAAAAAGATACCAAACGCACAAACAGTCGTAAAACAGATACAAACATCAATAACGTGTCGAAGAAATATAGAAAAAGTTCGGAAATTGCCAAATTTCATAAAGGAATTAGAATTTTTACCCAACTGTCTGTGTTTATTTTTGAGTATATGTATAGTTGCTAATATGTTTTGTTTTTCTTTTTTTAAGTGTAACAGATAATACTAAACTAATGTATTGTTAAATTGTATCCATCTCGATATCACTGAATTGATGCTACGGATTATATATATATATATATTATTGAACATTGTGGAATAATGAAAAATGAAAACTACCTCGGATATTATGGCATACACTTTGGATAATAATGTCTGTAAATTTTTTTTCATTACAGTATTTATTTATTTCTATGATTATTACTGTGACACATTTAACACATTTGTGGGCGTTTAAATAAAGAATAACTTTTCTCGTCTGATGATGCTAAATTTTTCCGATTGACCAAAATATACGACACGTTTCTCTTCCTCTCTATGTCATTGAGAATCACACGGCCAGTCATTCTCATATAGGTCATTCGGGGAGGTAATTTATATGTTATGGCTGGCCGTGACTGATCGGTTTCGTTATTCTGTCATTAACGCAGAATCACTCTCGTCTGCTGACTGTTAGCGAGGCGGAAGTTCACGTATGCCAGTACAGTGCTGTTTTTTGGACTCCCAAATCTATGTATATTTTAATATACGTAGGGCCGTGGACACTTTTGTTTTCAGTGATATTTGCGATAGTTTTGCTGACGGAAAGCTCAATCTGCCTACCGTATCTTTGTATTTTAGTTAAGCAAGTAGGAAAGGCAAAGGCCGGGTATTGATATCCCGTAATGTCTGAATGCTATTTGGTGCTGAGTCAGATTTTTTTCATCTTAATGCTGTAATGGCTTCGGTAAGAATATCCATGCTGTAGTGTAAAGTAGACTAATTCCACTATGTTTTAGTTTTGTTGTTTTAGTTACCGTAACTTACCGGGTACCGGTAACGAAATAAAGCCTGGTATTAACTCCTATTTTCAAAGACGTTTTTTTGTTATGGTACCGGTACCCGTACCTTGTTTCATTACAAAGTTATAGTTGAAACAATGAAAGCAGTACGGTACGGTACTGCAGTACGGTATTCCGAAATTTGAATTTTTGCCATTAAAGTATTATAAATCATACATCTGAAATTGCTGTTTTTGTGTAAAACACATAATTCATAGGTATGTATGTTATGATTCATGGTAAATTTTCAGATAAGGAAATTTTTAGATAAGGTACCGGTAGGCAAAATTGTAAATAATTAAGTGAAACATGTCTGCATGTGCAATACTGAATACTGTTATATAATATATTCAGTATATCTGATGTCATTTATATTATGCATAATATAGCTACAGGAGTGGTGACTCCTCTACGGCCCATGGGCCGGGGCCACGGCCCATCTAATTGGGCCACATGGGCCGTGGCCCATAGCTTGATGGGCCGTGGCCCCATCAGGAAAAATTCAATTACCTTAACAAAATTTTCAATTTTTACCAAATTGTCAATATTCGAACCAAAAAAATATACTCCTGTAGTATGTGTACCAGGTTAGGGTTAGGACAAGAAGAAAATCAGATTTTTTACATTATAGTTCTATTATGAGTTCGGGGACTGTCTGTGTTGGCCAAGTGAATAGTTTCTTTACACAACCTGATGGGCCGCGGCCCATAGCCTGATGGGCCGAGGCCCAATTCAATGGGCAGTGGCCCCGGCCCATGGGCCGCAGAGGAGTCACCACTCCCACTCTAATACAGCTCAGCACACTATACCGGTATAGATCGAGCGACATTGTTTCGTTTTACAGATGATCAGACACCCCTCTTTTGGCAGACTTTTGGTTTTTGGACATTGCTGTCCCTCAATATCAGTAAAATTACAGTATAATGGAGTTGCGCAAAATACTCCAAAAAAGCAATCGAATAATCTAATCTAAAAGCGTGATTAATTCAGATTATCATTGAGACAAGCATGGCGTGATATGACGTGGTGCCAATCGCCCCTCGTTTGTGAGACACATGGATTGTTTGTTTTATTGAACCAAATGGAGGGAAATTCTTGGAATTTGGATAGCGTGCCGTACTGTAATAGGTTGATTTTTGTGGGTACTTTTCAACTATTTTAAACCTAAGGAAATCTTGGTTGGTATGGATGTATGGATAACATTTATTCAGATTTTCCTCTTTGTCCCTTGCTCAACTGCATGGGATGTTATCCAAAATGTCTTGAGAATTTATTTTAATAGTCATGAGAATACCCTCTTAAAAACCAAGCTTGATAAGAAATTGCTTGGTGATTTCATGACATCTGGACATGGTTAACTCTTTTTCACTTTGATCTTCCAGTACTGCTGCTGTACCACATATTCTGATATTTGTAATTCTGAATAGCTTAGGTAGTAATTATCTTTGTGGTTTTACAATATAAAGATATAATGGAAGGGAATGTGCTCCCTGGTTCTTCTGAAGTATTGCTGGAAGTACGATGTTGTAGCATCAATATTATCACTAAGAGAAGTGATCAACAATTTCTTCCTGATGGTTTCAGTAAGCTTCCAATAATTCGTAGCATAAGTGGGAAAATCACAAAAATTGGCTCAAATGTCAAAAGATTTAAAATTGGGGATGAGGTAGCTGGAATAATTCCATTAGACATGGCCAAAACTCTACATGGCATAAAAACTACTCTTATGCAGGAAGAATTTTTAGTGCACAAGCCTTCTGAATTAGGTTGGGAAGTTGCAGCATGTTGTTTGCTGGATGGATTAACTGCTTATACAGCGCTACATTACCAAGCTCATATTCGACCTGGTGATACATTACTACTATGCAATGGTTCTGATTCAACAGGGGTTCTAATGGCACAAATTGCTAGACATTGGGGCGCAAAGGTTCTCGTCACTGCATCCTCTGAAGAAGAAGCTCAGATCTTACGTATGATGTCTAACAATGGTCCACAAGTATTCGGTGGTCACCAATTGTTGCATAATTTTGTGATGGACGAAACAGGGGGCTTAGGTGTTGATTGTATTGTTGATAATGGAATTATTGTTCACGATTCTTCCATTACCAATAACGATGAAGATTTTTCAAAACCAACAAAACATGATATTATTTCTTGTCTTGCTGTAGGAGGTAAATGGATTACTAGCCAAAGTGATTTGCAAATAGACCCTCCTGATTCAGAAGTCTTGCATATGAAAGGGTCAAGCTTATGTCACTTATTTCCTGAGATGTGGACATTGTCAACAAGTCAGCAAGGTCGATATCTTCACATATTGAAGGACGTTTTAGATAAAGCAGCATGCGGTGTCATACGACCTCATCTCATGACTGTCCTTCCTGCTTCAGAAGTACAATCTAGAAGTGATTTGTTTCCATCTAAAAGTTGCATTGTTATCAAGCTGTAGTGTGAATAGTACTGTGTGACCGAGTGCTGACAATGAATTGTTTTGTTCAATTGGAAATTAGTGCAATTTTATTTTACCGTTACCATGAAAATGGGTTTAGTAATTTTTTTTTTTTTCATTTCTAATATATTGATATATACAAAATAATAATTTGGATCAGTTATTTGAAACTAATATTTTATTTGTTATCGAAGAAACTAGGCTATTAAATAAATAAGTATCGAACATGGTTAAATATGGTATTAAATTCTAATATCAAATTGTATCTTTTCCATTATACTGTTGATTGAATACTATTTTTCTTCAAATTGATTTTTGTATTGCAGGACCTATAAGCTTATAGGCAAATCTCGATAATTTTCCTCATACAAAGTTATAAATTCCAAATATCAATTTTTTTGAAATTTATTAATTTCTGATAGTGCAGTTTTTTGTGTTAGTGATGTTATATTAAACTGGATATATCAGTCATGTTGGAAGAATGGAAGACAGTTACACGGAAAACTAAAAGAAGAATCGGAAAAGAAAACAATACGTCTTCAAACTGTGTTGAGATTCTGAGCAATATAAACTTTACAAAATCGGACATACAGCATGAAATATCTAAAGTAGAAAAAGCATCAGAAGAGCTTATAGAATCTGCGTTTTTCCACAAATTCTGCAAATATATTGAAACAGTTTTAATCAAATATGAAAACGATTGTCACGAAAAAACATCCATGTTGAATGAAATTGTTTGTTATGGACTTGGCAGTGTTTCAAACAGTTACATTGCAAGATACCAACTTGCTATGTTGATTTTGTTGCTGAAGTTTTTATCACAAAGAACTGGCAATAATTGTGGAAATAAACCAATACCATGCTATGTATATGATCCAATCTTCAATAACTTTGATGTTGCCATACTAGAAAGTAAGTCTACTATTTCTTTAACATTTAACAATATCTTATTATATTTCTACTTTTACATACAAATGTTTGACACTTTAGTGAATGCAATAACTTGACAAATTAAAGTGATAAGCCTTTATTATATTGTATGTAATACTGTTAAAATGATTATTTTCAGGGGGTCAGGGCAATTGTCCGAAACTATTAGAATATTTGAATTCATTCAAAATTAGTTACTTTTATTTTTGGAATAATTCAGAATTAAAAATTAGCATTTTGGGCTCCTAACGCTTTCATTTAATTTCTGAATGATATGACCAATAGGCTACGAATATAACATCAATCAAAGATTAACTTTCCCGCATTCCAAATTTAAACTCATTGATGTACATTGACATTTGTTTGTCCTTGTTAAACATAACCCAATTTGGAACATTGTTTAAAATTTCCATATTCAAAAATATTAGTAATAGATATTATTTTAGGTCATCCCTATCAGTGGCGTTTTTAATGCTATAATGCCATACTCCTCATGATTTGAAATGCCATTTTTCTATTATGATATCACATTTCTATATTATGATGTCATATATAATAAACATCCTAACATAATGGCTTTTTAATTATAAATCAGGATCCTAGATACACCCGTGTATATGGCATGTCTATTTTATTTCAGATTTTAAATTGAAAGTCTTATCAGAAAATGAAGAAGGCAGAAGAAAGGGATCATCGGAACATGGAATATCTATATTTTACATGATTCATTGTGACAAATTCCTTTATGACAATCTGTTATGTGAAAATTTGGAAAATCGAACTATGGATAAGATTATAGTAATCGGCAATTCTTTCAAAACAATGTGGGAAAGATTGCCTGAAAGCGTATTGAAAAATGATTATAAGCTTATTTATAAAATAATTTCAGAAGGTTTAGTTTCTGAAACAATGCTTGATAACTGGAAAGATAATGATGCAATTTTTAATGATACCAGTATTCATTGTTTTCGAAAGTTCTCGCTAACCTAAGATCTGATTTTCTTTTTTTTAGCCATTTTTGTTGGTGTTAAAATGTTTGAAGTAAATTATTTATAGATTGTATCCTTTTCTATTATTTTGTTCTGTCTGCTGCTCAGCTGCCATATTTAATTATTCTTACATCATGGGTGCAATTATAGCTAGATTTCGGGTAACTATGATTTTTTTTATCTACATTTCAATCATTGAGCTTTCATATGGTTATAATTCGTCATCTTTGTCTGTTGATAATGCTTGCTCAACTTGATGCCTTTTGAGTTTGAAAGAAATTCCTGACTTTGATTATAATGATTAAAAATCGGACTCCCGAAACTTAAAAGTTTGTCATATGTTCTTCTTGTGACTACGAAGAGATTTGAAGTGCTGTTTCACTGAAGAAATGTTATATTCGAATTGTATTTTGTATATTCAGAAATCACCAACAACCATAGAGATATTGGAAGATATAGACAAAAATATTGCACATCTGGAAAAATTCAGAAAAGCTAACCAAGAGCTACGACAAAAAGTAATTTTATTGCGATAATCTCATATTTTGTGATATTTTACTTTTTTACACTAATAAAGTTTGAAATCCTTTTTTCAGGTTATTGGGAAACTCATTTTGTATTCTGTTGTTCTGTATATTGTTGGTGCAGTGGCTCTTTACTTCTTTTTTATGCCTCAAGAGTTGACATATAAAATATATGGATTGTCTCCATTTTTCTTATTTCCCTTCTTGTAAGTATTACCGGTAAATATATTATGCATTCTGTTGCAATACGGTAGTTTAAACATGATTTTTGGATTAATTTTGTGTTTCAGAGTTTATTTATTAAAAAGATTTCTTCACTGGTTCTTTGTACGGAAAATATCTCAAAATGGTAAGTTAAATAATATAAGAGCTTAAGATTTAAATATATTGTATTTGCTCGTTTTGTAGCCTGGGCCCATATTTTTTTAACCAAACTCACCAACCGGGCCCTTATTCAAACCGGCCCATTTTCAAGCATGGGTGCTTGTTATTTTTAAAGTAAAATTATACACAAAAAATTCTGAATGAATGATTGGTAGACAAATGGGAGTCTTTTATACTATCAGTTTTTTGCTTTTGGCGGGAAAGTCTGCTTTCTGTTACGAGTTACGTAATCAATGCTATCTCTTATGTAATTGGACGCGAAGGCGTAGGTGTTATCTACCAGCGCTTAAAATTCAACAGCGTTGTGACAAAAGCGCTTCTTAGTTCCTATTGTTCTCTACCACTGAAAAATCATCTTTTACATCGGGCGGGAATTCAAGCACCGGCCCTTTTTTATTTTTATGTTCTGTTCACACGGGCGGCTATTCAAACGGGCCCTTAATAAAGATCAGGCGGTAAAACGAGTATATACGGTATGTTATATTAATTAATGAATGAATTGCTCAATTCAATCTTTGGCAACAGTTCTTTGTTGAGGAATGATAAATTTATGTTTGGAGTCTGGTGAGAAATCAAAGAATCTGCGTAATTAGAAAATACTTCTATGAGTGACATACTGGCTTCAGAATTGGGCAATATCCTAAATTTGAATGCAAATAAAAGTGAATAGAGCGTTGGCAATTGGCATATAAATTCAGTTTTTTACTATATATATTCAGTGTGTATTAAATTCAATCATTGTTTTTTTGACCTTTTTGTGTATTATTAACTCATTTAATACACTATTTTTATAAATTTGACTCATCTTTCTCTGTTTATTTTACAGAAGGCGAAATGCAAGCATTAAAAGACAAACGGAAAGACATTGTAAGTTCATTTTTTTTAAGCGTTTTTTGATTTTTTAATGGTTTTATAAAATGATTTGTTTTATTAGCTGGAAAATGTGATGGAAACTGAAACGTACAAGAAAGCGAAAGAAATTTTAGAGAAGTTCGATCCAGAAACAAAGAAAAAATTGGAAGAGGAAAAAAATCGAAAAGATTCGGAAGCAAATGCTGCAACCTCACCACCACAACAACAACATCCAGGTAGAAAATCATTAAACCTGGTTGTTTTTCTTCTCGGACGCTGGGGCTGGCCACTTCAGCCTAATCAAATATGTAGTAAAATAAATTATTTTCATATTTATAATTTGATATAGGTTTGCGCAGAAGACAAGTACCAGGTCAGTCTGAGCATCCCGGAGCACCAGGGGCTGCTATTGGTCGTGGACGAGGAATTGGTTCTCCATTACCTCTTCCTAATATGCAGCAAACGCCAATGAATGGAGCTGCAAGAGGTGTGTAAAGTTTGTGGGCATAAAAGTACTTCATGCCGTTTAGTATTTAAGCATGTCCTTCGGATGTGAAATTTTACAGAGTGTGAAATGTTCAAATCCATGTTTTAAACCATGGTTTTTCTTCTCTTTTATACACAACATCGATAATGCAGCTTCATCCAGTGTTAAATTCGGTATTGAATTGCCTATTAATCACATTATATTATTTAATTTCAAATTATTCTGCATAAGGCTTGCTGGTAAGCGCATTCCGCTAAGCGTTAGGATCAGGAACATACTTAGCGTACCTTCACATCTCTGATTACCCTGTGCAGTTTCACATGTTCGATTTCTATGGAGAATAATTATTTGCGAGACGGTAGCCAGACTCAACTCTACCATAGGATGAATCATGTAAAGCTTGTTGGTTACCGCTTCCTCCAACAACAAGTTCATACATCAGAACAAATAACTGGTTAACTATACCCATACCCGGCATGTACTTGGGGTGGTGGTTTGTCATATGATTAAGCAATTTTATCAATTATCCTCTCCCACAGGATAAATATGAGAATCCTCTCCCCTAAATCATATAATACCTCTGCTTATCACAGGACAACCAATTGTTCCTCGTTCCCCAGTAGCTGTACTGCCCAGACCAATATTGCCGTTGAATAAAACAACAATGGATAAATTGATGGATTATATGATTGGAGATGGAACTGCACACAGGTTATATTTGCCTATTTATGCCTTCATCAATGACATTGTTTCGTGATTTGCATTATGGATATGTAATAGATAGGGATTGAATTTATAGTTCCATTGAATCCTTTTTCATGAAATTTAGACTCAATAAGGCATGTTAAAACAACCTTTATGCACACTGTTGTGTTGTGCATATTGTATTAACCTGTGTTGAGTAGAAGTACTGAGTCTCGAGTTGTGTCGATCGCTGAGTTAAATCATACTGACGGTTAGTTAATATCGAGCCAAAGTCATTCCATGTATTGAGTCACTCCTGAGTATTTAGAAAAAGATGACTCAAACTTGAGTCAGTGACCGATGGTTAGTAGACGACGAGTCAAAGTTAGTTCATTTAGATTTCTCAGATGATGGTGATTGATAATGGTGTTCAACTGGAATCGAGTAAATGACTCGAACCGTCTCAAGTTTCAACTGCAGTATATTGATCACCTGATAAATTCTGTTTGACTTTTTTGGTAATTAAACTATTAACAGAACTCTAAGAATTTACTCAGCTGAGAGTCAAATGGATACCCCAAAACCTAGTAGTCTAGAATTGACTGAAAATGATATTACAGAAAACAGAAGTCAAGAATGTTTAAAAGGTTTTAATAACATACCTATCGTTGATTTAACAGATATTCTCTCATATGTCAAAATTGCTGCAATCATAATGGAATGGCTTTGAAAGAGGAATTTCAATATCTTGGTAATTATGATTGAATTTCACTCATTGTAAATTAATATACGGTAATAGTTTATAACAGTGGTTTGTGAAACCCCAAAACTTTTATTTGCTTATATGATTTCCATATGATATCCAACTTATATGATCTAGCTGTTCAGTCTATGAAAGTGTTAATTTTTGAATATGCCATTTTAGTTAGTTTTGCTAAAATGTGTTTTGCTAAACTGGGTATTGTGAATCGGTGTTGTTCAATTTAAAAAAAAATTAAAAATTTCATGCGAGTGAAACATTTTCTCAAGAAGTTATTGAAACTTCTCTCTTGCTGTTAATGTTAATTTGGGTTGAAATTGATTAAATTGGATATGATTAAAAAATTGGGTTGATGGTTTTGCATGGGATTCACCCACATCAAAAATTCCTTGGAAGGGACCACATGATAATCTGGGAAAACACAAATTTTTTGATTTAATCCAATTGTTCCTTCATTATTTTACACGTCACAATTGATAGCTTTCAGATGTGCATATTGTCGATTTTTCAATCCCGCTCGAAAGCAAAGACCTAATGCTCCCAGACTGCCAATGACTCCGCCACGTCGCATTGAACCGATACAAGGTACTGCCAACAATGATGATGACGGGAATAATGAGAGTGACAAACCTTCAACTTCTTCTACCCCTGAATCAGGTATTAGTTTGACTTGAGTGACAAAATTCACTCTCTCGAGTTACTGGGAATACTGGGAATGATGCTGCGAATTTTAGTCATTTTAACCCACAGCCAAAATGTCCTTGGCGAAATAGTTCCAAATTTTCTTTCATCACATAGTTAATGCCCATGAATGCTCTGGCGTTGCAATCGTTCAAACTTTTTTAACTAGATTTTTGTTTTTGAGTCTCTGTAGATGTAGAGAATTTCGAATCAAATCATCGCCATGGAAAGTTTGATATTTCAACGGTGTCGGGCTCGAAACAGCCTGGTTTGATCAATGAAACGAAAGAATGCATTGATTTCACCAACATGACTTATTTGTCACAGAGAATCCTTCTGCCGGCACTTCAGGTGAAGAGGTGCAACAAGTATCAGTGAAGAAAGAAGTCCCTGATGTGGAAAGCAATGCAGATACTGACAATTCACAACAACCATCGGAGCATACAGGTAATGAGACGCTGTTTGAAGTGTAAGTAAACTCAGTTTACTTTGAAAATAACAAAATAGTACACGCAAGTTAAGTTTTGGGTTTGATGAGACTCGTGCGCGAATCTGTTCTGGTTTTAGACACTGGGCAACTGCATCAAACGGATAAGATCCCTTTTTTCAATTTTGAGATAATCAGCGAACCTGTTCTGGTTTTAGACACGAGACCAGTTGTTCTCAACCTTGTTTTCTTTCGTAGCCTGCTTTTGTTGCACAAAAGATTCTGTGCCCCATTAACTTGTGCAAGGAAAGAACTATAGAAAAACAAAAAAAAAATATTTATCAACAACTCTAGCAAATTTTTAATATGTAATACGTTTGTGGCCTACCTGAACATGTTTCTGTGGCCCATTGGTTGAGAACCGGTGCACCAGATGGCAAACTGGTAATACGCACCACAGCTGATAACTAGTCCTCTTTTTGGCTTTGCGAAAGTCATGTTAATGTATCTACATGCATTTTCTAAAATGAGGGAACCTGTTGTCAGTGAGTTTGATACAAAATAGAATCCGTTCTTAATATTTTGAATCCCACCCTTATAACTGACATCTTGCTTTTCACAGATGCAGAAGATATGGAAGTAGAGGACATATCTGCTGGATCTAGTGTTACCAATGATGAAGCTGAGCAAATTCTTCCTGATGCTTCCATCTGATAGCTTTGTTTGCAACTTGAATGCTCATTGTGTTGAATACATATATAGTTTTTTAAACACATTCACTTTTTGATGGTTTTGTGTTATCCTTCCTGCTCAAATATTGGGGGAACGTTGGATTTTTAAATATTGCATGTTTGTGATCAGCAAGTACAAACCTTTTTTTTCATGCCGAATATTGTAAGTTATCAAATCCTGTCTTATTTTTTCTACTGCCACTGTTCTTGCTTTACCATGAGTGATGTATATGCTGTGTTGTGTTCTTGTCAGAAATAAATGATACCACATCGATCATTGTCTATTTCCGAATCGATGGTATGGATATGGGACTTAGCTGGCGGCATGCGGTACCTCTGGTTACCCTGCGTTTGAATCATGGGGGGTAATTACGTGCGAAAGGAATGGAGGACCTCTTGCCGTCGAAGGGTGGTTCATGTAACTGCTGGTCGATTAGAAAAGTCCAATACCGGACCGGACATGGACTGGTAACTGGACAAGAGGATATGGTTCATGATACGATTAAGCCGGCTAACTGAGACTGTAACTTGTCATGATCATTTTGTGTAACGAGTTGCTGTTCTCTGTCTAATTCAGAGCATTTCATGATATTTGAGAAAAACTTTGTGCCTCAGATCGATTCGTGATTCCAACTGGGTGTAGGATTTTACAAAAAAATGAAGAGAAACAAAATGGCTAAATAAAACCACCACCTCCCATTGCGTCATAATCTAGCGCACAAGCTTTTTCCCATAAAAGAATAGTTTTGTTCTTCACTCCAAATTCCAAGAAAAGTTTGACACTTTTGTTCTTGAGTATCGCATCTATGTCGCAAGTTCCTTATTATCTCTCGAACGTCACTTCCTTTCTGATTAATCACCAACTTGACAAGGTCATGCAAATGATGATGATAGAGACGATTGCACCCAACTAGCTAGGTCTCCACCTGAAGCAAGGCTTCTCAAACTGGATCCACCCATCACCTTTGATTTTTGTTTATTGGCTTCTTATCACTAAACCAGGCAAACAAAATAACTGATGGGAACTAGTCGCAAACCAAAATACATTTCAGTTTCTGGAAGCAGGAGGCAACAGAGCATGAAACTTGGAAAACTTATGGGAGATTTTAGGCAATATTTTTACCATCTTAATCATCCAGACCGATATTAAACCCCAGTTGCATATACCATTGACATAGGACTGGCTTTATTGCATTTTAATGACACCCACTTGGCATAATTCCTGTCTAAACTATCTCTAACATACCCATAGAAACAAAAAAAGTATTTGCACTATTTGTTGTACAATTGTAGTGAATATAGCCACAGAAATTTAAAAGGCAAATAGAATTCACTCCTTCTTGACAGCTTCGTCCTCTTTTGCAAGTGCTGAAAGCATTTCCTTCTTTTTGGTCTGAATTCTCTCTTCCCTTCTTCTTCTGGCCTCCTTGTTCTTTTGGCGACGAGCTTCCGCCTGGTCACTGATTTGAGAGAATGCAAAAATTAGGAATAGTAAACAGCTGAATCAGGGCTGTGAAGGGAAAACTTACTGTAGACTCTGAATATGGGTTTTAAAAAGCCCAGGCTCAGACTCCACCTCTTGAGAAAATCAAATTTTGACAACAAAAATTTTGCATAAGCAAGAGTGTTCTTTAATAATATACTTCGGTAAATTCTTTTATCAAGGTCTGAAACCCCTATTCCACAGCCCTGAACATATTGTCTAATTCATACTGAAAGTAGCATTATTAAAATCATGCATCTGAAAATAGTAATATTTTGCATATTCTCCAACAAGGCGCAGCAACTTGAATAAAAAAAAAAGAATTATATTCATAAAAGTGCACTAAAAATTTTCCACAGTGCAAAATTTATCCGTTTAACTTCACTGAAAAGTAAACGAAAATATCGGTCAGAGACCGAAGACTTGTCCATCGAAAGTTAGAGGATTCCCCAAAACAGCACTCTTACTCCATAGTGACACCTTGTGTCTCATCACTAATTAATTAATAACTCGCTAATTATACGACATAATTCGCCCAAAATCAATAGGCTTCTGGTCCGAGATAAGATGAATGCACATGCAAATTCTGGAGCAGATCCAATCTCGCTTTCGTGAGATATCGCGTGCATCTAACAGACAAACAGATACCTATCAACATACTTACCGATTAAAATCGATAAGTAACAATTGATAATAATTATTTTCTTACATGAACATCTTTGTTCTCGACTTCTTGGCCTTTTCTTTGTGAATATGTTCCATAAGGATACGCTTATTCTTGAATCCATTACCTTTAGCTTTCAAGTAAAGTTCATGGTACCTATAAAATGAAATTTAGTCGATAAGATTAGTAATAATTTTTCAGCGTCATGGAGTTTGATATCGAACGACTTGACAAAGAGGTAGTTTGATTAAATAACAAAAATCATTTGAGATAAGATTTGGAAAGTTTTAAGATCCGAATATGCAGCAAAAAAGGGCTAATAGTGTACATTCTACATACATATGCTTGTCGATCTTTTTCGATTCTCTGTATTTTCTCAGAAGACGTCGAAGAACTCTCATTCGCCGAATCCAGATTACTTTTTCAGGCATACGTGCATTTGCAGTACCCTTTCTTTTACCTATTTGCAAAAATTAATCAAATAAATCATATTATTTTAATTCAATCTTTTATATAAAAAAACTCCCGAATTCTACTTGACCAAAAATATCTTCATGAGTTAGAAAAGCTTATATGTGATAATTTCACAAGTTTATATATAGAATCATGTCATTAATTCATACCTCGTCCTGTGTGACGACCTTTTCTACGAGCGATTGTATTCTTTCGCACTCTTGCACGAGAATGGACAGCTACAGGTTTTCGGATAATCAGACCATCTTTGATCAATTTACGAACATTTTGCCCTGTGAAAATAAAATGTTACACATAGATGTGAATCTGAATCTAATAATTAAAAATATACTTAAATAATATCAAAATTCTAGCTTACGTCAGATTTTATTTATTATAAGAAAGGTTTATATTTTAATGTTAACAGATTTATGTTACCAACTAATATAAGTCTTTAAATAACACTATGCTGCTATGTGTGAAGTCTTTGAAAAACTTTGTCTTTGTGAAAAAAGTTGAACTGCTGTATATTTCATCTTCTAAATCAGAAGGAGATAAAGAACAAGCTATTAAAGGCGGAGGTGAAAACTCTTACTTGAATTGGCATTTGAAATCATGGAAGTTTCATTTGGATCCAACCAAACTTTATTCTTGCCGCATTTCATAACAGCAGCGGCAAGCCGCTTTTGCAGTCGAAGGGTGCTAGAACAAATAAATGAAATATTCAAATTTAAATCATTATGACACAATGCAGATAAATCCAGAGCATTTATCTTTCTACAGATCAGTGTATCTTCTATAACACTGTACAGTCAGACAGTGGTGAGAAGGAACAGTACACACGCGTAATACAAAATGAGTGTGAATTGACTAGGCAAAGACAATTCAAGTATACTAGGTTTTTTTTCCTAGAACAATAGAAAAAGACCACTTGTATCGGGTAATGCTTATATATCAAAGACCAGTCCGCCTTTCACAAAGTTAAGACCTGTGTCTGAGCACTTATAGCTGGTGAGCTAAAACAAACACTCTTCCCAGTAGAGATACAAATGTATAAAATGGCAGCAAACAATGATTTTACAATACCATAATATTGATAACTATCATGACAATATTCATTAGATGGAACACACCCCAAAGAACTATTCACTTGTTGCATGACATGGTCATGTCTGAGTGTGGAAATAGGCAGAAAAATATTTTTAATTACAACACTCCTGATGACACTGCAGGAAAAAAAACTAATATTCTAACGGTAACGCAGGGCATCTAAATAATATTTGATAATTTTTCATTCTTTCTATACAAATTCCAACCCCATTATAATTCAATAAAAAGAGAAAATGTTCAAATATTGTTGAAAATTACCTCATGACTGCCGATTTCCCGATGGCCACGCTAAAAGGATCGGGAGAGCCAGAGATTGGTAAAAGTACGCCAACTGGTGGATATTCTGAATCGGGGAACAACAACACAAAGATCATATGCCAACTGACTTTGAAAATCTTGTTCGTAATAATTTTTTTGTGGAGATATATGAGAAGGATTCAGAATTTGTTATTAGCGCAAGCAAAAAATCAGGGAGTATTAATTTGTTTAGTTACCGTCTCAAAGAAGACTACTGCGGTTACGAACAATGGTTATGGCCGTGGGTTTAGTTTTGTTCCTTTCATCACTATTTACATTACAAACGCCAAGTATAAAAATCATTACTGTATTTAAGTATAAGTTTATTTTGACTCAATCAGCATAATAGACAATAAAATGATTAATAAACCCAAATAAATAAAAACTGATTAGGAAACCAGGAGAGCAAACAAAACCTTAGATAAAGTTTAAACCGTACAGAATATGAGGTGGAAGGTTTTACCAAGAAGAAGGTGTACGTTTTCCCTCACCTAAACTTATCAAATTTATTCATAGACAATCACACTCAAAAAATTATTTCAAATTGTATGTAATAGAAAACAACTGCTCGTGAAATCTATATTCTTAACTCTGAGCAACGACTAACCTCTGAGGCATCAACGATTAGTAGCCTACGGTATGTGGATTCCAATATGTCATGACATGATCAATGATCTCGAATTAATTCTTTTAAATTAAATTAATATATCCATGCATGTCGAAACTATGATACATTCATTTTATGGCTTTAAATTTGTGCAGCAATTATGGGAAATAGTTAATGGGAGTAGGGCGGAAAAAAGGTATAAATTGTGTTTTATTATGTGCCAGATGTTTTATATAAAAATGTAAACTTCGTGATGAAAGGCCTCAGTTTTGTCAATTTTTATATATAATAAAAAATATTATTTAGTGTGAAAAAGCTATTGCAACTAAAAATGGTAAACTGTTAATCCATAAGAAGAAGAAGTGAAAAACTATCATAAGCTGTTTTTTTCAAGTGCAATTGTATTTTTGACATTGTGTCTATATAAATGTGATGTCTTTATTAGTAAAAAAATTAATATATCCTGTTATTTACATAGTAGTTTACATGTTCATTAAGTACATAATAGACTTGGAGCAGTGGTACTCAACCTGTGCTACGCGTACCACTAGTGGTACGCGGGAGCTTTTTAAGTGGGACGCGAGCAGATTTGAATTATTGTAACAATTAAGCTTTCAGTTGGCTAAAATATGCCGGCAACGCTTTATCTTTCTTACTGTATGTATTCGCTGAACAGCGTTTATGAAGGTTCCCCCAGGCATCAGTTTCCTTGTTTATTTCCGTAACTATAACCAGTCAGCAATAAGTCAATAATGACGCAACACGTAACAATTGCAATTTCTGCACCCATCCGCTCAGACACTTCCGTCGCTCAAACAGAAATTCAAGCATGGTTGCAAACATTGCCTCGTTTTTGTAGTTTTGAATGATATTTGTCAGTTTTCAGTTGTATTTCAAGAAAATAATTGTGAATTAATTAACCTAATTGTCATTATGTTTTTCGCGGTGCTTTACTTTAGTTGCAGTAATCGAAATCGAATTTCGGAAATGCCTCGATGGACAAAGCTAAACTTAGCTATATCCAGGGCTGCCATCGATATGAACCCAAAAATGATGACATCAGGGAAACATAATAATAGAATAACAAAGAACGAAATGTAACAAGAGAGCTATGCTCAAATATATGGACACGTAGAGTCACATAATATTGATGACGTCATAGCGAAAAAAAGTAATAGCCTTCTGGAGAACATTTTTATCTTTAACCACTGAAAATTTCAAAGCAATTGGTCCAGTATTTGAAGAGAAAAGCGATTTCTTCAAAACGTGTTGACGGAGACAAATAATAACAATAACAACAAAATTTTGAAACGATCGTTATGTCCACTACGTGTTCAATAAACAAAATGTTCTCATGCCAGTGCGACCGTTTCTAATCAGACTTTGCACTAGAAAGGATTTGCTCCAGCAGTTCTTTATTCTTAGAAACAATCTGTTCCGTCTCACTTTTAAGTTGTATTTTGATTCAGGTTACACACAGTGATTTTGGTCGGTAGGCTATTGTTTGTCACTGTGTCAATTAATTTGCTGTTATTACCTAATGAATGCACGTACCAATCAATGAGGTTGTAAAATATCATTTCTAGAAAATCAATCATTCGATAGCATGTTTCTTGTGTCTTTTTCCAAACGCTAAAAAAGGAGCTTTGTCGGTACGCGGTCAGTAAAAGGTTGAGAACTACTGACTTAGAGCAATGGAATTTGTAAGTATGTATTATCGTTTGCTATATTTTTTTAATGTATGAGCAAATACGTGTGTCTCCTATTTTATTTTTTCTTCTTGTATGCAACTCAATTAGACTGCGGACCTTTAACGACCAACAGGATTTTAGTGGCAAATTGTCAATCATCATTTTTATTTTGAACGGGCGCAAAGGCGTATTGTTTTTAAAATAGAACAAAATATCCGATGTCGGATTGGCGGCGACAGGGAGGCGGGTAAATGTTAGGGTGTTTTACTTCCAATTATCCTACTTGCAAAGCAAAATTCTGTCAACAGTTATAGCTATCGTCTCATCGAGTATTAGTTTATTTATTCAATTATATGTATTGGGTGGTGACTGACCCAGATGGCCTAAATCAGGGGTGTGCAACATGCGGCCCGCGGGAAAATGCGACTAACAAGAAAAATTGTGCGGCCCGCGGGAAAGTGCCAATTTTGAATGGTGTGCGGACCTCAAAACGAGTTTTCAATATAGTTTAATCTGGTAGGTGTAATTTCAATCCCCATGCGTTGCAAAGCTTATACCCGAGTTCAATTTATTATCTATGCCTTTGACGTTACACTACCCTAACAACTAGCTTGTGCGAAACGGACAACGCATGTCATAAGATCAATAACCAACATTTTTCTGCCTGCAACTACTAGCAAGCCTATGTTGACCCGCGGTTTCATCTAGTTATTTGTATCTAGCCCCCTTTATTAAAGGTTGCACGCCCCTGACCTAAATCGTTACCATCCAGTCAGCTACCGAAAATTTTTAATTCCCTTATTTCATTATTATTTTAAATAGTATGTGTTTGCTGGTTTGACGAAAATTGAATGACGTCAAAGTGTCCTTTTACAAAACTTAATTGTGTGACAGCTTGGAGCAGTTAAAGTCCTATACTTTTACTACTGCATGTAATATGTAGGCTATGTTCTTTTGTCTCAATAAATAAAAATCGTATATATAAATAAAATCTTTAGGAGATTACAGGACAGGTCACACGAACAGATCATGCCAATCCAAGTCACGATCGTTACTGTCACTGTATTTTAGTGTTGACTTTAAACGAACAATAAACTTTTTCATAGCCTAAATTGCGTTATAAACATATATATAATAAATTGTGTGGAGCATCATAGTTTGTGATAATAGCAATAAAAAAAGGAAGCAAAGCGTTCCTATTGTTAATGATTGAAGATTCCCAAATAAGTATTGTGAGCTTGTCAAAAATGACTTACCATACAAGCTCAACTTAAAACCCGTATAAAAAATATTCACGAACAAATTGTAGCATCGCAGCTCTCATATATGCTAAGTGAAGAATCATGAAGCATTGTTACGTGTTGCGAGTCATGCTCGACCACACATTGGCGAACCTATTGTCAACCATTTCATATTACAATATGCGGTGATATTCGAGAGTATACGCACAAACGACTCCTCGAAATATTGTTGGAAGCACAATAGCAATCAATTAAAAGAACATGACAACCCGTAATAGTTTTGGATACTCAGACCGTAAAGATTTTGTCTAGCTAGCTTTGCCTAATTAAGCAAACAAGGATAGTTCCCCATGCCGAGATTACGCAAACAGTCGGCAAAACGAGAGCCAACGGTCTCATCAATAGCATTGACTAGGTTTGCATTGTCAGGAAAGCATGTGAATTTTAGACAGTTGTCTTTTTATTAGATAATAAGAATATTTCACCATTATTCAAATAATTAGTTTTTCTATATTTTTCTTCCAACAGGAACTATTTTAAAATTATCCTAAAGATAATTGTTAGGGACATTCCGAATCCACAGAGATGGCTGAAAATGTTAAAGTTGCTGTCCGTGTGCGGCCATTCATATCCTTTGAATAAAATGAGTTTTCTGCCGAGCTAACTTGTTTTAGTGATTGCTATTTCTTCTTTACAACATACTTGTGTGCCCTTTGAAATACGCAATCACGTTTCCCTTCAGGACATTTCCATAAAATCAATATCCCGTATTCTTTAAACACAATAATCTTGTCTATCACATTGATGTAAAAGTTGTATTGGTTGATGCTTATAATGTGTAGGGTGACCGTACATTTGAACCCATGTACATTTGAACCCATGCGTATATCCACGGGTTCAATCTATATGCGGGTGCTGAAACCCATGGGTTAGGGTTAGTATGGGTTTAACTATCCGTGAAACAAAAAAAATTCCATAGGTGCAATAGCATACAGGTGCAATTGTCATGGGTTCAAATGTACGTGGGTTCAAATGTAATGGAACCAATGTGTAGATGTATCTAAATAAATTGAGACGTTGTACAGTGTATCAGGGAGAATTCATAGATTACATTCTACCATTTCTGCCTAATTTATGATTGATATTAGACAATTATAAATAGATAAGATTTGTATATTATGCGTACCCAAGCCACGGTTGTTTACCAGTTTTATTACAATGACTTTGGCATTCATCTGAAACTGGCCATCACAGGGTTACAGTTTATTTTTGATTTTCTTTAACGTTATGTTCACAATAAGCGAGAAAAAGACAGAAATGCAACAGTGGTTGTCAAAATGGATGGTATGTTTTCATTTTATTTGGTTTAGTCATCATTATGACCTTATTTGATGTAATTTTGCATAATACATCCCTCGTATACGTTATTGTCATATGTTAATTTATTGATAGTGGTACATTATATGAACGTGTAACATAACAGATTTTCAAAGCATCAGTACCACAGAAAAAAGCTTTCGAGCTATATTATTTCAGAACGGTCATTATTACTCGCGCAATATGACTATCCGCCTTTCTATACTCTATTGTTATACTTGAATAAATGTAAATAAACGCCAGTGAAGTTTTGTATATTTCAGATAGCATCGTATACTTTAGTAATCAAACAATCATTGCAGGTAGCACGACGACGCTAACCAATCCAGACAAGCCAAATGACAAACCCAAGAAATTCACTTTCGATTACAGCTACTGGTCCCATGATGGTTATAAAGAGAGAGCGGATGGTTATTTGGAAAAAGACAAAGCGTCGAGTAAATACTGCGATCAGGTGAAATACGTTCACAACTTTATTCTGTTAGCTTTGGGTGAATCTGTCAATATGATCGACTCAAGCATCTGGGTTTGCACAACGCTACTTGTTATGACAATTAAGTAAATTCTCTGTTTTTGAACTTGTAGTGTTAGGAAACGTTTGTTTCTTCAAACATTTGTGTTTAGTCGTTCAAATAACCGTAATATGTATTTGGATTTAGATAACAAGCATTTGAAAAAATGGCACAACCGCTCCGATCCTGACTTCGAATTGACAAAAATTTGACTCCAGCCATAAATGAAATTAAATATTGACTCTAGCATTGGCCATAAAAACTTCCTCTGCGCGAGATTATTAGGTTTCAGATAAAAATTTTGACTCTAAATCTTATCTCCAGAACTTCCGACTGTACATCCAGGGGTAAAATAGTAGGACGCAACTTTGGTGCAAACCATTTTCTGTTTGAAAGAATTTTTAACAATAACTCAAATATATATATTTTATATAAGCAAGGGGTAAATCCGAATTAGTCTCAGGGGTTGTAGTTTGTACACAGCTATCCGATCAAGATTCACGACAAGCCTGAAACGACGCCTTAAAGTCAATCTTGTATAATGTTCAATATCATTCTTGAAACTTGAGGTTAGAGGAAATTATTAGTCCTAATACTCTGGGTGTCTCGTATTAATTGCCAGAATCGCGTTTTCGACGATCTTGGACAAGGAATATTGAACAATGCATGGGAAGGATACAATTCAACGTTATTTGCTTACGGTCAGACGGGATCAGGAAAATCGTACAGTATCGTGGGTTACGGAATTAACAAAGGTTAGATGATATTCACTACATAATCCTTTGATCAGCTTGAACGTAATTTTATTCCATCTTTTCCGAGTTGATCAGAATTTTGAACAACTTTGGGACGCATAATCCATTTTATATACGCAGGTGTTGTTCCTGTATTGGCGGACCGATTATTCACACAAATTGGGGAAAAGTCGAATGGTGCAGACGGACAATTTGAGGTTTGTGAATGTTTTATTTTCGTGTAGCTGAGCCTTAGTGGACTTGCTATTAAGGATCTTTTCAACACGTCCAAAAACTTCACAACGACCATTTAAAATTTACTATAATTTTTAAATAAATCGAAATTTAGTTATACAATCTGTTAATAACGCAAGATCAAGGGTCGGTCACAAACCAATTTGATTTGAAAATGCTATGTAGCTTCCACTGATGAGTGACTTACATAGATCATTTAACGGAGTGCAAAATGCCCAATTTTTGTTATATTTTGTCATTTCATTGTTAAGGTAACGTTCAGCATGCTGGAAATTTACAGTGAACAAGTTCGGGATTTGTTGAATCCAAAAACACTCAAATTAAAGGGTGGATTGAAAGTTCGAGAAAATCCAACTCGAGGATTTTACGGTTGAGTATAAATTACTTCAATTTAACTTCAGCATATATCTATAATACTTTACCACGTTGAATTGATATACAAGCAAATTCATTAGGATTGTTGCCTTTTATATTTTATGTACCACGACTGGGTTCTTTCCCACTCTCATAAATTGACTCGTATAATTAGATATATATTGGTATTACTTTATTTAAAAAAATATTCTCAATTTAGTTGAAGGTTTGGAAACGGTAGCGGTTGCAAGCTATGAGAATATAGAATCAAGAATGTCAGAAGGTACAAAGAATAGAACTGTTGCGGCGACTAACATGAATGCGACCAGCAGGTTAGATATTACTAAATAATGTTCCCGTAAATATATTTGCATATTTATTCTATTATAAAAATATTATCAATTTACCTGCTATTTTGTTTATGGTTCAATACGCCATTCCAAGTGAAAAAAAAATATATATAAATGTATTCTTATGTTTATTCATACAGTCGAGCTCACACTATTGTTGGGATTACATTTGTACAGAAGACTAAAAATGATTCAGGTGAAGAGATGTCAAAGACGTCCGTCATTAATCTGGTGGATCTTGCAGGAAGGTGAGAAGCCAGTGAAATCTTGACATGGCGATGGCTGACTCGCAAATCGTTAGAAACACTCCAACCGCTTCTTGGGTCTTGAGCGGAGTCAAGACTTCCATCTCGTGAAAAGATGTATCGAGTGACTGATCACCGGATGCGCACTCTCTCCTCTCCCCACGCCATATGTTTCAAGGGCCTAATTCAGGTTTCTAATTGAAAAAGAATAAATGCTGAGCATGCATATACACCCATTTCGAAATATTTTTGTGTTGGGGTCTTATCATGCAGAAAAGCAAAAAAAAAGATGGCTCTAAACTCGATAACTATATTACTGGTTTCCCCCCAAATACCATATTGTTAATTTTGTCGTTACAGTGAACGTGCACGCAGTACTGGAGCAACCGGGGAGCGCTTGAAAGAAGGAGCAATGATTAATCAGTCATTATCTTCGCTGGGAAATGTTATTTCAGGTAAGAAGGCCTTGGCGGATCGTGTTTGTCGACAAATATGCTTGTTATAATGTATCGGTTCAGTATTGATATACGATATCGGTGTTGAGTACTCAAGGTAATCGCGGCGTGGAGTTGTCATTCCCAGTTGCTAAGGCCTACAGCTTCTTTCATCCTTCTCGACTACCTTTGTTCACCTTACATGCTTGAAAACTTGAACATTTGATATTAGTGATACAATAGTGCTTTTGTAAGCTTTATGAGTACTATGCTTTACTCTACAATCTACAAAAACACATACAATTATCACCTTTTCAGCTCTTGCTGACAGATCTGGCGGAAAGAAGGTCCGCGTTCCTTACCGTGACTCGGCATTGACGAAGCTCTTGAAGAATGCTTTGGGCGGTAACTCCAAAACAGTGATGGTCGCTGCCATCAGCCCAGCTGACATCAATTATGATGAAACTCTATCAACGCTGAGGTATCTGTAATATTTCATAATTTTTAATCATTATCAAATGAACAATAAATAAATATACCATAACCTGTTACTGGTGACCGTACATTTGAACCCACGTACATTTGAAAGCATACATTTGTAACCGTATATCAGCGGGTTCAATCTATATGAGGGTGCTAAAATCCATGGGTTAGGGACCCTAACTTAGGGTTAGTATGGGTTCAAATATCCGTACAATAAAAAAATTCTATAGGTGCAATAGTATGCAGGTGCAATTGTCGTGGGTTCAAATTACGGGTTCAAATGTACGTGGGTTCAAATGTAATGGAACCCCTGTTACTACGTCTAACAATGGCAGTTCAATTATGCTGGTTCGACTGCTGACGGGGTTAAAATTACTACAATAAACTTAGCCGGCTGATGTAAAAATCGTTATGTTACGTTATCAAATTTTAAACGTGATTCCCCAGTGGTTATAGCTTAAGGAATAACCACGTTGATCGCAAGTTGAAATCTACGGTCTCAATCGCATGCCCACCGCCTCACCCGAGCGTGATAAATTAGGCAGGCAATGCCGAACAGAGCGAGTCCGGCCCATTCAAAATGTTATAGCTCCTTACAGTGACAGGTTCCGTTCAAAAAATTTTGGATCCGTACATTTGAGTGACTGTTTGTGCTTTGTTCGTAGCGAAAGGTGTGAAAACGTCATATGAAAAGTTTAAATATCGTTTGCTAGGTATGCAGATCGCGCAAAACAAATCAAAACAGTTGCGAAAGTGAACGAAGATCCAACAGCTAAACTCATTCGAGAGTTGCAGGAAGAAAACAAAAAGCTGAAAGAGTTGATTGAAAAGGTATGTGGTATATAACAATCGATCCCGGGTTTTTAGCGGTAGCGGTACTTTTGCGTTATATCCTTATGTAATGACATCGAATTTAAAGCCCGATGTAGGTAATATTCGATGTTATGATATTTTCGGAGTTATGATATAAGTTAGAGAACTTTAGGAAAATTGTCAAGTTAAGATTTGAAAGTACAATTTACAAAATTTCGTTCAACTTGATTATGTAATTGTACCTGGAGTGAATGTTTCATCATTCAAATCATACAATTCAGAGCTAAGGCTTGCCTTATTTTTAGTCGTAAATGTTGAAAATTCCTCAAACAAACTTGCAAAGTATCCATGTATTACCTAAACAGCAAAAAATATATATTCTTGAGCCATAAATGTTACGTTACACGACTGCTCAAATTTCAGTATAAAATTTACAGTATATATATATCCTTACTAAGTCCGATTTTTCGCCTGCTTGAAAAAAATCGGACATTCTGAGGCCGCTGATTCACTTACTTTTATATACGAACCTGTATCAGCGTTGATGTGTCGCTGCTTGAAGACCACTTTAGGTACCTCGTGACTCCGGCCACACAATCAAAATAATGGCGCTCCCGAAGTATGTGCACCAGGGTGACGCACAACCTGAAGATAGTATGTGTACCAGGTTAGGGTATCAGGTTGTGCGCCATCTTGGTGCGCATACTTCTGGGGCGCCAAATATCCAGGCTTGTCCATGGAAAACGTCCCATGGGATGGGACAGCACACGTTTGTATTTCCCACGGGACACGAAAACCGTATGATTTTTGGGGAAATGATGGTAAAACATTTCGGTATGGACTTCGTGTCTATATATATGAGCATAGCTCTCTTGTTAGTTATAAAGAGCAAAATATATTCAGCATTAACAATATACTTCGTGAAGGGGCTGATGGACACATGTATATTAGTTATGAATATAAAGTTAACAAAGTCCGTCAATTTTGTTGTGTTGCATGTCTCTTCGTACATGTAGCCTTATTTAGTAGACCCTAAACCTAAATTTAACAATTTTTATTGAATTTTTTTCCAATGGGAATCCCATGAGATGGGATGGGATGGGACAGGCATGATCGCTATGGGATGGGAATGGGACAGAAAAATATGTCCCATGGACAAGCCTGCAAATACCTAATTAGTATTTATTAGTTGTATCGGGTAAGGTTTCTAAACACTTGTTTGTCTAATAACAAATGAGCGATTTGACTGACTGACTGACCGTTCTCTCATTGGGAATGAATATGAAATTTCTATTCCGTGATATTTATTTTAGGGTGGAGCTGCTGCAGTTGCCGCTACCGTTGATGGTGATTCCGAAGAATTGACTGAAGCCGAGAAAGAACAAATTAAACGTGAATATGAAGAACTTATGCAAGCTGCAATGTCAGAAAACGAAAGAAAAATGAAAGATATGGAACAATCTTGGCAAGAAAAATTGGAACTGGCAGCGAAAGAGGTATTGCGTAAACTTGGCTATACAGTATAAGTATACGAATGGTATTATTATGAAAACGCAATAAACCTTGAGAATAAATTTCAATGTAAGTTGGAAGACATTTTTAAAGTTTCCAAATTATCGTTCAGCATGATTCAACTGCTCGGAAAGAATTAGAAGCAAAGATGGAGACTACGCCTCATATTTATAATCTGAATGCCGATCCACAAATGTGTAAAGTGCTTGTTCACATCTTGGAGAAAGGACAAGAATACATGATAGGAAAACCTGCTGATAATACCAAGATTCCCTTGCAAGGAGCTGGGTGAGGAAATAATAAAATGACGCGATTTGTTTGCATTTAGCGTAGTTGTTACACCAAATCATTATAAACCTGTAAACAACATTATTAACTTTTGCGTATAATAAAAGCTTGGTTCTTATTTACACAGTATCATGGATCAACATGCGATAATTCGAGGTGATGGTGGAAACATATTTCTTAAAATTATCGATCCTGAAGCAAAAGTCAGATTCAATGGAGAGTTATTATTGGAAGGAGATGAAATGCAACTCAGACAAAATGACAGGTCTGTATTTTCGAAAACAAGAGAACAATGATTCAACATATCGACATGAAGTTCCAATGACTAACCGCACTACTGACAGCCTTAACTCCCAACGCTGTATTGTATAAACTTATAAAAACTCGTTCTATAATTTAATATAAGAAATAACCATGTGGTACTGATCTTCCATTTCGATTCGAAATTATATTTAACAACATTACTATAAGAGGTCAGTCATGTGATAAAGTAACTCCACAACTGTAACTATGTACGTTCGATGAAGTTAAATTTTTTACAGAAACATTGTGAAAAAATTATTTCAGAATCTTGTTTGGAACATCCCACTTATATGTCTACTGTGATCCCGTCCAATACAAAGCAGCTCCTCAAAACTATCCAGAAGTTTCATACGAGATGGCACAAGATGAAATATCAGCATGTATTGGACTGAGTTCAGCAGCTGAGAAATCAAAAGGTGATATTCGCACAATGTTGGGGAGCTTCGAGTCATTGACTTTTCCTGAGTTGGAATCGATTTACCATTTATAAATAACTCAATGTGACTCGAGTCATCGAAATAGAATGACTCGGACTTCTACTCAACTATTCGCCAGAGAGACCCGATCTATATGACTGTACTTCGGACTCGACTCGGAAGTCTCGTGTCTGGACCCGACTTGACTCGAGAGATGATAGCCAATTTTATATAAATACTAGAAGTTAAATTTTTGCGACTCATTTTTACTGGAATATATTTTTACTTTACTTTGACAATTTACCTTCTAATCATCGATCCTAGTTTGATTTTTGAAAAAGTTTTGTCGGATGAAATTTAAGAAATTGAATTCATTTTTTTTTTAATTTCTTCAACACATTTTCGAATGATTCGAAATTAATTTATACTTATGTCATTGAAACCCCAATGTCGTTATCAATGATTAGATTCATTAATGAATCTAAATTCTGTATTATATTTTCCCCAAAGCTGAGGCAGAAATTCGTGAACAGTTGGCTGAACTTCGACCTGCTGTCGACGAGGCGAATTCAATCAGTGAAGAACTTGATCAGAAAGTTAAATTTGATGTTCTCGTTGTTCCACCTCATTATAGAGGTATCGATACTGGAATGACTGAGGTAAACTATATGATGGGTTTACAAATTTAGCACTTTATGCCTTAACTTGGTATACATGTATTACAATAGTTTGTTATTATAGGATTTCTTTCTTTTTGCCCTCCGAGCAAACACATACAAGAATACTTTCCTGACTTTTCATGCAATTTTTAAAGAAACTCTGGTTTAAACTCTGGTTTATTCTTGGGTGCTGAATGGATATAGAGTTCAGATCCACGATTTCCAAACGGCGATGTTAGTATATAGTAAAAAGTAGCAATATTAATGTTACACACTTTTTTGGAAATAATTATTTCAAATTTCAAGTAATGTAATATATTTATATCCTGTAAGGTAATTTAATAGTATCTGCTGTTCAGACTTTTTCTGCCCTGTCAATACAGCTTGAAGTGACCACCTTTTGTTTCTCAGATTATGGTAAGAATGAAACACTTGGAAAATGGAATGTCTTGGGTTTGGAGCAGAGAAAAATTTATCAACAGAAAATATATTATGCAAGAAATGTATGAAGAACATGAAGAAGGTCAAGCCACAGCGCATGTATGTGACTCCTATACATCGAACTTATTGCAGTATACTTTAGTTAAGCATGTGTTGCGTTCAAGCCATTCAACAAATTCTAAAGCTAGATAATGTATCGACCCAAGGGATGGATGCTATTCATCTGAATACTGACCAGAACAATTTACCGGAAATACCGATAGACCGATGATAATATCCAATGCACCACTACTGCAAAAATTGCTATCATAGTTTTACCGTGTAGCATGATTCTATGTGTACTCGCTGGCGTACCGAAACCGTCATAACGTCTTTCAAAATAATGACGTCATCGTGGGATTTGTCCGTTGTGTAAAATACAAAATATGTTTCGTATTATGACGTCATAGATTTTTAATTTTCGAATACTCCCCCCTCAAGGAAATCATGTAGTGTGATTTAGGCAGTATGGGCATTAACATATATATATATTTCTGATTATTTCTTTGCTCCAGGAAGAAAATCCCTTCACAGAAGATGCAAACACAGATATATTGATTGGATCAGCTGCTGTGTCTCCGCAGTGTCTTGCATATATGATAGACATGTCTCAACAATTTCCTCTACTCGGTTACGCAGGAGATAGTGTTGGCGTCATCAATGTAGGTTCGCCGTAATAATTCCTGATGTTCACCATTTTTGCTTACAGAAATTGGACCTTCTGAAGTATGCGCACCAAGATGGCGCACAACCTGAACTCAGGTTGTGTACTAGGTCAGGGTTCAGGTTATGCGACATCTTGGTGCGCATACTTCAGGAGTACCCAGAAATTTTCTTCTTAGACGATAGATCGGGACTTTGCTTCAAGTAATCCTGAATAAATACTTACCACCTAGTCGAATTCCCTATTTGAAGTGTTCAATTAACGGTACAGAACGAAAAATGTTGATAATGTTATTTGCTGATGAACTATTGTTAAAATAGAATTGATGGTATATTCTCAATTGAAGAAGGGCATGTTCCTTTCAGGGAAGCCTGGTTCCATGTGACTCAAAAGGTAAGGAAATCACGGATGATGATAATGCAGAATTTATTGATGACCCGAAAGAATTAATCGGAAGAAAATACAAAGTAAAAGTTAAGATTGATAATGCTCGCGGATTGCCAAAACGTTTCAAGGTTTGTTATTAAATGTGACATCGAATATGTTTTTATTTCGTAAATTGAACAATTATGATAATTTTCAAAATATATGTAAGCCTTATTCGATAACGAAATGTTGTACTCTAGTCATTGGTTTATATAGAGGGTGACTAAAAACGGAACCCAAGTCAATTGGGATTTATCCAAAAGAAACATAACTTTTGTGCAAAGCATCTCATATTATTGAGTCTTTTAGATACAATTTTACACAAACAGAGGTTCAAGTTATAAATTCATACACGTTTCTTCATATACGTAGAAGTAAGAAATTCATGGGTTCTGCTTTTTTGGTCCTTTTATATAAGTTATTTCCACTTGGCGTAAGGTGGTAAAATATATGGCAATTCATCTGTAATTAACCCATCTATTTCTCTTTTGTTTACGTGTTTAGGATGTTTACGTGAAATACGATATGTTCCTGGAGACAGATAACAAAACAAAAGTTATTAATGGGACGGCAAACCCGGATTTTAATTACTCTGGCACCCATCAGTTCAATCCAGCTACTTCCGAACTTGTTAACTGGTTGAAAACCGGAAACCTTATTCGTAAGATTTGATTTTTAAACACAGTAGCATATGACTGAGATCATCGATTCTCATGGCATTTATATTTACCCACTTTATGTAACGTGGATAGCTTGCTTGGATAGTATTTCTATCTATATCCTTTTGCAATTCTAATTAAAGAGATTACATTGAAACTCTCAGAGTAGTCTGAACTGTTACTTTTAGTTGTCAATCAAATTTGCATGGATTGTTGTTCCGTAAACTTTTCCACCCCCTATGGCGTACATGAAATAGCACAAGATTTGAAACTTGTCATTGGTTTCAATGTGCAAAAAAGTTAGCTCGTAGCCTTTGCAAATGTTAACGTAACCGTACTTGGCACCCTCATCTTGTTTTAGCAACATGCAGAGGCTAATTTGTACTATTAGCATGTTGCCAATGTGACTATGTGCACATCGAAAACTAGAATAAATTCTTTCAGTTACCTTCTATGAGTCAAATTATCATTGACTCGCATCTATTAAATGAAAATAAAATTGAGAGTTTCTCGACTGGAATCAGTGGGACTATGTTGCTTTACTTATCACAGTTCAAGTTCGTGGCAAACAACAACCCGAGGTAACTGGAAATCGTCGAAAGATGACAACAAAACAATTGAGTAAAACTTCATCGCTGGTTCAAGCAGCTTCTCAAATACAGCAAAATCAAAGCGCCTGGAAGGTATACTATGGTGTCATGAGTTTGAGTTTTTATTATTTATGCTTAGGCTACTATATACCAGTGTTGCGAGGATCGAAACATTGACTCGACTCGAGTTGGAATTGAGTCACCATTTACCAAAATGTGAATCTAGACATCTAAATGAAACAGACTTACTCATCACCGACTAACCGCTAGGAAAACTTAACTCACTATTTGACTCGTCTTCCGTTGACTTTGACGCTCGTTTGGCCCGTGACATGACTTGAATTGCAATTCGGAGTGTATACTACACTATATACTACATTTGTATCTATCTTATCTTGGGGTTCCTTGGACTCAAATATAATACACTCAAATGATTACACAGAATCTAAAATAACTGTATTTTGATTTTAGACGGTAACCATTGACAAACTCGCCAAAGGAGTGCTCGAGAGAAGATGCGATACATTGGAACGAAAACTTGTGAGTAGAAAGACGTCGACACAATACCAGGAGTCTGATTGCATTCCAAATGAAAATTATTCGAACAATCAATATAATATTTATTTAAAAATTAATTATTGAAAGAATGACATTGATGATGATTATACAAACAATATTGTCCTTAAAATGTTGCATGCGCACTGAGATCCTGAGCTAGCCAAAATATTAATGTGGTTTAAGAGTCTGTTGGTATAGTCACTGGATGAAGTATCGATTATTTGTTTCGATTAGAGTCTTATTTGTATTTATTATTATATAAATATCGTTTGTAAGGGAGGTCGGGGTTACTGGCAAATGTACCAATGTTTCGTTCGAATAAGTGTACATAAAGCAAACTTGTCCATGTGTGGAGCATATTCATCGCGGGTATGATTGATTAATCTATATTATTTGAAGATAGTAATTGTAGAATATCCCCCCCCCCCTCCCATCACCCAGTTTAACGGCATAAATGCGATGACTAGTATTGGCTACAGTTCAGCACACCATACATATCTCTTTTATGAATCATCCCTGAAATGCTTACGTTGTAGCTGAGCAACTAACTATTCGTGGATGCCCATCCACGATTGTTATATTGTATTGAAAATTGATTGGGAGTTTGATCTGAATTCACATGTTATACCAAAATTATAGCATCAACTTCGTTTGCTGGTTAACAAGGCGGAAGAACAAAAAATCGTCAACATTCGAGTAACAGATCTCAAGAAGGTGCTTGCGATTCAACAACCAGAAGCAATTGATACAATGATCAGGTACGTTTCATGTGTGATTTGAATATGCGTTTGCTATTGGATACCTGAATCATGCAGTCAGTATATAATATTAGCTATGAGCTCTAGGTTCTGCTTGATAAGGCAAACCACATAATTTATTTACGAGTTTCGATCCTCTTTTACATGAACTTTCTGTCTGGCATGTTCGGGAGTAGCTGCTCTAGTGTTTCACAACACACTGTCCGTATCGTTGCTATGAATGGATTGTGGAACCATGATAGCTAAACACACATGGGTATTCACGCGTAGACAAAGTGGTATTTTAGGTTAAGGTACTAAAATCTTGCTTTGTTTCTCAGAAAACTAGCGAAAGAACAGGCAAAGGGAGGCGATAATCCACAGTCTAAGGCATGTCATCTTATGTGAGAAGGAAATTCTAATGTTAGATTTAGTTTGAGCTTACTCTTGAATCCTTTTTGCACTAATTTTGTTTATATAAGCGAACTTCAATTTTGTTATTCACTGTACTGTGTTGCACTGTTAACATGACGGCTTGAGCATTTGCGCGATCACTGTATTGCATTCGAATAATTACATATACACATATCAGCTTTAAGTACAAAAGAATTTTTTAAAGCGAATTTGGTATTTGATGCGATGCTGGTAATTTGTACCATTCGTCGTGCCTGACTAGTTAACCTGATTCTTGAAAAAACTCAGTAATCTTAATAATCAAAACTTTTTCTATTAACCTCATTTTACTTGTTTGTGTGAGATAAATAATATTTTTGTGAAATAAATCAGAGAAAGCTGAAGAGCTCCTTGTCAAATGCAATTTAAATTCATATGAGCAGTTCAAATTGTCTGAAGATTTATGCAGAGTATAACTCATGGTCATATTAAGTTGATATCGTGCTATATGTATAGCCTGTCATATCATCAGAAGTTAAACACTATTCTAACTACATGTACCCTGTTGAACAAACAAAAGTGCCTGCTCCGTCATTTGTGGGGTTTTAAGATATTGTATGTTTAAAAAGTGATAATTTTTGAGTCACAGTTATTGGGTCGACATTATACATTCCTTTGTGGGAACAAGCCATTATCTTTAACCCAATAAAATTCAATCCAGCTGACGTAATAATGTAAATTAAATCCATGTTTGAGAATTTTACATATAATATGATGTTAGTGATATTTAACACGAAAAAGTTGGAAACTGATGGATCAGTTCAACTAATTTCCTAATTAGGAAACCTCACCAGTCATTGACTCGAACTCGTCATTAACTGGCCGCCAGTGAGACTTTACTCAGAAAATGATTCGACTAGAGACTGTGCTGTTATATTATTACTTCATTCATTTTTCGAGGTGTAAGGATCCGGCAGTATACGCAAACATATGGTAATCTCAAACGATAAATTTTCTATTTATATATATACATGTGAGTGAGAGCTAATTTTACAGCATGTGAAAGTTTGGAACACATGAGCAGGCTCACATAATTTGAGGCAAATAAAAATATTTTGATAGACAAGCCTTTGGCAATAGTATCAAACAACGTTTTCGGCGTCTACTTTAGTAGAAATAACACTGAAAATATAAAAATCAATTCTTTAAATTTTCAAGAATCTATACGAAATCGCATCCTTAAAAATGAAATAAATAAATAGTGCACTAAAGGGAAGAAATTCAATTGAAATCACATTTGAACTAACTTTTAAATATTTCAGAATAAAAGGTTATATACAACATTTCGTTAGCATTCTTAAACCTTTTATATAATCATAATCAGAATAAAACGAGCATACGAATTATTTCATTTATATAAAAATAAACCGGTATGTACGTTCGTTAAAATATTAACACTATAATATAGCCATTAATATCTTAAAATGTTAATATTGCAGTAGTGGGAATAAATTAAGGAATATATATAATATATATATTTGGAGAGCGACGCAAAAAATACAATATAAAATTAGCTTTATTTTATTCAGGTCAAATTGTGGAAGAAAATATTGCTGAAATTAACAGTTCGAGGAAAGGGGTGTAACTGCAGTATAGGCCTATGCCCGAACATCTCGGTCTACCTCAAAAATGCATACTTGTAGTTACCATTGATTTATATCCCTACAACCCAGTATAGAAAGTCGATAATACGGTATAATATATGGCGCACCACGACCTCTCGCCCAGTTAGCAAACTGAGTATAAAAACAGATATATATGCATTTGCGGGAAAATCAAAATATACTTAGATATACTTATGCATCGAAATGTACACTGATCAAATTTGGTGTTTGATGTAATCGATCACAGATAACAACAATATTATCTGGTATTTGTATCGACAAAAAATGAATTTCTCCAACATTTCATCTCTGGAGAATGAGGAACTCATTGATAATACAAGGATATATATAATTCATCTTGGTATATCTCAAAGGTTGCGTTTCTAATACTCTTCGTTAGTTTTGCATAGCGCTGGCGAAGTATGAGACATTGTTTTCCAGCTTATCCCTTTAGTCTCTTCTATATGCCTGGCGATAGATCATAATGGTGAAATGTCCTTCGAAGGAATGTATATTTCTTTTACCCCTACGCGACAGTATAAAGAATTTTCTTTTTTCATTGGCCATTCTGGGTTGAACAAAACAACCTGAAATATAAAAATAATTTCAACAACAGATATATAATAATAATAGGTACAATCCAGCAGATTCAACGCGCTGGCATTTAATACTGCTATTTTGCTTTTCAAAATTTTTTGTCATCAAAGTGATATATCAGATATTTGAAATACATCGTTATATCTATAGTAGTATATATTTACGGTTATATATTCACTTTGATATATACGTATGCACAGCCATATTTCACAAGGCGTTCGTAAGCTTATTAGCGTAAACCGTTGGCGTAAAGCCGTAAACCGTAGTCTGTCCCACAGCGAAAACCAGGGAAATCCCCCGGGCCTAAGGGCGCCGCGATTTTATGGGCTCAGTGATAGTAAGGTCGTACCGTAGTTGGTCGGAGTTTACATTATCTTTGGGGTAGAATTAGCGGAATTTTGCAGTGAACATTTGGTTTTAGTTTCACGGAGAAATGGTGTATACAGTAATGGATTCCTAATGGATAGGATACCTTTGTATTGCTCAAATTCCGCTTTTTACAGCCAGAACTATCAGTCTTCATATTTTTGGGTTGAATCAAGTTAGAGTTAGAATTTTATTGAAAATAAAATGATCATGATGTTCTGGATCTAGACTGTTCAAAAAAAACTTTGTGTGGGAATATAACAAAACGCTGAAATGATTTTTTGCTGTTGTGAAAAACAACTGGATTGGAAAATTTACTTTTATCTCTGTATCTTTCAGTCTTCTGATCATATCATTTTTTGTCTGTTCAAGCATTGTCTTTTTAGTTTCGTAGTTTGAGAGTTAAATCATTGGTCGAAAATTGACAGATTTTGATATTGGCAACCTACCACTGGAAGTTGAAATTATCAAAAGTGGCAGAATTGAGCAGCTTCTTTCACCTTACTGCCTTATTTTCATATCAATAATTCTTACTATCAGACATCCATGATATATCAACAGGACTGTAGGCTAGTATACAGGTGGTGTAATTGAACTAGAACAAATGTGTAACAATAAACATCATAATGGAGCATAAAGAATGTTCAGGTGATGGTGCGTGTGACAAAAAGAAAAATAACTCCAAAAATGATACCAAGCAAATGGATGTCCCAGAAACCAAGATTTCAACCGTTTGGAATCAGAAGGATGAAAGAAAGAAAAACAAAAAACTGAATAAGTATGTTGACTGAGTATATTATGTTTGGAACCTTTTTTCTCATTTCATAAATTGTGAAAATCTGGATGATGATGATTTTTATATTTTGTACAATTCTTGTATATAGGATAGGATTTACATGTTTGTCCCGGGGGAGAGGAAAGCCGATAAGACGACTTAATCATATGACGAACCACGGCCTCTCGTCCGATTACCGGTCCAGGTCGGGTATGGGATTAGATAGCCAGGTATTTATTTTTTTCGGAAGCATCGACTTGATAGTGGAGAGAGCCGTAAACGACCAGCGGTTATGTGAACCACCCAACGGCGGCGAGGAGTCCAGCAATTCTCTCACACATGATCATCCCCGCACGGGATTCGAACCTGGGATCCCACGAAGGGTAGTCAGATTTGCTGTGGTGAGCGTATTCTTAACGCTTAGCACGATGCGCCACACTGCTGACCAATATTTCATGTAAGTTGTAAAAACAAAGTCTTTAACCCTTACAACCTCAGCCAAATTTATAATACGTTATGGATCTTTAAGATTACATTTTCGCATTCTAATATTTATCATTTTTTTTAAGTTCTTGGGAAAAAGATTCATCAAACACTCTTCAGCCAGATGGACAAAAGTTATTAAATGGAAATATTCACAATGATTTTGGTGGTAAGTGGTGGTAATGATTTTTAGGTATATTTTGTGTTTAATCTGACCAATTAAACTTGAAATAATTATTATACCCTGAAACTATTCCGTGCGTAACTTTGAAAATTGAACTCCAGTTTTTAAATTCAATTCAATTATGAAGAAAGTTTTTACATCACATAATTTACTGTCTATGTGAATTTATGAGTATTTCTTCATGACGAATTTTGCAAGATCACGTCATAAGCAATATTATGTCCTATTATGGAATATACCGTAGTTTGGTATGAATTTTTGAGTAATTTGAAATATTTTCTTTTTAGATATGTCAAGAGCAACAGCAAGAAATTCATCTTTTAAAGACTTTCCAAAAAGGATTTTAATCAACAAAATAATCAATTCAGGTTATTTTTACACTGGTGAGGGAGACACGACAATATGTTACAAGTAAGATAATCATTACCATTAAGAGTACTTATAATAATAATAATAATATTGAAATAATGCAATTTTTCATTTTTTTGTTGTTTACCCGTTTGCCACACTATCTTAGTTTTTCAATAGTTAATAAACACAGACGTTTCTAGTGATCAAATTTTGAATCCTAAGGTTGTTTATTTTTTACTTATGAGCACAATGAACAAGTTGAAAAAATTGAACAAATCAGAACACTAGAAGAAATCGTTTTTGTGCATTTGTTTTTTGGTGTAATGTAATTCAAAGGTATTATTAATATAATATATATAATGTTGAAGTTTTTGATTTAGGTGTCGTGCTGTTGTTTATGATTGGAATGATAAAGATAATCCAGCAACATTTCATGAACCAGATTGTGAGTTCCATTCACATAGGATGGAAACTTCAGCAGAAAAACAAATCTATGATGATAAAGGTATGAACATTGAAACTGTCATTGAAAATTAGAATAAATACAGAAAATATATTTATTATGAAATGAAGTCAAACTTGATAGGTAAGTGAGTACTTTTTAGTCTCTTATAATAGGTTGAGGTATACTTGGTTTAATAAGACATGTTGTAGTTTTTTATGATTTGAGTCATTAAGTGTATTTTCGAGTCAATCCTGAATAAATTACTTTCAGATTCCATTTCATCAATGGAAGGAACGTCTACCTTATCTATTCTTGATGCCCCTATCACTGAGCCCAGCATCGTTGTGAGTACTTTTTTATATATATTTTATGGTAAATTGCTCATTCTATGATATTCAAAAAAATTTGTTGCTTTTCCTTATGTTTTGTACACACAAAAATGAATAAAATATTATAGGAAGATATCTAAGTTATTGACTGCTCAAATTCTTGGAAGATTTTGAACATCTTAAGATTAGTTACATATTATTGATGTTTGAAATTTAATTTAAAAAAAATAAGTATATTTTTTTGTTTATGAAGGCACCACTTCCGCCAGTTGTAATAAAACCTACTGTTGCAGGTAAATATTTGATTGGAAGTTATTTATATAGTTTATACCAGTAACTGTGAGATGAGAAAAATTTACAATTTAATTTTTGACTCTGACTCCAGATTCGAACTCCGAAAACTCCAAATATTGATATTAAAAACATCTGCCTGTGCAAGCGTTATTTGCATATCTGTTGAAAATACTCTGTCAGCCCAATGCTCTTGGGGTTTCTATCTTAAACTTTGACTTTTGACTTTTGAATCACCTTGAGGTCATATGGTCAAGTTTGCCTACTAGTTTGATTGTGATTATGTATTGATTTTCATGAGGTGTCAAATAAGACTGTTTATTGTGTATTAAAATGTCGTCCGATATAAAAACTAATCTTTGATATTCTATCATAGCAACAAATAACATGTTCACTGGTCGGGAATTTCCACATAGCATATCACCAGTGAGTATGAATTTTATTATTACCAAATTTCTTTTTATAATCATTTCTCTTATAATCCAAATAGTATTCTGAACAATGGTGGATAACCCTGGTCTTTTATAGTTAACATATATTTTGCAGCCAACTTTTATTTGCTTGTTATCACCATTCACTAGATTAAGGGATCTTTCTTCGACCCTTGACCACAGAATATTCAAATTGGTATGTCACATTATCTAATGTTACGGAAATAAACAAGGAAGTCGATTCTCTCGGAAACACCCTTGGGTTTGTTGCAATGGTTCATTTTTATCGTTGTGACACAGTGTTGTGTATATTATTTCATACAATGAAATTTTAAATTGAAACCATATTTGGATGAAAAGCAATTGAAATGTTAGATTCAGGTTGACCATAATTGTTAAATGTTTTGTTTTCTAGTGAATCAAAGTTTCTTTGAAATGGAAGTCTTAGCTTACGAGACGAAACGTCTTGACATAAAATGCACTTTCCAAGTGTCCACAATCCAACTTACTTGATAATTCTTTGAGTTCATGGAAATTACTTTTCTCACTCAAAAGTTTTCTATTTAATGTTAAGTACCTGATCCCATACGATCAAGGCGTAACCGTTTCTTTTAATATTATATACGCAGCCTCACATTCTTCGGCAAACTTCACTTCCTGATCATCAACAATATAGTTCTCTTCCAGTGTTTAGTAAGTATTCCAATTTAGGTATTATTCAATGTTTTTGTAGCTGAGTTAATATGACTGTAAGATTTTCTATGCCTTCTCTTTAAATTTTGAATAAATTAATATTTAATTGATTAAAAAATCAAGATGTTTCCTAATTTTTATAAATAATTTCACTTACTAGCACAGCTGGCTAGAAAAATAATTGATATTTTTAATCTTATCTATCAGTATGTTATTATGAATAGTTTATTTGATAAATATATATTTCATATAAACTCTTTATATTCATTAACATTTTTATTATCATTTCAATTAATTTTAAACTCACTCACTCACAGCAAGATTATCACTGTAATGCCTTTACATCACAAGAGTGACCATTAGGACAAAAAAGTGATTATGAAATAAAAATAAATATTGCATATGATACTAATTACATTTGTTTGAAATATTTATCAGAAATACAGTTTGAATCAATTACTTTCATAGAGAAACCTTAAATTTATTAGGAAAATAATGGAATTTAAGATAATAATTTTTTACACTGCACAGATACCACATTTGAAAATCAAGACAACACAAAGTCCATTGAAACAAGAGTGACAAGTATGCCTATTCCCCAAAAGAAATTTGTAAGTACATATTGATATATTGATATATAAATACAGAACTCTAAATATCGGCAGTACTATATTACAATGTATGCATATTCCGGCTTAATGCATAAAACTGACACATATCCTTTTCATAATCATTAACTTAATCATTAACTAACATTCTATAATATACTGTTACTTAATATATATATGGAATAATATATATAGTGGTTAGAGCAGTGCTTCCAACTTTTATTGAAATTTTTTCAAAAAATTACTGATATGCCCAGTAGCCTAAGCTTACCAACAATTACTAAAACGAGAATATCGGTCGGAGACCGAAGACTTATCGATCTTAGATCGGTAATTAGTTAATAACCTGCTAATTATATAGGCTAGGCCAAAATCTATAGGCTTCTGGTCCGAGGTAAGATGCATGCACATGCAAAATTTGCAGCAGATTCAACCACGCGTTCGCGAGATATCGCGTTCATCTAGCAGACAAACATACGAACAGACAGACACACAAACAGACAAATACCTATCAACATACTTACCGATCTTAAGATCGATAAGTAATTATTAATGTGACACAACTTGTGCAATTACAGGGAAAGGTTGGAAAAAGTGTCAGATAAATATTGTATCCTACAGATTAGAAAATATATATGTCTATAATATATCGGTTTGGAAATGTCTGAAACTCATTTCGATCGTGCATAATCTAATTTATTTATTGTACATGTATAGTATAACTATCCTTGCCAAATTTTACTTTCTACTTGGAACATATATTTTCTACAGGTTAAAAAAACACATAAAACTTATTTAGCTCTGTCTGGAATCATAGAGGATGAGCACGAAACTTTGTTGAGAAATTTAAATTTACGTTCAGAAGAAGAAAGAAGGTAATATAGCCAATTCAATAATTATATGAATTACTTCTTATTATATTAATTACTTACTTATATGAATGAACTTTTTTTCGCTTTTATTTTTAACCACATCTGTGAATTATCTTCTTATTTTGGTTAACACATTTAGTCATCGACTAAATGTCAGTGAGACTTGACTTACTGATTGACTAGACTAGACTTAGAGACTCTGATGTCCTGCGACTTGAATCAGGGTTTAGGTACCTCTACCTAACACTGGTTGACAAAAGATGTATTTTTTATGTAATAAAAAAGTTGCAATAGTCACAAATTTTAAGGATGACCAATACTGAATAAATTACCTTTCTGAATCCATTTTAATAACTATTTGTGTCATATTTAAAATATTCTAATTTGAGTCATTTTGGCTTGACTGTCAATTAACATATAATAATTATTCTTTAAGATTTCTTTTAATATTAGATTCTCACAAAGAGAATATTGTGCAGTTGAGTTTAATGAATTTTTAGAGTATTCGAATATTTGATTCGTTTATTTGCAAAATAGTCTTTTGGCATAACGAATCTCAGTCAAGGGGAAATCACAAAATAAGGTAATGGTAATTCAAATTCAAGATTTTAAGAACATTATTGTATTTCCATTTTGTAAAATAAAAAATAGCTTTATAAGTTATTATACCATCATCTTGAATAATGGATCCATAAAGTTTAATACCAATTCATATTTTTATATTTGCAGAAAATCGTTTACGGTAAAAGGTTGTTGGAAACAAAATACAAATAATGTAGTTCGTCCATATGCCCTTGCTAAAGATGGATTTTTCTATCTCGGAAATTTGGACAGAACTCAATGTTTTTCTTGCAATAAAATTCTCAAAACATGGCATCGTGGTGATTGTGTAAACCAAGTTCATAGGACTTCGGTTCCATTTTGCTTGTGAGTTATTCTTATTTATTATAATAGCTTCGATACTTGATTCTTGTATGCTTTATGCTGTGTTTCTCATCTTTCCTGCGAGCAAGTCTTAGACGAATGGTCTCTTATAAGAGGAAGCGAGACAAATGGAAGCTTTGGAAATTATTCAACATTTTACTATTAAGTTTATCACAACTACAGAAAGAGCCTTGAATTTCTTAGACTGTGAATTTAAAATATAATATATTTATACTTTGACTTCATGGCCACTACGCTAACTAAAATAGTATATTATGGAATTCAAAAAAGCGTTTTCAAAACAAGAATTTGTCATTCATTTTTTACATGTTAATTTTGTCCGATATGCCCCCCCCCCTCGAGTAGATTTATCAGATGCATAGAAAATTATGTCTTTTTGTTTGATTTTCTGGTGATGAGCAATAATCTCTCATGTGTATCTATCTGACTAGAATTCTGTTGAAAATCGTTTCATAAGTCTCATTTTCAATTTGCTGAATTTCTTTTCTGTCATCTCTTGTTCTCTTCACATATTGCAACATTACAAGTTCGATAATCTAATGTCATATTCTATAATGTTTGTCTAGGATGGCTAAAGGTGAAGACGAAACAAATATCCCAATTCAACAATTTCTATCAATGGAAGAATCACTTTCATCAAATTCAAGCTTAGATCCACTTTCTGGAGGTTTTACGAGAATGCGAAATGAAGAAAGTGGGATGGAAACATCTTTAGAAATATCAAAGTCAACATTACCATCAAGACCAGAGGAGTTTTTCAATTATCCGTTTCAATTACATGGACATACACCTATGCAATCAAAAGAAACTCCAATTTCGCAAAGTCCACTAGATTTGACTGTTAATAGGAATTTTCCACAAGCAATTGACCCAGTTTTATATAATCCAGTGTCTAGTCAAGAAAATAATATTTCTATGGAAATTGAGAATAATGAAGATATACCATATCCAATACAACAAATTACAGGTGATGAAGAATTGTCACCTCAAGAAAGCCCGCCAATAGCACTGCAAACGACTTCAAATCTTCCAGAAGTAAGTCAGTCATGGCATCTTGGACAAACAACATTATATAACACAACATCAAGTTTGCCCAGTGGTAATGAAGCCGGTGAGGGGCCACACACATCTGGATCCGAAACACATCCGCTAGAAACCCATACAAATTTACTACCGGGGTCATCAACAACTGAGCAAAATTGGTCTGAAGTATTTCCATGCAGTGATCCTACGAATCCAGAAATGCGATCCGCAGTTGCACGACAGGATACATTTGATTTTCGATGGACTCAGAGGGGAATAGACAATGTTGATGAGTTGGCCAGAGCTGGATTTTATTATGATGGTAATTATTATTCATATTTTTTTTTTATATAGCGTATTTATATGTCTTCTGTTTCAAACAAGACTCTACACAAACATTCGCTTTAGTTTGGAATGAATGTTTTCGGCTTGTCATTCATTCCACTCTTTTTGAGGTGTTGAGCTCAGGATTTGAACTCTCGGTTTTTACCTGCAATGCAATCATAGTTACTGTAAGTCAAACATTTCAGCCATCAGGCTACCATAAAAGTGTAAATTTCATACCTTTCCTTACTGTTTTATGTAATCTGAACAACAAATACCTTTTTCAGGTGATGATACTAATGTTAGATGCTGGTATTGTGGAGGCGGTGTTCGGCATTGGAATAATACTGATGATCCATGGGTGGAACATGCCAGACTATACCCAAAGTTAGTGTGTTTTGGATTATTATGAATGTTTAAAGTGTTATTTATGAATAAATGCTATAAATTCAATGATAAAAAATAGTGACCTTAGATACGAAGGCATTTAGATCTAAGATATGCCAGTAGATAATGAGACTGAAATGCCTTTATGTGGGCTTTGCTTGCAATATGGGTTGATGGTGCTTTGATGGTCTTACATAATGCACATAAGGAAGAAATTAATGCTACAAATTTTGTTAATTTGTTTAAACATACTGTCAGGGCAAGTTTTTTTTATATGATGCTTACCTGTACCTCTTGCTCTGAACAAGGTCATGTGCAAACATCCACTTACATTTAGTAATGTGTAAAGAGTTTCTAAGGAAGAACCAAAATCTTTCCGGTTCAGCACTGCCTACCCAATTTATTACACCATGGGTGAGGTGGTGGATGTGGAATTCGAACCCAAGATGTGTAACCTGCGATGCCAATACAGTTAAGTAAGTCCCTTCAACCACTAGGCCGTGGCGCTCATGAAAGTTCTTGCATAGTTAATGCAGAGTTCAAGAAATTCATATTTTTGCTCGGACAAGCCGGGCAGAAGTTTCTAACTTTCACATTGTTTTCTACATCTTTGTTTAGTTGTGAATTTCTGCTGCAACAAAAAGGATTTGATTTTGTGTCCGAGGTGGCCAACAGACCACGAGCCAACGCACCACGAGCCAACACACCAGAAATTCCAACAATTCAAACTGCAAGATATGCTCAATCATCATCTTCAGAGTCGCCACAAGATTCTCCATTTTCATCGTTTGAAAGGCCATTACCTGGGTCACCATATGCCCCAGTATTTCTTGGAAACAGATTTGGGCAAAATGCTCCTCGAGTAGTTGACCCGAGAGAGGAGGAAGCAAAGCACAAGAGAATGTTGGAACAAGCACTCAATTCTCAAGCGATGTTAACAGCGTTGGATATGGGATTTGACCTGAGAACTATTAAAAGGTTTGTATCTGAAGATATAGTTTATACGTTATTGCACAATTCATTGAGCAAATTTACTGCATAATTAATCCAGAGAGAGCGTTTCATACGAACATTTGAAGATTTTACTATGGTGAACTTTCCGTTCATAATTTACACATCCTCATTATGGGCCCCTTAAACCCTGAGTCACTGCAGTCCCAAATCAAGTAATTCCACTTTCGAGTTACACGAGTTCGAGTCATAGTAAATTTCATCAACAGGGAAATGGATAAATATGAGTGAGTTGATACTAAGATGCCGTCTATCTTGCTTTAAACCAGCGGTATTCTGGAAGTCAAACCACGATTTGGTAATGTATTGACAAGGTTTTTGTCAGCATCAACTGTTTATTGCTGTAAATTCCAGTGAATTATTTGCTATTTCAAAGATTCTCTCAAACTTCTCATCAAGCTCGGGGTCAATTCTTCCTGCAGTTAAGCTTGTTTGAGTTGAGTGTTCATACTGAACTGAACTATCTCGAGTTATATCTAGACTTTGATAAAGAGTCTTACCAATGCTGCCCAGATAGCATCGGATTGGTTTCAGCGGCACTTTGTTTTGTTCTTCAGAACAATTAAACAGAAGATACAAAACACCGATAGTTCATTTGATTCAACGCAACAACTACTGGATGCCTTGTTAACTGCTCCTGCTGGTGGATCAAGTTCATCAGAGAGTGAAGATGAAGAACAAGCTCCTGTTGCAACCAGGTGATTCCCTAATGCTTTTTTCTCTCCAAATGAGACTTTAAACAAGAAACTACTGATATAAAAATTTGTGTGTTTTTGGAATCCTTTAGGATTAGCATTCTTTGCCCAACTGTTTCTGTGCATGGGGCTTAGATCATTAACCTATGACGTCAAGTCACCAACATAGTTGGGTTTAACACCCTGGTTTTAAAATGTTTTAATGGTAATTTATTATGGGATAGAGGATTCCGTCAAAATGCCTATGTATTTTCCACATTCAAAATCAGTAAAAAATTTACAGGTAATAGTAAAAAACAAATACCAAATTTTCAAAGCTCTTCAAAACCCAACAGCTACAAATACTCCCATCAGATAAGTGGAAGTGAGAACAACTACCTTTCATGCAATAAAAGTTATGTTTTACTTAATTACAGCACAAATTCAGAGACTACTCCTACTACTCCGACACCAATAACCACAGCCTCCAGCTCAATCCCAGTGAGTAAAATATCATTACATGATTTTTATCAACTTTACCTGAGTATTTGTCGACAACCTATTTCAGGATCAAGAAGTTTTGTCACAATTTGACCTGGGTGCTTTGGTTATTTTGATAACACTATTTTGATATTTTCGGAATTTATTAGGTTACGACTCCCCGATATAATAGATCCAGGTAAATATTTATTTTGCACCAAATTATGTATCAAGTTATGTTTAAAAGCTGGGTCATTCTCACCTATTAACGAGTGCAAAATGACTGAAAAAAAAAACACCAATGGTTGCACACTCGATCACAAAGAGCGGCACCACTAAAGAGATCTACCTTTGCCAAACATTTTTTATACATTTTAAAAACTACTGTTTTTAATTTCGATTTTAAAATTTTTCTTTAAATTTTTTTTAAGTCCACGAGTGGAGCTCAAGGTGGTGATCTACAGTTCCAAGACTCGTCAAAAGAAGGAGATCCTAGAAATTTGGATGAGAAGTTACGAGAGTATGAGCAAGAGAAAAGATGTAAAGTTTGTTTGGACAGAACTGCTGAAGTCGTTTTTGTTCCATGTGGGCATTTGTGTACTTGTATACCTTGTGCAAATGCTCTTAGAAACTGTCCTTTATGTAGGAAGAGAATTGTTAAATCAATGAAAATATATACTTCGTGATCACTTCACAGCAGAAGAATGGAAACATTGGCATAAGCTATTTGGTGGATGGAAAATGGGATCTTTGTGATCTGCCATAGTCTACTCTTCACTATTGTGTAGTGGTGAGATGAACAGACCAATGGAAAAATATTACCAAACTTTCATGTCAACGAAGTAACTACCATGCCATGATGAATAACTTATATTATTTGATTGAATCACTGCTGATGACTAACTTAGTTGAATGTCTGTTTTAGTTCTCTTTTTTCAATTTTGTTTGATTCTTCATTTCTAGATATTGGTCAGGATTAATATAAATTTTACAAATCTATGATGTCGTTATGCTAAATATGGCCTGGCTTTTGTGCGGAGTGGATTGTTCAATGCTGTTTAACTCTTGTATGTAAATTATTTGGATATTTTGCCACAAGTTGTGTACATGTGGATACTCTTAGACAAGCGTCCGAGTTTAGCAAGGATCTTGTTAGCATGGGAATAACTAGAATAGCTCTGTTTTATTCTGTTTGATGTTGTTGATCGTGACTATTACGACTGATATGCTGATGACAATCAGATGGTATAGATTGTTTTTTATAAAATTTAAACAAAGCACCAATTTAATGGGAAATATGCAAATAACTGCTGTAATTCAGGCACTAATATTTAGATGAAATCACAGCTGAAAAATGCTGGTGTCGGAAAAAATTGAAACTATTATTTTTCTCATTTTGTCATTCTTAATTTTCATTAATTTTTCATTTTATAATAAGAAAAACTTCTTCATTTATTCATTTTAAACCTGATTAATTGAATATGATTTATGTTTTAAGTATTTATTTCCAAGTAACCAGTTTGATTCAATTAAATTTCAAATGAAAAAATCTTGAATCGTTTCATCAAAATTGTATTCACTACAGGTTATCATCTTTAACTGTGTACAGGCCGTCGAAAATACACGAAATACTGTAGCTATTTGGATAATGTAATGCGTTATCTAAGTTCCCAAATTTGATTTATCATTCCTGAGAAACATCACACCGAAACCATAGCCGATATATCTTTACACAGGAGGCTATTCAAATAGCGATTGCGACTATATACTATATATTGAGTGAATGTAACTGTGCATCACAAAACCACATCGATTGAACCACCAAGTTAATATACATCATTTAAAAAACCTTCCTTAAAAAAACGGCCTTGATCACGAAAACAGCTCGTTGCTTGATAATTCAGCAATGCACAAAACTGTCGACTATCCAAACTTTGGAATACAGTTCTAATCTTGAAAATTCGCGCGTATTGATATTTGCGGTTCCACAATCCTTCTCCATGTTTTGTGCAATAAGTTCGTGACACCTTTGTACCAAATCTCTCGATACCGGACAGGCATTAAAGTTCAAAGGATCTTGACAGTTCAATGTTACCGAAACTCGCGAGCACAATCGCTTTTTGAAAAATGTCTTTCGCAATTTCAATATCGTGGAAGTCGGGTAGGTGATTATTAAAAATAATGCTACAAATATTTATTTAATATATATATATATAATTAGACTAACCTGATTTCTCTTTATTGTAATATCTCTTCCGGATGAATCAGTGGTATAAATTATTTTATTCGCGATATAGGGTACTTCATTTGGTCGTATTCTGCCGACAAATTTTGCAGGAAAATATCCGATTTTATTTAGGCATTCACCCTGAGTAAACAAATTAACATTGTAAGAGCCTCGGTTTGTACGTGGTACTGGCCTTATTCATTGGTTTGGACTAGAATCACATATTTCACCCTACTGACTACATTTGCTATGAGGTTGTTGTCTTAGCCGGATATATTTTGTCCAACTCGAGTTATATATATATATGTATTACGGCCTATCATAAGTTGCGTTTAAGTGTTTCACAGGTGTTTAAATAGACCATAGTTTGAATATTCTAAAATCAATTTCATTCGGGATCTGAAAATCGTTATCGTGCTTGCTGTAAACAACAGGAAATCGTGTGAACGTACCAACCACCAGGTTTCATCTTTATCTTTAATAACCCGAATTCTATCTCCGACCCTGAAATAAATCGCAAGATTGATAAGTCAACGGTGATAAAGATTTTATGCTGAATTATTGTTACACTGAAATTTTATTTGCCAAAACAGCTTATGATTTTCAGGCGATGCTGCAATCATAACATAAATTAAAACCAATATATCAATAAATTACCTTAATTGGAGGAACGCTAATATAATTGCAACGAAAATAATAGTGTTGTACCAACCCTAATTATAAGAACGATCGACGTTTTAATTTTTAATTCGTCGTGGACTGCACAAATCAATCATAATGTCTGACCGGGTGCTATTCTATAATCGATAAGACCAAAATATGTATAGTCTACTCGGCATGCCCGCAGCATCCATTGTTGATATAAATCCATTAAAAATACTCCAATGAATTGACATTTGCCTGAAGATGGACGGTCATTACGCAATTGGGCATCACATTTAATTTTCTTGTTTCAAAGCCTACTTCTTAAGTCCTTTCAAGAGAGTTAGCATTTCGTATCCTACAAATTTCATTCCACCCTAACTTTTAGCCTATAGCTATTCTAGGTCACGCTGCTCGCAACCAGAATTTGGAAGATGTTTTTTCAATATATGTGTATATACTTGCATAAAAATAAACTTTACATTTATGAGTATGAAATTTGAAACTATACCTTAGCTCTAAATCATCCTTTTCTCTTGGTTCATATTTGAAGAGGACGACGTAATTGTATCCATCCGATGTAGACTTTTCTGTTTTCTAGGAAAAAAATTATATATCATATTTTTGTTGTAATCATTTGTTTAGCCTTATTGTAACATTGGATAACCTTTGAACATATTATAACGGTCAGAAAATTGCGCAAACATTATAAAAATGAAGACTTACCCGTTTTGACGACGGTGAACCTTTTGGACTTAATTCTGAAACAAGTATAAAATACATTATTAACAAAAATAAATGACTAGTGGATTCACGTTATTAGTGTCTGACAGATCCCCTCAATGAGGTTCTTTCCTTCAAGTTATCAGGAATCCTGGCAAGTTGGATGCGTAGCTACATTCATACTGACAAGTTCAAAAATATGAACGGCGCTTTTGGAAGTCAGGAGAAATGCTTTCAATTATCCAATGGGTAGTAAACAAAGTCAGCCGTTATGGTATCGTTTGCATCACTTGGGTATTTCTGTGTGATTTTTGTCTGTATCATGTTGAATAAAATTTTTAGATTTTTAAGAGATAGATAACAGACTACTCATTCAACTGGATATTACTACCAGAAAAAAAAAATCGAAACAAACACAAAATATTCTCACACAAAAAGTGGCAACCCTGACAAGTTTGATCAGAACACGTGCATGGCAAGGTAGCTGCGATACATTAGAGTCTGTCTAGTCCTCCAATTTCCAACATGCGATCTTTTATGAAACAACTGATGGGATTTTTGGTGAGTACGATTTTATAATGTTTTTGACTAATTTGTAGATTACTGGATGATTCGAATATCTTGGGATAACGATAAGTTATAAACTGGTGCAAACAGAGTAGCCTACTGGACTACATTTGACACCACTCTGTATCAAGTTATCGACAATAAATATCGGGAAGTTGTGTACAGTATATGTAACGATACGATGAAGGTCCGCATACGTAGTTTGACAGCATGTTATTGCAGCTAAATTTTCGTGATTACTAGTCAGTAATAGCAGTAATAGTAATATCTACTATATTACGGTTTTTCATTGTATAGTTACAATACTTGCTTTTTGTCAGCCTGTTTTCAACAGGCGATTTCACTCTTGTAATCGATTCGGAACTGGTGCTCGGTCTTGGACTCAGAGAATCAGGGGTACATCTACCACTCACATCCGAACCTTAAAAAATATCATTATAAAACATTTTGAGAATAGAAAAGTAGAGCATGTGCAATTGTTTCGACAAATACCACAATTTTCAATTGTTATTGTACTAACCTTCTCCCATTCTGAGTACTTTGCCCTGCTTCAAAATTTGATATACTGAGTCCACGGAGGTATCTGAAAGACGTTAAATTAAAAACTTTACTTATAGACATGCTGATGCAAAATAGTGGCAATACAAAATGTATATTATAACAGCAAGTGAGTTAATGAATGGTTTATTAAACTAAATTCAATTACCGTCTCGGGGAAGTTCCTGGTTGACAGATGAATGTCGATTAAATCCCAAAACACCAAACTGAAATGAAGAATTATACATTTAAAAACTCTATTTTGTAGCATATGTCAAAACTATCAACGTAATATTCATTCAGTATTTCAAGAATCTTCCTGTACTCTGGCACAAAAGTAATTCTGTAACGTTAACCATCTTATGCAGTGTGTTTGTAGCCCTTGAATTGTCATCTTCACTCATAACAGTGACCTTGTATTATTTAATATTACGTAAAACGTAAAAAACACAATTGTTCGTAATCATTTGCATGTCTAGAGTAAACCGGACTACCGTGGTTTAAAAGCTGTGAATTGCGGAAGGGAATCTTAACGTCATTATCCGTGAGATATGATTAGCTGGCCCAATCGACATTGTACCTTTCTCGGTTATTCCATGGACCAGGATGATATCTATACTTGCACATTTTACACAATATTGTGAATATGCAACTGATGTTTAATTATTTAAAATGGTTAATAATCGTATGAAAATGATAGCGAGTTGCGTAATTTGAATGTGCAAAGATAAAGGAGAAAATAAATAACATAATTATAATATTATTTTCGCAATTACGTATTTGACATATATAATACCTTCCTAATTGATTGTGTTTTGGAGCAAATTCAGGATTGACACTATAAACTTACGTTTGTTTGCGCAGTTTAATATTATCTTTAAGTTTATATTGGTGGAAATACAAAATCGCACATTTTCATTGTGTGATCTGAGAGAGAAAGAGACATTCTATGAATATTTTCAACTATACCAATGCCATTGAAATGTGTAAATACCTTGAAAATTGGAGTGAACGCTGTTGGTTTGTAAACGTATATTATATTTGCAAGGAGGACTGCCGTTTTCATAGGTTAGGTCTTAATTGCCCGCAAAAAAGGACTTAGCGGTGGTGGTGCAAGTTTACTGTGAACAACTGATAGTCAACGCGCTGTACCAGCCTTGCTCATACTTAGTCAAACGTACTAACCGTGGAACCGTATAAAAAGTGCTAGTGATCTTGTGGTGTGAACCGACCTTGTCTACCCATTTACTTCGATACTTAGTTTTATATATCGGAATTTTTGTATAGAAAGCTGTCAGAAACCGTGCCAGAAGCGACCGACTCTTTGTCGGATTGCAAACTGAACGATGCACGAAATTAAGAACGTTATAGGAAATGAAAAATTACATAGTTTAGAGATGCTGTACTGTATTAAAGTGTGAAAATTGTTCATTCGCCATTCGAGGTGTGAGATCGAAATTATTAAAACGTGCTAATTGTATAACATTAGCGAATACGATAACGGGTCCGTCTCGTCAAAGAACAGCAACGAACATTCCAGGCCAAGAAAAGAGACAATTGCTGTTCTACAGTCCTCATTTAATGAAGAAAAACTCACCACATTTTTTATCTTTATCCATTTAGATTGAGACATATTTTGTAAAGTACGACGAAAATCACTTATCTCGATAAGATTCGAGGTTTAGCTACCTTTACTATTTTCTAAAATGTTCAATTTGATTTGATATTAATTTTTTACTTCACTTTCTACTTTTACTGTTTAACTGTTCATAACAATTCTGATGCCATAACACCTGAACTTTGTCGTCGTAATCAACGCCACTTAAAACGAATAAAGTTGATGCAATATATGTGCGTATTGGAAATGGCCAATAATTTCATTATTTGGACAAATCCGGATTCTATCATAAAACCATGACTAGAAATAAAATTCCCGGAACGCTTAGTTTTTTCTATTTATAAAGCTGAGTGAGCTATTCTTATGTTCCACTAAAAATCACTGACCTAGTCATCGACGGACGAGCTGTGTGATAACATCTCCCAATAAAATGTTTGTTGTACGAGACTAAAATGAGTACGCTGTCGACTCTTCACGCATCACTCAACATTATGCGAATAATCACTTTTGATGCATGATTACCGGTAGACAGATAATGCTGCTGATTTAGGTTTTAACCTACCGGCTTCCCTGTACACATCTCCATGTTTGTTGAACAATTTTCGTGAATATTGAGCTTGCAGATTTTGCATCTAAATCCTTGCCTCTGGTAATCTACATAAAAATCAAAAATAAGCCTCGTATAAGGAAAAAAGATTTAGACAACGATTAAAATCAATACATTTGTTAATGAATTTCATTGAGAGAAGTCAATAGCAAGTTATGTACGGTTGGTTGATTGTATGTATATTTCATTAAAACAAACAAGCAGCAGAAGTTAAAATAAACTACGGCTCTTCATGGATGATTAAAATAACACAATAATTCATGCGATAAATTCGATACAAATCCGATTTTATTGAGCTGATTAAGCTTTATTGGTATGATATAAACCAGCGCCAAGGAACGGGAGAATTAGATTGTATTTTCTGATGCCTTTCTTTAGAAAAGCGGCCTAGTTTTCTATCGTAACTGCTAAGAGAAAATGTTTTACACACAAAAGAGCAATCAATTCCATGCAACATGTCATGTTAATTTCCAATGACCATGAGGTACTTCAGTTTGAATTCAACTCACACTGATAAACCCCAAACGTGGTAAAACGTAAGAATCGCAAATCAAAATTACCAGAAGTGCAAATGAAAATCATAGTTACAAAATCAGAAGGTCAAACTCATTTTCAACAAAGAATGCCTGAAATCTCAAAGAGCTGTCAAGTTTTATTCACCTACTGTGCCGACGGATGGATCTGGGGGTGATTGGCCTTCTGATGATTCTACAATGGTTAAAACAACACTGGCATTTTTAAATTGTACTAGACTTAGTTACAGATATATATATTACAAAAAAAGTCGTTTTCTTGACTGATCGGAAACAATGACTAAAACGTCTAAATCAGAGGTGTGCAACCCCTTTTCTATAGCCGACCGCAATACGTTTCTGCAAAGGCCGCCAGTGATGTCGAGCATATGCGTAGCCAGAGGGGCCATGCCAAGAACCCCCCCCCCCTTAAATTTCCAAGATTTTCATTCTTAATTAACCAGAACCAGTTTTGTGGCATTTGCGATTCGGTCACAGTCCTGTCTCGTCGCGCTTGCTGATTACTATGCATTGTTACGTCACAACTACGGCCATCCGCTCTCATGGGCAGTTTTGGCACAGGCTGCTGAATGGCATTCGGTAGTTACTCGGTCTTGGTTTGTTCTCATCGGTTTCATGTCCGGAACGCTTGGTATTTGATACTGAATTGCTTCGATGACTAAATCTAAACAGGCAAAATTTGATAGTTTTTTCCCAGCTAAATCAAGACTCACTTCCCCTAACTTAGAACACCAATAATCTCTACTCGGACTGTGGATACACCGGTCCCCCCTAACATTTCTATTCCTGAAGATCAACCAACATTTAAAAAAGGCAGAACAAACGATTTTAGATTTGTTTTCGAGAAACATAAGCAGCTTACCGATGCTCAGAGATACAGACTTCTAACTTTGGATGATCCGGAAAACGTGGCTATTCTGGATACTGTTACTTAGACAAAGTCGTCGCAAATTTCTCAAAAGATTGCTCGAGGATGATAGGTTTTACAGATGGTTAGTTTACACAAAACTCTCTGATGGGGGTGGTTTGTGTAAGATATGCATCGTGATCGCACGTTTAAAGCATTGAGGTCTCGGGAACACCGCTTTTGTCACAAGACCACGCATTGACTATACAAAAAATTTATCGAAAAGGCTGCACCGAGACTCAAATTACCACAAAGAATCAACTACAGCTGCGAAAAATTTCGTCAAAAGCAAAATTTATTGAAAAGGCTGCACCGAGACGCAAATTACCACAAAGAATCAACTACAGCTGCGAAAAATTTCGTCAAAAGCATGGGAACTTGTCAAAATGCGCGTGCGAATGTAGAGGCCCAATAGGCTACACAAACGAAAACAAACAGAAGAATAATGGCTTCCATTGCCAGGACTGTTATGTTCTGTGCTTCTTAGAAGTCTTCTGTTATTTACGCTGTATGTTTGATTGGTCGATATTCGGCACCGATGAAACCACTTCATTTCGCGCACCCTTCAGGCGCTCGGAGTCAGTGTGCCGCGAATGAAGAGCCTCACATCCTCCCTTCGGAGCGAATGATTGCAATGACTCTTTTCGCCTCAACGACGAATGTTTGGAGGAGCTTCTTCTGAGCGCTCGAGAATATCCAAGCGTGCATAAAACAATTCCACACGTTATGACGCCATTAGCAACAACTGTTGAGACTGAGCGTTTTTTCCTGTATGAAACGGGTGAAGACTGCGCTCATCAATGACGTCCAATCGCATTTCCGATTTGTGTGTGCTTCACTGTCACCGTGAAATGGTCAGTGAGGAGAAAATCAATCGGGTTGTGGCGATCACAGTTGGCGGAAAGTGAAAGACGGACTTTTAATCGTGGCGACGTCTTTTACTGATTCAGATTGCGCTGTAAATATTTGTTGTTTCTAATAAAAAGTTGTTTGGAAAAATGGATTTTGTATTCACAAATAACCGGCTTAGTTGTTGAATTATTTTGCTTATTGATCGATTGTGGAGTTTCAAACCTGATATCATTGCTTAAAATTACAATATTTGGACCCACTAAAATTTTGGGCTGGCTACGTCTTTGATGTCGAGATCTTTCGTGAGTTAGGTATGTTCATTTGAAGAATTGCTTTTGATCTTATAGCCTTGCATGCGTCTATCACTTATTAAATGCCTTTTGTTCTGAATTTACAAAAATGTTGCAATCCGTAAGCTGTTGCTGCGCATTACGCTTATTAAGAAATCTGAACGATATCACGGGAACTGGAAGTATAATACCATGTACACACAAATAAAGATGCCGACTGCTCGACGTTGAAGTCTCCGGCTTTTCGCGAACAAATTCTTGCAGAGAGTTATGTGTTTGATTCAGCAAGAGCGATTGTCATGTTCTAATACAGGGGTGTGCAAAGTGCGGCCCGCGGGCCAAATGCGGCCCGCGAGTACAAATTGTGAGGCCCGCGGAGAAGTGCCAATTTTGAATGGTGTGCGGCAAGCTAAATTAGTTTTTAATTCAGTTTGATCTGGTCCCCTTTGCGTTGCAAAGCTTATATTCGAGTCCAATTTATTATCTATGCCTATGGCGTTACAACGTCCTCGCAGCGAAGCGAACAACGCAATTCACAAGGAAGCTGTCACTTGCCGAGCAGCAAACAATTGAAAGAAAAATGCGGAGCAGACGCTAATGAATTTGTAAGAACGGACAATTGAAGATCAGGCAACTGGAAAGCAGTTTGTAAAAATGTAATATTAAGAGATACAATAGCTAAATGAGTTTTGGTTCCAGCCTATCAGTTGATTTTGTTGAAATCTAATTTAGAATAATATTTGACAGCAAAGTATTTGGGAGTGAATCTTGGCGTATTATACTGAAAACATCTCAACTAAGATAACTTTCCTAATTTGAAAAAAAGTCATGGCTTCAAATATGGCACTTTTCGGTTACATTCTTTTTTCTAAAATGGGCGTCATATCAAATTGCTAGCACTTCCATTCAAGCAAATTTGGATAAAAGTAGTCGGGAAAAGAATGACAATATATTTGGATTGCAGTTTTAAGATATTTATGCGTTTTCTGCAAGGGCCCCTCATGATGACGACATGAGATTAATAACAAAAAGAAACTATTTGTGCCTGCAACTAATAGAAAGCCTATGTTAAATGAAGGTGCGGCCCGCGATTTTGCCCAGTTATTGATATTTGGCCCGCCTGCGAAAAAGGTTGCACACCCCTGTTCTAATACACTGACAATATTCTCTAGCTTTTGAGCGACATGGAGCAATGCCTACAACCTTTAATGTTTATGATAACGGTAATTTTTTTTTCATTAGCAAATAAAAGACAAAACTATACTGCTTTATTTTCCGTAACATTTTTTATATATTATTGGAACACTTAAAATATTGAGTTTAGTTTTAATAGTTTTGACATCAGCTTTGACATAATTTATAGCAACCCTCAACTGAATAGTCAAATATTCATCATTTTGGAGAAGGAGGCACTGGACAAACGGCGAAAGATTTAACACAGCGACAAGAGCAACAAATACCTTATGCAAAACAAATACCAAATACGTCTTTCACCCAAACTTGATGGGGGAAAATCTGGTTGTTGACAGGGGCCACACTAAATGGCTTGACGGGCCGCCTGTTATACACCCCTGACCTAAATTCTTTAATTTCTTTCATCTTTGACGGCCGCGGTTTGTACACCCCTGGTCTGAATAAACCTTAAAAGTTGAGTATTCGTAAATGCCCTAGCTCCGTGTGTAAGTTATATAAATCCGGATTGGTCATTGGAAATACTTACCAAATTCGTAAGATTCTGCTAATTAAAATGGGATTTTTAATGTGATTTGACACTTTTTTAAAAACGTTAAAACATTTAGTCGTGCTAGAACGACTAAACTATTATGCATGAATCGCATGATTAGGATGTAGTGGGATGTTAGGATTTTCTGCGAGAAATTCTATATAATCTCCATGTGCTATCCCACCTACTGTAGTCCTATCGTGCCTACTGTAGTCCATTTTTTTTTTTGAGTGAAAGAGTTACAAATAAATTTGTTATACAAATTCAAAATCGATAGATAGTATATATAAGCTATTACAAACCAAGTAGTAAGCGCTGGCAAACATCGCAGAAAGTCGCTTTTTTGAACGTTTGTTTGACGAATAAATGTCCGTTGTGTTGGTGCTGTATTTCAGGTGCATCATCCACGGTTTGACGATGACTGAACATTTCCAATGCTGCACAATATCGTAAAAGAAATTGAGTAAATTCTACACACTTGATTCTTATGATTTCCAAAGTAGGAACCTGAACTAGTGGAATTTTTTTAAATTAATAAAATATAAACCAGCATCGAGGCATCTGAAAATTTCAAAGCGCTCCGGAAGTATTCGTACCAAGATGACGCACAACCTGTGTACCTGTGCACAATACTATGTTCAGGTTGTGCGCCATCCTGGTACGAATACTTCAGGAGCACCAATTTCAATGTATTTGTGTGTATTTAATATTTCCCAAATATGGCAATATTATTTCATGTTTATTCGGTTTAAACATATCCAAGTTCATTCCAAATATTTTAATGAGACGGGTCCTCTGTAGATCAGAAGTTTTAACCATAGGGATATAGTGAAGGACGTTTAAATTCGGATGCACTTATTTCTCACTGTCTATCCCAGGGGTCTCCAACACGCGGCCCGCCAGGCAATTTTTTGCGGCCCATGTCATGGGTGGGATTTTTCCACAAAAATCTAAAATAGTACGATGTCAACTATTAGTAGGTTTTATTGTGTCATTTATCATCAAGAGTCCATTCGACAAACTGCAAAAAGTGAAGCAAAATTCCCTCCTGTTGTCCACGTTCATGTTTTATTATATTGTTATATTGCAATTATAAATGCGATAATTTCATTTCGCATGTTCATTGTGACGAAATAAACGAGTTTCGGTCAGTCCATTGGGCTTGAAGAAAGATTTGCAAAGCTAATTGCACATTCACTTTGCATACCTCCGATTTTTGGCAATTCTTATATTTGCGAGCAGTTTTTTTTTGACTATAAAAATTAGCAAGCCAGCCCTCCGCACACGACTAACGGACGAGCATTTGCACGTTGTCTTAAGGCTAGCACACCAACGCAAAATAAGGCCAAACATCGAGACCAAATATCCAGCACAAGTGAATGAATATGTTTCATGTCTCGTTTGCTGTAAGATTCAAGTGTAATTTCAACACAATACATTCAGATACCCATTTTTGTACCTAATTTCTTGGTTTGCGGCCCGCGTGGTCAATAAATTTCAAAAAGTGGCCCGCAACATGTTTTGAGTTGGAGACCCCTGGCTATCCATTGTATATATAGAAAATCGCTCGATATATTCAAAGAGGAATTATATAAATATATGAATATATATGTATTTGTCTCTGGATAACATGGGCCAAATATAAAAACTAAGAAACCCAAAAAGAGTCGTTACAGAAGGATCGCAATTGACATATTAAGAATTCAATGGATGTTTGCAACATGTGAAACATAGATAGGAGATTTGTTAGGCTTTTGAATTAGATTTGTTGATAAACAATCTTCATTAAGTCGACATTATGTTTATTTAAACTTCATTCTATATCTAAATGCAACGTAATCAAATTCTGGATTTGGGTGAGGAATCATCATATATATTCCTAAAGCGCAGCAAAAGTCATCATTATTATTACCTTTTAGTGATCTTGAAGATGTTGGATTTGATCCGTACAGAGAGAACGCGCGTCGTATTTCCCCACCAATGACTTTAGGTGCGGCTAGTGCGGTCAAAGTTGTAATCGATTCCCGCTGAACCTGTGATCAGAACATCTGTGAGATCTCAAAGAAGTATTTTGCTATACCATTTCTACGGTTCTGAATAATTTGCTTCTCGTGGGTGATTGATGGTGAATGCTATACATCAGTGTTCCCCCAACCTTTTTTTCAAGTGACCGATATTTGAAAAAAATTTTTTTTTTGTTAAATCTCGCGATCCAAAGATATGCACAAATACTAGACGACGACATATATATAGTGCCTTTGTGGTCGCAAAATTAACTTACTGATATAAAACAACCATTTTAAAATAAAATTCATTTTCTCAGAAATTACCTCAATGCGAGAAAACTGAGCTTATTTGCCATGAGCTAGTTTTTGAAATCGTGGCGTAGCTTTAAGCAAAACAGCAGCTGCCAAGTTTTTGCGCTGTGGTACTTCCACATATATATACAATTACTTTTGAGCAACACTCAAATTCAAATATAAAATGAGCAATGAAATTCACTGGGCGGTGGGTGTTTTAGACAAATATAAATTAATAATTTGGGCCGGTGCTGAAAGTCTACAAGTTTGGTTCGAATAAGAAGAACATGCAATAGTTGCTTTGTATTTATGTGTTCATTCAAAATTAGCGGAAGCACTTTCGTTAATTTTAATATATATCACGAAACTAAGCGCATCTTTTCCGAAGAAAATGAAACCACTGCCACTGCCTTCATTTTCAGTTTGATTCGTGCTCTAGGAAAGAAAGCTCTTTGACTTACGTGGTTTCTCAAAAAAAGAGATGGAGTGTTTTCGTTGACAAATGATGCTGAAGAAATGTCATTCCTTCGATCAGGAAATGAGGAAAAACTTTTTGCAAACCTCTAAATTTAGGGTAGAAATATAATTAGTTTAGATAATTGAATTATACATAAAAGACAAAAAAGAACTTTTTTTGCGTCGGAACACCTACGCTTTCATTTCGTTTCGCGGAACGCCAAGAAATTAGAAGGAAAAATTAATGAGTATAAACTTGACAGGTAAAAAATTAGGCCGATGGTTAACGATATTGACCGATTAATGAAAACACCATGCTTTCCAGACTGACACAGGGTCTGTCTGCCTATTTGTCGTTAGTTGGGAGACAAATTTACGACCCAGAGTCGCCAAAGTACGGCCGAGATCGTCAGGGTGACCGATTTAGTCGCAATTTCTATCCGTGTTCCGCGAAACACTCCGAAGAAGATTGTGGAACAGCACTGTTCCGCTGAGCACACTTTGAGAAACGCCGCCCTACATGATAGATGTTACCCCGATCATCGAATTGTTATTTTTTTCTGTAATGATGACCAATTTGCAATATCTAGTTTGTAAGCATCGGATCGCAAAATAAGCATAAAATTTTTGCGGCGTATTGGAAGAATTTTTCGCAGTTGAGGGTTGGAGAATTGTCAAAACAGAATTTGTATCGTTTTGACCTTACGAAATTATAATGTTAAACATATTGTAATGCTGTATTACAGTGCTTACCTTTGACTGTTTTAGCGCGACGATCAACTAGGTACCATTTGTATTTATTCGGGCTTAAATCTCATGAGAATAATTCTGTGACTGTTTATTCCAATTCGAAAGTCAAAATTTTTACGTTTGTAACTAATTAAGTAACGGTTTATAAAAAGATGTATAAAATATAATTATATAGTCACACTGGTATAGTAAATAAGTATTCGGGAAGCATGCTAGGGTGTTGATCTAACAATGTTATCAAAATGTGCGCTCGAAAGATTTTTATTGAAGCGATCATTTATGGTTTCCACATTTTTCACTAGTAAGTAACGACGGTAATGTTATACCGATAGGAACAGGCCGAGTTAATAAAATACATTGTGATTAATTCATAAATTATTACAGAAGGCTTATCACACAATACTTAATATCCTACCTGACGTCGGGATTTTGCTTGGTCACGTTTTGGTGATAATTCTTCGTCCCTACAAAAAAAGTTTGTAATGAGAGGTTTACTAGACTAGACTAACTGCAGAAATCTGTGTGTTCAGATGCTCATTTAATTTCGACAAAAATTTATTGGTACAATTTTACAGAAACGTAATGCATGATTTAAATAAGACTTGGAACTAATGTTATTTATATCGGAACTGAATAACATCAAGTAGAGACGAGGTTATGATTTTAACTAGTTACAGAACTTACGTAAGCATCTTCTTTTTTAGTTTACGTTATCGCGTGATTTTCTTTATGTCTGTATAACCTAACTAAGAAACAAATTTTCTTAAAGTAAAGTAAGCTATTTCAACTCGCTCCTGGCTAACGTGCACAAAAGTGTACAGTGTTCATTTTCTGCGACCACACCATCATTGAAAGATATTCAGAAAACCCGAATAACGTTCTCAGAACGAACGTCAGATCAAAGAATGTTTTACAGCACCTATCTTGTATCTGTTCACCACCCCCTTTCTTTTTCTACATTATATCTCGCACAATATCACTGGCGGTCATTCGTCTGCATTGTAATTTACTGTTCTACTAAACACTACTAAGCCGGAGAACATCGCCCTATCGTGTTAAATCGATCGAAACTTCGTACAATGTTATTGTTGTTCACTTAACAAGAGTTTTATTAAATCTACGCTAAGTCATTCGTCACATCGATTTTAACATCTTTCCAGCTATCTGATGCATGTAATACGAATACGATATCGTGGAATACTGTACGAATAGCGATGAATAATCAATATAAAATATGGTATCATCATGTACTTCTATTAAACCTTTAAGAGGATAATGTATCGACTAATATATACCCACTGCCCTCGTTATTTTAGAGCTTGTCATTTTCTTCTTTTGTGCATATGTCGGAATATTCAAAGAAATTGCACTATTTTTAATGACACGTGTGTTTCGTTATACCACCACGATTGATTGGGTTTTTATATCTTTATACTGTCTTGTTTTTAACTAGATTAAGTTGAAAAAATTATGTTCTTCATGAAATAATGTGTATAATATGCATGATCCTGTATAATATGCATACATACCCCAACTGCTTGCATATACAACTGTATCATAAATTCTATATATTTTGTGTGTAGTGGCTTTGTATTCCTAACTTCAAAAATTGAGTTCAAAATGTCACTTGTAATATTCTTAGACAATTTCATAATGAAAAAAATTCGAGTTCAAGGGCAGTTGTCCCATCATTCGTTCTGTCACTACGTCCTACATTCCTATCTATTTCAAATGTAGATTCAAACCTTTTTTTACGCAATTTCGGATTTTACTTTGTGTCTTTTCGCAATTATAAACAAATATATAGCTGAATTTTATAAATATTATAATATTTTACATACATTTTTCGGAAATATTTAGCGCGTGAAAAGTAGATCGACATAAATCCAACATGCAATGGCAAAAGTATGATTGAAAATTGAATTTCATGACGCAATTTAGCCCATCAGCTCCATAAGAAGGGATTTAACACTTAATATCTATTTCAGGCCATTCGTGCATTTGAAATTGATTATTACAAGTATTTTACAAATGGAGAAACCGAATTACTCTAAACCGTAAGTTGTAATTTATCAAATTTGTTGAATTTTTTTTTAATTAATCCATTCTTTTGTCAGTTAGCTCATCACGCACAGAATGTAATAAATCTAAATTTGTAATAATTATCATCTTGTAGTTTTGTTGAATCATATTGGTTGGCCGTGTTCTTTATTAGATGATATACCATTGCTGCCAATAGCACAAATGAGGAATAATTTTGATCGAGTGCGCAACCTTTGTTTTAACGACATTGCATCATAATCAATCATAGAGAATTGTACAATGCATTTAATATATTCGTGTGTTACGCATATCCACGCACCGAGCGATGGACGGGTTGATTTGTCTTTTCATTCTTTTATAAAGGTTTTGGTTCGCAACGTGTACACTTGCGCCCACAAGTGGAACTACCCAACGTACATAACTCTGCCCAAGTACCAGTGTCTTTGTTTGGTAACCTGTAACCTTGGTTCTAGGCCGATGATTCACTTTTTTTGCCATGCTATTGAAAACGAATGGTACCCATGGATCGTTTTGATGAATTGTTGTACTTGGTGGATTGTTTCAGAAAAAGTCGCTAATACTTTTCTTATTTTCTTCAAATTCAACGAGGCCAGATATTTCACGCAAATTTTGATAGTTTTTATAGTTCTCAAGCACTTTGCGGTGGCAATTTTGTTCATTAGACCCTCATGACATATATTTGAACATTGCTCACTAGTTTTTATAATATACATGCATACAAATTATGAACAAAACAAAAAAACTTGACTCAATGTCACTGCTCCACACTGCCACCGAGTGGGTATTTAGCATGGTGTGCCGAAACAGTGACTCTATTCATAAACAGTCGTTACAAAATCATGAATGAAGATATTTATTGAAACCTCCGACCAAGGTCATGGATGCGCCATAGAAATATTCCGAAGCCTTGGGTATTTTACAGTGTATGCCTACCATATACTGTATATATACGTTGCGCCCAAATCTAATTTCTTCGCATCTCATCCGACTTCGGTCAAACGTAGCTCGTATTTATTAATGTGTTTACTCAGAAGGAATGAATTAAGGTGAATGAAAGTATATATTGAAAGTTGTACTAGTATTTTACTTGGCACTGTAAATAGCTGTGAAATACCTATGATTATAATGATAAAATATCAGTAAACCTGGACAATTTCAGTTCGAATACTTATATATATATTTACAATGTAGTAAAATTAGTGTGCGACTCGAATGTTAGTTAGTATGCTTATTATCCATAGTAATAAAGACCAAATGCTGTGATGTATCTATACACATTCAAATACCTAATATCTGACTGCTTGTCAACTCTTTACTCATGTCCTTCGTGCACAAATTATGCCTCGATCGAAGTTGGCTTTAGGCTCAATGTTAGTGTATAATATTATTACTCATTCAGTAACTCCCCAATGATAACGTTCTCAGAAATTTATACGGAAATGGCCTGGCGATGAATAAAGTAGAAGTCATGTACTTTCATGCAACATAATAAACTAGTAAGATATACGCTAGAACATACCCTCTGTTTTCGTTGATTAGTATCCGTGCTGCTGTTTCGGCTATTCCATAGACACGTAACAAGATTTTAGGCTAGGGTTCTACGTTTAAACTTAACAAATATTAAATAAAATTTTTCATAAAAAGCCATCACAACAAATAATGATAGAAAACTTTACAACTGCCTTCCGCGTTAATTGTTAAATTTGTAGGACACCATATGAGCTCGTTAATATCATCAGAGTTAGCATCACTGATAACTCTTGATGGCAATCTCGCAATCATATACTATACATATACTATGCAGTGCAAAGCCCTGGCGTGTCTTTGTATTGATATGGCCGCAATCTAAAGGATTATTGTATTCTCCCCACAAAGTTTTATAATGCTTTTAGCGCGGTTGACACTAATGAAAATTGAAATTAGCTTAATTCACCTGACACGGCATCTCTATCGACCTCATTGATTTTACTTATTTCAATCTTACGATTGTTCTACCGCGTCAACTTACAACAAGCCTTATTTAACTTAATCCGCTGATGAAAATTGCACTTACGATATTACTTTACTTCGGTGGTTGCAGTCTTATTTGCAGCGCATAATATCTCAGTAACAAACCTTTTTATACTCGTGAATTAAAGGCTCTATGCTATCGTTTGACTCAATGAAAAATTAATCTACTGCGAACTTCTATAGCTAACTATACTACACTTGTGACAAAGTCATCAATGTAACTATACATATAACTGTTAAGCATTCTAAAAATATACTCATTACCACCAAAACAGGTCCTAATTTAGAATATCGTACATACGAAAGTGTTGTCATGGTCTTGAACTTTCAATTTTTCTAATCGCCGTTAGTAACCTCGGCAACCGACCACCCGGAAGCATCTGCAGCCCTGCGAATGCAATAAACACTGTGCGTTCCGGTCGCGCTGTCTCTCGCCTCTAAACTATCGTGAACTTCAAGTATACTTGGGTATTTGTTCAATAAATAGCTAATTAGTCTAATTAATATGCAAATTAGAAAAGATACTTGACCTATCTTCAAGGTTTTAAAAATTTAATATATCAACGCAAGGTATTAGAAAAGATCATCCGAAAATTAACAACTACAATATGTTCGGGCTTGCCTGTACTTAATCATCATTTTTTGCTATTTTGATGTGAGCTAATATTTTTTCATTACCTGCACACTGATGCAAAATTTCGACTGGGATACCGATTGTGTCGTGACAAGTGAAAATTAAGACATATAAACCTTATCATGGCATATACAGGGATGCAAGGTTGAGCGTTTCGGAATTTTTTAGGAACCAAGTTCTGTGCCAAGCAAAGAAATGTGAATTTTAATGATCATAGAAAAATAAGGAAATCGCTATTTCTGCAATGTGTCTGGGTGGCACGTAAAGATAATAGTTGATAAAAATAACATGCCGCTTGGAAATCGTTGATATCCACTCACCAAAAGTGCTATTTAGATACAGCGTCTTCATAAAGTCTAATTCCAATTTTGCGTTGAAGTCAGTTATATTAAATATTGGTTATATACCACTTATGATTATGCAATCATGGTCTCAATGTAAATCAACAAACTCTTGAAATATCCAATGGTTCAATCAAGGTTACGAATTGCGAATGGCTCTAACGATACCATAAAAAGAGAATTGAAATCGATCCTTGTCCAATTAGCCTTGTTGAATGTTTATGTGACTGCTTCTTAGTCCCAAGTGTACAATCAGAATAATAAGAATAGGATGATCGAAATAGATTGTCATTATTTTCTGGACTTCATACCGAGTCGTAAGATGAGAAATTTTTCTGTCGCGAACCGCTAGCACTATTCCAACTTCTTTTTGTTCTACTAAGATGCAGACTAGGCTCAATCTGAAAATAGGAATTGCAAGTCAATCTAAATCCAAATTATTATCTGAAAAGCCTGACCAAGCCTATTATTTCAATCAAATTCTTATCAATCGAAATCTCCAACATATGAATATTTGAATTAATAAATTTTTACACATTAAAATTACCAGTACTTGGTGTAACTCCATAAAGATCCACGTCGAGAAATCCCTAATCAAGAATCCGTTACAGAGCATTTTGTCTTCTTGATCAGGGGTTTTAACCCTGATTCTCTCGTTTACACCAAATTTCAAACAACAAATACCACTTAAACTTTGTATGATGTCTATTTCAGTGTGCTGTTTGTGAATATGGCGCTATCTTAAAAAGAGGACAAGGAACAGAGGACGTAGCAATCCTCAATGCAGTCAGCGGCCACATTTGGTCAGATACTTTATTGGTTGCCAAATTGATCCCCAGCACAAGTCACCAGCAGCATCTCATCTCAGGACCTCGATATGGCTATTTGTGTTTTTGTGTGGTATTAAAATGGACTTCGGGGGCGTGTCTATATTGTTTAAATAAGTTTGATTTCAATATATCTGCAATAGATGTTTAAAAATTTCAAATATCAGGTGGATTAATCAGATTTAAGCCTAAATAAGAGTGCTCTTGTGGCATAAATGACGGATTAGAAATATGACAATTGAAATCGATTATTTCCCAATTAGTAATACTTCAACAAAATATTCTTTTCTATACACGTGTTATTACCTCTTTGTCCCAGATGAAACATCAATATATTAATACAAAAATCGTCAAATAATATCGATCTGATGTCATCAAATTTTAGAAATTAGAATTTGAACATATTTATTTTAAAGTACCCGAACTTTCACTAGATGTGAATGACCATATTATAATTGTTGTATGGTAGTTAAGCATGAAAGCAAGGATAGTTAATATAAATACTTTATTCGGCGTTAAAATCCCATGTGCAAATAAAGCAAATTCGGTTTCGGATCTCTCATGAAATAATTGTTCAGGATTTTACCAGTAGATTCTGTGACTAGAACATTGGAGGTGATAAGCATGCATCGTCTTCTCTTGTGAAATTTCCAAAAGATTTTGTTTTAAGTAAACCGAATAAAAACACGAATCAAGTATTCAATCTGCACATATAAAAATATAATCTTGGCATGCAACTAAATGTTATGGATCCACTGTTGGACTCGATTACCTGGAACCTGAATTAAAATTTCAGTCGAAGGCATTAATTACTGATTCAAAAATGAGCCACTTTGTGCTATACCATGGGCGATTACTGTTTATCGCAATTGGTCATAACGTAATATTATCGAGGAGCTGAGGACCGGAATATCGAAAAACTTATTAGTTTTTACCAACTCGAAGTTGATCTTGCAAGTGCTCATCTTTAAGTTGATTCCTGAATTTTATCTTGCATAGCGTCATTCTTTGATGCACTGCTCACAATGGTAGGCTCCGTGGCGCCGAAAGGGAGATTATTTTAATGCATGATTTTTTAGGTTCTCGTATTGCCCGTGCACATAGCTCCTGTAAAAATATGCAAATCACTTCCACGGTGGCTCGTTTGTGACCAACGATTGCTTGTAATTTTGTTATATTTCGATATTTTTCTACAGATTGTCCATTCGTCCAGCCGCTGTCCAAGTTTTGTGCTTCATTAAATATTTATTCTCCAGACAAACCGTTTAATGAATATTTCAACCCACAATTCTATGGTAACTGGTAACTAGCAGAGTGTTTTGTACAATAGCGTTGCTTGCTTTGACAGAGCGTAGAGTGAGCGAGCGTCTTGATTGTGTTATACAACAAAGTATTTCAGACACCGCTAAGTGTTCCGCAATTCATAATGAACCTTGCTTTTTATTGGAAGACATTTTTTTTTATTCACAACACCGCACCGAAAAAAAATATCACGTTGTTGAATACGAATTTTCATCTCAGTATGATGTAGCTACGTACAGCAAAGTAGAAAACGCCGATGTTGTCGTTAAAATTGTATAAGACATTAAAAATGGATACCAAGTATATTAAGGGACGCGTAACTAAGTTCCGCAAGACGTATGTTACACCCCTATGTGCTATGTCCACCAGAGTAGCAACAGCGTGATCTTAAACTACCAAAACGTATATGGCGTCAAGCTTCCTTATATTATGGTAATAAATGAGAGATGTGACCGTATTAGCTTTTTTCCAATTTGAATCATTATCAAATACACTTGCGTAACAAGTGCCCCCTGTTGTCTTGACTTTCGTGTCCATATATTTGAGCATTGCTCTCTTGTTCCTTTTCAGTAAAAATCTCTCAACCATCTCGTAAACTGTCGAGGTTGCATCTCGACAATGGCCATCTTTTATGTTTTGACATATTGTGTGCCAATAAACTTCGCATGGTTTGCATTACCATTTTGTATATAACTGTAACCTAATAAATCCATTATTGACTTTATATTATGAGGTCACTTTTCAAAATATGAAATGCTTAACTTACAGTAATAATCTAAGATGTGTAGTATTCAGTCTTCCGAAGGGAACTCAAAATTGATGACGTCAATTTATCGTGTAGTTGCGAGCTTGTCGAATCGTTTTTTTTGCGAGCTTCCGACTATTCATACGGCGAAATGAGATTCCCTCCGTTTCTTCCGGGTATGCGTAAAATTATAGCTTCTTAGACCTTTAGGTCCGCATATGTGACTTTCTCTTTTATCTCGCGTCCAGAATGTCTTTGGGGCACGAGCATATTGGGTATAAAGTGAGTTTTCAAAACACGTATCTTTGTTGAGATTCAAGTAGACATTACGGAAGCGATTTGTTAATCATCTAAATAGCATTTGGATTACTTCATGAAGTAACTAGTTATCATGCGTATCCCGACAGAACGGTAACCCCTATACGGCGCTACGATACTGCTTATAATTTGAATACCCGCCTAACAACTATTGTCGGTCGTGACAAAGGGTAAGGAAACGTGGAGCTCAAGAACTTTGCGCACATGAATCATAGTTACATGAAGTTTTAAGGGGATTGAGGCAAAAAGTATGTTTCTAATAAATAGAATACAAGTTAGGAATGTAACAACAGTTGGAGTCGAAACTTTGTAAATATATCACATATCCGATCTGTCGTATTGTATCTGCACTGGTGTACTGAAATATGCGTTTTGAATGCTATACCTTTTTGATCTTGCTCTCGTACAATGAAAGTAGTTGCATTATTACTTATCGATTTTAATCGGTAAGTATGTTGATAGGTATTTGTCTGTCTGTATGTCTGTTTGTCTGTTAGATGCACGCGATATCTCACGAAAGCGAGATTGAATCTGCTCCAGTTTTTGCATGTGCATTCATCTTATCTCGGACCAGAAGCCTATTGAGCGAATTATGTCGTATAATTAGCGAGTTATTAATTAATTAGTGATGGGACACAAGGTGTCACTATGGAGTAAGAGCGCTGTTTTGGGATCCCCTAACTTTCGATCGATAAGTCTTCGGTCTCTGACCGATATTGTCGTTTTACAGATTATCAGTTTTGTGGTCTGGTCGCCAGCATTTACAAATCATTAATCATGTTATCTTCACTTCTCGAGAGTTTCGTAGTTGTGCAGTTTTTGAACTGCACAAGTCATATTCCAGTAATGCAGCCAATAACCGCTACGTTATAGGAGGTAATGGTTGCTATTTTAAATTAGAGACTATAATGTAGTGAGTTTAGTTTCTCTTTTCACTCGCGGGAAATAACCTGAAGCCAATTCGAGACCATAACTAAATGTTAATGCTACCTGCCTAGACATGCATTTTGATGAAAGTGCTTTATTTAAAATTAACAATAATTATTTCAAACGAATTAAAAGCTTAAATATAAAGTGAAATGGTAGTATGTCAAACAAAAGTTACTGAAACAATCTCTGAATGCATCAATATTGCCACCAGATGGCATGCGACATAAAATATGATTACAAAATAATATAAACTGATGAAATGTGCTAATGCATGGAATAATGACATGAGAAAGCATACACGAATATTCACATAAGTACTGTTCTAGTGGTTTTCAAATATTTAAAAGTTTCAAACCGACTGTTTTACATTTCGTTAGGTATAAAACAAAATATGTCATAGATAGTATAAATCCATCGTTATTAAATAACTTGGCGAATCAATGAAACTTAGAACAGGCTGAGACACGCTTTACTGCATCTCTCTTTATAGTTTTTATCTCAATATTTGAAAAATATGAGGTGACGCAAATTCAACAAAACATGCAATGAAATAATGGGTTATTTCAACAAATAGTTTTTCAATATATCGCATTTTAAAATAAGCTGCAACAATATTTAAACTGTTTACATGTCCAGCACTTTTTGAGTACTACTCAACAATCCTGCTGTTTGAGCAATGTCGACCCTGGCAATTGCACGGGCTTGAAATTTATAGTGTGGATTGCTGTAATCGTCATCTACGTGTCGAGATTCCATAGAATTGAGAGAATAAAATTCCTGTCCCAAATACTTGTTGTGCGTTGTTGGGTTTGATTCCGGAGAAAATTGACTGCGGTTGCCAGACTTCAAGTCAAATTTCCGCATTATTGAATTTGACTTAGTTGGCCAAATACCTCCAGGGGAAGGAAAACATCCCGATTTGCGCCTGTTGATATCAATATGTGGTGCGTTGGGAGGAGGGTAGTAGTCATGCCTCATTTGGCGAAAGTACGGCGATAAGGAAGCTTGATTTATCTTGCTTTCTAAACCTTGATAGTCATTCAACGGAGCCGCGTGCCTTGGCATGTTATTAAAGTACGTATGGTGAGGTCGAGCAGTAGAAGGGTTACCATTTCGGTAATTGATCTCCATCATTTGCCTACTGTTATAATCATCTCCATTTGAAGCGTACATCTTAGGTGGTTGGCCTTGAAACTGCGAAAGACCTTGAAAACCTGAAGATGGCAACGATACGGGAGATTGCATCGTTCTTATACCATGATCGAAAGACAGAAGTTCGGGAACGGATAACGATCTATCGACTGGTATCGGCCCCCTAAATTGGTTCTTTTCATTGTAATCAATCATTTCGCCCATAGCACCAGGATATTTTTTTGAACGATGAAGGCGGTCTTCGAGTGATTCACCTGTGTTGGCCCTAGAATTACAACCATTCACAAATGGAAGTAGGTAGGATTCATTGATATTTTCAAAAATTGGTGACATTTTGTTTGGCGGACTCCTATTCGTAGCGATATTTGGATTGAGAGCCTCGCCAAACCTGTCCGATTTCATTTCTTGGGAAGATGAAAAACTCGCACTTCGTCCACGTTTAAAATACATCGACTGAGGCGTTGCACCATAGTTTGGAGATGATCTGGGAACATCATTCTGCGTATCTCCTAGCTCCGAAAATGCAATGCTGTTAGAATTACTGATTTCTTCTTCTCTTTGTTTCGATTCTGATGCTGCTTGAATATCACCAAATTCGGGATTATGTGCTTGATTTGTACCAACTGCCGTTTCATCATATTCTGAATTTGATCCTTTTACATCATCTTTTGATACACCAACGATATTGTTGTCGTCAATAGACCCTGGAGGGCTATTGCCGTTTACGTATGGTTTCATTTCATTGAGTTTGTCCTTTTCTTCGGATGGTTCATTCAATGATGTGATGGACGTATTATCGGTGTCAGAAGGACACTTCGACTTCATCACTTTATTTTTTGGCTTTCTTATCATTCGTAATTCACCTGAACAGTCATCATCTGATTTTCGTTTCGTCTTTTTTGTCAAATTACTTTTATTCTTTTGCTTTTTATTTGATCGTTTCGTGGGCGGAACTGAGGCATCTTCCTCATTCATTTGTCGTTCCGTTGTCATTGAATCGTCGCCGCCGCTGTTCTCCTCACAAACTTTGTTGTCATCGTCCGCCTCTGAGTTATCTCCAGCTGTATCGTCGCTGTAGTCGCTATCACTGTCTTTTTCGTCTTTATTGTCGTCAGATTTATTCTGTTGTTGTTGGCGTTTGTGTTTCATTCGACGATTTTGAAACCAGACCTTTACTTGCCTGTAACATAAATGAATATATGGTTTCTGAAATATTATTACATATAAGAAGGCGGCTGTAAAATTAACGAAATCCAGATAATCATGTAATGGTTTTGTTACCTATCTTGTTAATATTTGCATTGATGCTCGGTGACGATTAAATAAGATTTATAATCATCTTTTTGAGTTAGGTATTTTTATTCGGAAACTTCTCTATATCCATTTCAACTCAAGTTCCAAGGTTCTTAACAATTTCTAGTGTTTCAAGCAAACAGTTATGCTTCACGAAATGTTTCATAAAAATGTAGGGGAAATCACAGAAGACATGAACCATGTACATTGATAAAAAACAAACAAAATCAGCAATATTGTTATTTGTGTATTTCCCTTTTAAATACGTGGACGCAATGCGCCACATTTTCTGACGCAGAGAAATTCTCCGCCGACATTACAATATGTCCACTGTTCCGCCGGTTTATAGGTTCTTCTTGGAATAGATAACATCAGTACATTGACGTGCTCATATACCTGTCTGTAATTAAATTGTCAACTCTAAAACTAATGCCGGGATGTACGAGGCTTTGCAATTTAAATCTCGACATAGCATGATCACCGATTTCCACTTACCTCTCAGTGAGATCCAACAATGTTGCAATTTCAATTCTTCGTGGTCTGCATAAGTACTTGTTGTAGTGAAATTCTTTTTCTAATTCTAACAACTGTGTGTTGGTATAGGCTGTTCTCAGTCGCCTGGATGTTCCTGGTGGTCGAACTCCTGAAATGGCAAATATATAGAATCATGCACATTTACATACAAAATATATGTTGAAGTCATTCTTTCGATTAACGATATAATTCAAGAAATTCCATGAAGGCTCACTGTGACAACTCGTTTCGTCCAACAAACGTATCCAAATCTGAATCATTTACTTTGATTCTGATTGCTCATTCCAAAGTCACTTGTTAAGAAAAAAGTTTCTCAAATATTATTTTTTTTGGAATACAATATATTGGACATTGCAGAATCAGTGTGTGGAAAGGTGGAAGACATAATAAAATTGATTTCACCTGATCGTTTTTGTTTAATTATTTTTCAAATACCCATGAATTCTAATTTTATTTAAAATGTCTCAAAATTGGGAAACGGACTAAGCGAACTTTATTATAATGCGATAGCACAAACATATCCGTAACAGGTTTTATTCAATGATGATATTATTTTTCTCCAAATCATTTAAAATGAAACAAGAGAGCAATTCTCAAATAGATGGACACGTAGGCCAAAACAAACTAGTACAGGTATGCAATCTGCCACAGTAGACTACTGGTATAGCAGTCATCACGACTAACGATGACGTCATCACATACCAAAACGAATCCCATAGAACCCAAAGACATTTTTGAAATGAATAAAAGTAATAGCCTTCTCGCGAAATATACGATCATTAGCCTCTGATAATTTCAAAGCAATTAGCCCAGTAGTTAACAGAAAAGCGATTTTTTCGTAGAAGGAAAAATATTAACAAGGAAATGGAAAAGAACAACAACAACATAATAACAAAACGATCCATATATACAGCCCGTGTCCAAATAATATCTCGGTACCACATACAAATACCAAATTACCAATAAATTCATTAATACAATACTACAAATATGGATATGGATTGTTTTACTTCAACTATGTTATATATTTCTTCACAATAAATGGGACCATGTAACAATAAGAAGGCTGGCCAATACTATTCATCTCACAGATGAACACATAATAATTGAGCTAGTGAACTGATGAATATTTAAATAATAATAATGGCATTACAATATTGTTGCATGCAACACTTTCAACCCACAAAGCATTGGAACGTGACCTTGACACTGTGGTGATTACCATTAACCACGTCTTTTAACGGCCCAAAATAATAATGTTCATATACCGCTGGTGTAGTCGGCATTACTTTTATCATTCATTTTTACGTTGCTAAACTTGTCAACACATCTAGACTGACTCGGGCGACTGGATTTTAATACGAGTTTAATTGTCTTTATGGCGAGAACTAATACGGCAGTAACAGCAAATTGAGTATTAATTTGATCCAAATTGTCCCCAAAGACGGCGAGCTTGCATCAGACACAACAGCTGAGAGGACACCAAATTTCTCAATTTATTCATAAACAATACTCGGGAAGTTTAATCTTTTGCTTTCCAAAAACTTCCGTAGGTAATGTATATAGGTTTGATAATGATTTCACTTTAATACACGATAATTCCCCTATTGTACTTTTATAATGTTGTAAAGTAACATTCCAGTAGACTATTATCAGGATGTTCCAATGACGTAGCATTTACCACTACCGTTAGTATCAATATTTTGATATTTACAAAAGTACGGCATTCACATAAAGTTCAGGTTGACCATATTTGGCGTTGAAAAATGAAATCGAACTTCGATATATCATATGACCTTTTAATGCCGAGACTTGTTTGCCTTCTCATCCCGAAGAAACATACTGTGCTACTTGTTTTTCTCACTTTCAATTAGCGCCAGCGGTTTTCGTATTTATATCTCAACAACATGAAATTGTTGTGTGGTAAACGTTAGGGTATTAAGTATATATACATTTCCCATTTTTTTAGAAAATGTTACTGTCATTTACGATGGTAGAGGAGCAATTTTTGGGGGTTGGCTTATTGAAATATTCCACATATTATTGCGATTTATAATTGGTTTGCATTATTTTATGTTTAAATTTTTCCATTTTCTGCATTGATAGCGATTATGCTAAGTTCTCGTACAAATTTCCACATAATCTGCATGTATTTTGTAACCAATAACAGCACCTAAAATTTTTTTCGAATTACAACACGGCATTTAAATAAATACCGCCGACTTATCTCTAGTAAATTCCATTCTAACATTTTTTGTAAATGTTTGCTAGTTGGTAAAATCGTTCATCAGCCAAATATACATTTTGTTGAATCATTTAGTAGTAAAAAGGGAGAATACCTATTAGAAAATAGTCACACCCATATACGTTCAATCACAATTATCATAAATTTACATTTACTAATATGTTACATATAAATTTATATTTGAAAGTATAATTAAACATTCTCCCTAAAAATTATAGATGTAACGCCTTATTCAAAAAACAATAGCACGTTTGCTGGCGAGTGTTAGTATAACAAATATTATACAAAAGAATCAGAAAATGGCATGCGAACACTTTTACCAAATCTATATTGATTGATTATTATACATTTTACTTGGGGTCTGATTTAAAAATGTCGAAAGTATTATTCTGTTGTAGGATTTGGTCTATTAACACATGCCAAATTCAATTTATAAAATTTGCCAGATAATAAACTAACAAAGAAAACACTGCATGGCGTGTAAAGAATATCATCAATTATTCAGCCAGTCTTTTAACAGAATACTTTAACTACAGTTCATGGTCATGATGACATGCAGAACTTTCTTCGAACGGGCGGTTTCCCGAAGAAGCGTGAGTAAGTTATACCTCATAAATATTCTTCTATTCATTGCTTATACAATATGAAAGAAATCGATAAAAAATAATAATTTGTTTCACCTATTATCTAAATATTGATTCGTAAAAATTGGGTCGCTGAACAATCAAAGCAAGTAGATAAAAATGGCGGACGGAGTTAAGAAATACCATTTATTCAGGTTTTATTTTATGGGTCAAAATCAGGGGCGGATTTTATGACGGATCAAGACGAATCTAAAAGGATTATCCCGTATTAATGTCGATTGGCGCGCGCCAAGGAAACAGATCATTTTATCGTGTGTCGTTTATTGTGAGCAAACATTCGAAATGGAATGTAGAGAGGGTCTTTCACGCTCTGTCTCACCGCAGAGTGGCTTATTGCTTGACAATGTAAAATATTGTAAAATCGTTACAGAACCAAAAACAAGCTTACCTAGCTAAAAAATGAGCACGGTGTGCGCATGTGTACAGTTGCTCACGATCTGCTTTGATTTAATAGGATTATACTTCACGCTTGTTGATGTTGTCTGATTACGGATTTATGGCAAGAACGTGCAATTTCTTTCAATAAACGAGTCATGCCACAACCACTTTGGGACTCCATTGCTATACCGTATCAACTTTGTAATAACAATTTGTATCCTCTGCTTTTCATTTAGTTAACGCACGCAAATTTATTCATTTGCAATTTCGATATATATTTACTATTACTTAAAAACTTTAGCCTGAAATTTTTGGTAAAATTAGATAAATATTATCATATTTTTTTCATGCGAAATAAAGAGAATTGTTTTCCGATATTCGCACTCGTATCATGGGTATATGTTGACAAAACCTACACGGTGAATGCGCCAAATTATAGCCTAAAAAGCGATGATGCGACAAGGTATAAATGTAAACAAAGCGTGACAAAAAAGACCACTGAAAGTGATTTCATTTTTCAAAGTGTACAACCGATCTTGGTCGTTCATATTGTCGAGACTCACCCAAGCGAAAAAAAAAATTGGCGTGAGGCTGATGTGGTACCAAATACCGACTGCTGAATGACTGCTGCTGCGACACGCAAAAGTGAATTTTACGTTTCACCCTGCTGGTATTTGTGAGGCATTTCAGCCTAGGCATATATACAATACAAAACTAACATACAGAGATGTTATAGAAGTGAAAAATGTTATTACACATTATTTCATTTACTAAGTTACAAGGCCATATTTTAATTTCATAGTAATTTCGGTCGCAAACCCGTGTTCAAGATCTCCTTAGCAAAGTTTTGAACTGTAATATTCAGGCGTTGGAAACAGCATCGAAGAACCAAGAGGGAAGGCGTCGACATCATACCAGTTTGAAAGCTATGTACACGAAACGTTCTTTGTTTTTATCGAATTTTGCGATACTGCGGGGTCATTGTTTCGAAATGACGAAAACATTTATAGAAGGCCAACACCTGCGCTATATCGATAGGTGTCACAAACAAATATTTGCATTTGACTTCTTATCGTTAAAGTTGTGTGGACTGAGTGGGGAAAATTATTTTAATTCTTGTTCTTATCATCAGTATGACATTTTGCGAGAAAAAAACAAAACCTTTGAAGTATTTTCATAGTAAATATATATATAATGGTGCAGCTTGTCTTTTTTCAACTCAAAGGTTCAGCCAAATATACCATCATTTGCATCTTAAAATATGAGCGGCATATTGATAACGATTTCAATTTGTGCATGTATGTTTAACGTTAAACTACACGGACCTCACTTTTTGAGGACCATCAATTTATTGTTCCACATAAAACATATTATGTTAGATGGATTATTATTCTTAAATTGGTAGAATGATAAATAACGATAGGGGCGATATAGCATTAGCCATGCGCAAACGCGAATTGAGCAAACTGTGTAACGCGAAAAGACTGTGTGTTACCATTTTATTTCTCTGCTCGTGTTGGTCGATGGAAATTAAACATTTGATGTGTATTCTCGACACATTGTTTTACTGGGTAAACACATATTTGTCATCAAGCTTGGTAGCAATATATTATCATCGCCATTTTAGTCATTTTTTTCATGTTGATCACGTAATACAGCAATTTATTACAATTGTCAGTAGCACTTCAGCAGGTAATTAAACGAGTCGCAACATCAGTGCCAATCTCGAAAGAATTTTACTCCGGTTGTTTACCATCTCGTATTTTTGCTGTCTTGACACACCAAATTCCTACGTTTGAGATTTATAAGGCACCTTTCTCAACAAGACAACATAACTTAAAAAATATAAATAAACATAAAAATTTTGATTTGAATATATTATCATTGAATTGTATGTGTATGCGCGGCGTTTCCTACGTCAATTAACTTATCAAATAATTTTCAACACAATCCCTCTACTGTCACTTTATTACCTATTGTTTGTTGACAGTGGTTTAACTGGTAGAGATCAAATTAAAACTGTATACAAACTTCAAAAGTTCTGTGAAATCGTATAAAAAATTAAAAAATTAAAATTAAATTTTTTCAAACCATTTGTTTCAATTCTATACGACGCTTCAGCTATAAATCTGAAAGAAATTTGATGATAGTACTGAACGTGACCCAAAATAAGTATAGCTGTCTCTATGACCCTCTATTGATGAGGTCATTAAAGTAGTGATTGGGACAACCAAACCAGCTTAGCAATAGATAAAGGGGTTTTAGCAACAAAAAAAAACAGCCAGAAATATGGATAAGGGTGAAATAGGAGGCTAAAGTAAAATATGAAGAATGATAATTTTGTTAACTACGCAAATAGAATTTGCATGAACATTGCGTACTTTAGGAAGGGGGGCCTACAAACAACATGTGATTACAGTTTAACTTTAAGCTAATACCGGGCAACAGTGTCGCGTGAGTTGCTAATAATTTTGCTTTTTCGTTGAGCAGCTACACTCATTGAATAGCGCCGTAACGCCTCAGAGCGTGCTTCAGAGTACATGCGTAGAGTGAAAGAACGTCTTATCGCGCTTTGAGAATATTCTTCCAGTGGGCGAAAGTTAAAAACTCAAATTAAATAATTCGAATAGGGTGATTCTATACCTTGACTTATGACATCATATATAAACTAAAATGGTTTGATCGTTGCAAAATTGCAAAAGGAAACATTACAGCTATTCATCCACATAATTTACAGCAAAAACATCAAAAATACAAATCTTCTATATGAGTGTGAATCTTTATGTCCTTAAAAATTTTTGCTCTGCATGGTACCAACAAACGAAAACGGCATCGGTAGCCAAGTTAAACAATTGTAGCGGTAAGATAACATTCTTCACGAAATTCTATGACTCATGTTTCAGACTTTTGTATAGGTCGGCGAACCTTCCATGCGAGCAATTGCTTTGTACCAAGCGTCAATTGTACGTGGGAGCTCAGATCAAGTGGAATGACCCTTGGCGTGGCTCTCAAGTTCGTCAAAGGTACGGTCGTTTTTAGCCACACACATACACGCATATGTTACAAAATTTGAGCTTCCGTGCGTTCGCTTCATGTGCTGAAAGTGTACAATAACTGCAATGCTTCATGCTGTGCCTAATAGTGTCAAACATAGCAGAGCCATTTAAATGAAAAATCAAGGATTTTGAAAACATTTAAAAATGCTTCATAGGAATTAGTTTTGTTATGTACTACATTCAAGTCTTGTTTTCCAACGCTCAAATATAACGCTTTGTTGACATGAATTTAATATGCGGTACCGCTAAATGGATATATATTGTGTACACACGTCGGATTTTGCGACACCCTGATACTATTAAATAAAAGGGGATAATTCTATGAACAGAAATTAGCATTTTTGATATAGTTAGGAAATAAGCACGTTTAAAACACAACACCTCTCATTTTGCAAATAACTTTTGTATGTAAATAAATGCCTAACATAACTATTTAAGGCTTAAGCTACCGGAAATAATTATTTGTAGGTCAGAGCGACAAAAAATTATTGCTGTACAGTTGCTCTACTCAAAATGGCGACAGGCTAAATTACTACTTTTGGAGGAGATATCACATTGCATATTTCGTTTCTTTTACGCCAAATAATATTTAAATCATATTCAAACAGTCTTCTAGATTTTACATCTATAGAGTGTAGTCCTTCTTATATTTAATGGTACTTATTTATATGATGTCATATCACATGCATTCTGAATTTTCAACACTGTCTATTTTGATCTTGTTTATATTTTAGTTCATTTCCTGTTGTCAACCGTTTCATTTTTGTTCCAATAAAAATCAGAATATATTCTGGGCGAAGGGTTATTCTAATTACAAAAGCGTTACCAAGGGTATATCCAGTTCACCAGCAACAACATAGAAAACTATATATCAGTCTTAAATGGGTCTAACTACAATCTTAGTCCAAAGATTGACTCCGTTTTTGCGGGTTTTCATTTAAAAACGCCTTAAAAATTCTTAGCAATAGGCAGTCTTGCAAACTTACTTCTCGTCTCCTGTTGTTTCTTTCCAGCTTTCTTTTCTCTCATCCACGGATAATCCGGGTGCCTATTGTTGAGATAGGATGGATAATCTGAAAACATGCTACTGGTTGGAGGTTGTTCCATATTACCATAATGAGGACCCATAGACGGATCGCTGTACATTCCTGGGGGATTCATATTGTTGGCAAATTGTTCACTAGACATGCTTGAGTCACAATGACCTTGCGCCATATATCTCATTGGATTGTTTCCATTATTCTGCGACATATGGTGATTCGGCTCATTAGTGTAGTACTGTGATCGTGATATATATTCTTGTTCCGCCTGATTTGGTTTAGTTCCATTTGGCAATAGTATATTTCTTGAGCCTGGCATAATGTTTACACCATTTGGAGGTACATCGTCCGGCCCACCATATCCTTGATATGGATAATCAGATATGGGAAGTTTATTGCCATGATTTGACATTGTCCTGTCGTAGCATACTGGATGATGCGGACCATTTAAAGATAAAGGATACTCTCTCCGAGGGGAAATATCGTTGGCATCATTTGGCATGGTGACTTTGTCCGCAATATTCGCTCGTGCCTGAAACGAGTTACTCAGTGCGTGGTAGTTGTTCGGCGTTTCCCCCGAATCCGCGAACGAAGTCGGAGATAGCTTCTGCATTTCACAAGGTTTGTTTGTCCGTATGTATTCACTTTCTGATTTTGAAGTATTTATATTCGATACTTGTGAAGTTGAATTTTCAGCGGCGTCACTTTCGGGAAAACTTTCTTGATTTGAGGAGTTTGAAGTGGAAGAACTATTCTCATAGTCTTGACCCCTGTTGTTAGAGTCGTCTCCGCCGTTTTTAATTTGTGGAACTGCCGGCGGAAGAAGCGTCAGACACTCCGCCAAACTCGGCTGCGAATTTATAAATCCCGTTTCTCTAACTGATGTCATGATATCTGCATATTTCCAGTCAAGTCTTTGGGTAGCTATCGCTTGTTATCTTTATGTAACCCGATTCTCTTATCTGAGCAATGCTTCCTTGCCTTCTCCGGCATATACGTTTATCAAATACCTGTAATTGAAGTTATGACTAGTTCATATATTCTTGTGGGAGATAACCATCGCGTATGTACACATACAGGGTTCCGCAACTATCGTACCTATTACATTTGCTTGCACTGTCGGGTTACGGCGCTTGTAAAATGCCAGATATCCGCCATTTTGTTCTATTCATCAGTCAAGGGTATATGGACTGGACAGCGAATATTCAGCGCGCGGGCTTTTAATATTCTTGGACAAGGTATGATATTCAATCTACATCAAGTCAAAGTTTTCTTTTCAAAGAAATCCGAACTATTCTTGTCATGAGCGAGTGCCATAAATTTCTTTTTTGAAATTTATCGGGTTTCATAGATATAAAAATCGATGAAGCTTCAAGATTTACACAACCGATGGTTTTTAAGCAAATAAATACTTGCGACAATAAAGATAATTGGTTTGAGTCTACGCCTATGTTAACGATACCACCGAATATTTGTTTGCTATTTACTGACGCGCTAAGGATGAAAACGATGTCTCGGAATTTCCATTAAAACATATCAGCGCGGCATCTCTCATTCTTCGGAGGTAAAATTCAGTCCGAATTGTTTTTTTTCTTGTTTAGTAAATTTAATAGAAATGGCTCTTATTAAAAAAAAGTAAGCGATATAATGTTTGTATCTGGATTGTAGAAAAAAATAAATAATTTGGTAACAACCTTTCACCGATAAGAGTCTGAAAATTCTCCTAACAGATATATCTCACCACATTAATAAATTGCCGATACTTGTTCCTCTCATCTATCTCTGCTATTAGAAATGATTGAATTTTGACTTTTTGTTAGACATTGTTAGTATTATTTATATTTTTCCATTAAAATGTATGAATTTGCTAATTTTAGTTCAAATTCGAGTATTTCATGGATTTATTTTATTTCGATTTACGCGCTAAAATGAGTTGGGTGATTTTCCGCGTTACCAAACCGTTTTATGATAAAGTATATGCAACATAGTCTCGCCAAAACACGAAATTTTTTAACCACAATAAGAGTAAGCAAAGTGAATTTTGTTACATTTCATTCCACAATACATTTTATGAAATTTTTTATTCCGCATTTTAAATAAGATGAAGCATCTTTGACGAAGAAATTCGTCTGAGTTTATGCCTGAGGCGTAAACAGTCAAATTTCTCGGCGTGAGCATGACCCAATAGGATTAGTGACAACAAAGCAAGCGCAAACTGTTTTGACTTAAAACAAATGCTTGACAATCGATAAGTTCATCATAAACTTCATTAAATGCTTCAAAAACTTTTGACATTATCTATTTATCTCTACTTATATGAGCGGAAGCAAATTTATGTGGAAGTCGGTAACATTTAGCCTTGTTTTATAACTGGTCATCTTTTTAACTTTGAAAACCACTCAAAAAGTTTGATATGGCACATTAGTAGGTACGACAATCATACACTTGTTAGTAACATCCCATGATTCATATTACGTCACACTATAAAGAAAAATAATAGTAAACTATGACATTGCCGAACACTTTGAGTCTAGAAAGTTTGTTGACAAGGAAACGTGGACCTATCGCTTTGGATTGAAGTTGGTATTTAAAACAACGGAAATCAAAATTCATTTTTATCAAACATTTGATGTAGTAGCAATCAATCACGTTGAAGAATAACTCACCCCCTTCGTTTAACTAAATTCTGATTCCCTAACGAACTTTTGATAGTGGTAATGTTGTATTATGTATAATTAACTTGGGGTTATTTTGAAATTTGCACAACTACTAAAAATAAGAAAACAAACGAGATAAGGTTTGCACATTTTAATGAGAATCTGAACTGTGACCCTCCGTTAGCAGTGATCCCCAAAGAGGGTGTAACCCTAGTCTGCGTGTTTGAAAAAATTGGGTGTGATATTCAAAAGAGGAGCTCAAAACAAAAAAAATAGCGAGGGAGCGTTGTTTGAAATTATTTTACAGCATTATTTTTTAAAAATTTGGTTTTTTTTTCTGATGGTATTTCGAAAACTTCCAGAAGTCAAACATAATGAATTTTATTCACGTTTTAATGAAACCAATTTTAAAAAGTTTGTGTCCCACACATATTTCACTTTTTATATTCGCGAAACTCATGATATATTTTTCGCGTCATCTCACCCAAGTTTCTAAATTGTGAAAATAGGTTACGTGTTCTCCTAGTTTGTCAAATATATAGATCCATCAAAAAATATTGGTGGAAACTGCGTCTAAACAACTATAACAGTATCACGTAAGTCTTGCTACCTTCGATTCTCAAACTAAAGCGAAATATTGTAATAAAACATCACTTTGGAGTATCCCATGGTCCACTACAAACTCTTTATATCATAATACTCGCTCTATACACTACTACTTTGTGATGGTTTACCGGCCGGTCAAATCTGTTGTACCATGATCACAAGCATTACAAAAAGCCCATCCATCATTGGTGAGAGCTGCCCACGTCAAATGCGAAATAAATCGACAGCCGCCTTTGTGCGCTGCTGATCGCGTGTGTGCTGTCTACGTCTGGTTGTCTATTATTTACTTCTGGCCACTGCATCCTGACCTCAGATTCCTCATTGCTGTCGCTGACATTTTTGTACAACAGTCTCCATGGGTTAAGAATTCTACTGAAGTACAATAGTGCACAAATTCCAGCAGAAATAGAATCTAAAAAGGACGAAATTGAACCAAATACAAGTTTGTAACCGGTAGTCTAACAAGGGCCGCTATATAAGGAGGGATGACAAACAACTATGTGATATAGTTAATAAGATCACAGTATATGCGATAGTATATATACACAAAAAGATATATATATATATATATATTAGTTGTATAAATATAGAGAGGTCCAGCTCAAATGTTTGCCAAACTTATTTCTAATAATCTTTATTTTTTGATGATTCACTGTGCACTTTGTATGTGTACACTGTAATGAATAGTTTCCCATGCATATAGTGTCTGTTCATTTTGACAGGAATATGTGATACCGTGCGAAATTTATTTGTCAATTTTTTTTTTCTAATTGTCGGTCAAATTATAGCCTGACTAGATTGAAGAGGTAGTTTAAAAACAAACAAGACGAATAAAACTCTTTGGAGCACCGCAACCTGCCCTGAAGCCACAGCATGATTCATGACACTCCGTGAGAGTAAAATGTAAAAAGTACGGAAAAACGGGGTATAGATACGCCACATTATTACTATTGTTTCGAATGAAAGCATATGTAGCAATGCGTCTTTATAATATTAAATGTTTCTTAACTAGGATATTGGAGCAGTAGAATAAAATGAAATCATTAATTATTAATATATTATGAGAAATTGTGTATTGGCATATGAAATCAGGTAAACCCAAGATCTCCTCCACGGCGAAAATTGTAACTGGTACTAAAAGATTGTTATTTTCATACGCAAAAACAATCCTTGTTCAGCATGAACGAATTTTTCGGTAGCTTTGAAGCAATGTTGTTAGTTTCTTATGCATAGCCTGAAACAGTAATCCATTGTTTACAGACATCAAATACTTTACAAATATCAAAACAAAACCAGTGTAGAATTATCGCGATCATCCCAGTTTATGCCACGAATTTTGTCACAACGAAGTAACCGCGACGTATTTCGAAAATATTAGCGCCATGCTGTCGCATCACACTTTGCACACCTTCAGACTTGACTCAAACAAATTATTTTCCCCTTTTTTACAAAAATGTAGAAAAAAATAAATTGCCGCTATATAGATTTCGGTTGAGTGGCCAATTACGGATCCATTTGAGTGCAATTTGGAAAATTGATATCTGTTGCTCGCCACTCCCATGGTCGTCAGTAAGCCTTACTCAAATATCACAGCCGTGTCGCTTTCTTATAAAACTAAAATAAAATTTCTCCGTCCAAGAAACTTGTGCCGGTTTTGAAATTTGGTACTGCAATTTTTATGAATAATTCAAATTTACCTGACGAATATCGCAGAATAAATTCATTTTTATTCACTCTAATTAATTTACTTAGTATTTACAGAGAACATTACACCTAACTTTCCATAACATTATATATATAGATGCTTAATAAATGAGAAATAATTAAAAAAAATATGAAACAAAACTTTTATTGCATAACCAAGCAAGTTACATAAGTCACCAAACAGTGTTACAGCTATTTAATATGATAGTGAGCTGAGATCAGAGATAATATTTGCGTAAACGTGTATCGTAATATATTTCTGACCCACTCCCACATGTGTTTAATATGTGGTAAAATGTACATGCAGATATCACGTTTGGATTTTTTTGTTCCGATAGTGAAGGCTACAGAAAAATTGGAAACAAAATATTGAAGTTCAATTCACCTATTTTATACCTACGCTACGACTTTGATATGAAACAAGCAATTAAATTTTTCCACTTTCTAAAAAATGGCGTCTTTTACTACTACTTTTACAATTCTCACAAAATTGTCGTATTGAATATTTACTCATAAATTTGCCTCAACAAATGGTTGAAGTTTTATTACTATTTATGAAATGTTGCTGAAAGAAATCTTAAAAGGTAGTGAGTTTGACTAGATCAAGGGAACTATCGTTAGAACCAATTAAACTATAAGCATTCATCATGGGATAATAGATGAAAAAAATTGAAAATAAACAAAACTATTCTCGCCGGCGAAATAGCTATGAGATATGAAAGAATACGGGCGCATAGGCCGTACTTTGTGCGTGATCATTGCGCAATCAAGAAGATACCGTGAACATATGAGAGTTTGCTGTCAAACCATTTACAATGACTAACTTTTTCGAAGAAAAAAAAATTTGTGATAATTCAGGTGAAATGAAGATAAACCGTATTCATGGAATATTTCCTAACATTTTGTAATGTTTCTTCATGATAGAATAAAAGATGTCCACCATTCCAGCAAAATGGCGCCAGTCGTGCTCGTAATATAATTACGGAATATCACCTCGAAACTTGAACTGGAGTTGCCGGATGTTCAAACAAATTTGTGCTGCCTTTAGAAATAATAATTATAATATACGTTTAAAATGGCGTTCTTTTGTCGCAAGTCATATAGTCAAAAGATTATGTTAAAGGCTAAGAATAAACTAAATTTGATTTAATAAATATATGCCGTTGTAAGGTAAGTTCAGCAATGTAATAGGCTTGAAAGAATAAATTCTGATTTGACCAACAGAAAATATAAAGTACTTATTAGAAAGTTGAATAAAAAGAATATACCTGG